GTTATTGTAGAACGTTGTTAGCTCCCGACTGGCTGCTGTTCCACGCTGCTGGAGTTGCAGTCCATCTCGAGGATATTACACGTTCCTCGGGCACGTTTGCAGACTTCGCTACAAAAGTCCGCCGGTGTTATGAGGTAATATTCTCATTATTTGCTGAATACAATTTCTGCGCGAAGAAAGAAAGTCATGAGTTCAAAATTCTGAGATCCTGAGAGCCTTCAAGCTATATTTGATTGTCTGGTCATGGTACTTTGTTGATGTGTTCGTACGACGCATCATGTCATCGATGGCAAAATGGCATGCCATCTTTATCAAAAAAGTGGAGACACAACACTTTTTCAATGAGAATATACAAAGAGCATCTATGAATAGAAATCAGCAGACGGTTAAATACAAAAACGCGTCGGAGGAAATAATTAAAGTAGCCTTCATGTAATACCTTGTAAGCAAGATGAAGAGGAACAGCAAGAAGACGTGTACTTTATCGTACTGGTTTTAACGATATCATCCAATCCCCTAAAAGCCGACTATTTGCCGGTCCCTTCCTAAGTGGCTACGCGAAAAATGAACTTCGCATGACGAGGCAACGTCAGAGATATCCTTTCCGCTTCGAATTTCACCGGCTCCCCCTTTCCCGCCGGATATTTTATAGATTCATCACGTCTCCATGGGAAGAGTCTAATAAAAAGATCTGCTCTCATTATTCACAGTCGTTGGCTGCGTCGTCACCAGCAACACGGTAGTATACATCGTAATTTTAAGCATCAAGTAATGATGATTAATTGAAGAGGAGATGGGAAAAGCAATTTGACACCTCTTCGAGAAATTGAATTAATTCATAAATCATTATTCAGTATTAATTTAAGAAGAGGATAAAAGCTTTTATAAGGATTATTGTATATCATGAGATATACGATAAGATATATTTTAGGATAAAGAGAGTGTTAAGAGTAAAAATGTCATACGAGGCTTTAAGGTATCGTATGTCACAAATGAAAATTCTACCAATTAAAATTCTTCGTGAAAATCCAACCGAATAAAGCTTTATTAGACGTAGGAAACTCGCAAAGTTTGCTACAAACGATAATTAACGCATCAAATAAAATCGCTGGTCAAAACGCGAAAGATGGGGAAGGCGGATTTTCTCAGGGTAGCTCTCCTCGTGCTGCTCCAGGCTAAGGGGAGTTCAGAAGTCTCATCAAAGTCGACTTCTCTCGGGGACGATTGCTCGAAAACTTCGTTAAACTATTCCGCCCATTTTCCCGCCGACGATCAAACCTCATTTCGTCTCGCCGCGCCGGACAATGGGCGAAAATTACGATTTAACTTCATTGCGCGAGCGGTGTGTGCGGCGCTATTGCTCTTCCGACCACGTGTCACTTTATAATGCGCGCGTGCCGGGATAATAACTGACCGAAGACACCTCCTGATTAAGAATACGCCGCGCTGCACTAACGGGCGCATTGTCGCCTCGCGATAATCGCATTATTGTCGTAAGTGGAAGGGCTAGGCGTTTTGAAAGGTGCCAAATTGTCAACGGTAAACGCATCTTGTCGCGGTTTGACTATGTCGCATGTGTCGTGGCATCAAGATAATCGGCTCTATATTCAGGATGAATTCAATATAAAAAGAAACGATGGAAAAGTGAGAACATGAGATAGTTATAAAAATAAAAAAAATACATGCACAAATATGACAAAGTTTTGAGGTTTTTGTTTCATACTTTTAATGCTATTTCTTCTAAAGCAATAAACTTTATCAGTATTATAAAGTACGAAAGGTAGCTTATTATATTGAAATTGACTTCTCTCTCGGCGAAAGTTTTCATATACAGGGTGCACGATTTATCTGAAGACATTGAAATATCTCGAGAACTATGCATTGGATAAAAAAAAGTGGTTAATGAAAGTTGTTAGTCTCGAAGGGGGACATCCAATGATACCAAACTCGACCTCCCACCCCACCCCCTGGGGGTGGGAGTTGGGGGCAACTTTGAAATCTTAAATGGAAACCCCCATTTTTTATCGCAGATACGGACTCTACGCCACAAAATACGTAAATTTTGTCTGAAACTTTTTTTTTGATTCGTGATAGATGGCGCTGTAATCGCAAAAAATTATATTTTCCGCTTGCGCTGAAACTCCCGCAGATATGCTTCTATCCTGTGTACAGTCATTTGAAAAAAGGATCAATAAGTGTATTGAAGTTGAAGGTAAAAATTTCGAACACTTATTCTAATTAATTGAACAGTGAGAGGCAAGGGGACTCACATTAAAAAAGCACCCCGATCTGTGAGAGGCAAGGGCACTCACATTAAAAAAGCACCCGAAGGGAACATAAAACTACTACGTCCTCGTCGTTGTTCCTGTGTAACGCGAAATGTAGTTTCTCGGAAAAATTCAACGCTATCTATCACGAATGAAAAAAATTGTTTCAATAAAAATTTCACGTACAATCTAATTCTGCAATGAAAAATGTGGGTCCCCATTTGAGATTTGAACGTTATCACCCCCAGGGGGTGGGGTGGGAGGTCGAGTGGTATCATTGGATGTCCCCCTTCGAGACTAACAACTTTCATTAACCACTTTTTTTTATCCAATGCATAGTTCTCGAGATATTTCAATGTCTTCAGATAAATCGTGCACCCTGTATACCATATTTAGTTATAACACTTCGTATTATTAACTTTCAAGTATAATTTTAACTTCCATTTTTAGCTTCTTATATTGCATTTAACTTTTATACCGGTTTTTTACTTGCGGGTATTAAAAGGTACAGTGAAAAAAAAAGTGCCTTCCGCTGTCATCAGCCGCAAATTGCCGCTTTAAGGATAAAAACATTGAAAAAGCTAACGTGGAACAAAAGAAATGTGCAACAGAAAGAAAAAGTAGCGCCATTGTTTTTATCAGTACCATTTGTCTTGCAGCTACATCAAAGTAAATCCCACTAGAGAAGAATATTTCAGAGTTGTTTGCACAATAATTTTCATGCAACGTCTGCTTGTTTACTGAGCGTGACGGTATAAAAATTATTCCAACTGTCGAAATATCGTAGAATATTGAAAAGGGAATATTTCAATATCAACAGACAAGAATGTTATAATGTTGAGAGAGAATATTCCGGCGTATGAAAATGATAATATACCGCTTATCGATATTTTCGCTAATTTCAAGTTTATTTTCTTCAATATATCGCACATATTTTATTCAGGAAAACAAAAGAAGATATGTTTGAGTCCACACTTCAAAATCGAATTTATTTACTTAATTATTTACTCAAAAATCGAGAAAAACTATATCTATATCTGTAAACTCTATCGTGAGTTTGAACGATGATAAATTTTGTCACATGCAAGAGAGGAGTTGAAACAACATATGGAAGGAGTCTCACGAGAATGTCAAGATTTTTAACCCATTATCTCCAACTGGTCGGTACTCGCTGGGTCAACATCGGGGACACGCCGGCCCTCCTCGATCGCCGCGGAATCATTATCATTCCATCCAGGTGCGCGCTTATTCGCGTATTCAGAAGCCCGCAGCGTCCTCGTGGAAGGGGACGCGCGATCGGCGACACGAGTCTATAAAATCCCATAAACATCCCCGGAGAGCACACACAAGGGACGGTCGCCACTGAAAGGAATAAAATATCGCTTTTTGCGGCAATTTTACGGCAATTTTCCGAGCCGCTGGAAACCGTGTCGTGCTCGCCGTGCACCAGGTGTGTGCTCGATCCTGACACTCGTTCGTCTCGAGAGAAGTGGTTAGCGGTAGTGTCCTCCTGAAACGACCTGAGGACCCGACGATTAATAGCCGGAAAGAAAAGACCGCTCAAGGATATTCTGGTGGTTTCCAACAAAAACAGATACAGCGACGCGTAAAAAGCGCGTGTGTCGCGTGAACGGTCCGCGCGATCCCGCATTCATCCTGCAGCAGGACGACACCAGGCTGCGCGCGTCCCACCTTCGTTTCACCGCGCGATCCTCGCGTGATTTATCGCGGAATTATGCTAATCAACGGCACTTAGCGAGCTCGTTAAGATTAACCGTGCGCGCGTATCATCGCGTGTAACATAACCGCCGAGTGACCGTTGTTATTATTGAAATCGCTGTAACAACGGCCGGCACCGTCGTTACGCAATTAGTCGATCGTCATTATTGCATTATCGCGCCCCTTGTTCGCGCGCAATGACACCCGGCGGTGCACCAAATATTAATTCGCGGATTTATCACGGAGCATTGTCAATCCTGACGGGAGATTCGATCGTGATTATCGCGCTCGCGATACCAATGCTCGGCTTTAAGCCATTCAGCGGAGTTGCCGTTATCACCGACTGTATGGTATGTAAAATACCGGGGCGCAAATGCATTCGTTAATTGGATATCGCACGTGTCGTCTGTTCGCCTCGCGCAATATCATGAATCCCGGGGCATGATACAGCTCGCGAACTAAATTAATGTCACGGGCCGAAGTTCCTCGCAATTTTGAGCGCAATTTTTCCGATATTATTTTACGTACAGAGTGCGTATAATTGCAGATAATGATACACCTCGCAGAAAGTGCGCAAAACACACGCGAACAGCGTAATCTCCTTTAGGCAAACTTTCTCGCGACACGAGAATCTTCGGGATGCATGCCGTTATTACAAATGAATTTGCACTTAATTCTTCTCGGAGGAATATTCTAATTGCAACAGAGGAGGAAAAAAGTACGTTACGTAAAACTATTATGTGATGCTGTATCGTTAGCGAACTTTAATATTCTCCGTTAGCAGCTTATCAAGCGTATTTTCTCCGGAAGAAATTATAATTTTCCGTATGACTTTCATGCTGCTAATTAAAACTTCCGAGGCGCAGGATCGACGTTAATGTATTCGCCCGCGACCCGACATCGGTCAACTAATTACACCATTATACTTCCACTCCAGCCGGTCATAGCGTAGCAGACCTCGCGTTTTATTAAATCGGTAAAGAGTATCTTCTCTCTGAAGTGCACACGCGGGACATGGGATTCAATTATCCTAAGACGAGGGACGATTCGGACTGCTCTCGTTATTATCACCCAACGCTAGACAAAGAATAGTAGGTCAAACATCGAAAATACTCGCAGGGCGAGAGTTAATCTCATCAGAGGCCAGCGCGACGCGGAAGAAAGAGAAGCGATGTGCCGCATGTGTGTGTGTGTGTATGTGCACTACATGCGGTGTGTGTGCTCGAGTATCTTAGAGTTGATTGGTCTCGCGACAACTTTTCAAGCGGTCTGGCAATTACAACGGACAGACGTATCTCGCGTTTGTGGAGCAAACGGGCGAACGGGCTCGCAGTGAAGCTGCGACTACTGTCTGTTCAGTACGTCGTCCACGGAGCTGTGTTATCAGCGACTGACACTACTAAACGCGCTGTACCGCACGTCGGGAACACAACGTCGCTCGTCGTCATTGAAATCGGACAGGTAATGCGTACTATTGTAGTGCATAAGTACCTACACGGTCAACCTGCTCGCTACGTCAGCGGGATGCGACGTGTAACGGCATAAAGTATAATGTCGATAACGGATCGACGTCGCGTCATGTTTCCCGCGGGAGGACCGCTCGCAATGCGGATACTCTCGTCTCATCGTCGATCACATTTGAATTCTAAATACGGGAATCGGACGGCTGGCTGCAGCCGTGTGTATGCTTCCTGGACAGAACGTCGTCGGAACTTTGGGGTCTCGCACCAACATTCAGATCCGAAGCTGCTTCTGGATCGCTTATTGCTTAGCTCGGGATAGCAGCCGAGGGGCGGGAGATTTAATGAAAAATCGGAACTATTCGATTGCGAGGGAAGGAGAAGGAAAGAGGGGAGTGGGGAAGAAAGTCCTTTGACGGCGATTTATTTACGGCGACCTGAATGGCGCGACGTCGGGCAGAAGGTACCGTACATAAGTACTTAACGTGTTCCCTCTCGCGACACCGTTAACGCGTATCGAATCGCTCGTAACGTCGACAATATTCGAGCCCCTTTTACCAACGCGAACCAGGATGACCGAGAGACACTATTCCGGACGATGTGTCCCGATATTGTGCTCGAGTGGAGTTGAGTGTCGAGTGGGGCTCGTCTTTAGTTATGGCGCGTTAGTTACGCAATGCTTACTTTGCGATAAATTATGTCACGATGAAAGAACGGAGTTCCTGGTGGCGCATCCTGTACGTCCTGTACGTCGCGAAGCCAGACAAAAAATTTGTATGCACGTTTGCGAGAATTCCTCTCTCTCTCTCTCTCCCTCTCCCCCCTCTCTCTCTCTCTCTCTCTCTCTCTCTCGATACTATATATATATATATATATATCTTTTTTTCTCTTCGAGTAGTTTTGTTACTCTGTCGACTCTGTCGAATATAAATTGTTACAATCCTAGATACGCGACGAGCAGGAGGTAGTTGTTTGACAGAGAATTAATTGATTGCGTTGTCACTTTTTATATTTATTAATCCTCGTAATATTTCATTTCAATATTGAACAATCGAGTCATACACAATCGCACGTTACTGTGAATTCGAGAAAACAAGTTTATTCAACCCGCGTCATATTGTGCCCGCCGTCCCTTTGATCGGATTAAATCCGAAAGCTTAGCAGAGAGATCGGCAGTTTTTCCAATAATTAGATTTTATTGATTACGTCGCCGCGCTGCCATTGAATTTGCGCCTGTCGAGAGTGACGGGAGATATCCAAAAGAAAGGGGCGGGACGTCGAGGAGAGTGAGAGAGAGAGAGAGAGAGAGAGAGAGAGAGAGAGAGAGAGAGAGAGAGAGAGAGAGAAAGAGCATGTTATAATTACCGTTCGTTATATCGACTAGGACGACGTAATGTAAGTGGCACATTAAAATTCACGCGCCTCCTCTCGTCTGACGTTGTACGAGCGACGATGAAAAGGGATCTAAAGAGGAGCGCAGGGAATTCAGAAGAGGGCTGAGGCGTAGTTCTGACGCGTAGTTTCCGACGGGCCAATGAATTACATGATTATTGACACAAGCATATGTCATCTCGGCGAGTTCACGCATTATCGACGTACGTCGCGTCCTTTATTAACGACGTTCCTTCGCTAAAGTACGAGCTGAAGGTCGACGAATTGCCGACGACTTGTTTGCTCAGGCTGCCCGGGCTTCTTTCAATACCGCATCAGGCGGGATGTAATCCCTCGATATATGGGGCTCGTTTGTAACTTGTAATCTCTGGCGAAATGCTCGGCATAACTCAGAATTACGGCCCTACTTTCGTCCGAATGTCCGAAATGTTGAGAGAGTGAGAGAGAAGGAGGAGCGAGAGAGCACGATTTAACATTGATATCTCCATTCGCTCGCAACTGCGAATGGAAATAGCAGTGTTATGCAGCGTTTCGCAACACTAATTTGAGAGGTTGATATCAAAAGAAGGGAGGAAAAAAATTACCTCAATAAATAACGCTCAGTGCCAAGAGGCATACCTCGTGCCTATGTTACGCATCTATATTACGCGAAATTGCGAGTTGAAACGAGGTGAGATATTCATATCTCAGCAATGGCTAAACCGATCCAGGTTTTTTCAGTCCTAATCGATTCGGCCTTAAAAAATAGGAAGAAAAGTGTCCTTGTGTTTTTGTATACGTTGTCTCTAAATGTAGATATTTTAAGATAAAGTCCAAATCACAGAAAATTTCGATTCACTAGGAAAGTAAGAAACGCTAGATCGCAGAAGAGAGGGGATTTGTTTACAAAGGTAAGTTTTATATAACGTTACGGGCTCTCTGAGACGCGTCCCGCCGAGACAAGGTCGCGCGACTTTGAAAACAATATGTTCATAAGTATGCAACTGCCGCGACCGCTTCCATTATTATTTACGTCGCGGCGGCGGACGGATCGGCGGATCGCCGCGCGTAATAATTTCCGAATTTTCGATCACAGTGTACGCGCGTGTGTAACGTGTAATATTCGTGCGTGTGTGTGTGTGTGTGTGTGCGTGACAATCCGGAGTATCGAAGCATCTTGAGCAATAGCAATGTCTCATGGATTTTAAAGGTAAACTTTTATTGGTTAACTTGGTTAAGTTGAAGAAGCTAATTTGTAGTCTTGAGTAGTCTTCGTACTCTTGATGCGGAGCGCATTTGTCGCTGTAATAACTAATGAGAAAACTCGCTTTTTGTTACAGATCTGCTGGAGTTTGCAGCCACGCGATAGCTGCGGTTACTGGGGCGCAGTTTCGACGGACGTCGATGCTGCACCGGAGGATCCGGTTCGGGCCGAGCAGAGTCGGCTTGAAGGTGAGGTTCACTGATCGTTTCTTCTTGATTCATTGCGATCGAAAACCGAGCGATTGGAATAAAAGCCATTGAATTACGATGGCAAAGGGTCAACATTTGTATCTGCGCGCGCGCTTCCGCGAACTGAACTCAATCTAACTTAACTTTTAACCTAACGGTTTAACTAACGAAACTATATCTTTTGTTACAGATCCGCAGCAGAACGCGGCTGACTCTGTCTGCTGTGTATCGGTGAGTCAGAGAAGAAAATACATTTTTATGGTGATGGGTGTTTTGCAATATCTCGAGAAAATCAATGCGATTTAATTATACTTTTTTCACATGTTGCTCGAAATAATCAGGAGATCGTCTTGTCTTTCAATGACCGTATTATACAACAGAATCTTTAAGATATAATATATATTTCTCTCTTTTATATTTACTCTGAATCATTAGAAGATATAGATATAAACGCTTTAGTTATATATAATGTTAGTTTGTTATATTATACCGAAATCAAGATACGGAATTATTTGCTGCTTCGATTAGTGTGTGATGTTAAAATTTGATTAGAATTGCGCCATCGCACGTGAAATTCAGCATTATTTATCTTATTCGGTTTGATAAATTTTATGTCTGTCAAGTTTATCAATTTTTTATATTTTTTACGCGTGTCAGAAGCGATAATATTTCATTTGAAATTACCGATAAATTCGTTACGCGCGCTTATTTACATTACAACTTGGTCCTAACGAAACAAGACGTGCGTTTCTTTCGAATTACCGTTCGCGAAACAAAACATTTTCATTTTTCTCTCTAAAGTCTAAACGTCGTAATTTTTATTCGCGATTGATTCTACGCGAATCGCGTCTCACGTATACACGTCTCGAAACGTTGCAATTTATCGTGTTTACTTCTTTTTGGGATAAAAATCTCATCTCTTGAACGCGACCATATATGCGACCATATTTGTCTCGTCATTCCTTTTCCTTAAATCGAAATTAATGAAAGAGAAAAGATAAACAAAGAGAAAGAAAACGCGACAAAATATTGTGAAAAAAGAAACTTTTCCTGGATACTGAGGAGACTGGACATTGGACGGATGCAGAGTCACAGGAGTCAACGAAAGTCGGTGAGTGTGCAGATGAAACGCTCAGAAAGCGTCATGTTTTATAATGCATGCTCATATATAAATCGCATTGATTTTCGACCAGAGATAATAAAAAATAGTGCGCGATAATATGCGTTCATATTTAGTTTAATAAAAATGTGAATTGCGAGAAGCACTTCCTCTCTGCTTCCTCTCTGATCATTGCGGAAATATTTATTCTGCAAAAAATGATACGTGGAATCTTGAGAGTGATAGTCGATAATATGTATATTTGACGAATGAAAAACCATATACTGATTGCACTGAAGCTGGCTTCTTTTTGCAACACTTTATACGAATATTAATCTGATATTTTGTGCATAATATTTATGCGCAGCGTCAATTTAAGAAAATTTAATGAATCACTGCTACGGCAGTCTCTTCCTTGATATACACCGACATATTTTTTCTCATGCTCGTGCTTCGGCTTCGAGCTAGCAAAAATACTAGCGACCGCGTTCCTCGTCAATGTGACCTCGGCGATGTTTACACTTCGGCAAGAGCGATCCTATGCTCGTTGTTTACGTCCGATAATTTTCAACATATCCATTTCTTTCCGTGAAGGCGCGTTTGATTAATTATAATTGACTTGGCTAATCGCACTGGATTGTATCATAATTACCAAAACTGACGGGGACGGACTCGAATATTCACCAGTGACTCGTATAATGAATCTGCTCATCCAGAGCGAATAATATCACTACTACTTTTGATCTCCGTCGAATGGCGCATGAACACACGAATTAATTATAGCGATACGCGGCGCGTTATCGAGCCATTCGCGGAGCTCGAACGTAGTGAAACGTGCGCTTCAACCTCACCGCGCTATCACTTTATTGGCATTCAATCGTCGCGCGTCGTGAAGTCGATATATCGATTATTCGTACGCAACAGCACGCGGCTAAATTAGACTTCAGCAGCTTCTGAGATGTGCTCTGCGTCTCGGTCTTTTCCCAGCCGGGCGACGGCGCAGCTCTGACGGAATTGTAGTCGGATGTCGGAATGATCCGTCGAGAGAGACTCGAGTCGAACTGAGATACGAGACGCGTCGCTGTGTAATTGTTATTAGAAAAGCACTTCGTCAATTATGCAGCAGCTGACGGCACTGTCGTTCATTGCACGCTATTAACATCACATCGGATTTTATATTTGATTAATGCGCCGATAAGTGGGCGGTCTTACGTCGCGTTGAAGCGTCGCCGGAATTCGCATTCGCGTCGCGTGTGACGTTGAACGTGATTACAGAATTATCGGACGACTGTAACAGCGTTCGTTCGTCGTGTTCCTTGCTTTCTCTTGGAACACGTTGGAATTGGAATTTTTCTTGGCACGTGAGAATCATCTTCAGACTTCTATCGAATGTCCGCAGGGAAGTGGGATAAAAGAGGAAACTCGCGGGTTAAATTGGATATTTTTCGTGTTTTCGCGGAAGTTTGGAGAAACGCGCGATTGCGTTACAATTGAAGCTCGATGCTTAAAATTCCGAACCGTGGATTAGTACGCGTTCACTTTTGATACATCAATTATTAACGGTAATAGCAGGTATCCGGTTTAAACCGCTGTCAACTTAATTCCAAACGACGAAACTTTCCCTTCCGTAACATGGCAGTATATCGTAACATAGCAAGGACAATGCGAAAGGATTTACTCGAGAAGCGTGACCTCACGCGTGGAATTCCGCGCGACAGAGACACGGGACACGTGGACACGTGGTTGCACGCGACGGCAGCCTGCACATCCGTCTCGCCAAATCCCCTCTACGAGATCAATTATCACTTCATTCCCTCGAAATTACCGTTAATGCCAGCGCCTGTCGGATTATAGCGCGCGCGAATTTCCAAAAAAGCGCAAAACTGGTGCGGGGTCGCATCGATATAAGCGGCTTAGCAACGCGTGCATGCGCCAGCTGGTCTAATCGATCTATCGAAAACCCATCTCCCCGGTAGTATCGCGCATGGAAGAGAGCAGGGAGGCATTAATCCCATAAATACCGAAATTATACGCACGGCGAACGGGCTTCCGTCGGAGCGGAACGGCAAGGCACGCACCGCGGTAAGATGCAGGTCCGACGTAATACGTAAATTTTCCCGCTGCGAACGTTCGCCCTTTATGTCGTCGTAAATCGCGCCGTAAATCGCCGTAAATCGCCGACTCACCGATCAGATGCAAGCGGAATATTTGCAGTGATCTTCTTTTCATTACATCGCGGATGAAGTTATGATTTAACAGGGACGGGGCTCTGTGACATTTTATATATTTAAAATTATATATATTTAAAATTACATTTAAAGCCATAGATACTAAACTCTATAAAAGAAATATTTATATGCAATATACACATTTTTCTTGGCGTAAATTTGGATACAAATATATTCATTTTATTTGTATTAAAATATGCATTGCACTGTGGGAGAATTTTTCTTTCATGTGTCAAGCTATATTCTATATAAAATGGATGAGATATGAAAATGCACTTTCGTTTTACAATACTCTGTAGTACATTGAATCGTGACTTTATTGCTCTAATAAAGGCGCTAGACGCATGAAATCGTCAGGCAAGGATATTTTTCTGCCGTATCGTCATGTGCATTCACTCATGAGATTCCCTCTGCGCGACGAATAAGAGCAAATGGCAGTAAATTGCGGCGAACATTGAATGAGAAACCCCTTTGAATGCGTGTTCTCTGTCTTCAAAAGCGGACGCCGGATTCCTTAGGGGTACCGCGCTCTTTGATCTGTGGAAAGGTAGTTCGGAATATAAAATAAAACCACGCGGTTTTTATTTGTGGAAAAATGTACATTATATTCGAACGTGGAGAGGCAGTTTTAAACATGCATTTCACAATAAACCTTCATAATAAATAGAAAATCGACATATCACGCTTTTCGTTTTACGCTGTCTTTTTCCTATTTACAAACACGCTATGTTTTTATCTATGAAAAAGACTGCTCGTTAAAATGTTAAATGTCAGTAATAAAGCCGGAACCGTGCTGAGACCGTACCGGTATTCAGCACCATAAAAAATAGCATACCTTGAAATGATAAATTGGTTCATTTCCCACGTTAAGCAAAATAATTGTGCAGCATTATTATCTAATGATATTTTCCGTGCCTTATTCTGTACTTCCAAGATAATAAATGTTTACAGCTTCTTATGTATAAAAGCTAATTTTACATACGAGGAGTTATAATTGTTTATCTTATGTTCATCTTATTATCATGGGAAAAATAGCGTAATTAAAATATCCTTGCATCATTTAATGATATTAAAACTTTATACATGAAAATTATCTTTATGTTATTGATATTTCTAGATTAAAAATCAGTATTTGCATAAATGCAATATTTCCAATAAGCTGCAACAACTTCTGTTGATGTAACAACCGGTCCTTCACGAAGAAACATTTAATTTGTGTAAATATCGTGAAAGCGCATGTACAACAATACGATATCGACTTAAAATTGGAAGCCCATTCAATCTCGCGTTTAATCGCAATACTGAAAAATCGATTTGTCGTTGAATCGTACTATTGTTAAATATGATTGTTATGTACAATATCATTTAATCTTTCTATATATTTCAAATAAAAGTTATAAAGTTATAAATTCGATTACTTATTTTTATCAACTTGATGATAAAAAGGTATGTTTTATAAAGTTTATTAAACAATATCTCGGGATATAATATAAAAAAATACTGTTTATTGATAAGAAAATAATGAAACATGGACATGTACATTTTCATATTGCTCGCAGTAACAATGGATGAGTTTACAACATAATTTGTTAAAATATTGAGATTTACAATATTTTTTATTGGATCGGAATTACTCTGAATTTCTTCACACAAGTGACGAGTTACATTTCAATCATAGAGCATTGTATCCTTTCTTCCAAATCGTATCTTTCAAGTAAGAGCCTACCACAGGATCATTGTGCATTTCTTCCACGATGCTTTTAAATCCAAGCTGACTAGCTAGCATATATTTACATTCAACGTCTGATAATTCATACACCAGAGTTCTCATGTTGTTTGTCATGAAATTATTTATATTCTTTTCTAATCTGTACCTGTGAGAATAGCAAAAAAAAATGTATTTGTATATGTACAATTTAGGAAATGATTTATATATAAATCGTAATAAAAGAACAATGTATAAATTACAATTTAAACTCACCTACGTGCACAATCTTGCACAATTGCGGGCGTCAGACTGTTTACCGTCATAAATTCTTTGAGGTATTTTACCTCTCCTCTGAGAACACAATGGTGGTAAATGAGATTAGCCCAATCCGCGTGATAATTATAAGCGCGTGAAACAATGAGTGTTTGGAGAAAATTCAAGGTCTGTGACGTTATCCTGTCCAACTCGTCGCTTTTCAGATTTAAAAGACAAACTACTTGCTGATTTTGCGACATTGCGTTCAGCAATGCGATCTGAAGTGCCACAAGTTGAGCTTGATGAGAGCATCGACTCGCGAGATTTAATTTGTTATCCTAGAAGCAAAATATATTATTCCCTGCGATTTATTCCCTGATTATTATCATTTCTTGATTTTTACTTTAAATAAATATATCGCATATGATTTCAGTGTTTTACCTGTAAATAATATTGTGTGGCATGAGTAAAATTAGTCACAACCAATTGCAGTTGTTTTTGAACGCTATCATTTCGAGTCAATTTGATTTCCGCGGATATATCAGTTGTGCCTCTTCCGCATTCCTTCAACACGTTAGACATCAATTTCGCAATTATTTCTTTTGCTTCATTTTCCCACATGAGAGCGATCTCGTAATACAAACGGAAATGTAGAGCCACCAATGTAAACAGTTCTTTATCTTCTGGGCATTGACGCTTCAAAAATTCTAACAACGCCATTTTTAGACCCGGTACCTTCACGATTGTAAAAATTATATTTGTTAATTAAAAGATATATATTTACGCGACACTTATCGTATGAATAAGAATACCTTGTCCAAACCCTTTCCCAATAGGAACTCGAAATGATCATTTTCTTTCAAAATTTCAAATATGTAATTCATCTCAGTAAATCGACCGACGCCAGTTACTAATCGCACCTATCAAAGGAGAATATAAATAAAATACTGAGCGTCAAGGATATTAACGACTAAGAAATCAATTAACGTACCAATAACGCCCAATGTTTCAACATTTGTAATATGTTTGCAAGTTTTTGACATTTTCGTAATACAGATGCTATTCCTTCCATGTTGCAAGAAGCCGTGAAACAATCGTGGGATCTTATTAATAATTCCACTATTGTTTTCAATGTTGACACTACAAGACGATATATACAGAAATAAAATGTAAATATTAATATAAAACAAAAAGAAATGAATAAAACGATGCAGAAAAATAGATAAATTACCATTTTTTCTTTCATCATGAGAACTAACATGTTTTCCCAGCAATGACTGTGCTGCTTGTAGCAATTTTAAACCTAATAACGAAGTATCGCTGCAAAGTTCCATTATTAAATGGAAATGTGTATTTATAGGATAGGATCCCCACATAGAGATAAAATCTTCTAATCCATCTAGGAATAAAATTGATTTGACATTATTACTTTTACATTGAGATAATTATGCTAGATACAAAATGTATGTAGTGATTTTCATAGTTACCTTCTATAGCACGATTAATGTGTACTATGATACTTTCAGTAAGGAATGTCGCAATATTTTCTGTCTTGATCTTGTACGACATTATGATGTTGTTAGCAGTCTCGCATTTGTTCTCGATATTACTTTCCGTAATCTCTTGTAAGAATTTGATGGGATTGTTTAACATCAATAGCGATTGATAAGTCTTTTTTAGGCGTACAGCGAGTTTATAACAGGAAACAATTCTCGAGCATATTGCATTTCCATGTTGAAGAGTTTCTGATAATTTTTCCAAGATTGAGATGCATTCCATTTGATATTGGTGTTGGTGACTGCTAGTGATCTTTGAGTCATTTGTTTTACTGGCCTCTCCAATAGAATTTACTGTAAAAATTAAAGAGTTATATTAAATAATCTCAAATGAGTAAGTCAAGATATAATCTCATTATTTATGTAATTATATAATAGGATCGAAAATATCTCTATAAAAACATATGGGAAAATATCAATGTTAAATGAGGCATACGAGATGATGAGGAGGATAATCTCTGCAAGCCGCGATTGCGCAAAGTGCCATGTTTCTGTTTGCTTTTACTAGTCTCTTCCAAGAAGCTCTTTTGTTGTGCGGTTAATTCTGCTGGTGAAATTTCACCCTCTGCCAAACTTAAGCACAGCATTAATACTTGTAAATCCTATATATAGAACAATGGTATTTTTAATATATAATTTATATTTCTGTTACAAATTACAAAAATGCACATAATGATTCTTACCTTATGGTTGTAATTAAAAATCATGCTTATTCGTAAAGCAATATCCAGTTTACCCAAATCAATCAATCGATTAATTAAGATTTCTGCAGAATCTTTTTCACTTTCGTCTTCCAGTGAGTAAGTCACTTCTAATTTGTCCAATCCGGAGAGTAATTCGGTTTTTAACTTATTAAAAATGTAATCATCACAATCGAATTGTATATTTTCAGGTCCGGCCAAAATACACGACTTCCACATGGCCATTTCCAGTGTATTGATAGTTTGTTGCTCAATTTTAGTATTCTTTAAAGTCTCATAAGCTAATTTTAGAATCTCGTATCTGTATAAAATATTACGTTATTTGCATCAATATTAGCATTATTTATCTATGAAACGTAACGCATTGAATTGTATCAAATTTTATTTACCTCTCTTTGTGAGATATAACTTTCTCGGCATGTTCGACAAAAAATTCGACTGCTACTTCAGGAGGAACGTTATATTTATTAAAATCCTGAGCACACTGCATCCAGAATGTAGAACTGACCTGACCATTTCTACGTACGGACTTTTTGAAATTGTTTCGGGACTGAAAATGTCACAATTATAGAAATATATGCGTTTAACGATAGATTTTTTGAGAAAACTTTTAAACTTATTACTTGCGCTAATATGATTTCAGATGCATGCAATCCAGCAGTGCAGGATAATTCCAAGGCAGTGCTATAATTATCGGTCGCTATTAAATCGTTAATGCATTTTTTAATTTCCGTATCAAAATTATGTACATTATCGATTACGGTAACGGCTGCAAAATTTAACATCACGTCTGTTTTCTGTAAGATTCTTGTTATATCCAACAAGCATTGAAAATCCGGTATCTTAACTGCAATACACAAGACAAAAATTTCCTAATGTATTTAATAATAACTTTTTGGCAAGTTAACAACATACGATTGTAACTAAATTGTGGATATTTTACCAGGCAAGTCCGTAGAAAAATTAGACTTGATTAGAGTTTCGAGAAGCTTTACTCGTAACGGTGTACTTTGAAAGCCATAGCCAAGTGCTGTAATAATACATTTGGTTCCAACAATCGCGACCCAGTACAAATTTTTCAGATATGTCAAATCAGCACTTGTCCAGTCCATAATCCTCTGAAAAAAAAAAAAAACAAAGTGGCAGTGTTTATATCACAAAGTAGTACGTTGGGATTTTTCTTTATAATCGTGTTTACGTACATTACATTTAAGTGAGGAACATTGCAATTTAAATTCCAACAAATGCTGCTGACTCTCTTTGAATTCACCGTAAATAATTGCTTGCGTCAGAAACTCAAAGAACGGACTCAAGATACTGTCCTGTAATTTTATTAGTTACACTAAAGATTTCTCATTGCCGTTATATGAATATTAATTATACTTACAGGCATGAAAATCTTATAAGCTCTGTTAAGTGTGTCAATGTAACCAAATTGAATCATTTTACTTAATAATCCTGCTACCTTATTGGCAGGCCATATTTGTTGTTCTAAACATTCTGCATAATCGAGAAGTAAGTCTTCCTTCCCTGCTGATATCACCATCCAACAATAACAATATGCTGCTACTGAGGATGGCTACAAGAAATTTTTCGAGTTACAATAATAGAAAATTGATCAAATTTAACTTATCATTGAATTGTTGAAATTAAAAACCTCGTAACATGTAGCCAAAATAGTCAATATAGGGCTAAGTCTTGAACGAGACACATTGATTAATGTTCCAGGTGGATCTTGACTTTGATGACAATTTAGTATAGTTAACCATAGATCATTGCTCAAAAAGGACAATGCGCAATTGCTGGTGACATGTTCTGCATCAGTTGTGTCCAAATTATTTATATCAGTTCCAGATATGGTTGAAGCAGATGTTGGGGAATCCTAGAGGATACAGAAATGTTTCTTATAATTATTATCGTAATCAGAAGTTATAACACTCAATAGACAATAACAATCTTACACTTTGGTCTTGTCTGTGGTACAATAATTGTCTCGTGTCGCGTGATTTCAGTTTTTGTTCATTACATAGTTGAGATTTGCCAAGCTTGCTGTTGGTCAAACATGTCAACAGATGTTCCCGGATACTCACATTGTTAAACAACTTGGCATCTTCTAGTACCTATTATATGATTTCAATTACTTGATTAATAATTTATCTTTGATTAATATTTCTTTTTCAAGTATATATATATGTACCTGTTTCGTGGGATAAGAGAATATATGACTGACTGCAACAAACTCGAACCACAAATCATGATTTGCTAAATATTTTGGTAATATACTAGGTAGTGTATAATTGTGAACGTGCGCGAAGCGTATGATGATATCCCACGCTTTCAATGCTTCAACAAATTGCGAATTATCGCTTACCAAAGTATCATTCAGCAAATGTTTTTGGAAACTTTGCTCTAAATAAGATATCACAGACTTTAAATCGTGCTGATTCTTATATATTACATTTTCTAATAAGTTTCCTATAATAAAATAATAACTTGTTTATCTGTAATTATATTGACGAATACTGTATCTGTTAATTGCACAAGCTATAAAACGTCTCACCTATGGAAATGTTTAGTTGTTCTTGTACATATTTTGCCACAGTAACGTATAATCGTAAATTGCTTGAATCAACTCCTAGTAATTCAGTAAAGACAATACAACTACATATAATATCAGGCTTACTTAAATTTCTTAAAGCAAGAACATGTGCATATAAGGCCGCTTTGGATTTCCTAAAATCATTTTAATTATTTTAATTTTTAATTTTAATTTACACATAATCTGTTCTTTTTAGCTGCACTACTGAACTGGTGCAATAAGTTAAAGTGAGAAAAAATATAGTTGTCTCATTCTAACTTATTGCACTAGTTCCGCAGTGCAGCTAGAAAGAACAGACCAATAATAATAACAGAAATATTTTCATTACATATACGAACCTTTGGGAAGACACATTTCCAAGTAATTTAGTTTGAGCGTGTTTTAAACTGTATGCAGCCATGTTTGGTCTGCCTTCTTTCAAATAATAACCATATGTTAATGTTTCTTTGTGTCCATATTTCTTAATAAGATTCTCACTAGCAAAAGCAGGCATAACTTCATTTCTCAAGCGCCATTTGAACAAGAGTTTTGTACTCAGATTTTTATAGCCGTCCAGCAATTCATACAATGTGATATCAGATTTCTTAGTTTGATCTTCAATGATACATTGCAAAAGTGGTATGTGTGTCAGTGTAAGCTGAAGAACTTCTTGAGAAATAATATGTGCATTGATATTTAAACCATTTGCATTTGTAAATATGTCTCTTATTAGTTTACTTTCCACAAAAATATTTGTTTCATTGCATAATATGTTTCTTTTTTGCCACAATTGCAAGAATATCAATGTCAAGGTTATCAAGTAATTTTCTTTCAGATAGTCAATTAAGTTGTTGGAGACATATTCAATTGATTTAATGATACCGTGTATTAATACATCTTCATGACAATCTTGAGTATTACACATGTTGGTTAATATATTAAACAATTCAGTAAGTTTTGTATTATCTTCTGAAGTATGACACTTCTGTGCACAATGTGTAAGGCACAATTGTCGATCAATAGTTTGTATAAACTCTATTTTATGAATATTACATGAAGTTAACGGTAATATTACTTCGCTGAGTTTTTCTAATGTAATACCTGAACTGAAAAAGCGACTTAATATTAGCCTCAGATCATTCTTCTCTTCTTTCACACATATCCCATACCTGAAATTATAAATTTATATAATTTTAAACATTATTACTGAGATACATATATATTAAATATTATTACGTACCTACATAAGTGATTTTTGGTTAAATTTTTTACAAGATTACTAGCATTTGATGAGTCTATACATTCAACCATATCAGCTGTAATATCTAACTTTGCAAATAATGATTTTAAACTATGGTCAATCTTATCCGTATTTTGCAAGGTATCTGGATCATATCTCGCATCAATCCATAACCTTAATGCATTAATCTTATTATTGCATAATAAATAATCCCATAAAGTAGTATTTGAAACATTTTCTAAGATATCTGGATTACTTAGAGAAAAATATAATTCAGTACATAAAGATCGCTTGATATTTTGCGACAAATTCACTATGTCATCTACACATATACAAGAACTTAATCCATTTTGCACTCTGAAATAATAAAATATTTTCTATTAGTTTTCAACATGCCTCTATTATAATATAATATAGTATATGTTTTCTAATTTCATCAACTTACTTATATTTCTTTTCATACTGTGTAATACTTTTAATAATGTTCCAAGCTGAAATATGTTTATTTTCAAAACCATTAACCTTCATCATATACTCGCACAAGTAATTTCTTAAAAGTGGATCTCTACTTTTTATAGAAGAAGCAAAAATATATTCTACAGGATCTTTCCCCTATAAAAGAGAATTCATATTTATATATTACTATCACTTATAGATTACATATAGATTAACCGATATATGGTTAGGGTTAGGATATATGGTATAGTAGTAATTTAATATAACAACTTACTATATTTTTTAAAATATGTGAAGCCCTGTAAACTTGTCTTTTATTTAAGAGCTCATTGATCCAAACTTCTACTTCCTTGTTAAAATATATACATGCCAGGTCCAAACTACTTTGTCTTCTATATGCAAGGCACTTATGAGCTAATTTTATGTGAGTTCCCTTAGCAGACGCTTCTCTTACTAGTTCTCTATCTCCCAGAGTACGCCAGCCAGACCATATTGCCGCTGGTTCTCCAGTAAGACACTCCACAGGGATACCCCCAATGGTTTTTCTCTCAGACATTTTTGGATATGGTATAGTAACAAACAATATACACAATTTTCACATGGAATTATTAAGATGCACTGATATTTTAATAAAATTACATTAGTCCTTGCTTTAATTTCACAAAATGTCTTAAATACATAATTAGAATTATATATTTTATATAAGTCAGATTTGTTACAAAACACTTACTATATCATTCTTTGTTACAGATGATAAACACACACATACACATACATACATACACACACATACAACACTACTAAAGTTAGATTAAATAAAAGAGCATTCTAAAATATCATATAATTAACATTACACATTATTCACTTTTATATAACGATTTATAACTAATAATCATGTTACATGAGTTTTTATACTTTTGTTTCGGATATATATCATTTACATTTTATTTTTAATTTTGTACATGTGAAAAACAATAATCTCCAGTCACATTTCGTCGAATTTTTCAGAATAGAAAGTAGATTGAGAGCGCGTAAAGTCATTATATGTACGTATTGATGATTACAATAGTGAGACGCCATCTACATTCATAAGATGTAGTATGGAACTATGTAGCTCATAATTTTTTCAGTGGATAACGTTATTATTGTTCCGTGCTGTGTCCGCAATTTTGAGCATAACATTTAAATTGTACGAGCTGTTACGTAGAGAAAAGAAAAATTATTTCGTCAGCAAGAAAGTTAAGAAGTTGACGGTTCAAATAATGTTGAAAAGGATTTATTTTTAAGATTAATATTTGAGAAAAATAAAAAAGTTTTCTGTTGGTAAAATTTAGTTGTTCATGTTGGTAACATGTTAATTTCATATGTATTTTATAAATGTGTATAAAGTTTCATTACCGTTTGTAAAAAGTGTTTGTTGAACGACACGTGTTACTTGCGATGATACTTACATGAAGATCCTTCGTTGAGTAGAAAACATATGTTTGATATTTTATATCATATATTCTTCACAATATTCTCTTTATTTATTTTTATTCACATTATTAAAGTCCGAAGAACGCTTAAATATGCCAGGCTTGTTTTAAGTACCTAAGAAAAACATATTAAAATAATATTATATTTTTTGTAATACTTTGTAATACATAATTTTTGTAATACATAATTTAATTTCTTATTTTTGTTTCTTTTTTGAAGAACATCGTAACATGGAACGTATATCAGGAGAGTAAAAACGTTCCTAAGCAAATAATTGAGGAGCATAAGTCTTTTCTTTTTAAAATGTGGAACAAGTTTGATATATACTCCTATATAATATTTCTTACATTTCCAAATGTCGCCAAGGATAAATCTACTATTCTACCAGCACTGATCTTTATAGGATGGCTTGACATAGCGATCACTAATATTAAATTACGGATTGACTTTGCTGGTAATTTATACCAGTCGATCATAAAGCATATCGATCCGATTTGGCTGCTCTAAAATGTTATTTGCATAATATGATAATGTGTTCGACAAGTTTTATGATTTGTCCTTCTTCTTATTATAGTTTATAATTATTATAATAATAATTGCTGCTATGTAAGTGTATTTGTAAAAATCGATATTATAATTGATATTATAATTGATATTATAATTGATGAATCACAAAAATGATTATACGAACGTACCTTTTCCATGAGCAATTCACCGATATAACACAATACATACATATTGAAGCAAAATGAAATAAATAGCAAAAAATAAGTAGTTAATCCGATTGTGTCGCTATCTTGCCAATCCTGTAAAATCATAGATATTAAGCAAAATCTCTATACTGATTATACATATGGACACTTTTTAAAATCTTGGGTTTTAGGTTGTCATTGTTATTAATAAGAACTATAAAGAATTGTTCTTTACAAGTTAATATCATATATTTGCGCACCACTATACAGAAGTATTCGGGCAAGCACATCGTGAATATAGAACTGGCAAATTCCAATAAACATACTTCTTGTAAGATTTCCTCCACGAGAGCTGCAAATCTGGAAGAAGCTGCAATTACTTACAAAGTATATATTATGTTTTACAGGTTAACATTATTTATGTTTCACGTAATAATCAAAAAGATTGTGTAGCAACAATTTGATAAGGGCGCGTTTTTTAATAAGAAGTTTTTTTTTTTATAGAAATATTACGTTTGTATCGCTCTGCAATAATTAGAGTTTCAAAGGTAAAAGTTAAGACAAGAGTTAAGTATTTAGTAAAAAAAAATTATAAATTTTCTTTTATTCGTATAGAAATATACTGTCATATGGTATATAGCAGTTATATGTCTATATGATAGAGATATATGTGTTCACAGAAAGTACAAAAGTATATGTTCATAGCTATACATAATCTGTGAAGTATGCAACTGTACTATCTATCGAATCGTTAGAGTTTCACCAAGTACACCTGTTGCATTCATCCGTCGTTGTGATTCATTACTCAACAAATAATAAAAATTACACGTGAGCAAGAAAAAGTATATGAGCAAAAAGAATTACGTCAAGCGTATGATCATGAGGAACATTTAACAGAAAAATTATATAAAAATATTAAGTAATCAATTTAAATTTAAGAAACCGATTAATGAATCAGTAATTAATTATATTAAATTTATTTAATTAAATAAATGAAATTTAATCAATTTTATTTCTTACATCAAATTACTAAATAAACAATACTTTAACTGAAATATTTAACTTTTTTATGTAATATTAAATTCAGTGCAATATTTAATTCTTTTCATGCAAATAAATCAACACGTCTATTTCTCTTAATTATATTTCACTCGGATTTTAATTCACATTATAAAGATTTTAATTCACATTATAAACCAACGTGTTACCTCAACACTCGAACGTGACTCTTTACGATGATCGCAATTCGTTGATTAATGTCCGTCGATTGCTCGTAACTTTTGTCCTGAGGAAGATCTTCCAATCTAGATGTGATTATATCGATCTGACCACACGCATGAGTGGCGAATATCGCCGCCAACCCACACGACCCGGCTGTGACCGTGTACATGGTGTATCCGCACATGCAGTGGGCTAGATACACGATTTCGTAGGTCGGGCTCACCTGAGTCTGAATAAACTGGCTGTAAGTGGGATATACGAGCGGTCTGATGGTTTGGTTACCGATTTTATGCTCGGTGCAAAACGGTAGGACCAAGTGATAAATGAAGCCGGCGATATACATGGAAGATGCGCTGATTATGGAGAGCTTGCGACCCGTGTCGGCGTACTTCAGCATCAAGTCGCGATCGGATTTGAACTTCACCTGTCACAATATTACCATTATATTATGCTATTTACCAGAAGGTGAATGATGATAACTTATCATGAATCACGAGAAGGATGAAGTTATTTAAGAACCAATTCGCGAGAGATTTACTTCAGCGCATCCGATGGATACAGGAGATCATATGCAAAGTCTTTTGCGTTACCTATGAATTTAAGATTAGTGCAGAACAGACCAGATTAAAATCAAAATTAGCAGTCAATATGTACGACCCGTAATTTTATCTGACGTTTATGTGGGAATGAAAGTTATTACTCGGATGAAAAGAAAACTGGTTACACGAAAATCACTCGAACCGGCTTCACGCAGCGCACGTTTCCTTGAGATCGAAGGCACTGACACTCGTCAGCACCTCATGAAGAGCATCGACGTCTGTCGATTTCGTAACTTTTATTTTACGTATAGATAACCAACCTGCCACCAATCGTCCTTCACATGTTCGATACACTGTCGTATCTTTGGACGACGTATCACAAGAACAAGGAATTTCATCATCGCGGTGGTGCAGAAGCCCAAGAGTCCGGAAAGCTTGAGTCTTATATTGAGATCCTTCTGATCATAAATGATATGCAGGGCGCACGGCACTATCGCAAAGCTTAATACAAAATTACATATGACGATAGCGATTTTAGAAATATGTTGTCCAACGCCTCGGAACGAGATCGGCCAGATGCCGATCAAGCCGAGGAACCAGCTGCTAGGTGCAAAAACGTATCGCATATCTTGCTGATGATTGATGTCCGACGACGTTGCGTGCACATCCCGTGAGACTCCCATCCTCGCGATGTCAGGCTTCGTCGACGACTGCACGTCGTGGAGACGTGGCATTGATTGCAAGGTCGCCAGACATGCGCTGATGTTGCAGACATCCTTTGGCCTGACAGTTAGGTTGACAAGTCGAGTTATCACAGAGAAGTAGTTGTACAGTGCTTGTCTTATATCCCAGTGGCTCTAGGCGAAAAGGATATTTCCGCTCTTCTGCACTCAGCGTAGTCAGGTTTGAATAGTTCGAATTGGAAATGAATTTTTGAGAAATGACATAAAGTTTTCCAACATGAAATTTGAGAAAAAGATTTGAGAAACTATTTGTATATTAATTAGTATCAAGATGAAATTATTTACATAAGACGTAGAAAAGAAATTTCTTGCGACAATCTTTCTAAAGTTTACACGCACATGGACGGTTCATCGGCAATGGAGAAGATCGGAAAAAGGATAAATAAATATCTTAGTATCTTTCATTGTCCAAATACAAAATAAAATATCTTCATGAGAATTTGTACGATGGTTTTTTATATTAAATACAGGTGTGTGAGACAACCATTAGGTAAGATATAAAATAATTTCTTTATATATCTGCAATATTATAAAGATTATATTTACATTACCTATGTCCTTAGGAAGCTTATATACGTTGAAGAAATTTTTATCACCTGAAACAATTGTGTAAAAATAAAATATGACAGTCTCACAAATTATAATTTAGTTGCTTTCAAAATACAATTTATATTACCATATTATTATATAATGAAAAGTTTGCTGTGAGAGCAAACTGCTAAATAATCTTTGATTTATACAAATTATACGATACACGTTTGTGCGCAAGGTCGAACAATAAAAAATACAAAAAGTCTCACATTTTCAGATCTGTCAATGATAGGCATATTGCTATTATACAGCGATTAACTGCACATTCAGTTGCTATTGGGTGAAAGCATGCAACATAAATAATTGTAGGTTGGACAGATGATAACGACCACCGCACTGACAGTCAGCGTGCTACTCGACACGCAATGCTATCGGACTTTATAGGGTCGTTGCAACTGTTGCAACCTGTTGCGTTGGAGTTTTCTATTGCATTTCTTGTAAAAGGAAACGTTAAAAAGCAAGCGAATTATATGACTGAATTAACGCAACGTTGAGCATAATTTTTTCATATTAATACATATTAGCAGTATTGAAAATTATTGAATTATTAAAATTCCAACAAGTGACACAAGAATAAATCTGGTAACGGGTCCGAGTTCCTTTCGAAATATATCTTAAACATTCTCTCATTCACTTCAACTATTTTTAGATATTTTTTCTCTTTGTTGGTGTTTTGACGCATATTAAGCATGTCCTGAAAGTCGGGATCGATCGTACTATCATTCGCAAAGTGTAATACCGACCGAAGTACGCCAACGATGTAGATGCGTCCTATATCCGCGAGTAAAAGCGCGGGGAAATAATGATTCCTCGTGATCGCGTGCACGTGCGTTTCACGTCTGTCATGTGTAACAAAGTCAAGGGACTTTGTGTTGCAACTGTGTGCACGCGAAGGGTTCTTCCCTTTTTCCAGTCATCGCACGTACGCGAGGGTTCGATGATATAGAACAGTGCGTAGTTGTCAAAGTCAGTCAAAGTAGTCAAAGTTTTTATGCAAAGTCCTGGCATAGTTGCACGAGTATTACAGGCAGCTCCGTCATTTATCGATGTGCGTAACGCAGCGATCTGCATAGCAGTTGCAATTTGAGGATAATTACGTAGTGCGTAAATATGAGCGTAACTGTAGGACTTTATTGTTTTGCGTAACATTTTATGATACACATACATATAGAGAATTTTAGAGATTTTAAGCTCTGTCGAAATTTAATTAAATCTCTGCTTTAAATAAATTTCCACAGAATTTCGAATAAATAAATTTATAAAGTTCTATTTATTTTTCAAATTTATGTTACCATACATCAAGAATTATTTACCTTACATGGTACAATAGTAAAAGAGTGAATGGTACGCTAGCATATATTTTATACTCACGTTGTAGAAAGTGACCAAGATAATCCCACGAATTTTCTGGCTATGAGTCTAATTATAAGATTTTATATATACGTTACTAATGTTACATAGAGCGTTTTTATCTTACGGAAGATACCAGTCTATCATATGAGACTTTATCCCGATGTGTATATCCTGTTCTATTGAAGAAACTTGAATATCTTGCGAGGATATATTATAACATTTCTACATCGAGCCTTTCGATTCGAAGACTATTTATTTTACTTCTACATGTATAATAAATGTAAGAATCTACGCGGTCATTTGCCGTAGCATGTTTAGATAAGTCATCGACGCCTTCAAAACCTGTAAGTGAGAATTGTATTATATTTTGATCTTATATAAATTTCTGCTTTTGGAAGAAGTTCTAAAAAAATTTATCCCCGTAAGACTTATAATTTAATTTGGTAATTATTTAGAATAGGGGAGCCACCCCCGATTTCAATAATTTACACATATATTATTATTACTATCCTCCCTTAATAACATGCAACAAATTTTAGTTGTCGGTCGTTGCTAATTAAAAAGTTATTAACAAAAAAGTGTAATGAATAATGCCCACGTATTGAAGTACTACGTGTCTTCTGTGGAAATAATTGTATAACACTGTATATATATATATATATATATATATACACTATGTATATATATATATATAACAATATATATTGTTAGGTGCATACGTATTGTTGGAAGTTTAAACTTACGTTCCCAAACGTATACAAAGATAAGTCGATCATTTTACCGGCGGTAAGATTGATGTTGTAATTGGACCTTATATTTATTAAGAGAAGACCAAGAGTGGTCTTTGGAGGTAGACGATACCACTCCGTCATGTAAGTCGCCTTACCAACTTGTCTGTACTATTACAAAATTTAATGTCACACTTCTGGTTGTGTTAAAGTTTAAAAGTTTAGCTTGCTAATAAGAATTTCGTATTACCTGTTCGCTGAGAATCTCACCAATGTAGCAAATTATAAAAATATTTAACGTAAAAGATATGCCTACTATACAATACGTTGGAATACGTTCTTTTTTGTCCTGATTCCATGCCTGAAAATTTCAGATGTAACTCACGACAAAATCGCATCGTCACAGTCTTATCATTTGCGCGTAGCAAGCACTCGTTTATAATGCTGCCGTCTTCTTTCTATATGACCATTTCGGTCATTGATATTAATTAACAGATCGTCATGTAATTCATTAATATTGCTTTGCATTAAATTCCGAAATTGCTCCTAATTCTGTTTAGCATACCATGATTGAACAGTATCCAAGAAGACACAATGTTAGCGAGCCTCCTACTAATTCTACGAGACTTGTCATATATATTACTTCTTCTATATGATACACAAAACTGCAAATATATAATACTTCGTGATTGCTAAAAAAAATAACAGAGTCTCGCGTATCTGAATGCGATGAAATAATTAAGTTCTACATGTATGTTAATCTATATTTTCTTGCAACGTACTTACATTTTTTAAGAGCTACACAAAAATTTATAATATAGTAAAGTATAATAGATGATAAAATTTCTTTGAAATATCACGCTAATGTTAAGTAACAATTTTTAAAAATATATTTAAGATCAAAATGATCTGGATGATGACAAAGAATCGAATAATAGAAAGGAAGAGAGAAAAGATCCTTACTTTACCACTCGTAAATGATGTTCAATAATGAAACCCAACTTTTTCTGCATCATGTTGACATCCGCAACATCGTCGTCGTGCACTATATTGCCCAGCCACATTGTCAGGATCTTAAGTTGTCCACACGCGTGCATTACAAAGATCGCCATTAGACCGCAATTGACGGAGGTGATACCGCTTATGAAAAAAGCCGAGGAGCAATGCACAAACAGCACCACCTCGTATGCCGGACTGAAGCGCACGTCGAGAATTTTGTTGTAGAACGGAAAGGGTAGCTCGCGAATCGAAACATTAACGTCATCCACTTCCACGACATCCTTAATGAGACATCTGCTGATGCCATAGCATTGTATGGCGCTGTGCATGAACACGGCGAGTGACGTCGCTGTGAGACGACCGATTTTGGCATTCCTCACCATCACCTCGTGATCTTCATCGCTTCTCGCAATATTCCAGTCCAGCTCTACGCAATCCACGCAGCTGCGTATGTCGTCGACATGCAGCACCAGGCAAATATATTTGGTTATCGTCATGAGAAAGCATAGAAAGGGACCAATGTGCATCATTACCAAGTCCGTATTGCCACGTTCTTCGACGAAAAGGAATAGACCGGCGCTCACCATCGTGATAGATAACATAGAGAAACACGTAACTATTGAAAATTCCGAGAGAACACGTTCGTAAATGGAAGCTTTACTCGAGTAAGGCCAAAGACATGCCGATTTCAGCAACCAATAGATTAGCCGAATATTGCGCTCTTTATCGGCCAAATATACGTTGACAGTGAAAGGCTTGCGACTGTCCCCGGGACCGCCCATGGTCGCTCATTGAAGATGGATTGATCACTGAACGGTCGGTTCACCGGCAGCTTTTGACATGTAATAATCGGAAAAGCGTTTGCGCGGAAATTATACACTTCACAATATTGAGAGTGGTTTGTTGTAATATCCGCCTATTGCGGCATCAGGTAGAAGTGGCATCTAATCAATACTAGGGCTGAAGTTTCGTGCGCCGAGCATTGCAGTTTCGGACGTGCAACTTCACTCTAAATCATTTATTCAGTCTTGAGCAAGTAAGATATAATAGTTTTCATTTTTGTCATTTCACTATTCACCAATGTTATATCAGCGAAATCACTTTTACCCATCATAATATATATTTGATCATATTATAAGTACATATCATAAGATTAAAAATATATTACGCAAGTAAATTTTATTTTACTTTCATAAGTATTTTTTCATTTTGATAATTTTGATAATTTATCCATTATGTAACTAATTTTTTTTCAATAATTAAAATATTATGTATTATTTAATTATTCAGTTTCTCATTATTTTGTTTATCCAATTCCTGAAGACAAAAGATTATGAATATATTCTTAAGTCATAAAGCATGTTCCAATATAAAATATTCTTCAATATGCTAACGTTTATGTTTATTTTCATCATGTTGCGTAACAAATATTCCATTGATCGATTTTTATACTCACGGGAGTTGTGAATGTGGAAAGTCATTATATTTACATATTAATGATTATAATAGCGAGATGTTAACTAGATTCATAAAAGGTAGTGTGAAACTAGTAGTTAGGTTCACAATTTTCTCAATAGATAATACGTTATATCTGCGGCGTTATATTCTGTTCCGTGCCGTGTCTGTAATTTGGAGCACATTTAAATTGTACGAGCTATTACGTAGAGAAGAGGAAAATTATTTTTCCAGTAAGAAAGTTAAAAAGATTAAATGACATTGAAAAGGATCTATTTTTAAGATTAATATTTGAGAAAATAAAAGGGTTATTGTTGGTAAAATTTTGTTGTTCATTAATGTTCTTGGCAATACACGTTGATTTCATGTGTATTTTCTAAACGTATGTAATGTTTCATAACCGTTTGTGAAAAATGTTTGTTAAACGATACGTATTATTTGGGATAATACTTACAATTTGGTCTACGAAGATCCTTTGTTGAAATCATATGTTTGATATTTTATATCAATATATTCTTTATAATGTTCCCTTTATTTTTATTCTATTCACATTACTAAAGTCCGAAGAAAGCTTAAATATGCCACACTTGTTTTAAGTACCTAAGAAAAATATATTAAAATAATGTGCAGACTATATACTTTTTTATACATAATTTATCTTCTTATTTTTGTCTCTCTTTCGAAGAGCATTGTAACATGGAACGTATAGTAGGAAAGTAAAAATGCTCCCAAACAAATAATTGAGGAGCATAAATCTTTTCCTTTTAATATGCGGAACAAGTTTTATATATATACATATGTTCCCATATATTTCTTACACTTCCAAATGTCGCCAAGGATAAATCTACTATTCTACCAGCACTGATCTTCATAGGATGGCTTGATATAGCGATCACTAATATTAAACTACGGATTGAATTTGCTGGTAGTTTATACCAGTCGATCATAAAGCACATCGATCCGATTTGGCTGCTCTAAAATGTTATTTGCATAATACAATAATGTGTTCAATAAGTTTTATGATCAATCTTTCTTCTTATTATAGCTTGTAATTATTATAACAATAATTGTTGCTGTATAATTGTAATTACGAAAATCGATATTATAATTGATATTAATCGCAAAAATGATCATACGCATGTACCTTTTCCATGAGCAATTCACCTATATAGCACAATATATATATATTGAAGCAAAATGAAACAAACAGCAAAAGATAAGTAGTTAATCCAATTGTGTCGCTATCTTGCCAATCCTGTCAAATCATAGGTATTAAGTAAAATGTCTATACTGATTATACTTGTGGACGCTTTTTAAAATTTTGGATTTACGTTTTCATTGTTTTTAATCAGAACTATAGATAATTCTTTAAAAATTAATAACACATATTTGCGCACCACCATACAGAAGTATTCGAGCAAACATATCGTGAATAAGGAACTGATAAACTCCAAAAAACATATTTCTTGTAAAATTTCCTCCACGAAAGCTGAAAATCTGGAACAAATTTCAATTACTTATAAAGTATATATTATTTCTTACAAGTTAACATTAATTGTGTCTCATATAATAACTTAAAAAGATTGTGCAGCAACAATTTGATAAGGGCGCATTATTTAATATAATATTTAATGTAAGAAGTTTTCTTTTTACAGAAATATTACATTTGTATCGCTTTGCAATAATTAGTTTCAAAGATAAAAGTTAAGACAAGAATTAAGCATTTAGTAAAAAAAATTACAAATTTTCTTATATTCATATAAAAATATACTGTCATACGGTATATAGTCGTGTATGTGTATATGGTTGAGATATGTTTATATATATAGTATATAGTAGACACGAAAGTATATGTTCATAGCTACACGTAATCTGTGAAGTATGCAATTATATTATCTATCGAATCGTTAGAGTTTCATCACGTACACCTGTTGCAGTCATCGTCACTTTAATTAATTACTGAATAGGTAATAAAAATTACACGTGAGCGAGAGAAATTGTAATTACGTCAAGCGTATCGTCATTGGGTCAAAATTTAATAGAAAAATTATATAAAAATATTAATTAATTTAAATTTAATCAACCGATTCATGAATTAATAAATAATTAAATTAATTTTAACTAATTAATTAAATAATTAAAATTACTAAATAGATAGTATTTTACAAATCAAATTACTAAACAGATAATATTTTACAAATTACTAAATGAATAATACTAAATACATTAACTAAAATATTTAATTTTTTCATAAATTAATATTTAATTTAGTGCAATATTTAATACTTTTCATGCGAATAAATTAACACGTCCAACTCTCTTATTCATTTTTCACTCGGATTTTAATTCACATTACAAGAATTTTAATTTACATTATAAATCAACGTCGACGTGTTACCTCAACACACGAACATGACTCTTCACGATGAACGCAATTCGTTGATTAACGTTCGTCGTTTGCTCATAACTTTTGCCTTGTAAAAGATCCTCCAATCTAGATGTGATTACATCGATCTGACCACACACATGAGTGGCGAATATCGCCGCCAACCCACACGACCCAGCTGTGACCGTGTACATGATGTATCCGCACATACAATGGGCTAAATACACGATTTCGTAGATCACCTGAGTCTGAATAAACGGGCTATAAGTGGGATATGTAGGATATGGGAGCGGTTTGATGGTTTGGTTACCGATTTTATGCTCGGTGCAAAACGGTAGGACCAAATGATAAATGAAGCCGGCGATATACATGGAAGATGCGCTGATTATGGAGAGCTTGCGACTCGTGCCGGCATACTTCAGCATCAGTTCGCGGTCGGATTTGAACTTCACCTGTCACAGTATTGCCAATAATACTATTTGCCAGAAGGAGAACGACGGTAACTTATCACGAATCATGAGAAGGATAAAGTTATTTGAGGACGAATTTGCAAGAGATTTACTTCAGTGCATCCGATGGATACGGGAGACTATATGCAAAGTCTTTTATCTATGAAGTTAAGATTAGTGCAGAACAGAACAGATCAAAATCAAAATTAGCAATCGCTATGTACGACTCATAATTTTAATTATTAGACAAATAACTATTAAAATCGCAATTAACTCGACACAACATGAAAGAATTCTGATACATATCAGTATTTGAACAATGGTTAATTAAATATAGAAACAGTTTGGCAAATTATGTAAAATAGATTGACATTTATGTGGAAATGAAAGTTATTACTCAGATGAAAAGAAAACTGGTCACTCGAAAATCACTCTAACCGGTTTCACGTGGCGCGCGTTTCTTTGAGATCGAAGACACTGACACTCCTCGGCATCTCATGAAAAGCAATGACATCTGTTGACTTCGTAACTTTCATTTTACGCATAGATAACACTTACCTGCCACCAATCGTCCTCCACATATTCGATACACTGTCGTATCTTTGGACGACGTATCACGAGAACAAAGAACTTCAACATCGCGGTGGCGCAGAAGGCCAAAAATCCAGAAACTTTGAGTCTTATGTTGAGATCCTTCTGATCGTAAATGATGTGCAGGGCGCAGGGCACTATCGTAAAGCTTGATACAAAATTACAGATGACAATAGCGATTTTAGAAATATGTTGTCCAACGTCCCGGAACGAGATCGGCCAGATGCCGATCAAGCCGAGGAACCAGCTACTGGGTGTGAAAACGTATCGCATATCTTGCTGGTGATTGATGTCCGACGACGTTGCGTGCGTCTTCCGTGAGACTCCCATCCTCGCGATGATAGATTTTGTCTACGACTGCATGTCGTGGAGACGCGACATTGATTGCAAGGTCGCCGGACATGCGCTGACGTCGTAGATATTCTTTCGCCCGACAGTTAGGTTGACAGATCGGGTGGATGTTATTACAGGGAAGTAGTTGTACAGTGCGTGTCTTATATCCCAGTGGCTCTAGATGAAAAGGATCTTTTCGCCCTTCTGCACGAGCTTCGTCAGGTTTGATCAGTTCAAATTAGAAATGGATTTTTGAGAAATGACATAAAGTTTTCTAATGTGAAATCTGAAAAAAAGATTTGAGAAACTATTCGTCTATATCTCTAGTATTAATTAAGATGAATCAAGATGAAATTATTTATGTCAAAACAATTTTTATCATCTGAAACGATCGTGTAAAAATGAAATATGGCATTCTCTCAAATTACAATTTAGTTGTTTTCAAAATGTAATTTATCGCCATTATACATTAAAAAGTTTGCTGTGAGAACATTGCTAAATAATTTTTAATTTATACAAGTTATAAGATACACATTTGCGAGCAAGATGGAACAATAAAAGATACAGAGTATCTTACATTTTCAGATTTATCAATGATAGAGATATTGCTATTATACAGCGATTAATTGCACATTTAGTTGCTACCGAGTGAAAGTATGCAACATAAATAATTGTAGGTCAGATGGATATTAATGACCACCATACTGACAATTAGCGTGTTACTCGACATGCAGTGCTATCGCACTTTATAGGGTCCCTGCGATTATATGTTATGTTGGTGTTTTCTATTATATTTCTTGTAATAGGGAACGTTAAGAAGCAAGCGAATTATATGAGTGAATTAATGCAACATTGAACAAAATTTTTTAATATTGACACACATCAGTAGTATTGAAAATTATTGAATTATTAAAATTCCAACAAGTTGCACAAGAATAAATCTAGTAACGGGTCTGAGTTCCTTTCGAAATATACTTTAAACATTCTCTCATTCATTTCGATTGTTTCTAGATATTTGTTCTGCTTGTTGGTGTTTTGACGCATATTAAGCATGTTGTCCTTAAAGTCGTGATCGTGCTATCATTCGCAGAGTGTGATGTCGACTGAAGTACGCCGACGATGCAAGTGCGTCCTATATCCGCGAGGCAGTACAAGAGCGGGGAAATGATGATTCCCCGTGATCGCGTGCACGTGCGTTTCGCGTCTGTTATGTGTAGCAAAGTCAAGGGACTTTGTGTTGCAACTGTGCACGCGAAGGGTTCTTCCCTGTTTCCAGTCATCGCACGTACGCGAGGGTTCGATGATATAGAACAGTGCATAGGGACATATTTCCAAAAGCATTTTTGTTATGTCTGATTTATATATTATATAACTGATCTTTTTTTAAGTAAAATATTATGTATTATTTAATTATTCAATTTCTTACTGTTTTGTTTATCCAATTTCTGATGATAAAAGATTATGAATATATTTTTATGCCATAGAATATGTTCTAATATAAAATATTCTCCATATAAAATATGCTCCAATATAAAATATACTAATGTTTACGTTTATTTTCGTCATATTGCGTAATAAATATTTCATCGATCGATTTTTATACTCATGGAACAAAAACTTTCTACAGGAGAGTCCATGAATTTTCCGGCTCTGTATTTGACTATGATATTATACATATGTATCATCATTAAAGCAAGCGCTTATTTAACCGTAAAACATTCATTTCAATCTATATGTACAAATTAAAAAAAAACTCGGGTAATGTTTAGCAAAAAATATATTGTAACATTTTTACATTTTGCCTTTCAATTTGAAGGCTGTTTATTTTACTTCTACATGCAAAATAAATATGATAATCTATGCAGTCACTTGTCGTAGCATATTCAAGTAAGTCATCGACGCTTTTAAGACCTGTAAGCAAGACTTGCATTATATAATCGCTTTTATATAAATTTGTATTTCTGCAAAATTTCTACAAAATTATTTATTCCCATGGCATGCGCCATGACAAATATATTTTTTAACTATTCTTGTGTTATTAATCCATACATGAGATTCGGAAAAGTTGTTCAACTACGAATATTAGGAACTCTTATACACGCTCAATGAATTTAGTTTGCTATAATTGCAAGTATATTGCACACATTATATATTTAGTTTGACGCACATTCTATTGAATAATTCCTTGCTGAACAATTAGTAGCTTATGTCATCGCAAATTTTAGCGTTGAAGAGGTTAATAAAGATTTCTTTTCAAAATATTTTTAACATTGTTCTTAAATTTTAATAATAATTTGTAGTGCCAGATGTATGCATATGTATATTGTTATATGGTTAATAGACAAGAAACTTACATTCCCAAATGTGTACAAAGACAAATCGACCATTTTGCCGGCTGTGAGGTTGATCTTAAAATTAGACCTCAAATTTATCAGAAGAAGACCGATAGCAGTTTTCGGAGGTAGACGATACCACTCCAACATATAAGTCGCTATACCAACACGTCTGTACTATTACAGGATTTAATGTCATACTCCTGCTTGCGTCGAAGTTTAAACGATGTTTATCATTATTACGCATCAATCGATTGTAATAATGCTACATGTTCTTTTTAAGTTGTGTTATTTTGATTAAATTATGCGGCTCGTTGATAAAAATTTCGCATTACCTGTTCGCTGAGAATTTCGGCAATGTAGCAAATTATAAAAATATTGAACGAAAAAGAACAGCCTGCTATACAGTACGTTGCGATGCTTTCTCTTTTGTTTTGATTCCATGCCTGAAAATTTCAGATGTAACATACGACAGAATCGCATAGTCGCAATTTTCTCGTACCATGATAGAACAATATCCGAGGAGACACAATGTCAGCGAACCTCCTACCACTTCCACGAAACATGTCAGATATATTACTTCCTCTATGTGGGACACAAAACTGTAAGTACACACTACTTTTGAACACAATAAGGTAACATAATAAAAATGATGAAATTTATTTAAAGTATTGAGCTGATATTAAGTAACAGACATTATACCAAAGTTCACTCAATTTAAAAAGATACAGGTGATCAGAGTGACTCGAATATTTAGGACAGTTGGAAGAAATGAATTTTATTTCCTTACTTTATCACCTTTAAATGATGTTCAACGATGAAACCCATTTTTCGCTGCACCGTGCTGATGTTTATAGCATCGTTATCTTGTACGATATCATTTAACCATATTATTAGAATCTTCAGCTGTCCACACGCGTGCATCACGAAGATCACCATCAAACCGCAGGTGACACTGGTGACACCGCTCATGACAAATGCTGATACGACGTGGAGAACCAACACTAATTCATACGCCGGGCTGAAGCGTACGTCTAGAATCTCGTTGTAGAACGGATAGGGCAGCTCGCGGATTGTGACACTGACATTGTCCACTTCCACGACATTCTTCATTAAGCACCTGGTCACACTATAGAATTGCACGGCGCAGTGCATGAACGCGGCGATCGAAGTGGCCATGAGGCCGCCGATCTTGGCGTTTCTCAGCATCACCTCGTAGTCTTCGTTGCTCCTCACAGTGTTCCAGTCCACCTCAATGTATTTCACACAGCTGCGTATGTCGTCGACGTGCAGCACCAGGCAGATATACTTCATGATCGTCATGACATAGCATAGAAATGGTCCGATATGCGTCATTAACAAGTCCACATCTGCACGTTCCTTTACAAAGAGAACTCGACCACAGCTCACCATTGTGATAATTAATAAGAAAAAACACGTAACTAATAAACATTCTGAGAAGACTCGGTCGACAATTGAAGCGTTGCTCGAACGGGGCCAGAGACATATCGATTTCAGCAACCAACGGATTACCCGAATATTGCGCTCTTTATCGGCCGGATATATGTTGAAGGGCTCGCGATTATGCACGGGATTGCCCATGATCGCTCATTGAAGATGGGCTGATCACTGAACGGTCGCTTCACTGGCAGCCTTTGATGTGTAACGAAAAGCGCTTGCGCGAAGATTGTACGCTTTACAATGTTGGAAGTGAATTGTGAATTGCTCTATGTGTGTATTGTTACCATAATGCTAGTTCGCTTGTTATGGCAACAGGTACAAGTAGCGTATAATCAATACTTGGGGTCTGAAGTTTCGTACGTTACAGTTTCTCGGGCATGCAAATTTACAGAGATCGCGTCTACTGTGTGATTCGTATGATGATCGCATGGTATGAGACAGCATGGTAAAGTAGTTATCATTTTCGTCAACGAAATATCAACAAATTCATCCTTATCAACATGATGTTCAATCATGTTATCCTGCATTATATTATTTATTTAAAAGGCTTTAGAGATATAAATTTGGTGTTACTTTTCCAAAATTACAGTTGTTTTTATATTTATGTACTTTGAAAATGATGTGTACGGTGGTAGCGATTTGACATTTACTTGACTTCTCTTCTTCTTTTTACCTTTAATTGCGCCTGGATTTCGAGCAAAATTACATCGTTCAAAAATTTATTAGTCACTAAAGATTTTTTTACTAGAAATAAAACTGTAACTTTTCGCGTCATTTTCTGATAGACTTGATATTCTTGCTTTAAACGCCTCCATGATTCACTCAGCACACAGTCAGGAGAAACGAAACGGGGCAATGTTTATATCGATTGCTTCCAAAAGAAAAGGGTGAAACTTTGTCCTAATCAATACACGAATAAAGCTGGCCGTTGCACCGAAATAATCGACTGTCTCATAGGGGAGGGTGCTTGCGATAGATATAAGCGACTTATACCGTAATTGCTTTCAAATTTCCACACATAAATGCATTCTCTCTTCTTCTCATTAATAAGGTTTAAATATTCTATTTAGGTAATGTTTGAGTTGTTTTATACAAAATGTGTTTAAAAAATGTATTTTTAATGTATCTTTGATCTAACGCTCCAATTACAAATTGTAAGCGTTGTTTTTTGTCGGCTCGACATTGCTTGGTATATGCTTGAGACCCGACGTGGTTACTTCGTGAAGGTGTACGATGTGCTACCATGACAGTCAGTGCATTTTCAGCTGAAACGTCCAGCTGAATACAAAGCAGCGTCTACGCTAATATTTCGAAAAGTTTGGTGAACAATATGTTGATGTAATTAGTATCGGGGCGAAAAGAGAAGGGATACAAAGAACCATCGACTCAATTGCAAACTATAGTTGTTACGTTTTTGAATTAGCATTACTCAGTGCGTGTTTGAAGTTTGACATGATCGCTTCATAGAGGTGCACGAAACACTGTCACTACAATCAATACACCTGCTAGAATCGGATGCTCAGTGCAGCACTTGCGCCAACATTCGGAGAAGTTTTGCGAATAGTAACGTTTAATAATTATCTAGAGAGGGGTAGAGCGTTTAAATCGAATCAATATTCGTTTGTCGAAAGGAGTTCACATTGCAGATGTTTTTAGAAGATATCGCGTGTTATGAGAGACTATAAAAATATAGGTACATCGAAGTGATATAATATTTTTATAACAAATAATTTTTTTGGTACTTTTTTTTCTTTAAATTATTTTTTGATGTTCCATCTGTAATGTGTAAAACTAGACTAAAGAGAAACCAATTTCAAAAGATTATTCCAAATACTTATCGTATTTTTTGAAAGAATACATATAGGGTGTTTGATGCAAAACATATTAACCCGCGCGTGAAATATAGCAGGAAGACTCATGTCACTTTGTAAACAATCACTCAGTAAGTGCTCTATCTTCTTAGTTGACTAAAAGCTGTAGGACTAAAAGCAGGCGCACTGTCAAAGTTATGTAAGGTAGAAATGTGAAAGTGAATAAGAATTTCTCTCAATTATTGTGCTCTGTCATTTAGTTTTTCGAAAAATCAGCGTGAATATAATTTAAGTTTCGTGAAGAATTGAGCTATAAAAGATACTAATATGTACATTATAATCGTAATTCAGTATATTAAATATTAATTTCTAATGACTAATTTCGTCTGATGAATTTTTTCGGTATGTTCTATTTTTACAAAATATATGTTGTTTATTTCCTATTTTATTATATTTTATATAGTCATTGTTCGTAAAATGTTTAAATATTTAGTTAACAAAAGATCACCTCATCCTGAGAGGAATATGTGTATGACAAACTTTTTTTTAAGAATAAGTATCAATTTATTCGAATTTCTTGTACGTATCCAGCCGTTCATCTTGCATCGTTTGTGATTTCACGAAGTAAGACACATAAAGCAATGTAACAACATTTTTAATAATGCATTGTTTATTTCAGTAGTAATTTATATGTTTTTATTTAAATATTATGTATGTGTAAATATTAAATGTATTTGAAGAGTTACAACGACAACTAAAAAATCTGCTAATACTTGTAAAATTTGTAATTTGTTATTATTTAAATTATCACATGGTTCCAAGCACGTTTAAATATATTATTGATGTCTTTTTACCTAAAATGTCGTGCGATTGTAGATAAATATAAAAAAATAAAATATAAAATATATTTAAAATATATAAAAATAAAACGTAAATATAAAAAATAAAATATCATTTAGTCATATAGATGTCATATAGTCATATAGAGTTTTGCTTATCTGTTTACATTATTAAACCATTTATTTTATAACATAAGAAAGTTTTAACAATTAAATATTATATCTCGAAATTTTACGAATGTGTTTTACTGATGAAAGCATTTAATTACGTATTCAATTACATATTTACCTTTTTATTTTTTAGCGTACCATAATAGTGTAATAATGCTGATGTTTAACGCTGACACAAAAATCGGTGTCTTCTGTATTTACGTAATAACGCTCCTGATTTTACAGAACAAACTTGTCACTACAACCATCGGAAGCGCAGTAATTTGTTCTTTCCATCGGTTTTTGTTTCCAGTCGCTACGTCGTCTACAAATGTAGACGTTTGCGCTCTGCGCTCTCAATTGACCCAGCGCTGCCGTGGCCGTACATTCGGTCATATGCGGGGTGATGCGACGCACACGTGTGGATATAAAATAATAGCCACATTCCACAGACATATTTTCAGGAAACTATACTTTGCGATACACGTGACGGCACGCAGCGAGAGCGGCCTGTCTTTTGCCGCGGTCAACTAAGACGACACGTATTATCGATACTTATAGTACCCGCAACTTGTTGCTTTCAGTTTCAATGCAATTCACGGTATAAGAAGTATTATAATAGAGGCAGAAATAGCTGAACAAGTGGCTGTCAGTTATATACCGTGTTGTGTGGAAACATGATGAATTGTTTATTGGCGTATGGAAAGACACAGTCTTTCATGCCAGAAGATAAGTATCCTTAACTGCGTTATTAAAGAGTTATTAATAGAAAATTTATTTAGAAAGTTCATATTAAAATATTATCATGAAAATTTGTACTACGGTTTTCTATATTTAACACACAGGTGCGAGACAACTATTAGATAAAATACAAAATAATTTCTTTATGTATTTGCAATATTATTCTTATTATGTTTACATTACTAATGTCTTTAGGAAGCTCAGATACGCCAAAGAAGATTTCATTACCTGAAACGATCGTGCAAAAATAAAATATGACATTTTCTCAAATTACAATTTAGTTGCTTTCAAAATACAATCTATCGTCATATTATTATACGATAAAAGGTTTGCTGTGAGGTTGCATTGCTAAATAATTTTCAAATTGTACAGTGTATGCGATACACGTTTGTGCGCAAAATAGAATCACAAAAAATACGGAGTCTCACATTTCCAAAAGATGTCAATGATAAATCCACCATTCTACCAGCACTGATCTTTATGGGATGGCTGGACATAGCAATTATCAATATAAGATCGCGAGCTGATCGTGGCGGCAGTTCGTACCAATTGATCAAATAACATATTAGCCCAATTTGGCTGCTCTGTAACATCAATCGCGAGTGTTTACTACAAACTATCCAAATGAAACGCTACACCAGATACGTTATACCTTTTCCACGAGGAGCTCGCCGATGTAGCATAATATGTATATGTTAAAGCAGAATGAAACGAACAACATAAAATATGTTAGGAGACCAATCCTATCATCCTCTTGCCAATCCTGACATAACATAAAAATACGATTTTCTTTTATAACATTCCAAGAATCACATCTTTTTATTAATTTTTAGCGCACCAGTATGCAGTAATACTCGAGTAAACAAATCGTGCATAACGAGCTAGTAAACTCAACCAAACAAACTTCTTGTAGAACTTCCTCCACAACTGCTGCGAACCTACAATAAATTATTCTAGTTTGTACAATAAATTCTTTCCTCAAACATTGCTGTTATACAGTGATTAACTGTATATTTAATTGCTGCTGGGTGAAAGAATGCAACCTAAATAATTGCAGGTCGGAAGAACAGTAATGACTACTGTACTGACAGCATGTTACTTGACACGCAATGCTGCCGCACTTTATAGGATCGTTGCGACTACCTGTTGCGTTGGCATTCTCTTTTATGTTTTTTTATAAAAAGGAATGTTAAAAAGCAAGCGAATTATATATTTGAATTAATGCAACACTGGGCATAATTCTTTCATTTTAAAATGAAATATATTGGCAGTATTGAAAATTAGAAGTATTAAGTTCCAACAAGTAGCACAAGAATGCAAAGCCCAGTGTTTAAATTAATTTTAATTATAAACGTTTAATATAGACTGTTATGAACGATTTCTTAAATACTACTTTGTTTGCAAAAATATTACCTTATTATTTGAACATTGCCTTTTACAATGGCGGCGATTCGTTGCTGAACGTTTGGCACTTGCTCGAAATTTTTGCCATTCAAGAGGTCCTCCAGTCGGGATATAATCATTTGAATCTGGCCACACGCGTGAGTAGAAAATATTGCTGCCAATCCGCACGTCCCGACCGTGATCGAGTATATTGTGTATCCGCACACACAGTGGGCCACATACACAATTTCGTATGTCGGGCTTATCTGGCTCTGTCTAAATTCACTGTAAGTCGGATATACGAGCGGTCTGATAGTTTGGTTGCCAATTTTGTGCTCGGTGCAAAACGGCAGGATCAGGTGATAAATGAAGCCGGCGGAATACATGGCAGTTACGCAGATTAAAGATAACTTACGACCGATGCTGGCGTACTTCAGCATGCATTCGCGGTCGGATTTGAACTTCACCTGTCACAGTATTACCACAGTAATGCTATTTACGAGAAGGTGAATACCTGCTGTTTACCATAGATTACGGAAGTGGTTATTCGAGAATAAGCTCGCGAGAAAATTGCGTCAAATCATCATATCATTCGAGACGGAAAAATATACGTGAGGACATTCGCGATCTATATATAAGAGTACCTTTAACGAACAAACTTAATCGAATAATATTGGCGGCGGTTGTAGAAATTTCATATGTTCTTACATTTATAACAGGAATGAAATAATCTTGAACGTCACAATATTAGCATAAGGCATCACCACTGCATCTGAATTCAACGCTCACTTCCGATGGCTCCCGATACTAAATAAATATTGAATAATTGAAAAAATACGATAATATTACATTTATGTGAAACAGTCTGTCACCTTCGTATAGGCAGATAGAATTTTTACAGGGGCGAGAATAGACGTTACTTTAAAATTACTCCCACGTTTGCTCATATCTCTTGTTTCTTTACACAGATATACTTCAGTATTTCGCAAAAATGAAGAAAAACACCAGCTTGTCAGCCTGTACAATGTATTTCGTGTGTGCACCGTTAACACCAACCTGCCACCAATCTTTTTTCACTTGTTCGATGCAGCTCTGTATCTTGGATCGACGTATCACGAGAATGAAATACTTCGTCAACGCGGTAAGGCAAAATCCCAACAAGCCGCAGAGCTTCAGTCTCAAGTTGAGATCCTTTTGATCGTAGATGATGTGCAGAATGCAAGGCACCATCGCGAATACTAATGCGAAATTGTACACGACGATAGCAATTGTGGATACGTGTTTCCGAATTCCCTGAATCGTGATCGGCCAGATGCCCATCGAGCCGAGAATCCAGCTGCTGGGCTTGAAGACGTATTGCATATCTTGCTGATAATTGACATTCGGTGATGTCACGTATCCTTCACGCGAGTTCTTCATGTTCGCGAGAACAGATTTCGCCGAAGACTGCGCGAAGCGGAAGCATAACATTGATTGCAGCAGTGTCATCAGGCACGCGCTTGCGCTAGCTTTATAGACTTTTTCCCTACCAGATGGTTTGATAGGTAAGATGTACTCTATTGATGAGAAGTAATTATGTGGATAGTATTTTATGTTCCGATGACGGTCAGATCTTTCGTAGATTTGCTCATTCAAGTAGGATCAGATCGGATTGAAAATAAATTTGAGATAATAGCTAATTCAGTCCGATATGATAAAAAAGAAAAGAGGTGACCATGTGTAGTTGGTTTTATATAATTCGTATGTAATGATTTATTGAAAACGTATACATTTTGTCTCGAGAAATGTTCGCTTAACGTAAATTGTTTTGGCCGATACGTCGAATGTTAGTTTCTTTTTTTCGTTAGAATCATGGGAGGATTAATTCGAGCTTTTCGTGTGCATTAAACGACGGTTCGCAGTAAGTTTAAATACGCGACCGAAGTTTTTAAGACCTATGAAATATAATGTAACAAATTGTATGTACAAAGTATTGTATGATATTTTTTGAATATGTTTCTTTTTGAAATAGTTTCTTTTTGAAATAGTTTAGAAATTTTTGAAATAGAATAATGCGGAATTACACTTACGTTGCCAAAACTAGTAAACGAGAGGCTGATTAATTTCCCGGCAGTAATTTTGGTCGGATGGTGAGACATGCTGATCATCAACGTGAGATCGACTGCAACTTTTCCCGGTAATTGATACCACTCAATTTCATACGAAGTGTACCCCACTCTGTTGCACTAAACATTTAATTTCACATATTTTTAAGGTAAATATTTCCTTTTAGATAAATATCTCAAATTTTTACTTTGACTTTGACATCTATTGTCAAAGTCCCGCTCCTAAATAATCTCTACTATAAAAAATTAAGAAAACTTATTTAAGCAAAAGTTATAAGCAAAATAATAACACATACACCATATAAAGAAATCAATATTTATTTATTTATTACCTTAACTTAATCTAATCTGCATAAAATTACAAAAAGATTAATAAACAATTTTTAATTCAGAGTCAAGGATTACGTCCTCTTAAATATTGACTTTAATTGATTTTCAAATTTCTTTTATTATTAGTAACTTTTTTAATAAACAATAAGCGACAGTTGAAACTTCTTGAAGGTTACTCAAGATCATGATTAACAACATTTGCAAAAGATTGAAATCAATAAGATTTATTTTCTTCTTGTGAATAATTAATTTCCTTTGTTTATAACTTTTACTTAAAGAATTACTACCAGCTATTTCATAGTGGAGGTTACTTAAGAGCGTGACTTTGATTATACATATTAAGGTTGTTTTTTGAAGAATTTCTCTAAAAGGAATCATATACCTTTTTAATTATATGTATATATCGTATAATGTACACAGATTCGCAATTAATACAATTTAAGTATTATAAACGAAAAGTTTAATTTTGTTTTATTATATAAAATATTCAAATATAAGCACCTGGTCTGTCAGTAGTTCACCAATGTAACAAAACATGAAAATATTAAAAACGAATGACGTCAACAGGAAAATATATGTCATAACTGCAAAGCCATCATTATTATGCCATTCCTGTAAATATGACATCGATTTGATTATTGGAAAAATTTCATTAGATTAAAGACATAACATTATATTTATATTTTTATTTAACATGACACATAAAATATTTTTCCTGAAATTAAAATATACAATATAGAGAGAATTAAATATCATATTTAATGCCAAAAATAAAAAAGGCATATATATAACGCAAATATTTGTAAAAAATATCTTTGAATATTTAAAAATGCTTTATATAACAATTTTTATAATTTTTTACGCATTACCGTGAGACAATAATATTCCAGTAAACATATTATCAACGTTGATTCCACTATCTCTACCATACACAGTTCATTTAACACATCCTCGATACTTGCTGAAAATCTGTAACATCTTTTAGTCCAGATTCTACTACATTTAAATTACAAAGAGTTACAATTTTTCACCGACAGTCTTGATTATAATAATTTTTTCATTGATTTTCGCGAAATATACAAACCGTACTGCTGGAAATTAAATATTTCATATTCTTTATTTCATAAAATTTTTTATTTTCACAAAATTGAAAATATCTTTGTAATTATATTTCAATTTTTTAAGTATATATTTATACTTGTACTTAAATTGATTAATATTTTTTTAAATCGTTTTAATTGCTCAGATGGTTAGACATTTCTTTCGAAACCATGGATATTTGCGATCAGTTGTAACAAATTAATACGATTGCAACGATATCACTCACCTCAACGCTTGCACGTGGTGATTTACAATAATCGCCATGCGATGCTTGGAATTCGTACGGTTACTTTGTACATTCTTCACGAAACCTTTCACCTTCGCCATCACGATCCCAATCTGGCCACAGGCGTGAGCCACGAACGTAGCAGCCAAGCAACACACCGACGTGGTAATGTTGAACATTATGACGCTGGATAATAATTGTGCGCAAAAGACGAACACGTAAGCCGGAACGAATCGCAGGTCGAAGATAATGTCAAAGCCGGGATACGTAACCGGGCCGACGGTAGTATTCAGCTCGTTATCCGGTCTTGGTGACAGGAACGGTATCACAGTATTGTAACACAAGCCACCGCAATAGATAAACGCTATGCAAAACTTGGACAACACATGCCCTTTCGCCGAGTCCTTTATCATGATCATTCGATAATCCTCTTGCTGGACTGCGCGCCAATCGATGCTCAGTACGTGAATGCACCGTCGAATGCTTCTATGACGAATTACCAGTAACATGTATTTCAGCACCGAAGCGACAACATAGCCCAGCGGACCCAGCATCTTTATCTTGTCGCTAGTCAACGTCTGGTCCGAGAGAGTGTAGATGGTCATGGGTATCAGAAGAAAGCCGAGCGCGGACCAGCATACCGAGAACGAGATCGTCGCCAGGATCTTCTCGATTGTTGAAGTATCCGGAAATATCAGTGGCCAGATCCCAAGGACTCGCAGTATCCGTCGGCTCCACATCAGCGCGTCGACGATGTCCTTCTCGTAATTCACATTCGACCACGGAATGGCAATGATTTTAGTCATGCTACTATTTCGAAGGTGCGACAGCGACTGTTGCAAATTGTCGGCTGCGCTGACGGTAAAAAGTCGCGCATGACCGCTGCATATGCTGTCAAGGGGAAGGAAAACGATGGCATACGTATGGTGGAAAAATCAATTTTGTCGTAAGGGAGGAATTGCTGCAGTTACATGCTGTCACCCACATGAAGCGTTCTGTCAGCGATATGTAAAATCAATAGTGCCGCTTCGTATTTTCCTGTATTTTTTATACGATTGTACAATCTTCTTTCAGAAACAAATTAATAAAAAGTGGTAGAAAACATAGAAGAGTGACACTATACAATATTTTAATTTTGCATCTATTAAATTTAATATATCAAAAAAAAGATGAACGAGGGCTTTATACTTTCGAAATATATAATATATTCCACTATAGATTTCATAGCTACAACACGTGAATAATATATAACATTATATAACTGTAATGTTGATGTTATCTAAAAATCATTTGATTACTCGCGAAGCTAAAGACGCGACTCTGTATATAATATGGCGTTCATTTGATATTCGTGCACATAATAATTTATTGAATGCATATATTATATATTTTTATCTCGGGAGACATTTATGCTGTATAAATCTTCTTGGCAGAGAGGATACGTTGAATATTAATTTATCTGTTGTTATCATGTATGGATTAAGTCGAGTTACCTTTTGTATGCATTAAACGACGGTTCGCAGCAAGTTTAAATACGCGACCGAAGTTTTCAGAACCTATGAATCATAATGTAACGAAACATGCATAAGATGTTTTGAACGTGTTTGAAGTCTTTGAAGTAACATTGTATTATACTTACGGCACCAAAACTAGTGAACGAGAGGCTGATTAATTTCCCGGCAGTAATCTTTATCGGATGGTGAGACATGCTGATCATCAACGTGAAATCGAGTGCAATTTTCCCCGGTAAAAGATACCAATCGATCTTGTAAAAAGTGTATCCCACCTTACTGTACTGAATGTTGAAATTTACATAATTTTCATTCATTCATTGAGTTTTTTTTAATATTTAGATATGAGCACCTGGTCCGTTAATAGTTCACTGATGTAACAAAATATGAATATGTTAAAGACGAATGACGTCAACAGAAAAGAATATGCCAGGATTGCAATGCTATCGCTGTTTTGCCATTCCTGCGAGTAAGTCCAAAAATATAACATCGATTATTTATTGGATTTGTAGCTATTTCATTAGACTAAATGTGAATATTTATTATATATATTTGACGAAAATATGAAGTAATTAATATGAAAATATAAAAAATATTTCGTCTATATTATAATATATACATATAAAGAAAATCAGTTATATGTTATCCGTGTTGAAAGTGTAAAATGCTTCAATGTATAAAAATATATTTAATGTAATTACATGAAGAACAGTAAATATTTTTCTTTCTTACGTATTACCATAAGGAAGTAATATTCCAGCAAGCATATTATCAATGTTGATCCCACAACTTCTACCAGACATATCTCACTTAAGATATTCTCGATGCTGGCTGAAAATCTATAAGGTTTTTTTAGTCTACGTTTTATCTTATTTAAATTATACAAAGCTAAAATTTTTTAGCTACAGGAATTGTAATAATGACATCTCCTTTCGCTTCTGTCAAGTATCACATGTAATTGCAGGAAATGAAATTCGTCGTTCGTTCCTTATTTCTTTACGTTCTTTACATTCAGAAAATTAAAAAAAAAATCTACTAGTTTCTATTTTCTGATAGATTCACTTCATTAATCTGTTGACCTCTAATTTCTTCCAATCGCTCAGATGATCAGACTCTCCTTTAGAAAACACAGATATCTACATCCAAGTGCAATAGGATGCGATTGCAAACTTACCTTAACGCCTTCACATGGTGTTTCACAATAACCGCCATACAATGCTCAGAATTTATACGATTACTCTGTACATCTTTCATGAAACTTTCCACTCGCGCCATCACGATTTCGATTTGGCCACATGCATGTGCCACGAACATGGCAGCTAAGCAATACACCGCCGTGGTGATGTTGAACATCACGACAGCGGAGAAGCATTGCATGCAAAAGACAAACACGTAACCCGGTACGAAGCGCAAGTCGAAAATGATATCAAAACCAAGATACGGCACCGGGCCGACGGTAGCATTCTTCTCACCATCTGGTTTTTGTGACAAGAACGGCATAACTGTGACATAAGAGAGGCCCCCGCAATACATAAACGCTATACAGAACTTGGATAGCATATGGCTCTTCATCGAGTCTTTCATCATAATCGTTCGGTAATTCTCTCGCTGGACCGCGCGCCAATCGAAACTCAGGCCGCGGATGCACTGTCGAATGCTTTTATGACGAACTACTAAGAACAGATACTTCAACATCGAGATGAGCACATGGCCCAGCGGACCCAGCATCTTCACCTTGTCGTTCGTCACCGTGTGATCTGAGAGAGTGAAGATGGCTATGGGTATCAAGAGGAAGCCGAGCGCGGACCAGGACAGCGCGAACGAGGTCGTCGCTAGGATCTTCTCGACCCTCGAGGTGACTGGAAATACCAACGGCCAGATCCCGAGTATTCGCAGTATCCATTTGCTCCACACCAACGCGTCGACGATGTCCTTTTCGCAGTTTACATTAGACCAAGGGATGGTAGTAATTTTGGCCATGTTATCGTCTCGATGGCGCGACAGCGACTGCCGCACGTTGACGAGTGTGATAGCAGTGAAAAAGAATTGCGCATGACCACGACAAATGGTTTTAGACGGGAAGGGAAAACGAAGACATACACACGGTGGAAAAATCGATTTTGCCGTAGGAAAAAAATTGCTACAGTTGCGTGCGATCACGCACACGGATTGTCCCCCGGGGGCATATAAAACCGATCGTGCGGTATCATGTTTTTTTATACGTGTCATATAATTAATACAATTGTCTTTTGGAAACAAATAACGTGTGCGAAATAGCAAGAGGTAGGAAAGTGCGCACGTGTGCACAATTTATCAATGTTTTTAGATATTTAGTTTTTTAGACATTTATTCCTGCTTTTATAAGCCGAGAGTGGGAAGAACATTTGAGTAGATAATACTTTTTTATTCTTATCTTTTAATTCTGAATTTTATTATTAATTTTTGATAGGTATACGTACCATTTGTGCATTAAATAATTTATTCAGCACATGCACTATTATAGTATCAATAAACTCTTACTTTTATCATAAATAATTTTCTCATCGTATAATAATCTGAGTTATTACGCATTCTTTCATTGATACTTTTGCATCTATCAAACGGCAGTTCGAAGCAAGTTCAAATACGCGACCGATGTTTTTAGAACCTATAAAACGCGACGTGAAAAATATTATTGCATTAATAATTGAACGTGTCGGCTGAATATTTAAGTTGACTGCACTTAATGATTTGCTCTACGAAATGTGTTATGCTTTTGTCCGGAATATATTGGGTGAGTGCAAAAGTTCGTGCGGAGTTTCAATAGATGGAGTTATAAGCGTCGTAAAGTGTTGTCATTAATACTTCCATCTACATATTATATAACGTTGGAAAGGTGACGTCTTCAGCTGTTATTAAAAAAAAAATCATTTGTTTTCATACAAACTGCTTCGAGAAATATCACTTTAAAAATGAGTATCGATAAGGTGCATTTACGGCATGTTATGCTTTACGAGTTTCGGAAGGGAATAAACGTTGCCGCAGCCGTAAAAAACATTCAGGATGTTTATCAGGATGAAGCACCAGCTAAACGAACTGTGGAAAAATGGTTTGCTAAATTTCGGCGCGGAGAATTTAACCTTGAAGACGAGCCACGCTCTGGTCGACCTTCTGACATTGATGACGATGTTTTGCGTACTTTAGTGCTCAATAATCCGCGAATTTCAACAGAAGAAGTTGCTACAGCACTAAACGTTGACCGATCAACCGCTTTTCGGCGTTTAAAAAAGATGGGATTCGATTTGAAGCTCGATATATGGGTGCCCCATTTGCTGACCGAGAAGAACAAAATCAAGCGAATTTCTGCAGCCGTTTCTTTACTCGGGCGGCTCAATAACGAGTCGTTTTTGGATCGACTAGTGACGGGCGATGAGAAATGGGTCCTCTACAACAATGTTCAGCGCAAACGGACATGGAAACAATCAGGTGAGCATGGTGACGCAATGCCAAAGGCCAGTTTGCACCCGATGAAGGTGATGCTCTCTGTTTGGTGGGATTGCAAGGCATAATCTATTTCGAGCTTCTCCCCGCTGGCGAAACGATTGATTCGGACAAGTACTGTCGCCAATTAACCAATCTGAATCGAGAAATAAAAGAGAAACGTCCGATTTTGTCAAATCGCAAGGGAGTCGTCTTTCATCACGACAACGCCAGACCACACGTTTCGAAAAAGACGCTGCGCAAACTGAAGAGCCTGAAATGGGATGTCTTAACGCATCCACCGTATTCTCCTGATATCGCACCATCTGACTATCACTTGTTCCGGTCATTGCAAAATTATTTAAATGGAAAAAACTTTGACTCTTTGAAGGCCTTAAAAAACGGCGTCTCTTCGTTCTTCGAATCTAAACCGCGCAGTTTTTATGATCGAGGCATCCGTATGCTGCCAGAACGTTGGGAAAAGATTATAGAAAACGATGGAAAATATATCATTGATTGAATAAAGATTTTTGTTTGCCTAATCACTGTGTGACTTTTACTCACAAACTCCGCACGAACTTTTGCACTCACCCAATAAAAATAGATTCTGTACTTACGTTACCGAAATTAGCGAAAGAGAGACTTATCATTCTTCCAGCGGTAATATGCACCGGGTGACGAGACATTGTGATCATTAACATAAGATCGAGAGCGGCTTTACCTGGCAAATTGTACCACTCGATCATGTACGATGTATGCCCGATTTTGGTGCACTACATATTTATCAATTTCACATATTTACAAGCTAAACGTATCGATATTGCATACGCTATTCTTACAGATATTCGTTCGGAATTGAGATTCGACGGAAAGTAAGACTTGAGTACTTATCATAATTAATTGAATATATCTCGACACGTAAAACTTAAAATGTAAGCACCTGTTCCGTCAGCAGCTCACCGATGTAACAGAACACAAAAATGTTGAAGATAAAGGAAATTAACAGAAAGAAATACGTGAAGATTGCTATACGGTCGCTGTTATTCCACTCCTGTGAATATTAAGTAATATCGGTTTACATACACTGTTTCTGAGGAAACACACATCACGCAGACGGCATGGCAGGATTTCGTACTATTGTTCGGAATGTATACAATATTTCGTTACCGTGATCAGTGAATATTCTACCAGACACATTATTAACGTCGTTCCCACCAACTCAACCAGACATATCTCACGCAGAGTGTCCTCGATGTTGGCTGAAAATCTGCAAAATCTTAGCCTAGTTTCTATCAAATTTAATGGACTACAAACGAGCTTGACTTTCGACTTCTCATCGTCTCGAAATGTCCCGAACGGATTATATCGAGTGTCTTATTAATATTTCCGACAAGTTGCACGACATATCCCCGTGCAGACCTTTTAGCCCAAACATACGAGTAATTCCCCTCGCAGCAAACTGCAACAGGTAGCAGCGAGATACTCACCTCAACGCTCGCACGTGATGTTGCACGATAATTGCCATGCACCGGTCAAACTTCATGCGACTGCATTGTTCGTTACCCTTCATGAGGTTCTCCATACGATCTATCACGATGTCGATCTGGCCACAGGCGTGAGCCACGAACATGGCCGCCAAGCAGCATACCGACGTGGTAATGTTGAACATGACGACGCCGGTGAAACATTGCAGGCAGAAGGCGAAAACGTAAACCGGCATGAATTCCAGATTGAAGAGAATGTCGAAGCCGAGGTAAGCCATCGGTCGGACGGTAATGTTCAGCTCGCTCTCGGGTGTCTGCGACAGGAACGGCATCACCGTATTGTAGGACAAGCCGCCGCAGTACATGAACATTATGCAGAACTTGGAGAGTACATGGCCCTTCGCTGCTTCCCTTATCATGATCTCCCGATGATAACCCTGCTGAACCATGCGCCAGTCGGCGCTGAGGACTTGGACACATCCACGGATACTCTTGTGACGTATCACTAGGAAGAGATACTTCAGCATGGAAAAGAACACGTAGCCCAGTGGGCCCAGCATCTTCATCTTTTCGCTCATGATACTCTGATCCGAGAAGGTGTACATGCTCGTGAGTACCAGAAGTAAAGCGAGCACAGTCCAGCACAGTGCAAACGCGAACGTCGCTAGGATCTTCTCGATTTTCGTGGTATTTGGATACACTAACGGCCAAATACCGATTATTCGCAGCAACCATCGGTTCCACATCAACGTGTCTACCACGTCTTTCTCGTGATTCACATTGGGCCGTATTGAGACCTTGGACATGTTATTATGTACAAGGTGCGTGAACGACTGAGCGTATTTTATCGATTACGATGACGCTGGAAAACTTGCGCATGTAACTGGCGCAGGTATTTTAGACAGTAGGTAGGAAGAAGAGAAGGGCTGCACTTGAAAAATCAATCTAGTAGGAGAATCTATGGTATTGCTTACGAAGGTGATTATCGTGCTATCAGATGGCAGTGATAGAGTTGAGGCGTATTCTGAAATATTTTACGATTCGTCAATGCGAAATAAAAGGTGATATGTGACGAGTACGTGAAAAATAACAAAAATGTTCCGACTTATATCATGAGAGATACGTAAATATTTGTCATTTAGATAATGAATGCATAATCGACTATGTGAGATATATTATGCATATTAAATAAGATAGTAAATATGTTCTATTCGTGACATGTACATTTGATTATACTTGGCATGAAGATGTTATCAAAATGTTATCAAAAATATTAAGTATATAAATTATAGTGCAAATATTATTTTATCGATGATATATACGTTATTTTATTAATTTTTATACAGTATCTATTGCAATAAAAATATATATATGGCGAATTTCTCAGATTATAAATGCTATATATATCTTTTTTCTAATCTAAAAATCCTATTCTGTAACGGTCCGTAGTAAATTTAAATATACTACGGATGATTTAAGTACCTGCGAAAACGATAAAAGTTTCGTAAAATTATACAAGAAATAATAACATTTAATAAAAAGATGTAAAAGCATGCTTTTTTTAAATAATATTAATATAGTCTCAGAAAAGAAGGAAATTGATTTCTTGTTGGACAGTTATTTCAGTATCGACAATATAAGAAACTCACAACTCCGAAAGTATTTATGGATAAATCGACGAACTTGCCAGCTGTAAGTTTGGGCGGGTAATGCGACATCGCGATGATCATTACAAGATCGACAGCTTTATTTCCGGATAAGTCATACCAGTTGACTTCATACGCGGCTGAACCAATTTTGCTACACTGATGAAAATGCGGAAAGTTAAACAGTACATATCGATATTATTTGTAATACTAAACAAAATCAAAATCGCGCCATATTTACATTTACCCACACGTGAGCAAGCAATGTTGTCATTTGTGCGCACGAAATCTTTTGATATAAATAAATATAATACATTTAAAAATGTATTCTACATATATATGTGAATATATTTATTCACGTTTTTATATATCGCGGCGTTAGAATTTTTAGTATTGTAATATTAAAATAGACCGGCAAAAGCGATGTGATAAAAATCTGTGACGAGCTTGTTTATTCTGGTGAAGAATACCTGTTCCACGAGGAGCTCGCCGATATAACAAAATATCAGAATGTTGAACGTGAAGGATATCAACAGAATGAAATATGTCAAGATCGCTACGGCGTCGCTGTTTTCCCACTCCTGAGAAGGCAAGGAACGATGTGACAGTCTTGAGGTCGGAGAATGCGGATTTAGCAGGTGAAAGGAATTTTATAAAAATTTATACAATTGTCCGGAAGATTATCGCGCATGTTAACATGACGTTAACGATTACCATACTTCCTTTACCGTCATGCAATAATACTCGAGCAAGCATATGGTCAAGGTAGAAGTCACCAATTCCATTAAACATATTTCACGCAACACTTCCTCCACGTTGGTCGAAAATCTAGAAACATGTCATTTACCCGCGGCGGGGCCTGACGATCTAGAACCGTCGTCATCTATTAGTATCACTCTTCTCATTCTTTTCCACTCACCTCAGCAATCGCACATGATGCTTCGCTATTATGCCTAATCGGCTGTCCACGGTGGTACCTTTGTTCCTGTCCCCTTCAACCAGGTCGTCCAACAGCGTCATCAGTATCTGCACCTGCCCGCACGCGTGTGTGACAAAAATCGCGGCTAAGCTGCACGCCGCTGTGGTGATGTTGTACGTAATTAGCGCGAACAGACAATGAATGCAAAACACGATCTCGTAAGCGGGACTGGCTTCGGGATCGAAGAATATGTCATAGCCAGGATAGGTGAGCGGTCTGCTGATGAAGCTGCCGTTGACCTTTCTTCTGGAAGATAACGGCAAGATCGTGTGGTAAGACAATCCGCCGGTGTAGAGGAAAAGCGCGCACAGTGTGGTGAGTCTGCGACCCGTTAACGCGTTCTTCAGCATGATCCTGCGATGATCCTCGTCCCGCACCGCCCGCCAGTCATCCTCCACATGATGAATGCACTTGCCTAAAGATGCGGAACGCGCTCCGAGATAGCAATACTTGATCGTGGAGGTCAGGCAGAAGCCGACCGGGCCGAAGAGCTTGACTTTCACGTTGATGTCCTTCTCGCGGAGCAGAGTGTGCATGCCGGACGGTATCAGAACGAAGCACAGGGCTGAGAGGCACGCGACGATCAAGATCACCGAGGTGAGCTTGTCGTAGTGCGAGAAGTGACCGTAGATCAAATGCCAGATGCCGATCGGCTTCAGGACCCATCGGCACAGCTGCATTGTATAGTGTATGTCGTTCTCGTGATGTACATTGTGGATCTGCCGTGTTTCTCCTAAATGTTGGAATCGATTGTGCATGCTGTCGCTCGCGAGGTGCAATGTCGACTGGAACACGTGACCGTCCTCCCGACGATGTTCGTGAGTGCGACGCAAGCGCAGGGAATAAGGGATTCCAGGGTCGCGTGCGTACGCGTTTCATGTCTTTGTCTTCATAATGACTATCAAGTACTCAGTCATGCGTACACGACGATTGACTTTCCCCTAGTCATTACTCGCCCGAGGGTTCAGTCAATGACGTGCGAAGGGATCTGAAGTTCACGATCAGTTCCAACATAGTTGCAAGGATATACTGCATAACGCTGATGTGTTTCTGAGGTGCGTATTATCGAAATTAAGCGATTTTTTCAGATAGTCAGTCTGATCATTTTCATAGGATGTCAATATGAGGAGATATCATATTGATATCTTACCAAATTCCATGATACATTATCATGTCTCATAATATGATGGCAAATTTTCCACTTCATTGCAATATTGTAGATTATAATTGTGAGAAGATATTTATTCCTTTTCTCGTCAGGTTTGACTAAATTGCAACGGTACTTTAATTTATATTAGTTTCTAAAATTTCGGTTAATTTATCAATATTCTTTTTACATATTTTACAACTGGTGAAATAACAGACGTTTGACCAACGATATGTGTTATATTATTAATAATACAATTTATACTGTATGTTTGTTGAGATAAAAATATATCTATTGCAACCTGTTGCTTTTAGGAACTACAATAAAAATAAAGGATTTCTATTCCGTAACTGTTCGGAGTAAATTTAAATATACTAAGGACGTTCTAAGTACCTGAAAGTGACGCAAGTTGTAGAAACATGAATTGTATAAAACGCAAGATATTAAAAAGATGAAGGAATAAGTGAGGATAAATATATTACACATACAGAAATAATTAAGATGTTAATGACAATATCTCAAATTATCTCAATAGTACTTACGGTGCTGAAAGTATTGAAGGATAAATCGCAAAACTTGCCAGCTGTAAGTCTCGGCGGATAGTGTGATATCATGATGATCATTGTAAGATCAAGAGCTTTATATCCAGATAAATCGTACCAATTAACGTTGTACGCGGCAGAACCAATTTTGCGGAACTAATAAAAATGTATATTAGCATGATATTACTTGATAGGCACTAGTATTCATTGTAAAGCGTAAAAATTATGCTGAAATTTCATAATATACTTATAACAATTGTTGAATATGCAAAAATAAAATTCATTATCTTTTATTATAATAATGAGAAAAATAATTCTGCTATAATTGAAGGCAAATTAACAAGAGAGTTATTTTACAATTAGAGGTGCTATATAAAATACCTCTTCAACCAGAAGTTCGCTGATGTAACAAAATATCAGCAGATTGAAAGCGAAGGATACCAATAAAATGAAATAAGTAACAATGCCAATAGCGTCGCTTTTTTTCCATTCCTGAGGAAACAAATATCTGACTAAACATTTACTCGTGTAATTTATCCATCTTAAACAAAGGGAAAACTTTTACCATCATAACTATTGCATAATTTAATAAAACGGAAGATTATACAACGAAGAGTACGTCAAAAAAGTCCTCTCAGTTCTTCAAGCAAAATTTTAATATCACCGTGTATTTGCCTTACCATCATAAAATAATACTCGAGCAAGCATATAATCAAGGTAGCTGCCACCAATTCTATCAAGCATATTTCACGCAACACTTCCTCCACATCGGCTGCAAATCTAAAAACGCTTCAAGTCTATCGACGGCGAAATCTAGAGAGCGCGAAATCGTCTTTGTCCTCTTTCCGCCCCTTTTCATCTCACCTCAGCACTCGCATATGATGCTTTGCTATCACTCTCAAACGTTTCCCCACGGTGCTACTCCCCTCGATTTTCTTTCCATCGACCAGATCGTCCAACAACGTCATCAATATCTGTACCTGTCCGCACGCGTGACTCGCGAAGATCGCAGCCAAACTGCACGTCGCCGTCGTGATGGTGTATTGGATAAGACAGGACAGGCAATGCATACCGAATACAATCTCGTAAACAGGACTAGCCTGAACATTGAAATACCGGTCGTATCCAGGATACACCAGCGATCTGATGGTGAGGTTCTCGTTAATCTTGATTTTCGCAGATAACGGCATGATCGTGTGGTAGGACAATCCGCCGCTGAAAAGCAAAATCACGCACAGTATGGCGAGCCTGCGGCCCACCATCGCGTTCTTCAGCATCACCTTACGATGATCCGCTTGCCGAATGACTTGCCAATCGTCTTCAACCTGCTCAATGCACCTGCCGATCGCCGTGCCGCGCACACCGAGGAGGAAGTACTTGATCGTGCAACTCAGGCAAAAGCCGACCGGACCGTACAACTTGACCCTCATGTAAATGTCCTTCTCATAAAGCAGAACGTAAGGCCCGGAAGGAACCAGCACGAAGCACAACACAGAGACGCACGTGAAGACCAGCGTGCTTGAGAATAGCTTCTCGCTTGGTGACGAGCGGCTGTATACAAAATGCCAGATGCCGATCGGTTTCAGGATCCAATGACATATCTGCATAGCGTAACGAATGTCGTGCTCGTAATGCACATTGTGCACCTGAATCCTTCCTGAAAGTCGCGATCGATCGTGCATGCTATCGTTCGCGGGGTGTGACGCCGACTGAAGCATACGGACGACGCAGGTGCATCTCTATATCCGTGAAGCGACGCAAGCGCGGGGAAATAATGATTTCGTGATCGCGTGCATGTGCGTCTCACATCCGTCATGTGCAGCAAAGTCCGAGGGACTTTATGTTGCAAGCACGCACGCGAAGGGTTCTTCCCTTTTCGCAGTCATCGCACGTCCGAGGGTTCGATGATGTGGGACAGTGCGTAGGGACCCGCGAAGCCTTCACGTGAAGTCCTGGCATAGTTGCATGGATATTACACGCAGCTCCGGCATTTATCGATGTGCGTAATACAGCGGTCTGCACAACGGTTGCTATTCGACGGTAATTACGTTGGACGTAACCGTAGAATGTTTCACGTAACGTTTTATGATACACACACATGCACAGAGAATTTTGGAGATTTTATACACTGTCTAAATTTAATCAGATCTCAACCTCGAATAAATCTCGAAAGAAGAAATTTATTTCTCAAATTTATGTTAGCATACATCGAGAATTATTCACGTAACATGGTCAACAGCAAGTGAATAGTACGGTAGCGTATATTTAACTATAATTAAGAGTACGTTGCTTTAGTACTAATGTTGTTATGATACACTCGAGAATGAGGAGGCTGTCATATCAGTTATTAAAAGTACGAAGTAAATTCAAATAAGCCACGGATGCTTTGACGACCTGAAACGGTTGATCTCTCTCGCGTTTATTTCCCTTATGACGAGTGATGAACATTTCATTGATCGATTTCTGTACTCACGCTGCAGAAACTGGCCAAGGACAAGTCCATGAATTTGCCAGCTGTAAGTTTGATCGTGGCATTGGACATGGACATCACTAATGTCAAACCCAGGGCTCCTTTGCCCGGCAACCGGTACCAGTCTATCATGTAAGCCTTTATTCCGATCTGTATGCACTGTTAAAAAAATGCGGATAATGTTCTACGTAAATATATCACGACATTTTTATCTTGAGCCTTTTAATTTGAGGATAAACTCTCGTAAATTAAGTTCGCTACATGAATATAGGATGTAGAGTTTAAGTACCTGCTCGGCCAAAAGTTCTCCGATATAACAAAGGATGAATATATTAAACGTGAAAGATATGAGTAGCGAACAGTAGGTCATTGTTCCTAAAGTTTCGCGATGTTCCCATTCCTGGAGGGCTAACATGAAAACGTCATAAGCGTGAAATCGTTGCAAGATTTTACGGTATTTTCGATAGATCACTTGATTAGCGAACAGACAATTGCTCGAAGGTCGATTATGTTTCGTACCGTCATCATGTTGAATCCTAGGAAACATATGTTGAGCGTGCATCCGACTACATCCACGAGGCAAATCTCGTTTAAAAGTTCTTCAGTACGAGTGATAAAACTATAAGCCACGTGATGAAAATGAGAAAACGAACGAGAATATTTCCTCTCAAATATTTTGCGTAAGATAAAATAAATTATAATAAATAATATGTTAAAATCTTAACGATATATAACGAAAGTCGTTTCCAACGTATCATGAGTTATAACAGTTCAACATTTTTTTAAGTTTATCAACAACAATATCGAGATTCTGATATCTCATATTCTTCCCCTTCATCGTGAACAAATCAATTTTTCCATTTTCCAACGTACTACGTTTATTCGCGCACATATACGTTAAATAAAAGGTTCTGTCAATGGAAAAGAAATTAATGTATAACTTCACCTGAGTATTCTAATGTGACACCTCACGATGTCGCCGAGTCTCTCTTCAGATGTGCTGCTAGCGCTCTTCCTCTTCTTGCCATCTGCAAGGTCCTCCATCTTCAGCATGAGAATCTGGAACTGCCCGCAAGCGTGCATGACAAACACTGCAGCCAGACTGCAAACGCCGATGGTGTTCGTATAAATGACATAACCAGCTAAAGCTTGCATGAACTGCACGACCTCGAAGAACGGACTATCCCGCGGATCAAAGAGGCGGCGATAGACCGGAAACGCGTGCAATCTCACTGTCTCGTTGTTGATGATATCCGTTCTCTTGGCGAAGAGCGGCATCAGCGTGGTATAGAACAAACCGCCGGAATACATGAAGAGCGCGCTGACGACGGACAACCACCTGCCGAATCGGGCGCTGTCGAACATGATCTCCCTGTCTTTCTCGTGGCTCAATTCGACGCAACTCCAGTCCAAGTGTACATGACGAATGCACTCGCCGATGTCCTTGTTGCGGGCGATAAGAATGTAATGTTTCACCGCGGCCATCAGGAAAAAACTGAGCGGCCCGATCATCCGGATCTTGCTATCGAGATCGGTGTCCACCAGGATCGTGCAGAGCGTGCATGGGAGCAGCAGGAAACCTATCAGGAAGCAACTGTTTATTATCAGGATCACACAGCTGATCCTCTCCGCCGTGGTCTCGCAGAGAGACAGGGGCCACGTGCCGATCGGTTTGAGGAACCAACGGTTCAGCTGGAAGCTATAGTTCCAACCGTCCGTTGTGGACTCAATAGACCTCGACTTCGAACGATCAAGCATGATAATGACTAAATCGCAACGACACACGCCTGTGACTGAGCGTGTTCACCGACGATGGTCTGATAGTCGTCCAGTGCGCGCATGTGCGTCTTTCGCCTACCTCTGAATAATCGTAGGTGAACATAATTGATTCCTCCTCACCCTTCCTATCTGGTCGTTTCATTGTTGGTGATATGTCAGTGAATTATGATTCCTGGAACACCATTGCGTAATATGTGCGAGTGATCTTGAGGAGATACAGGGTAAGGAAGTGTATTCGTCAGGAAGGGTCACAGTGCTATTTTATGCTTTTCACCATCGAGGGGGAATATGTAATGTATTCGGCTCTACATTTCTTGCTTTGTATTGTCTCTGCTTCACATCGAGCATGCGATAGTCTGGTTATATAGTCTCGCTTGCTACCTTTTCATTATTTTTCACAGTACACATTGACGTGGATTAGAGGCAGCGAAAATGCGGCGTAAAAGAGAGTGAGTATAAGATCAATTACTTTACGAGAGAAAGGGGAATATTAGTAATCATAATTACGTGCTATGTATAAAAAGTACGTATAGTAACGACATTTAATTTATTTCAAATCTACATGCGCAATAAATATAACAATCTATGAAATCACTTGTCGTAGCATGTTCAAATACGCCACCGACGCTTTCAGTACCTGTAAACAAGACTTGCATTATATCTTCGATAATTTCGATTTTAAATAAATCTCAGTTTTTAAAAAAAATTTGTGTTTATTGCCATGGCATGTAACATGTGACAATTTAATTTCTTTAACCGTTTCAGCGTTATGAATCCATATGTGAGATGTGTTTGGAAAATCGCTTACCTTGTGTTATTAATTACATAGTAATTAATAATTAATAATTAATTGCATATTATATTCAGATATTCAGATATATTCAGATATTCGCGCTTGATTATTAGTATAGCGTATACTAAGTCTAGCACTAGCTTTTACTAAATAATTATAATTGAATAATTATTTGCAGAACATTTATTAATTTTAATAATTATCTAGCGTATGGCACGTACGCGTCATTAGAAGTTTAAGCGCTGGAAGGATTAACGAACACTTCTTCAGAATACTTCAGTGATCTACCTTAAATCTTAATAATACTATGCTATGTCTTATTACTAGATGGACTATGGACAGGACTTACATTTCCAAATGTATACAAAGACAACTCGATCATTTTACCGGCATTAAGATTGACATTGAAATTGCATCTCAAATTTATCAAAAGAAGACCGAGAGCAGTCTTCGGAGGTAGACGATACCACTCCGTCATGTAAGTCGCCAAACCAACACGTTTGTACTATTACAAGAATTAATATAACACTTCTGCTAGCACCGATGTTTAACTAATATTAATAATTATTATGCACTAAATTTACATAATGACACTATTTATGAGTTCTTTCATTTCGCCGCGTTATTTTGATAAAATTATTCAAAGCGCGCTGATAGAAATTTCACGTTACCTGTTCGCTGAGAATTTCGGCAATGTAGCAAATTATAAAAATATTCAACGTAAAAGATAAGGCTATTACGCAATATGTTAGAATGCTTTCTGTTTCATCTTGATTCCATGCCTGAAAATTTCAGACATAACTCACGGTCGTATCGCCGCAATTCTATCGTTTGCGCGTAGCAAGTACTCATTTAGTGCTGTCATTTTGTTTCTATATAATTATTTCGAACATTTATATTAATTAATAGATCGTCGAGTAACTTATTAACGCATAATTAAGTTTTTAAAAAATCTTTAATTCTGTTTCACATACCGTGATAGAGCTGTATCCAAGGATACACAATGTTAGCGAACCTCCTACTAATTCCACGAGACATGTCAAATAAATTGCTTCTTCTATATAAGATACAAAACTGTAAAAGTATACATGCAATATGTTGTGATCACTGAGAATAAGCAGAAAAGAAAGTTATTTGTCTGTGTAATATATGGGGAGTATTTCATCGCTGCATGCGATAAAATAATCAAGTAATCGACACATGTGTCGATTTATATTTTATTATAACGTCAATATCATCTTTAGAAGCTACATATATTTGTATTATAACGTAACAAATAAAGTATAAGAATAATAAAATTTTATTTAAATATTCCGACGACGGAATTAAATTGTCGGAAATATGATATATTCAGAATTATGGAAATTTCAATGATTACCACGATCGCAGAATAATTAAAACAGAAAGATAAATTTTGTCTTTTTTTACCTGATTACCCGTAAATGATGTTCAACGATGAAGCCCAGTTTTCGCTGCACGATCTTGTCGTCTACGATATCGCTATCGTGCACAATGTCGTCCAACCACAACGTCAGGATCTTCAACTGCCCACATGCGTGCATCACGAAAATCGCCATTAGACCGCAGTTAACACTGGTGACACCGCTCACAATGAAGGACGACACGAAATGCATAATCGACACAATTTCATACGCCGGGCTGAAGCGCGCATCCAGGATTTTGCTATAAAAAGGGTAAGGCAGCTCGCGAAGCGAGACATTCACGTTATCCACTTCTATGATATATTCCTTTAAACACCTACTAACATTATAAGACTGTACAGAGCTATGCATGAAAGCGGCGATGAAAATCGCCATAAAGCGGCCGATCTTGCCGTCCCTCAGCATCACCTCGTGATCTTTATTGCTTCTTACAGTATTCCAGTCTAGTTCTATACAATGTACACAGTTACGTATGTCGTCGACATGCAACACCAGGCAGGTGTACTTTAAGAGCGCCATGAGGAAGGTTATGAAGGGACCGATGTTTGCCATCATCGAGTTCACATCTTCATGTTCCTCGACGAAGACATCTAGACCAATGCTCAGCACTGTGATAAATAACAGAGAGAAACACGTGAGTCTTGACAATTCCGAAAAGACTCGGTCAACTATTGAGGCATTGCTTGAACGAGGCCAGAGACATATCGATTTTAACAACCAACGTATTAGCCGAATATTACGGTCCTTATCAGCTAGGTATATGTTGACCATGAGAGGCTCGCGATTATCCACGAGATCGCCCATCGTCGCTCATTGAAGATGAGCTGGTCACTGGACGGTCATTTCATTGGTAGCCTTTGATACGTAATGATCGGAAAAGCGCTTGCGCCGAGGTTGCATGCTTTACAATGTTGAGAGTGGCTTGTCCGCCTATTGTGGCAACAGGTAGAAGTGGCGTATAATCAATACTTGAGGCTAAAGTTTCGTACGTTCAGCATTATAGTTTCGCGAGCACGCAAATTTACAGAGATCGCGTCTATTGTGTGATTCGTGTGATTATGAGACGACACGGTAAAATAGTTATTATTTTTGTCAACGAAATATCAACTTTCGTTCTTATCAAGATTCGTTCTTATCGACGTGACGTTCAATCATGTTCATTATCTTGCATTATATTACTTGTTTAAAAGGCTTTAAAGGTGTAAATTTTGTGCTACTTTCGAGTGCATTACCTCTGTTTCGATATTTTGTGCATTATGCAGTCGATCTATTTTCAACATGAGTTAAATATTATGTATTATTGAATTATTTTATTGCTAGATATTTTTGTTGTTTACAATTATTTAATTGATAAATAATTATAAATTTTCTTACGTAATAAAAGTACGAAGTATATTCAAATATGCCAGTGCAGATTTAATTACCTGAAACAGTTATTGGTAACATACGCTTTGTCATAATAAAAAAATAAGTTTATCTAGATGAACTTAAGATAGAAATTATTTAACAATATTTTTCTCGGAACATGTTTAGCATATGTGCTCTTACATATCTAATGTATAAAATGTCATCTGTGCAAACTCCAAATTTGACAAATCAATAAACATGTTCTTCCAAATACTTACATCACCGAAAGTAGAGAGAGAGAGCTCAATCATTTTTCCACCCGTGATTTTGACTATGATACTAGATCTCAAAATTATCAGAACAAGACCGACAGCTGTGTTTCCAGGTAAAACATACCAATCTGTCATGTAGGCGGTTTCGCCGACTTGGCCGCACTGTTAGAGGCCGTTTTATAAACCTATTATAATCTGAGTTCGAAAGTCATTGTCTTTTGCGGCTGACTTTTTCACCTAGATGCCTGTTGATGATCGCGAGTAACGAAAACCCAGTCTGTTACTCTCGAGACCTGATCGCCAGCGGGCGTGTTAACGGAAAAATTAGCCGTAAGAGACTGTAACTTTCGAAATTGACTGTAATTAAATTGCACAGCGGTAAAGTCATGTGTGTCAATATGAAATTAATACGATAAATTAATCATTGATGAATGGTACAGTCAATCGCGAGGTAAAACCTGTGGCATTTCTTCAACGCGCGTTACGTGGTTACCTGCTCGGAAAGAATTTCTCCGATGTAACAAAATATAAAGATGTTGAAAGTGACCGAAACCAATATTATACAATACGTCACTATATTTTGTTTGTCGCCTTGATTCCATTCCTAAAATGAGTTACAGATTCGTGCGAGCGACAGATTAAGCGAATGATTAAATAACGGTGTGATTATTGTATGCGCGCGCGTACCATAATACAGTAATAGCCCAAGAGACACATTTGTAACGAACACCCTACTATTTCCACGAGACAAGTGATATTCGTAATTTTCTCTAGGCGAGACACAAGACTACAAACATATTTATAAACATAATCGCTCCATAAATAGCTTTATATTAAAATATTCAGACACAATATTTCAACGGCACATCGAATTAATTCCAATTAGTGGGAGAGTAGTGCCAACATATTTTATTAAAAATAATACTTAGAGCATATCACTATGTGAAAAGTTACTTTGGTTCAAATGTACATGCGTTACAATACCGAAATCCACTCTTAACACGTTTATTCGGGTCTTACCTCAGTACTCTCAAATGATAATTCACAATAACAGCGAACTTCTGTTTCATGGAGTTTTTTTTCTCGTTCTCCTTATCCGTCAGATTGACCAAGAAGGACATGAGAATCTTCAGTTGACCACAGGCGTGCATGACGAAAACAGCGGTGAGACTGCATGTGGCTATACCCACAGAGTTCACCACAAACGTAGACAGACACTGCATCGCAAACACCAACTCATACGCCGGACTCATCGTGGTATCCACGATTTTGTCGTAGAACGCGAAGGGTAGCGCGTGCACCGACGTGTTATCTTTCGCAACGGAGTCCTCCCTCGTCAGTACCCTGAAAATGCTGTAGGAGAAGACGCCGCTGTGCATAAATGTGGCAGAGAAGAACGCGATAAAGCGACCGATCCTGGCGTTCTTCAGCATCACTTCTCGATCCACGGTCTTCGTCACGATCTTCCAATCGGTCTCAACGTGCTCGATGCACCGTCGTATGTCGCCGACGTGCGCCAGCAACGAGCAGTACTTGAGACTCGCCAACATCCAGTTGCTGAGGGGTCCAAACTCACGCACTTTCGTCTCCATATCCGTGGTCTCGTCCAAGAAGATGGCCAACGCGCACGGCACCATGGTACCGACGATCAAAAAGACGCACGTTATCAGCAAAATGTCCGATAAGATTCTTTCCTTGATCGACGAGTCCGCCACGGGCCAGACACTTATCGGCTTCAGCAACCAACGAATCGGCTGTATACTATACTCGTTGTCCTCCATATAGCTCAGCGCGATCCAAGATCGCTCTCTCGAAACGCTCTTCATGTTTGTTTCGCAAATGCGCGGGCACGATTGAGAACAGTCGCGTGGGGGCTATTCGAGACTCATGCGAGCTGATAGTCAACGCGTGCGCGTTGTATACCGAGTAGACTTTTGTACACGATGCACAACCGGCTGTTGAGCGATCGATATGTACAGTGGCAGTGATTTGACATCGTGGTGAGTTCATCGTAGCGAGATAATGAGAGCAACAGTTAAATGTCACCTCACCATGCAATGCATTTTTTTTCCTTTCTTACTTTCTACTGCGCCGAGGTTTCGCGCACAATTATATCATTCAAACTTACTAGTCGCTATGGATTTTTTGGTTCGGATATAACCGTAACTTTCCTGGAAGACTTGATATTCCTGCTTTAAACGCTTCCATGATTCACTCAACATACTGTCAGGACAAACGAAACGGAGCAATGACCCGTATTTATATCGACCGATTCCGGAAGAAAAGGTGAAACTTTGTTCTAATCAATACAGGAATAAAGCTGGCCGTTATACCGAAATAATCAACTGTCTCATAGAGGAGGGTACTTGCAACAAATATAAACGGCTCCTTATGTAACTGCTTTCAGGTTTGCAATTAGATTATTATCTGTTACATAATGATGGTCATGCTATCGATACTATAGTCGCAATCTTCAATGACCTAGCTATGACGAAAAGGAATTTGCACGGAGCTGCATGAATAACGCGCTCATCGCGGCTGAACTTGGCATGCTGCAGCATCAGCTAGAGATCATTATTCTTTCATACGAGTCTTCGGACTCGAGGCATTAAACGGTAAAATTAATATTATTAATAAAAAGATAAGAGGTAATATTTTGTGAGTTGCTTAAACATTGATCATGAACTTCAGGATGATTAAAATTGCATTACGTGATCTTCCGAAACTAATTTTGACTGCGAACAGATTAGATATATTGCCAAAGAAATTAATTGCATTTCTAATTATATTTCTACTATATCTTGAAAATATATAAAATATATCGCTTATTTATTATCTATTTTATTACATTTCACATAGACATTGCTTGCAATACATTCATATAAGCTAATGAAGTTTTAATTACCTGGAACAACAAAGTAAATTATTTCTACATGCGATTTGAAGAGATATATAAAAAAATAGATTTTTAAATATCGACTAATTCAGTAAGACAAATAAAATAATTAATCGCATTAATTGAATAAAGTAAAATTAAATGGTCGGTTTTAGACATAGGATTCCTAAAGTTTTCAATTTTATAATATAAATTATTAATTTTTTATTATTAATTTTTGACAGTTTATTCAAAGTATCTTAATATAAAATTGTTATAATGACGATCTATAAAACTTACATCCCCGAACGTGGCGATAGACAAATTAAATAATTTCCCCGCTGTTATCTTGATTGCATTATTCGACCGCACAATTATTAATATAAAACTACGTGCAGTTTTGTAGTCCAATTCGTACCAATTGGTCATATATGCCATTTGACCGACGTTTTTACACTAATAAATTAGTTACAAATATTTTCAAATTCACTATGAACATCAGAGCAATAATAATAGGACAAAAATATTAAAAGATATATAAGTCTGATCACAAAAATATTCGGTTAAAAAATATATTATATTTTCTAACGACTATTTTGTATAAATAACGAGAAACACCGTTCTGATCTCGAAATATTACCTGTTCGGTGACAATCTCGCCAATGTAACAAAATATAAAAATATTAAAAGCCATTGATATATATACCATAATGTACGACATTATTTTCGCTGTATTAAGTATACTCCAGTTCTATAAGATTGAAACTTAAATTTATCATCATATGAGAAGAATGCTCAATGATATTTTCGTAATTGATTTTATGATTAAATAAATTTCTCTATGTATATATAGTATAAAAATAGGTAATTTTCATTTATATTCATGTAATATTATCATGTAATATTTTTTTTTTTTCAGATAATTAGCGTACCGTAACAAAATAATATCCGATTAAACACATATTTAGCGTGCATCCAGTCAGTTCCACGAAACAGGCTTTATATATAATACTCTCCATACGTGCTATAAAACTGAAACATATCTATCTAGTTTTAATGTGTTTGGTGGAGACGGTGCGTTTTTTTACAACCATGCTACTTGCACAAAGATTTATTGAATAAATGCACTTTTTAGTATCAAATTATCCCTTAACAATTCTCGAAAAATACTTCATTTATCGTGTGTGTGTGTGGGGTATAATAAGGATATCTAATTATCTTTAAATAATGAAGTTAATATAAGGAGTGCAATGGAAGTTCCGCAGTTAAATACCACAAGACTCTCAAGTGATGTCTGACGATATTGCCTATTCTTCGTTTAGTTAAGTGCTTTCCCTTCGCGTGATCCTCGACAAGTTGATTAAACCACGTGTGTAACATGTTCAACTGGCCGCAGGCATGCATGGCGAACACAATGGCGAGACTACAAATACACACTGTGGAGGAATTTGTTATATAGCTCGACATGAATTGCATTAACAGCATAATTTTATTCGCTGGGTTGAATCTCGCGTCGATGAGCTTGCGATACGCTGGACACGACAACGGATGTATCGTGATGGTCTCGTTTTTGATAACAATATTTACGGTTTTAATGGTTCCGACTATATTAAAGAAAAGTGCGCTGCCCTGCATGAACATAGCACAGACTCCGGCCATATAGCGGCTCATTTTGGCGTGTTTTATCATTATCTCGTAGTTTTGAATATTCTCTGTGACACGCCAGTCCTCTTCCATGTGTTTTATGCATTCGTGAATGGCTTTGCCGCGTGTAAGTAGAATCCAATAATTCAAGGTGCCCATTATTCGGTGAAACAACGGACCGAGGGGCCTCAGTTTCGTTTGAATGCCCTTCGCTTCGAAGAACACGTATAACAGACACGGTATTGTAATTACTGCCACCATAAACAACCACATGGGAACAAGTATTATCGAGGAGAGTCTCTCTATTATGCTGGATGTGCGTGTTTGTGGCCAAGCGCCGATCGATATAAGGAACCATCGACTCAATTGTAAACTGTAGTCGTTGCGTGTTTTTGAATTAGCATTACTCGGTGCATGTTTGAAGTTTGACATGATACCTTCATGGAGGTGCGCGGAGCACTGCCATGACGGTCAATACATTTGCCAGAATTGAATGTCCGGCGCAGCGCTTGCGCCAACACTCGGAGAAGTTTTGTGGACGGTAATGTTTATGTAATTACCTTGGAAGAGATAGAGCGTATATATATCGAATCAATATTCGTTTGTCGGAAGAAATTCAAATTGCCGATAATTTTAGAAGACATCGTGTTGTTGCGAGGGGCTATGGAAATTGGTACGTCAAAGTGATATAATATGCTTAAAATTAATAATTTTTGTAGTGGTTTTCCTCCTTGGAATATTTTTTGTGATATTTCCTCTATATGTAGAACTAATGTAGAGAAACCAGAGATACCGATTTCAAAATATTATTTTAAATATTTATCGAATTTTTTGAAAAAAAAATATATATATATATATTCATCCGTTTTATACAAAATATATATTTTGTACACATGTTAACTTAGATATTATGTTTCATATTGTCATCGTTCGCAATATATTCAAATATGCTAAAGAAGTCTTAAATACCTGAAACAATAAAGTTACCTGAAAAATTACCGCATGGAACAAAAAGTACCGCGGAGACTTTTATTGTTTATATTTAACCGTTGTTTTTTTAGTTTCCTTTCTATAGTACCTCAATGTGCAAATCTTGAGATACTTTACATGTGTATACTTACGTCGCCGAAAGTTGCAATAGACAATTGAATTAATTTTCCTGCAGTTATTTTGATCACGTTGCTCGAACGTGCGATTATCAAGACGAGATCACGTGCACTTTTGTGATGTAGGTTGTACCAATTAGTCATATATGCCATTTGACCGACATGCTTACACTGATAAATTAATACGAATATTTTTGAATTTTCCAAGTTTATGTGAATATTTGTTAATCAGTTTGAGAATATTGAAAGACTTGAAATTTAGCAACAAATATACGGCTTTAAAAAATGATATGCGTATATAAAAAAACTTTATCACATTTTAGCATCTTTATATAATGACTTATATTTTACAATAAAATTGGACAAGTAAATTACGAGGAATGTTGTTCCGATTTCGTGATGATACCTTTTCAGTGAGAATCTCGCCGATGTAGCAAAATATAAAAATATTGAAAGTAATGGATACATATACAATAATGTAAGATGATATTTGTGCTGCATCAAATATACCCCAATTCTGAAAGTAATTGAAAGATATGTTTCTTTATTACTTAAAAAAATAAATTTACCTACTTTTATCTGTTAATAATCTATTCGATATCTACTCTCTCCAATATCTCGTTTATGATTCAATATTACATATATTTCATAATAGTTAAATAGGTTGAGTAATACGTAAGATAAAAAAATATTCATCTTTTTATAAAATTTTAACATACCATGAGGATATAATACCCAAGTAAACATAAAATTACGGTACATCCCGTTAGTTGTGCGAGACAGGCTTTATGCATAATATTCTCCACACGTGCTATAAAACTAAAATATACATACAAAAGTTTCATATGGAGGACTTCTCCTCAAAATATTTACCTCTTGATTTATTAGACATGTTTATATTTTCGTATCGATGACGATAGATAATGACACTTTTAATTATTCAAAAAAAGAGGCACTAATATGTCACCAAAGTAACAAGAATTTTCGTGCTATTTTCAAATAATTTTGTTCATAATAAAGTCTGATTTCATCCAAAGTACATTTAAACATCCAGTTTCCAAATATATACCTCAATATTCTGAGATGATGCTCTACGATGTCGATTATTCTCTGTTCGGCTACATGATTTTCTTCTTTCCGATTCTTAGTGAGTTCATCTAATCGCATGTACAGTATGTTTAACTGGCCAGAAGCGTGTATCGCGAAGACAGCGGCTAAGCTGCAGATACCAGCTGTTGAGGAACTTACAATGAACGTCGACAGAATCTGTATGATCAGCACGATCTCGTTTACAGGGCTGAATCTCGTATCGATGATTTTGCTATACGCTGGACACGTCATTGGATGCATTGTGATAGTCTCATTGCCGACAATTATGGTTGCAGTTTTCGCCGCTTTGGCTATACCATAAAGAAACGTACCACCCTGCATAATAATTCCACAAATCAAGGCGATAAGTTGACCGAATTTGGCGTGCTGCAGCATCACTTCACGATCACTGGCTTTTTGTGCCGATCTCCAATCCATCTCTATGTGCTCTATACAATCGCGAATGTTACCGCTATGTTGGAGTAGCATCCAGTAACTCATCAAGCCCATGTATCTGTTAAGCAGTGGAGCTACGGCGCCCACTTTTGATCGGATGCTCTCCTTCTCGAAAAATAAATATAACGTACACGGTATCACTATAAAACATACTACCACCCAGCAAACGAGAATCTGTATTAACACTACGACTTTCTCGGCAGCGCTCGACGTGCTTGCTAGCGGCCAAGCGCCTATTGGTTTGAGATACCATCGATTCAGTTTAAGACTGTAATCGTGGTCACTTTTGGATTTGACGTTTTTTAACACTATTGTATTTGTCATGATCGCTTTGCGAAAGCGTTCGATGCACTGCCGCGATGGGCAGTACTGACATACGCGACTGGAGCAGGACGGTACATACGGCAATATGGTTCTGTTCGAATGAGCGCCTGCGCCAACTTCAAAAGTTTCATGAACGCTTGCAACTTACAATCCTGAGGGAAATATATATATACCTCGATCAATAGTTGTTTGTGTTCGAGTTCACATTCCGAGAAAATATCGCGTGCTATAAACGTAAATTTGTGGACATAATGTAAAATATATTTCAATCCGTTAACTATTATTTCTCAAATTACTTTATCATTTTTCAAATTCCTTGTCATGTTCATTAAACGTACCGCGCAATATTTTGAGGATTATTTGAGATTTGAGGAAGATATCTATTTTGATAGTAACTTTCAATCTTATGTATCTAATGTTTATTGTATTTGAGAATATATTCATTTGTGTTTTTACAAAATATATATCTTGTTTTTTCTTATAATTCGTTATACTTTATGTAGTCATAGTCCGCAATATATTCAAATATGCGATGGAAGTTCTAAGCACCTAAAACACAAGAATGTATCTTTCTCTATTGTTATAATTTATAATTATAATCAACATAATAACGGCACTTTTTAAAATTGTTAGTGATACAATGTACATTCTTATAATAATTACTTATAATAATTCTTATAATAATGTGTTTACGTCACTTACGTCCCCAAAGGTCGCGATAGACAATTGAAATAATTTTCCCGCGGTTATCCTAATCAATTTACTCGATCGTAGAATTATCAATACAAGACCACGTGCAGTGGTTTTATTTAAGTTGTACCAATTAGTCATATATGCTGCCTGCCCAACATTTTTGCACTGATAAGTGAATTAAAAACATGTAAATTCCTTGTACATGTTTAAAAATTTGGTAGGGATTTTTAAAAATATTACGGGACATTTAAAAATATTACGGGAACTTAAAGTTCAATTATGCTAAAACTGAAATAAACAAATGAAAAGAATATTTCTTTCTTACTTATATAACAATATTATATTTTACAATGAATTTAAATTTGTCAAATAATTTTAATTTTGCGACTGATACCTGTTCTGTGAGTATTTCACCAATATAACAAAATATAAAAAGATTGAATCCCTGCGACACATATACAATAACATAAGCTGCTATTTTCGCTCCGTCAAAATTAGCCCAATTCTGGAAAATTGGAAAATGTAGTCTTATCTATGGTATATAAAGACGCAAACAGTATACCTTTAGCTATGTACTTTCTGTAAGTGGATACATTTTCTATTTTGTTATAATTAAATGAATTAGAGAGAAGATAACAAGATATTTATTTCTCCATATTTTCAGCATACCATAATGGAATAATATCCGAGCAAACACATTGTTATTGTGCTTCCTGTTACTTCCACAAGGCTAGCGTCATGGAAGATATTCTCCATGCGCGTTATAAAACTGAAACGTACGTAACTATATATGCGTAATGTCGCTAAGCTTTTGCAAAAAATAATATACGTATGCGAATCGAAAAAAAATTAAGTATGAATTCACAGTATCCGTAAAAATGGTGGTAACATCTGCCTTGTGAAAACCTTTAAACATTGCATTTATGCATTATTGCATATAATAAAAACCTGCTTATGTATCCCTAAATAAAATTATTCCGAATACACAGGGTGATCCAAAATTCCCGCATTCGGACTACAGGACATGATACTTTATGCTAAAACAAACAACTTTTTCCTTTAGCAAAATTGCGTCCGACAAGTAGTTTTTGCAGGAGAGAGTGTTAAATTTAACGAGTAAGCGCTCTTGTCTATATAACGGCTCAAAGCCGGCGCGCGCCTCACTCGTGAGTATTCAGTCCATGATTAGTAATCATAAGTTATTATTATTTTAAGACGCTCATACGGTTCTTTTGTGATTTGTTTACGACATTTTAAGACTGTGCTTAAGACAATTTTAAATAATAAGAATCAATTATGAACAATACCGGGACTTGACCTGCTTTCGTATTTCTATTGCTTAAATAATGAAAAGTTAATAAAATAAGTATTGCCTTTATTTCTTATGTAATAAATGAATAAAATATTGTCTGGTTGCACAATATTATTTGAAAATAAAGACAAATGTAAATAGTATAATATATTTTGCGAGCTGTGAGCGTTCTATTATTTCAAATATTGCACAATTACGTGATAATTAAATATCATTAAACTTAAAGAATAATTTACTGAACAAGCGTATACATAGGAGTATACATATTTGTAACAGTGATTAAAAGTAAACTATTGAAAAAAGTAAAATATTTGAATTAACGTTTTTTAAGAGTTCTCTTTTTATTTTTTTATAATAGAAAATACAAAGAACTTATTTAAAATTCAAATTGTATGATATACTCGCGTCACGGTCTACATTTACTTATTATTATTGCTATATATACGTTAGCCTTTCAATATATACTTTCCTTACATGTTTTGATTATTGCGAGGAATATTGCTATAGTCTCAATGGTCAAGTTGGTTAAGAAAATAAATCATTGAAGCTGTAGCAATATTCCTCGCAATAATCGAAACATGTAAGGAAAGTACGTAATGAAAGGCTAACGTACATAAGCAATAATAAATAAATGTAGACTGTGGCGTGAGTATATCACACAATTTGAATTTTAAATAAGTTCTTTGTATTTTCTATTATAAAGAAATAAAAAGAGAGCTCTTAAAAGACGTTAATTCAAATATTTTACTTTTAATCACTGTTACAAATATGTATATTCCCATGTATACGCTTGACCAGTAAATTATTCTTTAAATTTAATGATACTATTTAATTATCACGTAATTATGCAATATTTGGAATAATATAACGCTCACAGCTCGCAAAATATATTACTATTTACATTTATCTTTATTTTAAGATAATATTGTGCAATCAGACAATATTTTATTCATTTATTACGTAAAAAATAAAGGCAGTGTATATTTTATTAACTTTTCATTATTTAAGCAATACAAATATAAAAGCAGGTCAAACCCCGGTATTGTTCATAATTGATTCTTATCATTTAAAATTATCTTAAGCACCGTCTTAAAATATCGTAAACTAATCACAACAAAACAGTATCAGCGTCTTAAAAGACACTACTTGATTACTAATCACGGACTAGGTACACGCGTGTGAGGCGCGCGCGCCGGCCCTGAGCGTTACATAGCCAAAAGCGCTTATTCGATAAATTTAACATGCTCTCCTGCAAGAACTACTTGTCGGACGCAATTTTGCTAAAGGAAAAAGTTGTTTGTTTCAGCATAAAGTATCATGTCCTATACTCCGAATGCGGGAATTTCGGATCACCCAGTATAAATACAATTAAATAAATGACCACTTTTACTTGTACTGAGGATTGAAGGTTTCAGTGAAATTACCTTAATATTTTCAAATGACGTTCTACGATGTCGACCATTTTTTCTTTAACTATATAGTTCCCTCTCTCGTCTTCTTTGTCGAGCTCGTCCAGCCTTTTGTACAATACGTCTAATTGACCACAGGTGTGCGTTGCGAAAACAGCAGCTAAGCTACAAACGCCCACTATAGAAGAACCAACTACAAATGTCGACATGAACTGCACAACTAACATGATTTCGTTCATGGGACTAAATCTCGTATCAATAAATTTTCGATAAGATGGGCACGTCATCGGGTACATCGTTAACGTGTCATTATTAACAACGATGGTAACGGGTTTCATTGCCTTAGCTATGCTATAGAGTAAAGTACCGCCTTGCATAATTATTCCAGAGATTAAGGCAATGAGACGGCCCAATTTGGCCTGTTGTAACATTATCTCACGGTCGTCGACCCTTTCAACGAGTAGCCAATCCTTCTCCATTTGCTGTATAGAATCGCGAATATCGCTGCGATGTTTCAGTAACGTCATATAATTCATTAATCCCATGATCCTGTGAAGCAGTGGGCCAAATACGTTCAGCTTGGACTGGACGTCCTCTGCCTCGAGTATCATGTGGAGGAAACACGGTATCATTATAAAACACACTATAAACCAACAAATAATATTCTGTAGCAACACTATGAGCCTCCCAATCACATTTGATGCGCCCGTTAGCGGCCAAGCGCCAATTGGCTTGAGGTACCACCGATTCAGTTGAAGACTGTAATCGTGGTCACTTTTGGATTTGACGTTTTTTAACACTATTGTATCTGTCATGATCGCTTTGCGAAAGCGTCCGATGCAGTGCTGCAAAAATGTGCCCGCGCACACCACAGCGTGCGAGGGGAAGCGTCCCCTCCATGCGCCTTCACGCACACAACACTGCTGCTCCGCCTATCGATGTGAAGCCTCGTCGCCTCACGCCAGCTTCGCCGAGCGAGAAAAAGAAAGAGAATGAGATAGGGAAAGAGAGAATGAGATAAAGAAAGAGAATGATCTTCGCTCCTTCTCGGTCCTTCTCGCCCCGACTCAACTGCGTTAACGCGCGTCCGAGTGTATGTTGGCTTTCTCGGCGTGGATCTGAATCGTAAGAGCGATTATGATGTATCGTCGCTGCCGTGCTGCTGAAAAGATCCTCTATGTAAATTTTCTTATCAAATCAAGATGTTTACATCAATATACTATATGTATAGTATATTCACAATTTTATTCTACATATAATGACACAAGTATGTTACAATCAGAAAACATGCACATAGGCTTTTTTACAACAGCGACGATTTTTGACAAAATATGAAATAAATATAAGGCGAAAATTTAATATAACGTACCGGTACGTCGCCCGGAGCGAAAGTAACATACTGGCAATTTCCTAACGAACGTTCTAAGTCTTTATAAGAAACTTTTAAGCCGTTCGTTTATCGTTATGTTCATGGAATGAATGCGGAATTGATATTATCTCTTGAAGCAGCTGTAACACTATGAAAGCAATAGTGCTAAGAGAAGTTTATGCAACGTGTAAATGTTTATCAAATGGCGTTGACGGCGTTAATTCGTTCTTGATGCGGATCCAAGTCGCGGACATAACAATCATCTATACGACTATGTTAACCTACTCATAATAAAAACCACCATTGAAAACTAAGGCTAATAGCAGTTTACAGTTTGCAATGTACAAAAGAGAATAGCCACTCTTTGCCAGCAACGTGGACGGAATCAAGCCTTAAAAATAGCAGATATTTCTAGTTCAGTCACTGAACTGTGACTGAACAGTCAGGAACTGTGACGCAAGACAACGTCGTCTGGACAAACCCTGTTAAATATCCTCATATGTATTGACCAAAGTTTGTCTGTGAAGCATTCGCGCCCCGATTCTACGCAGAGTTTTGGATTTTGTTATTACTCACACATGCAATACGTACAAGCAACTTTGGCAGGGAAAAAGAGACGTACGCGTTATATCTTGCTTTTCACTACGTACTACACATTTCATAAGAACAAGTTGCACATGCATGCTTTCTGGCAACTGTAAATATGACAGTAATTGTTTTGTTTATATCTTTATAGATTATTGTTCTCATAGTTATTGTAATGTTAGTTGTTACTGTTTGCTGAACGCTTGCATGCAATTGCTTTAATTATTGCTTTCGCATCTTTTCCCTCACTCCTTCCCTAATTCCTTAGGAAATGTAGAACATTATCTAATGTTTCTCTATTAAAAGAGTCTTATTAGATAATTGTTTTACATTTCCTCCTGATGGAAGAACCACCACCTTCCCGCGGTTTCCATCGAGCAGTAATGTGGACTTGCAACCTTGCATTTTTTAAATTTATTGACACGCTTTCGTGTCACTTCTTCTGCATAATGCATACTATGAAAACAGTTTTCTTTACTGATTTTAGCGTTATAACAATAAGACATGTAAATATCTCCTATTTTTTAGACTTCATTAAACGTGATCATAATAAAACATGCAAAAATATCTGCTATTTTTAAGGCTTGATTCCGTCCACGTTGCTGGCAAAGAGTGGCTATTCTCTTTTGTACATTGCAAACTGTAAACTGCTATTAGCCTTAGTTTTCAATGGTGGTTTTTATTATGAGTAGGTTAACATAGTCGTATAGATGATTGTCATGTCCGCGACTTGGATCCGCATCAAGAACGAATTAACGCCATCAACGCCATTTGATAAACATTTACACGTTGCATAAACTTCTCTTAGCACTATTGCTTTCATAATGCTACAGCTGCTTCAAGAGATAATATCAATTCCGCATTCATTCCATGAACATAACGATAAACGAACGGCTTAAAAGTTTCTTATAAAGACTTAGAACGTTCGTTAGGAAATTGCCAGTATGTTACTTTCGCTCCGGGTGACGTACCGGCACGTTATATTAAATTTTCGCCTTATATTTATTTCATATTTTGTCAAAAATCGTCGCTGTTGTAAAAAAGCCCATGTGCATGTTTTCTGATTGTAACATACTTGTGTCATTATATGTAGAATAAAATTGTGAATATACTATACATATAGTATATTGATGTAAACATCTTGATTTGATAAGAAAATTTACATAGGGGATCTTTTCAGCAGCACGGCAGCGACGATATATCATAATCGCTTACGATTCAGATCCACGCCGAGAAAGCCAACATACACTCGGACGCGCGTTAACGCAATTGAGTCGGGGCGAGAAGGACCGAGAAGGAGCGAAGATCATTCTCTTTCTTTATCTCATTCTCTCTTTCTCTATCTCATTCTCTTTCTCTTTCTCGCTCGGCGAGGCTGGCGTGAGGCGACGAGGCTTCACATCGATAGGCGGAGCAGCAGTGTTGTGTGCGTGAAGGCGCATGGAGGGGACGCTTCCCCTCGCACGCTGTGGTGTGCGCGGGCACATTTTCGCAGCACTGGCGGTGGGCAGTGCTGGAGCAGGACGGTACATTCTAGCAATATAGTCTGTTCGAATGGGCGCCTGCGCCAACTTCAGAAGTTTCATGAACGCTTGCAACTTGCAATCCTGAGGGAAATGTATATATCTCGATCAATAGTTGTTTGTGTTCGAGTTCACATTGGTAGTATTCCGAGAAAATATCGCGTGCTGTGGCAACTATAAATGTAAATTCGTGGACATAATGTCAAATATATTTCAATCCGTTAACTATTATTACTCAAATTACTTTATCATTTCTCAAATTCCTTGTTATGTTCATTAAACGTACCGCGCAATATTTTGAGGATTATTTGAGAACGGAAGATATCTATTTTGATAGTAACTTTCAATCTTATATATTTAATGTTTATTTGAGGTCTAATATCTAATGTCTATTTGAGAATATATTCATTTGTGTTTTTACAAAATATATATCTTGTTTTTTCTTATAATTCATTATATTTTATGTAGTCAGAGTCCGCAGTATATTCAAATATGCGATAGAAGTCCTAAGCACCTAAAACACAAGAATATATCTTTCTCTATCGTTATAATTTATAATTATAATTAACATAATAACGGCAATTTTTAAAATTGTTAGTAATACAATGTACATTCTTATAATAATTATATGTGTTTACATCACTTACGTTCCCAAAGGTCGCGATTGACAATTGAAATAATTTTCCCGCGGTTATTCTAATCAATTTATTCCATCGTGGAATTATCAATATAACACCACGTGCAGTGTTTTTATTTAAGTTGTACCAATTAGTCATATATGCTGTCTGCCCAACATTTTTGCACTGATAAGTGAATTAAAACATATTGTAAATTCCTTGTACAAGTTTAAAATTTGCTAGGGATTTTTAAAAATATTACGGGACATATTGGGACTTAAAGTCCAATTTTGCTAAAACTGAAATAAACAAATGAAAAGAATATTTCTTTCTTACTTATATAACAATATTATATTTTACAATGAATTTAAATTTGTCAAATAATTTTAATTTTGCGACTGATACCTGTTCTGTGAGTATTTCACCAATATAACAAAATATAAAAAGATTGAATCCCTGCGACACATATACAATAACATAAGCTGCTATTTTCGCTCCGTCAAAATTAGCCCAATTCTGGAAAATTGGAAAATGTAGTCTTATCTATGGTATATAAAGACGCAAACAGTATACCTTTAGCTATGTACTTTCTGTAAGTGGATACATTTTCTATTTTTTTATAAAGGATATCCCAAAATTCATGCAAGAAGTAATTTTGATAGAAAACACAGTTTTAAAATTAAAAATTGTGAATTTTTTATTGATTCATAAAGTATACAGTATAGGGTTATGTATGGAATAGCATATCGGGTAAATGGCCTCCACGGTTTTGCTGGCACATGTGCACTCTTTTGTTGAAATTTTCCATGACCGTTTTGCATAAATGTGGCTCAATTTCGTTGATACAGCGTTCAATTTCCTCCTGCAAGGCGTAGGTGGTCGTGGGCTTATTGGCATAAACCTTAAACTTTAAAAAACCCCAAAGAAAAAGGTCCAACGGCGTTAAATCGCATGATCTGGGCGGCCAAATCTGATCACCAAAACGGGAAATTACACGACCAGGAAATGACTCATGCAGTAATTGAATTGTTTCTCGGGCTGTATGGCATGTGGCACCGTCTTGTTGAAACCATATGTCGTTCACATCCATATCTTGCAATTTAGGCACAAAAAACTGGTTTATCATATCGCGATAGCGAGCACCATTAACTGTTATTGCCTGACCAGCCGCATTTTCGAAGAAGAATGGTCCGATGATGCCTCCAGCCCAAAATCCGCACCAAACAGTGACACGTTGTGGATGCATTTGTTTCTCAACAATCACTCGTGGATTTTCTGAACCCCAAATGCGACAATTTTCTCGATTAACCAAGCCATCAAGATGAAAATGAGCCTCATCGCTGAAGACGATTTTGTTCGAAAAATCAGCATCCACTTGTTGTGATTTCATAATCCATTCAACGAACTCTCTTCGCTGTGGCTGTTTACCCGATATGCTATTCCATACATAACCCTATACTGTATACTTTATGAATCAATAAAAAATTTACAGTTTTTAATTATAATATTTTTAATTATAAACCTGTGTTTTCTATCAAAATTACTTCTTGCGTGAATTTTGGGACATCCTTTAATTAAATGAATTAGAGAGCAGATAACAAGATATTTATTTCTCCACATTTTCAGCATACCATAATGGAATAATATCCTTGCAAACACATTGTCATTGTGCTTCCCATTACTTCCACAAGGTTGGCGCCATGGAAGATTTTCTCCATGCGCGTTATGAAACTGAAACGTACGTAAATATGCGTAATGTCGCTAAGCTTTTACAAAAATAATATACGCATGCGAATCGAAAAAAAATTAAACATGACACAGTTTCCGTAAAAATGGTGGTAACATCTGTCTTGTGAAAACCTTTAAACATTGCATTAATGCATTATTGCATGTAATAAAAAGCAGCTTGTGTATCTCTAAATAAAATTATTCCGAATATACAGGGTGTCCAAAAACACCCGTCCACTCCTTCTAAAATGTAGAAAATTAATCTTTTTGGGGATCTGAAAAATTTTTATAGTTATGTCGGGTACACTTTTTTGATTGGTGATATTATCAACTTCCGGCTCCGACCGGAAGTGGGTTATTTAGACCGGAAGATCGTTTTTTAAATGAAACATGTATATTTTTATAGCGGATTCCAATTGTACGCATAAAAAACGTAATTTCGGTTTAAAAAATTTTTTTCGAGCTTGGACCCGGTTCGCATGGAACCCTTTTCAAACTTCAAGGACTGAATTGTCGAGAAAATATTAGGTGCGCAACTAAGTTTCCGGGTATCACACATGGATGGCGCTAACGACACATGTAGTCGACATACATGTCTGAAGTTGTGTTTTTTATAGCTTGGACATCTGTTAACAATAACCAGTCGTAATACCAATACATATCGCAACGCAAAAATATTTTTTCTAACAACGAAGATGTCGAGTTTTGTGCCAAATAAACAGCATTTGCAGGAAGCTTTGCTTTTCTGCTTTAATTTGAAAAAAAGTGCAGCTGAAGTCATTTGCTTGAGGAGGCCTACGGCGAACATACACCATCGAAAACTACGTATGAAGATTGGTTTAAACGCTTCAGAAGGGGCGATTTCGACACTGAGGGCAAGGAGCGCTCCGGAAGATCAAAAATAATTGAGGACGCCGATCTGCAAGCGTTATTGGATGAAGATGATACACAAACACAAGATCAACTTGCGGAGGCATTAAACATGACTCGCCAAGGTATTTCCAAACGTTTACATGCCATGGGAAAAATTCAAAAGGAAGGAAAATGGGTGCTGCATGAGTTGACTGAGAGACAGATGGAAAATCGAAGAGCCACTTCCGAAATTTTGCTTTTGCGGCATGAAAGAAAGAGTTTCCTGCATCGAATTGTTACTGGCGATGAGAAGCGGATATATTTCGAGAATCCCAAACGCAAAAAATTGTGGCTTTCACCTGGCGAAGCATCAACATCGACGGCACGGCCAAATCGCTTCGGAAAGAAGATAATGCTCTGCGTTTGGTGGGACCAGAAAGGAATCGTGTACTATGAGCTGCTGAAAAGAAGCCGGGCGAAACTGTCAATGGGCATCGTTACCGACAACAATTGATCAATTTGAACTATGCATTGCTCGAAAAACGGCCAGAATGGGATACGAGACACGAACGAGTGATATTGCAGCACGACAAAGCTTCGTGCCATCGCACTTCCATCATCCAGGATACCATCAAAACGCTGAAATGGGATATACTACCGCACCCGCCGTATTCGCCAGACCTGGCCCCTTCCGATTATCATTTGTTCCGATCGATGGCGCATGGCTTGGCTGGGCAACACTTGGCCAATTTCGGAGAAGTGCAAAATTGGTTGGATGAATGGTTTCGGTCCAAAGACGCGTCGTTTTATCGTCGCGGGATTCGTGTATTGCCAGAGAGACGGCAAAATTGTGTAGCTAGCGAGGGACGATACTTTGAATAAACCATTTTTTGTATTTCTCTTGAAATTTTCCATTTTTCATTGATCAAAAAAACCAGGAAACTTAGTTGCGTACCTAGCAATGTCAACTTACGTATTTTTCGATTTTCTGTTAGATAGTACTGTTATTTTCTCGACAATTCAGTCGCTGAAGTCTGAAAACGGTTTCGTGCGGATCGGACCTAAGTTCAAATGTAAGGTCATTTATAAAGGTCATTTAGAGGTTAAAAATGACGATTTTGAAAAAAATTTTTTAAACCAAAATTACGTTTTTTTATGCGTACAATTGAAATTCGCAATAAAAATATGCATATTCTATTAAAAAAAAAAACGATCTTCCGGTCTGCATAACCCACTTCCGGTCGAAGCCGGAAGTTGATAATATCACCAATCAAAAGAGTGTATCCGACATAGCCATAAAAATTTTTCAGATCCCCAAAAAAATTAATTTTCTACAATTTAAAAGGGATGGACGGGTGGTTTTGGACATCCTGTATAAGTACATATACTTTTACTTGGTCTGACGATTGAAGGTTTCAGTAAAATTACCTTAATATTCTCAAATGATGTTTTACGATGTCGATCATGTTTTCTTTAGTTGTATTGTTTCCTCTCTCGTCTTCTTTGTCGAGCTCGTCCAGTCGTTTGTACAGTACGTTTAATTGACCATAGATGTGCGTTGCGAAAACAGCAGCTAAGGTGCAAACGCCCACTGTAGAAGAATTAACTACAAGGGTCGACATGAACTGCATAACTAACATGATTTCGTTTGTGGGACTAAATCTCGTATCAATAAATTTTCGGTAAGATGGGCACGTCATCGGGTACATCGTTAACCTGTCATTATTAACAACGATGGTAACGGGTTTCATTGCCTTAGCTGTGCTATAGAGTAAAGTACCGCCTTGCATAATTATTCCAGAGATTAAGGCAATGAGACGGCCCAATTTGGCCTGTTGTAACATTATCTCACGGTCGTCGACCCTCTCAACGAGTAGTCAATCCTTCTCCATTTGCTGTATAGAATCGCGAATGTCGCTGCGATGTTTCAGTAACGTCATATAATTCATTAATCCCATGATCCTGTGAAGCAGTGGGCCAAATACGTTCAGCTTGGACTGGACGTCCTCTGCCTCGAGTATCATGTGGAGGAAACACGGTATCGTTATAAAACACACTATAGACTAACAAATAATATTCTGTAGCAACACTATGAGCCTCCCAATCACATTTGATGCGTCCGTTAGCGGCCTAGCGCCAATTGGTTTGAGGTACCACCGATTCAGTTGAAGACTGTAATCGTGGTCGCTTTTGGATTTGACATTTTTTAACACTATTGTATTTGTCATGATCGCTTTATAAAAGCGTCCAATGCACTGCCGCGGTGGGCAGAGCTGCCAGATTCGCTGCATGCCACTAAGCACGCGCATATGGAGGGGGAACGTATGCACGTGTGAGGCGTATCCGTGTGCGCTCAGCGGTCGGCAAGCTTCGAATAGTAGAGAAGGAAAGCGCGATCTGCGCGATCTCTTCCTTTTCTATAGGATAGCTATAGCTATAACACACTGCTAGCTTCAAGATACGCGTTAACTCGCCGACGATATTTTCGCGCGGGCGAAAGAGTGAGAGAGAGCAATAATTTGGACAATTCACTCTTGGCCAACATGTACGTCTTTTTCGCAAAAGAATAATGTTATGTTACGGAAAAATAACTTATGTTAATTTGTGAGATAATTTATTATTAGCACTCAAGAAATATAAAAATAAATTATGTAATTTAATTTTTAAATTATTCTATCACTGCAATCTGTAGTGTGCTAAACAAATAAATATAATGAAATAGAGCAAAATAATTTTGCGATTATATGCATTAACCTATTGCACATTTATTTTGTAAATAATAACGTGCATATTGTTCCTCAACGGAAACCGCGAGAAGATGGTGGTCTCTTCTGTCAATAAGAAAACGTAAATGTATGTTCCATTAATGTAAATGAAAAAAACGTTTTCTCTATTATAACTATTTTATATATAGAATAATTTTGATATATATACAGGGTGGTTGATTATAAGTTGTCAACCCGAAATGTGAAGGTAGATTGGGTTAAGATAAATATAAAAGTCCCATACCGTTTTGCGAAATTCGCAATAATTATCGAGTTATTAATGACAAAAATCTGAGGAATGGGAGCGCGCCGACATAGATAATTGGAGAAGCGTTGCAGCTGCTTAGGCCACAGCGCGGCCCAGTTGATCGAGAAACTGTTGCCGGTGCGCGGCGAGGGGAAAGACAATGCGCTGCTATTCGTTGTTTCATCTCGCCGGACCTACGTATCGCCGCACGCCGCCAACAGTTGCTGGGTCGAGTGGGTCGCGCTGCCCACTCGACCCAGCATTCGCGTGGCCTGAGTAGCTGCAACGCTTCTCCAATCATCTAATCGGCGCGCTCCCATTCCTCAGATTTCTGTCATGAAGAACTCGATAATTATTGCGAATCTCGCAAAACGGTATGGGACTTTTATGTTTATCTTAACCCAATCTACCTTCACATTTTGGGTTGTAAACTTATAACCCCCCGCCCTGTATATCACATGATGACATATGATTACACGTGTGATTAAAAGAATGTATATACAGGGTATCCTGAATGTGATCATTAATATTTTGTGTACTGGTAGATTGGGTGTAGCCGAGAAGAAAAGTCATGTACCATAATGTTAAATTGGCAATAGTTATCGAGTTATTAATTGACATGTGAGCCAATGAGCGCGTAGAAAGCGCTGGGCGGCCGCCTCTTGTCGCTTGCGCTCGCTCATTCGTCGTTCGCGCTCGCTCGCTCCTCGTCGCGCGCGCACGCCTCTTGCCGCTTAAGGCCATCACACGTAGAAAAATTTTAACTGTAACCGTAAGGTTGTAAGAAAGTTGACCAATCACAGTTGATTATTATAATGTCACAAGAGAAAGGATCGACTGTGATTGGTCAGTTTTCTTACAACCTTACGGTTACGGTTAAAATTTTTCTACGTGTGATGGCCTTTACGGTTGCCTCTCGCCGTACGAGGTAAGACATCTTCTTATACACAGAGCCCGTCCTGTCGTTTTCTCGTGCGCTCATTCGTTTACACATTTTAATTAATTACGGAATAAATATTGAAAAAATTGTAAAATGGCACAGGACTTTTTTAATTGTTTTAACGAGTTCTACCAGTACACAAAATATTAATGATCACATTCCGCACACCCTGTATATACATATACAGGGTGTTTGATAGCTGATCATGCAGACGAAAGTTGGAGATAGATTGGGTGTAGCCGAGAAGAAAAGTCATGTACCATAATGTCAAATTGGCAATAGTTATCGAGTTATTAATTAAAACATGTGAGCCAACGAGCGTGTAGAGAGCGGAGGGCGGCCGCAGTAAGCACGTAGACATTTGATACAGGCGGAGTCAGTGAGTGACTGTAGGCAAGCGCACGCGGCGAGGGGCAACGTAAGCGACAAAAGGCGATCGCGCGCGACGAGGAGCGAGCGAGCTTTTTCTTTATAGCTTTTTCCTTATAGCTCGCTCGCTCCTCGTCGTTCGCGCTCGCTCGCCTCTTGTCGCTTGCGCTCGCTCGCTCCTCGTCGCGCGCGATCGCCTCTTGTCGCTTACGTTGCCCCTCGCCGCGCGCGCTTGCCTACCGTCACTCACTGACTCCGCCTGTATCAAATGTCTACGTGCTTACTGCGGCCGCCCTCCGCTCTCTACACGCTCGTTGGCTCACATGTTTTAATTAATAACTCGGTAACTATTGCCAATTTGACATTATGGTACGTGACTTTTCTTCTCGGCTACACCCAATCTATCTCCAACTTTCGTCTGCATGATCAGCTATCAAACACCCTGTATACACCCCTGTATACAAAAGTAACGGGCCATCTTAATAACTCTTCAGTATTTAAGTTTCAAAGAAAATGATCTGAATAAAAGTTGTAGAGATCTACCTTATGATGACCTTAACTTTGACCTTGACTTCTATTTTCAAGGTCATTTGAAGGTCAATTTGCGTTTTTTAAACGGGAATCCTTATTTTTTATTACACTGTTTTTTTCTACTAGTTAATTTGACCAACTTTTGTCCAAAACATTTTTTTATTTGTCTAATATTTTTTTAGATATTTGAGGAAAACTTGATAACTTTTTCAATTTAACTTACGATATTTCGCTAACTATTTGTCGGAGAAAAAAGTAGTGCTAGACTTTCTTGCTTTATTTAGTCTCAAGAATATATTGTTACAATAGCGCCCTGACTTTTGTTAATTTACTGACTTTTGGAAACTTCAAAATTATCAAAAAATCTAAAGCTAAAGATATACTATTTATGAGCTAGTTGGTTATGTTTATCGGTTTTATCTAGTTCATCCAATTGTTTGTACAGTATGTTTAATTGATTACATGCATAGGTCGCAAATGTAATAGCTAGGCTACAAACACCCGTTACAACGAAACCTATTACTAACATCAACGTGAATTGCGAAGTTAGCATGATTTCGTTTGCGGAACTAAATCTCGTGTCGATAAATTTTTGATATGACGAACATATCAACGGATGTATCATAATAATCGTCTCATTATCAATAACGATGATAATAGTTTTCATCACCCTGGCTAAGTTAAAGAACATAATACTGCTTTGCATGATCAATCCACAAAGTCCAGTGATGAGACGGCCCAATTTGGCATATTGCATCATAATTTTATAGTCCTTAATTTTTTGAACAAGTTGCCAGTCTTTATACGTGTCTTGTATACATTCATGAAGATCATTTTTGCTTTTGAGCAACAAGAAATAATTAATAACTCCCATCAATCTAATATATTAATGAATCCATTATATGCATTTTCATCTCATTAGTCTCTGCTTCGAATATTACGTATAATATGTTACCATTATTGTCGTTACCCAGTAAATGAGAATTTATAGCATTATTGCGATCTTTATTATTATTTTATATTTATAAGGATATATCTCTGGCCAAGCACCAATCACTATGAGAAACCATCTATTCAGCTGAACACTATAATCAAAGCCGTCTTCGAAATTGGGACTTTCTGGCTGAAGTTTCTTATTTTATAATTGCTTTGTGAAAATATCGAATACACTGCCGAGGTGTATCATGTTATAACGGTAGTTGAGTAAGCGCATGCGCCAACTTGGAGGATACATTTGGTAGATATTGATGTCTTTTTCTTTCCTGAGAAGGATATGGGAGCAAATCAATAATCGTTCCGAGTGAGTGCTTTGTCCTTTTAGTTGGCTAAAAGCGACAGAGCTAAAAGTAACCACACTGCTACAGATACGTGAAAATACAAAATGTAAAAGTGAATAAGGACTTTTCACAATTATTGTGGTTTATCATTTAGTTTTTCAAAAAATCATCAATAAATATAAATTAAATTCTGTGAAGAACTAAGCAGGAAAGACTACCATGTGTGTATTGTAATCGTGATTCAGTTTATTAAATATTTACTTGTCTGATGAGTCTTCGATGTGTTCTATATTTAAAAAATATGCATTGTACATTTCCTATTTTACTACATTCTATGTAGTCATTGTTCGCAAAATATTTAAATATATCATGGAAGTTTTCATCACCTGAAACAGTGAAATTTAGTTTCTGTTCACAATCATATAAATATACTGTGTTAAAATTATGTTTGTGAACAAATAACATAACATAATATGATTATTATTAGACGATTTAATATAATAATGAAGAGAAAATTAAACTAAATCAATCGATATTTCATTAGACATTTCAGATTTGTTATAGTGATTTAAAATTAAAAGTGGACGGGATTGATAGATGATTTTTATTGGATATAATGCCATTAAAAAAAAATAACTCACTGAATATTACTTACATCTCCAAAAGTTGCAATAGACAAATGAAATAATTTTCCCGCAGTTATCTTAATTATGTTATTCGATCGTGCGATTATTAAAATAAGACAAAGTGCAGATTTTTTAGGTAGTTTATACCAATTAGTCATATATGCCATCTCCCCAACATGTTTGCACTAAAAAATACATAAGTAGAAATATTCTAATTTATATACAAATAGTAGCAATATAATTATATACAAATATATGGCAATACATTATAAAATATTATGGATGCTATAGTTAAAGATATTTATTCTATTTATTTGAAATGTTTTACACAGCTGCAATATTTAAATAATGTTATTAGCCATTTTCGTAATGATAATATAATAATAATTTTAGTATTATATAATATAATAGTTTTACCTGTTCTGTCAGAATTTCGCCGACGTAACAAAATATAAATACATTAAAGCACATAGATAAATATAAAATGATATACGATACTACTTTCGTTGCGTCAAATGCACTCCAGTTCTGAAATATTAATATAGAATTTTATTCACTCTGAAATAAAAAAGAAAAATACTTACTCTGGATGAAATAAAATTAATTAATTTCTTTTGTTATTAAATTATTTCGCATTGTTCTTTCACATCAATTCTATCGTTATTAAATAACGGTAACGTCTTTAATTATCCATTGCCATATATGTTATAACATATTTTCTCTAAGCATACCACAATAAAATAATATCCAAGTAAACACATATTTAACGTAGACCCCATTAATTCCGTGAAGCAGGCTTTATACATAATATTCTCCATACGTGCTATGAAACTGAAACATATCCATACGGTTTTAACATGTTCAATAATGAAGGCAAAAGTGACGTTTTTATATTGTAGAATATTTTTGCATATTACATATGTGAACAAATACATTTAACAAATAAGTCGATGTTCTTCGTATATATTAGGTGTAGTAAAAAGAAATCCATTATTTTTCCAATAGACGGCTTTAGTTATTTGTATCTCGCGTTGTATAAGTCCGATCGGGTTCCACTAAATGGCGTTAGAAAGATGAGATTTCGTACTAAAAAAACTTTTCTGACAGTTTTGTGATTAGTTGACTCAGTTTTGTTTGAACGCGCGTCAAAGATGGACACTAGCAAAGAGAAAATACGCTATATTTTACAGTTTTTCTTCGATAAAGACGAAAACGCAAGCCAGGCGGCTGAAAATGTGAATAGTGTTTATGGTCCTGATACTGTAACAGCCAATCACGCGCAATTTTGGTTTCGTCGATTCCGTTCCGGTAATTTTGATGTCAAAGATGCACCACGCACTGGAAGGCCAATTGTCGAAAATATCGATAAAATCATGGACATTGTCGAGTCCGACCGTCATGTAAACACTGTTTCGATTGCCCAAGAGCTAAAGATTGCACAAAAACCGTTTGGAACCATTTGAATAAGGCTGGATACAAAAAGAAGCTCGGTGTATGGGTGCCACATGAGTTAACGAAAAAAAACCTCATGGACCGAATTTCCATCTGCGAATCGCTGCTGAATCGCAACAAAATCGACCCATTTCTGAAGCGGTTGGTCACTGGTGATGAAAAGTGGATCACTTACGACAACGTCAAGCGAAAACGGTCGTGGTCGAATCGCGGTGAGCCGGCGGAAACGGTGGCCAAGCCAGGATTGACGGCCAGGAAGGTTTTGCTGTGTGTTTGGTGGGATTGGCAGGGAATTATCTACTATGAGCTGCTCCCCTATGGCAAAACTCTTAACTCGGAACTGTACTGTCAACAATTGGACCATCTGAAGGAAGCAATCGCCCAGAAGCGGCCAGCTTTGGCCAATAGGAGAGGAATTGTGTTCCATCAGGACAACGCCAGGCCACACACATCGATGACTCGCCAGAAGCTCCGGGAGCTTGGTTGGGAGGTTCTTATGCATCCACCTTATAGTCCGGACCTGGCACCAAGTGATTACCATCTGTTCCTGTCCATGGCGAACAATTTTGCTGGTGAAAAATTCGCTTCAAGAGAGGCTTGTGAAAATCGACTGTCTCAATTTTTTGCCAATAGGGACGAGGGCTTCTATGAGAGAGGCATAATGAAATTACCTTCAAAATGGCAACAAGTTATCGAACAAAACGGCGCATATTTGACCTAAATCGGATCATTCTAACTATGGTAATTAAAGCCTTCAATTTCATGTAAAAATAATGGATTTCTTTTTACTACACCTGATATTATGGTATGAGATAGTATCTCAAAATCTTGGAAAATTTAAAATTTTATATTTCAGGTTTTCGAGTATTACTCGAAAATTTATCCATAATGTGGAAACATAATATTTACTTGTTGTTATTGTATTTTTATGTAATATTGTGTCTAATATCATATATCCACACTAAATGCAATGGAAAATTAACAGTTAACATTAACAGTTAAGTTATACCTCAGAATTCTCAAATGATGTTCTACGACAACAGCCAGATTCTTATTAATCGAACGTTCTTCCTTATCATCGTCATCTACAAGCTCGTTCAACCATGTGTACAATACACTGAGCTGACCACAAGCGTGCATCGCGAAGACAGCAGCAAAGCTGCACATCCCTACTGTAGAAGAACTCACTACGAATGCCGAGAAAACTTGCACAATCAACATAATCTCGTTTATAGGGCTGAATCTCGTGTTAATGAGCTTGCTATATGCTGGACATGTCATTGGATGCATCGTATAAGTTTCGTTGTCGATCACGAAAGTAGTGGTCTTCATCGCCCTACCTAACGTGAAAAGTATCGCGCCTCCTTGCATGAAGGCAGCGCTGATTCCTGCTATGAAGCGGCCAATCTTGGCGTGTTGCAGCATCACTTCGCGATCGTTGATTCTCTGTACGATTTGCCAGTCTATCTCCATGTGTCGTATGCAATCGTGAATGTCTTTGCTGCGTTTTAGCAGCACATAATAATTAACCGTGCCCATAATCCTGTGTAATAGCGATCCCATGACGTTCAATTTGGACTTGAAGCTCTCCTTCTCGAACGACACGTACAGTATGCACGGCACTGTAATTATCGCCACCGTCATCGCGCACGTGAAAATTTGTATCGACATGAAGATTCTCTTGACCATACTCGACGAGTTTATTTGCGGCCAAGCTCCGATCGGTTGGAGGAACCACCGGTTTATTTGTAAACTGTAATCGTTGACATTCTCGAAATCGATCTGTTTCGAGATACCTTTCCGACGTATCATGGTCGTTTAACGAAAGCCTACAATGTACTGTTACGATGGAGAGCGCTTTGGCAAAAATTGCATTCGAATAAGCGCCTGCGCCTGCTTCAGATAAAGTTTGGTGAACGCTTATAGCGATACCTTTTTATCTCCAACTAGAGACAAGTATATGTCCGATCAATAATCGCTCCTAGCTAGTACTTTATTCTGTTAGTTTGGCAAAAGGTTGCATCTTGAGAGGAATATGACGAACTTTTTTTAAGAATAAGTATCAATTTATTCGAATTTCGTATCTAGCTGTTGAGTGTTATTTTGCGTTTGTAATTTTACGAGGTAGGATACAAAGCATAATAATTTAAGGTTTCTAGATTGATGAATTGGGACATAAAGTTCAAGCGGTAATGATAAGTTTTAATTTTTCTATTTGATTATCGTTTAAGTAAGAGGACGTTATTTAACTATAATTTTCTGCATTTCTAATTGCTACTACATCGATATATTTGTAGTTATATAAAAGATATAATTTTCATTCACTACGTGCACGTTGGTAGAATTTATAATGTAATAGCATTTTTAATAATGCATTTTTCAAATAGTAATTTATATGTTTGTATTTAAATAATACGAGGGTGGTCCGATAAGTACTTAGCCTACAAAAGAAAAACGAAAATTTTGGAAAAGTGGCGATTTATTTCTCAACATAGTCTCCTTTTAGCTCGATACACTTGACCCAGCGATGTTCCAACTTATTTAACCCGTCTGAAAAATACGTTTTCTCGAGGTCTGCAAAGTAGGCCTCCGTGGCGGCGATGACCTCCTCATTCGACTCAAATTTCTGCTCGGCGAGTGACTTTTTCAAGTTTGGAAACAAAAAGAAGTCGCACGGGGCCAAATCTGGAGAATACGGTGGATGGGGCAGCAGTTCGTAGCCCAATTCGACCAATTTGACCGTGGCGAGGGCGGAAGTGTGAGCCAGTGCGTTGTCATGGTGGAAGAGCACTTTTTCCTTCGCCAAATGGGGCCGGTTTTTCTGCAATTCGGCGTCGAATCGGCCCAATAATTCGGCATAGTACAGCCCTGTGACCGTTTTGCCCTTCTCCAGGTAGTCGATGTAGATCACACCTTGTGAATCCCAGAAAACGATGGCCATCACCTTTCCGGCCGATAGGACAGTCTTCGCCTTCTTCGGAGCACGTTCGCCGGGTGAAGTCCACTATTTCGACTGTTCCTTGGTCTCTGGTGTGTATCAGTGGATCCATATTTCGTCGACGGTCACGAAACGACGCAGAAACTCCTTCGGATTGCGCTTAACCACTTGCGCTGGAAAGACGTGCCACGCACGTCGTAATGCTTTTGTCACAGAATCGCCAACGACGTGGTATGTACGTCGTCATGCGATTGTCACAGAAACAAAAACGACGTGCGTGGCGCGTCGGGTGGGATTGTTTGCCAGACACAAATGCCAAAAAGAATCCACAGCGAAGGTGTAGAGTGTGTACCAAACACAAAAAACGAAGTGAAACTATATGGGAATGTAAGAAATGCCTTGTACCATTACATGTTCCGAGAGATGACTGTTTCGAGAGATACCACACTTTGCATGATTATTAATAAATAAATTAAATATTTATATTTGTATAATTTTATAATCAATCGACGCTCTATATTCCCTTCAAAAAGCTATTAAAAGTCCTAGGTCGAAAATAAATTAGTTTAGAAAATATAAACCTTTTTCCGATTTCTGTAAGGCATCGAACACTGTGTGACGCCTCTCAGCGAGTTACACTGGACCGTTCTGGTACACGCGTCAGTGAATTTTTTGCCAGCGCAAGTGGTTAAACAGCGTCAAACACTGCTCTGAAGTGGTCTCACGGTTGCGCTTGTTGTCCGGAGTGAGCAAACGCGGCACCCATCGCGCCGACAGCTTTCTCATGCCCAAAATTTCATGCAGGATATGACCCACGCGGTCTTTTGAGATGCCTATTGTCTCAGCTATCTCGCGCACCTTCAATCGGCGGTCTGCCAATACGAGATCGTGGATTTTTGTCATGTTATCCTCCGTGGTAGCCGTTCTCGGGGCACCTGGGCGTGGCTCATCAAAAACCGACGTGCGACCACGTTGAAACTCGTTAAACCAATTTTTGACGGTCGCCATCGAAGGAGAAGAGTCACCGTACACAGCATCCAAGCGCTCTTTGATTTCGCTGCGCGATTTCCCTTCCAAAAACAAGAATCGAATCACCGACCGATATTGCTCTTTTTCCATTTTTCTAAAATCCGCGGACACGCCCGCTTCCACACGCGATCAAAGCAAAACTACGAGTCCGATTCGGCTGAAATTTCGACAGTAACCGTCTACGAGAATGTACTACACGATAGTAAATTTCTCTTCGATAGTGGCGCCATCGGGCGGTGAGGCTAAGTACTTATCGGACAGCCCTCGTATATATGTGTAAATTAACCGCATCCATTGCTAGAAAAATTGCTGGAGATTACTAAGAAATTTAAAGAGTTACGATGACAACTAGAAAGTTTGCTAATACTTCATATAAAACTTGTAACGTTATTGTTTAAGTCGTCATGGTTCGAAGCATGTTTAGATATATCATTGAGGTCTTCATCACCTGAAATGTCGCGCGATCGTACAGATTATATTAGGTTTATATGAAAAGCAACATACATCAGCATACACTCACGTCACCGAAAGTTGCAATAGAAAGATGGACCAGTTTCCCCGCGGTTAATTTAATTACCATACTCGATCGGGAAATAATCAATATCAAACCAAGGGCAGTTTTGTGGGGTAAACGGTACCATTCAGTCATATAGGCTGTTTCGCCTATCTGTTTACACTGTTAAATAATTTTTTTATAACATATGAAAGTTTTAACATTTAAATATTATATTTTGAAATTTTATGAATCTACTGATGAACGCGTTTAACATTTCATTTTTGTGATTTTTTTTAGCTATTAAAATGATTCCATACTTAAGATATTATCTTATTGATGTATCTCATTCATTTCAGTATGCTGTGATCGTATCGTGTAACATCACATCACATCCATATTCATTGTAAAAATTGTTGAAGATTGCTAAGGAAGAGTTGAGAACGAGATAACTATTTACAAATGTTGAAAAACATATATACTTTGGAAGATTACTGTGAGAGCTGCAAATTTACGATTGACATTCTGAGGTAAACGAGGCACATCAAGAACGTGACACGTCAAATTATCTTTAGATAAGTAGTGTTCTTTTACCTGTTCTGTAAGTACTTCACCAATATAACAAAATATAAAAATGTTGAAGCTCATGGACATGTATATGATCATATAAGCGATTGAGGTTTGTTTCTCTATTACATTCCAACTCTGAAAAATTTCGTATATTTCGCTTCAAAAAATGAAGATACTTATTCATAATATGTCATTAATATTAAGAATGTTATAAATTCAAATGAAATATTAGCTAATAATTTAATACTGGAACGTTTCTTTCAACAATTGGTTGACTCTACACGAAAATCGCGGGATATTGAATTGTTGTTGAATTTTAATTATATATTCACCTTTCTATTTTTTAGCGTACCGTAATGGTGTAATATCCAAGCATACATAGGTTAAACGTACATCCTAGCAACTCGACAAAACATATTTGATTTAAAAGTGCTTCCATACGCATCACAAAGCTGCAATTGCAAAAATTTTAACGTGTCATTATAAATGTCCTTTAATCTTCCTTAAGAATAAATTGCATCATTTAAACTGTGCGATCTACATTATATCGATATTTAAATGTAATATATTAACAATTTTTATTAACATTATTACATTAATAATGAAAAAATAGATTATTGAATTGAATTTTATTAAATTATTATTATTATCAAGTTTTATAATTAAATATATGAGAAGAGGCTGGAGGAAGGGAAGGAGGGAGAAATAATAAGAAGGCGCTGGATGGAGATGAGGAATAGGGCGAGGAGAGGAAAGGAACTGGGGAAATGGGAGGAAGAAAGGAGAAGGTTTTTTGAAGATAGGGGGTGGAAAATAGAAAAGGTGGAGGAGTTAAGGAAAGGGGGAGGGGAGATAAGGAGAGAGGAAATAAAGATTAGAGAAAGGAGAAGACAGGAGGAGGAAAGATGGGAAAAGATAGGAGAATCGAGATACAATGAGGGATATGGAAGGGTGAAGGGGAAGGGGGTGCCAGAATATTTGAAAATGGGGTGGGGAGAGAAAAGATGGAGGAGGATAGCGAGATTCAGGATGGGATGTGAGTTGAGAGAAGGAAGGTATTGGGAGGAGGAGGAAAAGAGGAGGTACAGGATGTATGGGAGAAGAGAAGAAACGTGTAAGTATATATGGGAGGAGTACACAAGATGGGAGGAAGAAAGGGGATGGCAGGAGACAGAGAAGGAGGTGGGAGAGGAGGGAAAAGGTGGAGAGGTGGATGAAGGAAGTGGAAAGATGGTGGGGAGGAGTGGAGGGGGAAGGAGGGGAAGGGAGAGGGAGATAGAAGGAACACCGGAAACGGAGGTCATGGTATGAAAGGAAAGGAGTGGAGAGTGAGAGAGAGGGAGTGAATGGAGAAGTATGATGTGTGTGTGAGGAGCGCTCTCTCTCTCGAGCGAAATAGTATGTAAGAAGTAAGAAAGCGAGAGTAGTATGTAAAGGATAGGATAAGAATTGTAACCCCAAGGGGAGGCAATAAAGAATAAATTATAATTAAATATATAATTGAAGTATTTTTTTATATATATGAGGATATTAATAATTTAATGACAAGATAAAATATTGAATTGAAATTTGAAGACGTCAAAATATATACAGATACGTAAATTTTAACTTGTAACACGTTAGAGAAGAATATGAGTAAAATCAGAATTGTTTCCATTTTTTACAGTAACGCACCTTAATACCCTCAAATGGTGTTCCACGATAATAGCCAATCGACGTTGAACCGCATCGAATTGTCTCCGATCGTCCACTAAGTGGTCCAACCATCTCATCAGCACATTCAGCTGACCGCATGCGTGCATCGCGAATACCGCCGCGAGACTACAAGCGCTGATAGTGATCGAATTAACGACAATGCTAGAAATGAGTTGCAATACTAGAGCGATCTCGCCTTCCGGGCTGTATCTGATATCCACAAATTTGCTGTAAGAGGGACACGGTAACACGTGTACTATCACACTCTTATTGCCGATGTAGGCGATCGTCGGCGTGATGCCTTGCAGCAGGCTATGGGAAAACACGCCACTATGCATGAAAACGGCGCACAAACTAGCGACGAACCGGCCGAACTTGGCATATTTCAGCATCACTCGCCGGTCTTCGATTTCCGTCACTGTTCGCCAATCGGTCTTTATGTGTTGCATGCAACGACGTATTTCGCGGCTGCGGAACAACAACGAGAAGTAATTCATGCCACCCATGCACCAGTGGCTCAGCGGCCCTACGGCTTTCAATTTCATGTGGATGTCGGTTTCCTCGAACAGGATGTTCAGGATGCATGGTACGACTACGAAGGCTATCAGGGAGTAGCAGATGATTATTTGTATCGTCGACCGCAATTTTTCTCCGACCGTTGTTGTGGCTGATCTCGGCCAAGCACCTACTGACTTCAAGAACCAACGATTCAACTGAAGACTGTAATCGCTCGCATCCTGTTGCGAAACCGCGGATGTCACAGGCTCGTCGGTGTCCATGATCACTCAAAGAAGGCGCGAATGTTACTGAATGGATTGCTAGACGTTGCGGACAAGAAGTGGCGCTTGCGCCTGTGAGAGGTCTATGTTTCTTGGTAGGTAATAATAGGATATTTTTTGTGCGTGTCTAGTAAGTCGATCGATAGTTATAGTGCGTAGAGTACAGTTACATTATTACCGTGAAGACTATGGGTTGTCTAACAAGGAAATTGACTTCCATGATTATATATGATATTATAGCGAATGTGTACTTATATGTTTTGGTTTATAACTCATGAAATTATTCTCTCATATTATTTTACATTTATATGTTTAGATATTTAATACTTGCGAATCGCGTGCCGCGTTCTTGAATATGTTACTCCGAAGGAAATACTTTTCATGCAATATAATAAGCATGCACAATAATAATTATGCTGCAAATTCGTGAGTTAAGTATTCTTATGATCTTATGAGAAACATTGTTGTGGAAATTTCTAATTGCTATCTTATTAAAGGCAATATCGTCACGGATATTGCATTTGTTCTATGCAAAATATATACAATTTTTAGCATTAGTACATAGTCGTACGTATTCATTCAATACTCATTTCTTTAATTAATAAATAAATTTGCATTAAAATATTTTGTTACTAATAACTGAAAATTTTACATAGTTTTTTGCAAAGTGGTAGAATACTTTTTTATTTAAGTTTATCTAATTTATACATATACAAATATGAGAGCTTTGTATGTATTGTTAAATACTCTACTATATACAGATACTAGTGAAAATATTTATCTGTTTCGGTTGACACATGGAATTTTTCTTTCATTATTCTACATTTATGTGTCTAAATGTTTAAAGATTGCGGATTGTGTACGGTGTTCTTAAAAATGTTCTTAAAAGTATTACTCAGAAGAAAATATTTTTTATGCAATATAATGATCATCTTGCAAACTTGTGAGGTAAGCATTTACGATCTCTTATGAAGCATCGTTATTGAGATTTCGAAATAATTATTTTTAGTTAAAAATCGACATATCATCGATATATCGATATCGTTTTAAAATAACATAATGAGAAATACATAGTAGCCTCCATAGTACTTTATTAAATATTCATTTATTAAATATTTGTTCTATCTTGTAACTGTATCGCATCTGTTATATACAAAATATATATTTTACTTTTCCTAATTTAACATTGTTTACGTAGGTGTCATCGTTCTTAATATATTTAAATAGACCACAGAAGTCTTAATTACCTGAAACAGCAAGATCTTCCTTTTTCTATTTACAATAATGTTACTTATTTTGGAAAATTTAACATTAGTACATTTAAATTTACAAATATCATATATTCGAAGATATAGACAGATAATAAATAAAGAGAGATGAAGAGAGGAATTTTGCAATAATTTGTAATATATGTAAAATATAAAATATAAGAAATATATTATTAATATATTTATAATTATATTAATATATAATTAATAATAATTAATAATATATTTATAATTATATTAATATATAATTTATAATATTATTAATATATTATTACATTTTTATTAATACATTGTCATAATAAGTAGGATATACGTTCTACTTACATCACCAAAAGTTGCAATAGACAATTGAAATAATTTACCGGCTGTTACTTTGATAACGTTATTGGATCGCGCTATTATCAAAACGAGACCGAGGGCAGTTTTATGTGATAATTCGTACCAATTGGTCATGTACGCTTGTTCGCCAACATTTTTACACTAAATAAACATGATAAATAAACATACGCGTAATAAATTCATCTTACAAGCGTACAGGAATATGTCGAGATGAATTAAAAAATATCGTAAAATAAAGTTCAAATGCAATATCAGTAATTGGATAAAAATCGAGTAATAAAATCACATATATGATATGATACGCGTGTACGTGAATATGAAAAGAAGAGTATTAATTATTATCTCGAGCTTTAATACCTGTTCCGTGAGAATCTCGCCGATGTAGCAAAATATAAAAATATTGAAAGCCATAGATATGTACACCATGATATATGACGTTATTTTTGCCCCGTCAAAATCACTCCAGTTCTGGAAAATCGGAAATGACATTTAATATTTTATAAATGGGGAAAGAACAAAACTACTACTACGACGCTACTACAACATATTCACCTTTTCAGATCTTTAGCATACCGTGATAGAATAATACGCAAGCAAACACATATTCATCGTGCATCCCACCAATTCCACAAGACAGATATATTGCATAATATTCTCCATACGCGATATGAAACTGCAAAGCATGCGTATAAATGTACACATCTTTGTAGTAAAAAGAAGCTGCAGTAAACTTCAAACTTCCTCTCACAACAATGTCACTCTCGTGCAACAATAGTTATTTATTATAGATTGATACGCTAAAATGTCGAATGTGACTAAATGCGTATAATCTAATTAACATCGCATGAAGTGAGGTTCTTGCGAAACAGTACGGTCTTTGATCGACGAGTGAATTACCTCAGCACTCTCAGGTGATGATCCACGATGGCGGCCAGTCTCTGATTCGCCAGATCATTTTCCTTATCTTCGTCGGCAACAAGTTTGTTCAACCACGAGAACAACATGCTCAATTGGCCATAAGCGTGCATGGCGAATACTGCAGCGAGACTGCATGCGCCCACCGTAACCGAATTCACTATGAAACACGACACCAACTGCACCGCCAGCATGATCTCGTTCGCAGGGCTGAATCTCGTGTCGATGAACTTGCTGTAGATCGGACAGGTCATCGGGTGCATCGACATGGTCTCGTTGCCGATTACAACGGGCATGGATGTCATCGCCTTAGCTACGGTGAAAAGGAATGTACCGCTCTGCATGAAGATCGCACAGAAGCCGGCGACGAAACGGCCGATCTTCGCGTACCGCAGCATCACTCCTTGATCACTCATCTTTCGTGCTAGCTTCCAGTCCATTTCCATGTGCTGGACACATTCGCGAATATCACCGCTGCGCGTCAGCAGTAGCCAATAATTAATCGTGCCCATGATCCAATGGCTCAGCGGGCCCATGGCGATCAATTTCATCTGGACGTCCTTCTCCTCCAACGACACATATAACAAGCATGGCACCATGATGATCGTTATCAAAAAGATGCAAGTGAGAATATGTACTCGTGAGGAAAGTCTGCGTATTGTCGACGTGCTCGCATATGGCCAGGCTGCGATTGGCATCAAGAACCAACGAGTCAACTGAAGGCTGTAATCGTTGTTGCTTTTGTATGCGAATTCGATGTCTGTCGGCATGCGCCCGTGCTTTGTCATGATCGCTACGCGGAGGCGCACGATGCACTGACTGCCACGGCCGATGCACCTGTCCGGAGGTGCACTGAAACGGGCGCCTGCGCAAATCTTTAGAATGAATACGTTTGATGTAATGAACGGCTAGGCTGATGTAATTTTTTTCTGGAAGAAGCGCGTGTACGCCTAATCGATGATTGATGCATGCGGAAGTATCGCACGCGCGTTGACCACGTGGGCGGAGAACACAAAGGGAAACGTATGCAGGACGCAGGTGAAAAGTACTTTGCGTTATTAATTTCGTCCTGTAGAATTGTGTGTGCAACTTGCTATACAATATATGTGATTAAAGGAGAGTGTTAACTTACGACAATTAGTGGGTTTGTTCTTTTTCGAAGAATTTCCTGAACTGGTGTATACTGGTGCAATAGATTAGAGTGAGACAAATATACATATACTTTGTTTTATTCTAATTTAAAGCACCAATGTACATCAGTTCAGAAAGTCCTTCGAGAAGAAGTTTAAATAATAAATATTTTATAAATCCCATAAATATTTGATCTTTTGAAACTTGGAAGATTTGCACGTTCAACTTGAATATCAATGCAATCGTGTTGTATTCGTGAATAATTCGGCTCTAAAAGCTATATTGTAATCACTTGTTTCTATTGTTTATTAAATACTGTTTTCTACTTGGTAGATGGTACCACACATCTTAATTCCATATAAAATATGGAATTAAGTATTAAGCCATATTAAATTTCTTTGCTAAAGCTACAATATATTCACACACAAATGGAGGGTGTCATCGTTCGCAACATATTCAAATATACCATGGACGTCTTAATTACCTGAAAAAGTAACATCTCTTCCTTCCTATTTATAATATAAATTAACAATATTTCAAACGTTTTTTACACTACATTTAAAATTAGTGCGTGAACGTAAACTGAGAAGTGAAGTCACGTAAGAACGTTCTAATCATTTATAATATAATGTAAAAACAATATACATTAACTTTTTATTGATATGGTTCATTATGAGTGTAATGTATGTATTACTTACATCACCGAAAGTTGCGATTGATAATTGAAATAATTTTCCAGCAGTCATCTTGATAACGTTACTCGATCGTAATATTATCAAAACAAGTCCGAAAGCAGTCTTGTGTGGTAATTCGTACCAGTTAATCATATATGCCTTTTCGCCAACACTTCTGCACTGATAAATGCAAAGTTCAAAGTTTTTTTTTCTATGAGTAGCCCAAAAATATAAAGAAATTTATGAAATATCAAGGTATATTTAAACATGATATTTAAACAATATTAACGTCTTTATAAGGAAACTTAAATAGTTATCCCATGCCATGAAATATCGTTAAATAGTTACCTGTTCCGTGAGAATTTCGCCGATGTAACAGAATATAAAAATATTAAAAGCCATAGATAGATAAATAATGACGTATGACATTGTTTTCGGTGCGTCAAATGTATTCCAATTCTACAAAGCCAGACATATAAGTTTGACTAACGAAAGATTGATTACTTTTACTATTTCAGTCAAGTTATTCAATCGCGTTAACCTGGGTATTTCGTGAATAAAATATATAACGTATACATATATTACAGGCTGTCACATATTCACCTTTCACATCATTAGCGTACCGTAATAAAATAATATGCAAGTAAACACATATTCATCGTACACCCCAACAATTCTACAAGACAGACATGTTGCATGACATTCTCCATACGCGATATAAAACTGCAACGTATACATATAACTGTAATGTTCGGTTGCATTCTCTTCTTATAAGAAGAGCAAGCAGAAGAAAAGATGTGAAACTTTGATTAAATATAAATTTCTATACATCCAATCTCAAGCCATTTTTTAAGTAAAATTTCATTCAACGAATCGAGTTTCGAGAACGACCGAATTCAATGCTGAAGCGATACCTCAATACCCTCAAATGATGTTCCACGATAAGAGCCAGCCTTTGATCGGCTGATCCCCCCTCATTTCTATCCACGACGAGTCCGTTTAACCACGAAAACAGCATGTTCAGCTGGCCGCACGCGTGCATAGCGAAGACCGCGTCGAGGCTGCAGGCTCCTACCGTGACTGAATTCACTACGAAGCACGATAGCAACTGGACTACTATCATGATCTCATTCGCTGGACTAAATCTCACGTCGATGAACTTATTGTAAATCGGACAGGTCATCGGATGCATCGACACAGTCTCGTTGCCGACGACGACGATCGTGGTGGTGAGCGACTTGGCTATGCTGAAGAGAAAAGTGCCGCTCTGCATGAACACCGCGCAAAATCCAGAGACGAAGCGACCGATCCTGGCGTGTCGCAGCATCACTTCTTGATCCTCGATCTTCTGCACAAGTCGCCAGTCCGCCTCCATGTGCCGCACGCATTCCTGGATGTCGTCACCGTGTGCGACTAACAGCCAATAATTGATCATGCCCATGAACCAGTGGCTCAGCGGGCCGAAGATGCTAATCTTTACTTGAACATCCTTCTCTTCCAACGACACGTACAATAAACACGGCACTGCAATGATCGCTATCAAGCTGGAGCAGGTGAGAATATGCGCATGCGACGAAAGTCTAGCCATCCTCGTCGTCGTGGTCGTGCGCGGCCAAATGCCGATCGGCATAAGGAACCAACGAGTAAGTTGGAGACTGTAATCATTGTTGCTCTTGCACGTGATTCCCGTGTTGCTTAACACGCGCTCAGAAGCCGTCATGATCGCTTCGCGAAGGCGCACGATGCACTGGCGATGCGGTAGTGCTTCGGCTGGAGCTATATTTGTATGAGCGCCTGCGCGAATCTTTAGAGCGAAGCTTCCATGAACGAACAAAGTGAAATACTTCCGAAGAGAGACTTCTGCATGGCTGATCGATAATTGTTGTTCTCGAAACTACAGCGTTGGAGATCTCGACGGAGAACGCAGTGGGAACAAACAGAAAATGGTCAGAAGTGATTTCATTAACGTTCTTTTGTGATACCTTGTGTATATTGCGACATTAATTAAAAAAATGCCAAGTACTTATGATAATTGATTTCTTGTCACATCAATTTTGCGGCAGTTCGTACCGATTATACAATTATATTACCGCACGTACAGATGTTTCAAGTATTTTGTTTCATTTTTATAGCAGCGTTTATAAAACTTGTCAGTTATAGCGAAAAGTATGGCGATAAAATATTTCACATCGGATATAATTGTAAATTTAAATCATATCTTTCACTTGCTCATTGTGTACCATATACGTCATATGTAATGTATATTTTTAATAACAATATCACAATAAGATATCGTAAAATATTTTGAGTAGAATGCAAGGGTTAAAAATTTCACGCAATATACATATTGTCGTAAATAATAACATTCTTATATGAACTATAATATTTTTGTTAAGTATCTCTACTTTTTAAAAAAGAAATACCTTTATCTCAAAGTTATGTATGTTTATTTTAAAAAATGCTATACAAGTAAGAGATAAACATAGAAAATCTCTTACAAGCACGCAGATTTACGTCATAGTAACGGTTCGCAACATATTGAGATAGACGAGAGAGGTTTTGATTACCTGTAATAAAAAATTATTCTATCAATAACTCTAAAATGAAGTTTATCGGTACTCACGTCGCTGAAAGTCGCGATAGAGAGTTGAATCAATTTTCCAGCAGTTATTTTAATCACGGTGCTCGATCTCGATATGATCAAGATTAAACCAAGAGCTGTCTTGTGAGGTAAGCGATACCAATCGGTCATATATGCTGTTTCCCCAACTTTTTTACACTAACAAATAAGATAACGCCATACTAAGAATGCACAAATATATGAAGATCTAGTCGATCATTTTTCCTTACCTGTTGTGTTAAAATTTCACCTATGTAGCAAAATATAAAAATATTAAAACTCATCGATATATAAACGATAATGTATGCCGCTATACTCTTCGTGTCAATTTTATTCCACCACTAAAAGAATCGTAGCGCATTTTTTTCCAAAAATTTAACAAAATTTTCGGAATTTAATTGAGAAATGTCTCTAATTAATTCCAATTACATATTCACCTTTCAAGATGTTTAGCGTACCGTAATGGAGTAATATCCAAGCATACATAAATTAAACGTACATCCAACTAATTCTACCAGACATATCTGATTCATAACATCTTCGATATAAGCTATAAACCTGAAATTAATGTGATAAAGCTAAATTTTTCCTTTACATATAACTAAATCTTGAAAGACTTTATCTGTAGTACATGCACTAATATTTATTATAATTTTTCCATCCATATCTATATCAAGAAAGAGAAAGAGATTTTTTTTAAATATATTTTTGTTCAAAGTTCTGTAATTCGTGATATTTATTTATGCAATAAAAATAATGAAATGAAGTGATTTAACTTAAATCGTTTATATGCAAAGACTTGCAGCATTATTTCTTAAACAAACTTTTGATATCAATACATATATCGATATTTTTGGATGTTTGAATGTATAAATAAAATTGGATATATAAATTTACGATCACGTGATAAGTAAAATTATATTTTACTTTTAGATACTTAAGTCTGGGCACCTCAAAACACGCAGGTGATGATCCACAATGTTAGCCATCCTCTGTTGAGCCGACTCATTTTTCTTCGCATCCTGGCTTTCGACAAGTTTGTTCAGACGCAGGTTCAGGATGTCGAGTTGCCCGCATGCGTGCATAGCGAAGACAGCGGCCAAACTGCATGCGCCGACAGTGGTAGAGTTCACTATGAAACATGAGATCAGTTGCATCAGTAGAACGATCTCGTTCGCCGGGCTGAACCTGGTGTCGACAAATTTACTGTAAAATGGACACGGTAGCTGGAGCATCGAGACGCTCCCGTTGCCGACCGAGACTTCTATCTTCGTCATTCCGGATACAATGCTATAGGAAAACACGCCGCCGTGCATGAATACCGCGCAGAAACCCGCCATAAAACGACCCAATTTCGCGTTTTTCGCCATGATATCGCGATCCTGAGGTCGCTTGATAACCTTCCAGTCCGTCTCCATATGTTGCACACATCGGAGTATATCGGCGTTACGCAGCAAGAGAGAACAATAATTCATTCCGCCCATGAGCCAATGGCTCAGCGGGCCAATCGCTCGCAATTTCAAGTCAAGATCCTTCTCCTCAAAGAAGACATTCAACGCGCACGGTATCACGGTGAAGGCGATAAAAAAATAACAGGTGAATATCAGAGCTCTGGACACGGCCTTTTCACTCCTCGTGCTAACGGAGGATCGCGGCCACGCGCCTATTGGCTTCAGGAACCAACGATTCAGCTGCACGCTGTGATCATGGAGGTCCCTGATCACTGACTGACACATGATGGCTGTATGCCGGTACGACGTCTACTAATCGACCATCGCAGACGCGCTTAGTCGGTTATAATCGCGGCGTCTGCGCGAAGGTAAACGGTCGCTTACCACGAAAAGAGTTCGATCGATTGACTACCATCGTTGGACTTGTTGCTTTGCTGACATTGTGGTGAGTGCAATTATATAGTTTGAGCCGGTCGACTAAATAAAGACAAAGAAAAAATAATCTCTGCGCGCGCACAGTTCAATTGTTGTACATCAAATATAACACGTCTAATCTAAAGGACGATTACATATCATGACAAGAAAGGGTTGATCTTATAGATAAGATTAGATATGTGGAATTTGAGAAAGTAGCAGAAATTATTACTCCGAAAAATTCCAAATATCTCGTCTCACCCTGACAAATTTTTATAAGTCAATCTTCTTCGGAAAACAATAGCAAATCGCCGAGGTACTTTGCTAAGAAAATTTCCTAAAAATAGAAGTGTCTTCAGACGTTTCTGGGGGTTATGGAGTCCGTTTGAAGCTGTAATTATATTATAATTCGTATAATTTGTATAATACATTATAGCAAAGGAATACTACGCTCTGACAAAAAAATAAAACGGAAAAGAGAAAGAAAGAAAAGGAGGGAAATAAGTGAAGTTGACGCGTAGGTTCTTTGTCTAATTTATTCTAATTGTATGATATTTATAACTCATAGAGAGACAGTACGAAGAATGTTTAAGTAGGCAAGAGATGTTTTAATTACCTGAAATGAATGACACTTTAATATATTTGGAAAATACTTGAAAAATTGTGATATTGCCAATTTTTTTCTTTTCTTTCAGGAAATCGTTCAAACTCATGCATCAATGACTTCTTTAAGATATTCAGCAATTATGTATATAACGATGTATTTATTGCATATCATTTTTTTATATATAGCAATGTCTATTTTATACTAGACATATAAGTAGCAGTAAAGTTAATTATAAAGTTACTAAATTGAATGAATTAAATGAATTAAAAAAATAAATTTATGTACATTAATATATTATACATTAATATTGAACTTGATATTATTTATTGGATAGTGATTTAATATATATTTTTTTTACGAAGAAGAAAGTATATGTGGCATCGTAAGTATCGAGACTTACGTCTCCGAACGTTATTAAGGATAATTCAATCAGTTTTCCAGCGGTCATCTTAATTACAGCGCTAGATCTTGAAATAATCAAAACCAGACTAAGGGCAGTCTTCTGGGGTAAACGATACCATTCGGTTAGATAGGCCGTTTCGCCGACTTTTTTACACTGTACCGTTCATTTATACAACAAATTGCGATAAGAAGCTTCAGATTAAAGGACCATCGACGACTGGTGATAAGCTCGGTAAATGTCTTTGTTAATGACGTTGCAAATGCCGAGTTTTCATGAAAATCGTTTGTTACCTGTTCACTGAGAAGTTCACCGATGTAGCAAAATATGAAAATGTTGAATGTTATTGACACAAATAGAATACCATATGTCACTAAATTCTTGGTGTCTTCCGTATTCCATTCCTGAAAGATTGAAATACATCAAAACCGTCCATCATCGATATTCACCTGAACACTAATCTCATCAGATTTTCCTTTCTTTCTCGCTGAATAGCGCAATTGATGTACGATAATTAATTCAAACAAGAATGTAAAAGAAAGAGAGAGATATTTTCTGCCCTACCGTGAGGGAATAATACCCGAGCATGCACATGTTCAACGTGCAGCCGACCAATTGAACAAGACATATCTGATACATGACTTGCTCGATGCGCGACACAAAACTGCAAATAATAATATCGTTTCGCTACTACATATCTCGAATGAGAGACTCAGACTTCTCTCACCCATAAGCGTCGCGCGTTAACCGATATATCTGTTACTACCTTAGCACACGCAAGTGATGCTGCACGATATTAGCCAGTTTATACTCGACCAATTTGCGTTCTTCCTCGCCGTCGTCGCCAACCAACTCGTTCAACCACAGAAACAGCACATTGAACTGCCCGCAGGCGTGCATCGCGAATACCGCGGCCAAGCTGCAAGCACCTACTGTGATCGAGTTGACGATGAAACCTGATAGAAACTGTATCATGAGCACGATTTGGTTCGTCAGCTTGACCGTCGTGTCCAGAAAATTACTATAGAACGGACACGGCAGTCGAGGTATCGTGACGGTCTGATTGTCAATCACGATGACCAACGACGACATGCCTTTCATCATGCTATACGAGAACACGCCGCAGTGCATGAAGACGGCGCAGAAGCCGGCGACGAAGCGACCGAACTTGGCGCTCTTCAACATCACCTCACGATCCTCCGCTCTGTTCACCAACTGCCAGTCTACTTCCATGTGTTCGATACACCGGCGTATTTCGTCGCCACGTAACAACAGCGACAGGTAATTTAGTATACCCATCATCCAATGGCTGACGGGTCCGATGGCCTTCACGCGGATGTCAACGTCTTGGTCCTCGAGGAAAATGTACAACACAGAAGGTATCACTGTGAAGGTTATCAGTGAGTAGCAGATGAATTGGATAGCGTGCGATAGTATCTTCTCGGTGCTGGTCGAGGCGGGCCAAATACCAATCGGCTTCAGGAACCAGCGGTTCAATTGAAGGCTGTAGTCATTGTGCTGCTGGTGGAGACTTTTCTTCGCCGGCAGTTTGCTGTACGAGCGAACCAGCGAACGTGTCATGTTTGATCCGCGAAAGTACATTTTGTACTGTCACTTGACTGGTTGTCGTGACTACTTCGCGCAACGACGAGCACTGCTAGCGCTTGCGCGGGCTCTCGCGATTGTGTCGAGTTGCAAGAGAGAAGCACCTTCCAGCAGATAGGCGGAACTTTAGACGAATCAATAGTTTCCTGAGACTTTTTGCAGTGACAGTTGCCGATACTACTATCTGCCGATATGCGCGTCAAAGTGTAGAGAGAAAGAGTGAGAGAGAAAAAGGTAACATAAACATTTTAAGTTAATTGTGCAAATAATTTTCGTAAATATAACACGTTATTTTTACGTTTGATAGATTTGCAACTGTCTAGCGCCATATTTCTTTCCATACCAGAGAATTTGGGGCAGACGCGATACTCTTGTCTTGCAGAAGTACGCTGGAAATATGTGATATTATAAAATGAACGATGTCAATCAATGAGGTGAGCCATTTCACTTAATTTTATACGCTATGGTTAATTTCATAAACATAATAAAGATATGTTTCCATGTATCTTCATATATCAACGACAATAAATAACATTTTTATTATTGACGTCTCGTAAGAATAATTTTACAATTTGCGTATAGTACCTGTTAATTATTTCACCTGCGTAATTATTTATAAAATATATGAAAATATTGAAAGGAAAGCTGTAAGTACCACAATCTTTGTGCTTCTTGCATTTTATTCCTGAAAGTACAAAAACCATAATATCTTGAAATTGAAATGTTCTTTAAAGATCATGATTCGTTACATCAGAAGAAAATATGCGTGTTCGCGGAAATAGAAGAATATTAAATTCAAATATTTCATCAAATATACTGCATATTTTATATAATTAACGTGAGATGAATCGTTTAAAAATTAATTTAATTTTTGTCATCGATGAAATAATAGCTTAATGGAACAATAGCGAAGCCAACACAACTTCACCATGCATCCAACTATTTCTACTAAATATATTTGACTCATAACTTCCTCGAAACGTGACATAAAACTATATATAGAAAAAAATGTGATTATTATATCATTGGTTACGAATAAAGTGAACAAGATAATTGTTGCATCAACACGTACTGATACAAATCCAAGATCTCCTGTTGGCTTTTAACCTAGATTAATCGTTTTATGTAATAACGCTAGTTATTCCTCATTTCACAGAACAACCATTTTATAACCGTCGGAAGCGCAGTAATTTGTCCGTTCTATCGGTTTTTGTTTCAAGTCGTTACGGTGTCTACGAGTGAAGATATAGACGTTTGCGCTCCGCGTTCTCGGTCGGCTCAGCGCTTTCGTGGCGGCAGATTCGGTCACCTGCGGGGCGGCGCGATACACACGTGGGTAGAAAACAATAGCCGCATTCCACAGACGCATTTTCAAGAAGCTAAACCTCGCGCCGCACGTGACGGTACGCAACGAGAGCGGCCTGCCTTGCCCCACTCGACGGCATTGCTCCACTCGGCGGCCTTACCTTACTCCACACTCAGATGAATGTAGAGTATCCGGGATCGCTTTTCCTACACTTGTCGCTCTCCCTAGAGAGACAAGAACAGCACGAAAACAAACACAGTACATTGACGCGAGGTCAAGTGTCAGCATTCGTCGCTTCGGCATTAGCTAGCTAACACCACGCCGGCACCTGTTGTCGGTGTTGCGAATTCAAACGGCTTTAACTCAGTAATGAGTCGACGTAGCGACATGAAATAAAAACAATCTCCTCAGCAAGCAAAGCTGTATAATATTGTGCTGCAGAAACACGCTGAAATTATATGGAATTATGAGATTAACGATATTAATCAATGAGATAAACCATCTCGCTAAATTTTTCACACTGTAGTTACTTTTGTAAACTAGATTTATGTGCAAAATATTTATTACGTAACAAATATTATTTTACGCTAATGTTGCATCTCACAATGTTTGAGTTGTAATTTTTTTAAAATTACTTATACAGTCAGAGTTCTAAGCATATTCAAATATGCCACAGATGTTTTAATTACCTAAAAAGTACAATTAATTTTAACCAGTTGTTAAACATATATATATATATATGTATATATATAAATAATATGCAAATATATATAATCTCAGTTTCTAAATAATGCAATAACACATAAGTTAACGTTGATTTTATCTTTCTCAGTAAATGTACTTAAAAGATTTGTAATACTCACGTCACCGAAAGTTGGAATCGACATGTGAAATATTTTTCCAGCAGTGATTTTAATAACAATGCTTGAGCGCAAAATTATTAATATTAAGCCAAGCACAGTTTTACGCGGCAACTGATACCAATTCGTCATATAAGCAGCTTCACCGACCTTCTTACACTATTGCACAGTTGAATTTCTCCATTCGAAGGATTTCATGACAATTTTGATTATTACAAATTTAGCGAAAAATTTATTAAATCCGTAAAAAATATAAGCGCGTTTACCTCACCTGTTCCGTAACCAGATCACCGATATAGCAAAATATGAAAATATTAAACATCATCGACGTTAGTACAATGAGATATGTTATTAAAGTGTTCGTACTTTCCTCGTGCCATTCCTAAAAGATAAAGCGTATACAATTTGGTGGTATTTATAATAAAAATGGAAAAGAACAACATGGATGTTATCACATATTCACCTTTTCAAGTTTTTAAGCATACCGTAATGGTGTAATATCCTAGCATGCACAAGTTGAACGTACAACCGAGTAACTCCACAAGACATACTTGACGCATAATTGCCTCCATACGTGATAGAAACCTGAAATAGACGAAATCAGCAGTAATTGCGCGTACCTCAGACGTGTTTGTAATATATCTGTATAAGTAATTCCATATTTAAGATAATCATCACACTAAAATACACGAAATTAAACTAGAAAAAGTAAAATGATATAAAAAATAATTGCAAAATTTTACTGTTTCCAATAACAGCAAAGAACTTGCATAAATCTTCAAAACTTTGCAATCACTTTCAGAAGAATCAAATTCGATTATTTGCACATTTTTACAAAGCACAAAAATTTCCTACGCACAGCACTTTTAATTATGCGTTTTAACTTTTACCTTAATGCTCGCAGATGACGTTCAACGAGGTTCGCCAACTTCCTCTGGACGATGTGGCATTCGTCTTTTTCGCCGTCTAGCTCTTCAAGTCGCGACATCACTACACTGAGCTGGCCGCAAGCGTGCATCGCGAAAACAGCAGCTAAACCGCACGCACCAACCGTCGTGTTGTTCACCACGATGGTCGAGAGGCATTGCAGCGTGAGCACGACCTCGTATACTGGACTGAATCTGGTATCCACGATCTTGTTGAAGGACGGACATGGTAAGCGGCCAATCGCGACTGTCTCATTTCCGATCACCACGAGTATCGGCGACGTTCCTCTCGCCACGTTGTACGAGAAGATACCACCCTGCATGATGAGTGCGCAAAGGCTCGCGATAGCTCGCCCGACTTTGGCGTTCCTCAGCATCAATTCCCGATCGCGCTCCCTCTTGACCATACGCCAGTCCGTTTCCATGTGCTCGATTGATCTACGTATCTGCTTCTTCTGGTACAACAGCGAGCAGTAATTTATGCCACCCATGAGCCAATGACTCGTGGGTCCCACAGCCTTCAACTTGAGGCGGAAGTCCTTCTCCTCGAAGAGTATGTACAGTATGGAGGGTACCACGGTGAGAGCTATTAAAATGTGACATATTAATCTCAGAATCTTCGACAGTGTTCTCTCGGTAGCCGAGCTCGTGGGTAATTCCGGCCAAGCGCCTATCGGCCTCAGGAACCAGCGGTTAATTTGTAAACTATAATTGTTATTTCGCCTGGGAACGTCTGCAGTGATCTTGCCGGAGGAACGCATCATGCACGGATTCGCGTCGCGTACTGGTCACAGCTATTGACTATAACTCGAGTAACGACAAGTAGAATCAAACAAGTAGAATCATAGGCAGCGCTTGCGCGATCGCGTAGCTTATTCCTGACGGGGAAAAAGACGTTGCTGTATCGGCTGGCTCTAAGACAATATATAATCGATACTTATAGTACTCGCAACTTGTTGCGTCGAACATCAATGTAATTCACAGCGTAAGCAGAAGTAATAGAGACGGAAACAGCTGAACAAGTTGCTGTCAGTTATACGTCGTGTGTGTGGAAACACGATGAATTGTTCATTCGCGTAATATGGTCTTTTATGGCGGAAAATAAGTATTCTCAATTGAATTCAACGTTATTGAATAGTTATTGATAGAAAAGCAGTGGAGATCAATTTATTTTTGCCATGTAAAGTAAACGTCTCCTCTCTCAAAATACTTGTATATTCGTGTCCAAAAATATTTAAATTAATAAGAAATATATTTCATGGTATTTTGTACTTCGCAAGAGAATTTTATCGTGTTGTCTCAAAAAATGTTTGAGGAAACAACGTGTGAAAGAAAAAAAGAGAAGGTCACGGAAAGAGAGAGATGTCACATTTTGATATAAGTCGGAATATTCTCCATTTCTTAAATCTGCATTTATGTGTATCTTATTGAAGGTGTATCTTACTGTTTTATTTTCACTTTTTTGCCATCAGTCGATGTACATCTTATAAAACTGCAAGTTCAATCTTTCTTACTATTTATTACAACTCGTCACGCGACACTATAATTTGTACATTCCGAAGAATTTTCAAGAAGTTAGCGTGCGTAACATACTCAAGTACGCGACTGACGTCTTAATCACCTATTCGTTTAATAAACAACACGTAAGTCATGCAATTCATGTATAAGTACAACATAAAATTACATTTATATATGTTGCAAATAATTTACATTCATAATGTTACTACTTACATCACCGAAACTGCTTAGAGATAATTCGACGAGATTCCCAGCGGTAAGTTTGATCGATGAATTGGACATTGCAATTAGTAACACAATAGCTAAGGCCCTTTTGCCTGGTAGACGATGCCAATCGATCATGTAGGATATCTCACTGACTTTCCTGCACTATTCAACAAAAATTCGTTTCATTCCTTTATTTTATGTCAAACGCTATCACATTTACAGCGATAAACATTGTACCGAACATAAAATTAAAATTATATTTTAAATATAATATTATGAAATTATTTAATTGTTTAATTTGTTGTGAAAATATACGAAAGAAATACGAAAGAAATATACGAGATGTTAAAAAAAAGATTAGCTTTATGTATTTGTATTCTTTTCATCAAGATAAGGAAAAATGTTCCTATAAATATAGTGCTTAGAATATTTAGTTAAAAAAATAATGTTAGGTCTAAATTAAAAGAATTAATTTCAATGTTAACGTAATATACAATACTTAACGTAACATATAATAATATTTAATAATTATTAAATTTAAATTATTATAATGTTTATCTATGGAGCATTTGAAAACAATTGTTTATTTAGTTTCGATTGATAACAAACAAAGAAAAAAAGATGGATGAAGAATGACATATATAAAACTTCATGAATTTCGAGCATCTCCTTTAAATTTCGTTTTTTCTTATTTGAATTTTTTTATTCGTTTTTCTTATTTATTTAGATAAATGTTGTTGTTTGTACTGTGTTAATATCGAAATTAATTCTTTTAACTTGGACTTGACATTAATTTTTTATTTAAGCATTTTAGGCACGTTAATAGGAACTTTTTTATTTAACTTTAATAAATCTTTGATTGAGAAGAATATAACTATATTTAGCTAGCCAATCCTTTTTAAAACACCTTATACATGTGTATTGTTAATACAAAAGAATCATACCTGCTCGGCAAGGAGTTCGCCTATGTAACAAAATATGAAAATATTAAAAGTGAATGATATGAGCAGAATAGTATACGTCACGTAACTCGCGAGTTCGCCCGTTTCCCATTCCTGTAATTGAAAAAATTGCCACACTCGATAAGACGCACACTTATTTTCTCCACACATCGATCATACATGCATTCTTCCGAAACAATGTACTTCGCGGTACGTACTTTTTGGACGATATGCATACCATAATAACATAATATCCAAGAAAACACATGTTTACAGTACATCCTACAATTTCCACGAGAGATATTTCGTGCAGTACCTTTTCCGTTAGCGATATAAAACTGCAAGATAATAAACTCATCATGAAGAAAATTGTAAACTAATTAACAACATGTCAACACGATGTCTTCATAATTAAAATTAAGATTTGGCAATTAATTTGGCATAAAATTTGTATGTCGACGGTATTGTCAACGATATCTTTCAATATTATTGCAGTAAAAACTTAACAATCAATTTTTAATAAACAATTTTTATTTATATCGATAGTCTAATTTTCATACAAAGACAAGAATCATCGTTGTTCCTTGGCAAAAAAAGAGCTTACCGCAAAATGCGTACATGTTGCTGCACAATCATGGTCAACCTTTCGTCCACGTTATCACACAAATCCTCCCGTCCATCAACCAGATGTACGATCCATTGCATCAGGATCTCGAGGCGGCCACAGGCATGCATCGCGAAAACGGCTGCTAGGCTACTGCCGGAAGCAGTGACAGCCTGCGTGAAGAAACCCGCCACGCATTGGATGCAGAAGAAGATTTCACTGACAGGACTTTGACGCGTATCGACGATCGCCCGAGCGACCGGATATACCAACGGCCTGTACGTCAGGTTCTCAGCTTCCTCTGTGACCTTGCCTATGCTGATCGGCATGGCGATATGATAGAACACGGCGCCGCCGTAGGTGAAGACCGCGGAAATCGCCACAAGGCGACGTCCGAATTCCGCATTCCTGATCATGATCATACGGTCACCGTGATGCCGCGTATTTATCCAGTCGTCCTTTATGTAATCGATACACCTGCGAATATTACTGCTGTGCAAGATCAACGAGTAGTATTTGGCGATGACCATGATGCAGAAACTCAGTGGCCCGGTGAACTTCAAAGTGTTGTACGTGTCCTCGATCTCGAGGACGATGTAAAAAGCGCACGGCACGAAGATGAAACCGATCAGGCAGGTGTAAATCAAATTCACCAGTATATGAACGCACCTCTTGATCCAGGAGGAATCGGCCGATCTCGGCCAGGCACCGATCGGTTTCAATATCCATCGATTCAGTTGAATGCTCAGCTGCATGTCTTTCTCGTGATCGTACATGACCGTGACGGGTTGCGACTTGTCAGTCGGTGAAATATACATTGTCGTGGTACGGAAGCTTGATAGCGACTGAAGGGATTGTGCGAAAGGAACTCTCAGGTATGGATAGTCACGTCGCGCGCTTGCGTGCTTAGCTGCCCTTAGCGAAGAAGAATGATCAGACTTATCGGTTATATCAGGAAATGAAGGGTGCATTTTATAGTCATATTGACTTCCGCAGGAGGGTTCAACTCTTGCGATGTGTCAGTCGGTCGCTGTTTATGAATTATACGCGTAAGACTTGCTTTCTGCCTGCTGCTTTTTTCCGCGAGCAACTGTGGAAAATCACGAAAGCTTTCTATCCAGGAAGAAATGTCAGATTGTATAAGTCGTGTGCAACGTGCGTATATTTATTTATGTATGGAGCATTGAAAAAATATAAATTTGATGACTGTTTCTTATTAGAAGACTTTTTTTGCAGAACTATTTGAAATTATATTATTAAATTATTTATGCGAGTAGACGGTAAAATATCTTTTTATATTTTTTTTACCTTGCCTACATTCAAATTAATATAAGTAAAATTCAAAAATCTTGTTTATAGAAGCACTCCCATATACAAGCACTTTTTCAAAGTATTCTATTCAATATATTACCAATCTCGTTGCACAAAACTTTTACATGCTAGATACTACTTTGAATTATTGCATACACGCTCTTATGTCATTAGTTGTACACGTAAAAATTTATTATACGCGGAGACTTTTATTTTAAAGAAAGAACGTCTATTTAAAATATTATAAAATATAATCATGTTTTGTAGTATTTACATGGTCAGCGTTCGAAGCATATTCAAATATGCGACAGATGTTTTAATTACCTGAAAGTGTTTTGATATAAATATTTAAACCAAAATTTAATAATTATGCTATATATATCCAATAGAAATTTTCGTTACACATGTTCCTCATATATTCATATCAAGTTTGCATATCGGTAATTAAAAAAAAATCACATAAATAAATATTCATAATTTATTTAAAGTATAATTGTAACATATTGACATTTCTTTTTAATACTCACAACACCGAAAGTTGCGATTGACATATGAAATATTTTTCCAGCTGTGATTTTGACAGCGATACTTGACCGCAAAATTATCAAAATTATACCAAGAGCAGTTTTATGCGGTAAGTGATACCAGTTTGTCATATAAGCTGCTTCACCGACTTTACTGCACTGTTACGAGATAAAATCCATGAGATAAGAATGATATTTTAACTATAGATGAATTATTTGACGAAAGAACTCGAGATAAAGATGATTACCTGTTCGGTTATAAGTTCACCGATGAAACAAAATATAAAAATATTGAACATCATTGCTGTAAGGATCATGATATATGTTATTATAGTGTTTGTACTTTCTTCATGCCATTCCTAGAAGATATGCAACTTGATAATATTCAAAATAAAAATAGGGAGGAATAAAAGACGAATTGTTTTCATTACATATTCACCTTTTCAAGTTTTTAAGCGTACCGTAATGGTATAATATCCTAGCATGCACAAGTTGAATGTACATCCGACTAATTCCACGAAACATATCTGACGCATAATCGTCTCCATACGCGAAAGAAATCTGTAATTGAAACAATTAAAAGTAGCTAGAATTTTTTACAAAAGTACGTCATCAACACGATAATGTCATATCATAATATCTTCTTTAATATTCAATTTAAAAATATTAAATTCGCACAAGGAAACATGAAAGCAATTTCTCCAACATCTTACATTTGCGCAACATATTTTATAATTAAACAAGATTGCTGTAAGAGGTATACATATTTAAAAGAGAGATCATTTGAGCGCTCAAGTCATTAAAAAAAGCTGCATTAAAAAATGTATATATATATATATATATATACACACAGTCTGCCCCAGATCCAATGAGACTGGTCTAAAAAGAATACAAAGCGTTTATTATTTTGATTTTTTATTCTTGTTTATTCAAAATAGTCTCCTTCTGAGTCAATACAGCGCTGGAAACGTTCAACAAATTTTTCGAAACATTTTTTATACTCATCGGCTGGAATGGCGGTCGAAGTCTTTTGGATGATGGGGATTCCTGAAGGAATCCGGCAAGCATGTCAGCCATTGTAACTGGTGATGAAACGTGGTGTTTTCAATATGAGCCAAAAACAAAATGTCAGAGTGCGACATGGAAGTCATCAGAAGAGCCAAAAGAGAAAAAATTACGCTTTCAGAAGAGCAAAATCAAGACAATGTTGACCGTTTTCTTCGATTCAAAGGGAATTGTTCACAGAATTCGTCCCAGAAGATCAGACGATGAACGCAGAATATTATCTGGGAGTTCTACAACGATTGTGGGCCAGAATTCGACGAGTTCGGCCGGAATATCGTGAGCCAGGCAGTTGATTTTTGTTGCACGATAATGCACCATGGCACAAAGCCATCATGGTACGTGAATTCTTGATCAAAAAAGGCATCATTGTTATCGATCATCTACCGTATTCACCTGATTTGGCTCCGTGCGACTTCTGGCTATTTCCCAAACTGAAATTGCCGATGAAAGGAAATCGTTTCGATACCATCCCGGTCATCCAAAAGACTTCGACAGCCATACTAAAGGCCATTCCAGCCGATGAGTATAAAAAATGTTTCGAAAAATTTGTTGAACGTTTCCAGCGCTGTATTGACTCAGAAGGAGACTATTTTGAATAAACAAGAATAAAAAATCAAAATAATAAACGCTTTGTATTTTTTTTAGACCAGTCTCATTGGATCTGGGACAGACTGTGTATATCCTTCTTTCTACTGACAATTATAAAAATAACTTGTATTCAATTTCTCACAAAACAGATCTTACCTCAATGCTCGCAGATGCCGCTCTATAATATTGGCTAATCTTAACTGAAGGATATCTCGTTTCTCGTCGACGAGCTCTTCGAGCCGGAACATCACCACGTTAAGCTGACCGCAGGCGTGCATCGCGAAAACCGCGGCGAGACCACACGCACCGATCGTAGTGTTGTTGACGATAATGGTTGAGAGACATTGCAACACGAGCACGACTTCGTACACCGGACTGAACCTGGTATCTACAATCTTGTTGTACGACGGGCACGGTAAGCGACCTATCGCCACGGTCTCGTTGCCGATCGTCATGATGATCGGCGACATTCCTCTCGCTAAATTGTAACAGAGCACACCACCTTGCATAATCAATGCACAAATGCCTGCAATGATCCTCCCAATTCGAGCGTTTCTCAACATCACTTCCCGATCGTGCTCTCTTTTTGCAATTCGCCAATCCGTCTCCATGTGTTCAATGGATCTGCGTATTCGCTCGTTTTGATACAAGAGTGAGCAATAATTGATGCTACCCATGAGAAAATGACTTGTCGGCCCTACTGCCTTCAGCTTGAGGCGGAAGTCCTTCTCTTCGAAGAGTATGTACAGTATAGAGGGTACCATAGTGAAAGCTATTAAAGAGTGACACGTAAATCTCAAGAGCTTCTTCAGCATGTTTCTGATCAGCGAATTCGTTGGTAGTTCGGGCCAAGCTCCTATCGGTTTCAGCACCCAACGATTCAGTTGAAGACTATAGTCGTTGTCTCGTCTATAGTGGTCGAGCGAAGGTTCGTGAGAAACGCACTTCATGGTTCGTCAACAAGAGACGCGTCAGGAATACTGATCGCTGCTCGCGCACTTCTCCATCGAATAGTGGATACGAATAGTGGAGTAGCGCTTGCGCGGACATTATGAGGAAACAGAAAAATTACTGTATCGTCTGGCTGAGAGACGGAACGCAATCGATACCTATAGCTTCTTTAACTTGTTGCATCGAATCGCAATGTATCGTGCGACACATGAGAAATAAAGTCAGTTACGTTTAAGTTTAAGAATGGTCTTGATGGTGGACTGCTAAATGAATGATTACTGTAAGATTTTGGCTACTTCTTGTCGGGAAAATTAATGTTCTTCAAGTCATCAAATAGATGGACATGCGATATTTTTCGTTTCTTACAGTTTTTCACATGGGAATTTATGTTCTTTTTTTCAATTACATGCGTTAAAGCTGCATGAGAGTGTCGTTATTGATGAAATATGAAAATATGAAATATCGTGTAATAAAGTTGATGTGAGAGGACAAGGAATACGTTAATCAGCATGCCGAGAATCAGCTACGTCACTACATTGATTATTGGTAAGTCAGATAGATTTACATTTAAATTGTTCTCGGCAACTTTTGACTTCGGCGTATATATGTACATATTTAGTTTTTGTTACGTCGCTACTGTTCTGAGTATATTTAAATACGCAAATGCTGTTTTCATCACCTGAAATAATCACGATTGACAGATCTGTGTTAACAATTTTGTGAATTTTTCTGTAACAATGTCTTTTCTAAAATTCTACGTGCGTATTAGCATCTGAAAATTTCAAGTAGCATAATTGTTTCGGCGGTAATTAAAGGATCTTTAGTGATAACGTGACACAGCAAAATTTCGAGCAGAAATTGCGGAAGACTGCAGACACACAAGTTCGCCATCATACAAATTTAGTTACTATAAAAGCGTTAATATATGTGTTACCGGACAGACTTACGTCTCCAAAAGTTGCGATAGACAGTTGAATCATTTTTCCGGCTGTTATCTTTATAACGGTGTTCGATCGCGAGATTATTAAGATCAAATCGATCGCAATTTTATGATGCAATTGGTACCAATCTGTCATGTATGCGACATCACCTACTTTTTGACACTGCACAAAGGCTGATTTGGTCAACATATTTTTTTATCGCGATAATTTTATCTGAGAATACAAAGAGAGGAATTGTACGATGCGACTACCTGGTCCGTGAGAATTTCAGCGATGTAGCAAAATATGAAAATGTTGCATGACATGGCTATAAATATAGTGAAGTACGTGAGCAAATTTTTCGTGTCGTGCAGTTCCCACTCCTGTAAGTAGAATATACACGTATGGGAGTAAAAAATGTCGAGAAAGAGGAGGCACGTCAGAAGACTACCTACGTATGCACAGAACGATTTCGGTAGCACATGTTAACGAGACATTCGTCTAACTTTTAAGATTCGCGAAATCTGCGGTCGCTCCTTGCTCCTTATTACGAAATTTTAGCATACCGTGATTGTGTAATATCCGAGCATACATATATCTGTCGTGCAGCCCAACAGCTCGACGAGACATATTTGATGCATAATCGTTTCTATCTGCGACACGAAACTGAAATTGAAACGTAAAAAAACTATATTACGAGACAGTTAGCGCGAAATCCCCTCTTGCGATTCTGCAAGTACAACAGTGCTATACGTCAACACTTGTTAAAAGACAGCTCAATGGTTCTATCACGGTTGTTGGGAGTAAATTAAATAATACAAAACAAAAAGAGCTTTGCATATGCAAGATACAGAATCGGCTGTTTAAATATGTTCATGTGCTTATTACCGATAATATTAGTCACATTACATTCGACGTTCAAAATTGTCGACATACAACTACACTACCTCAATGCACGTAGATGATGCTCCACGATGGCAGCCAGTTTCCGGCGCGTGCTCTCGTACTCGTCCTTCGCCGAAGACACGTCGACGAGCTCGTCCAGTCTCAACATCAGGATGTTCAGCTGGCCGCAGGCGTGCATGGCGAAGACCGCGGCAAGGCTGCACGCACCCACCGTGACGGTGTTCACTATGAAGGTCGAGAGCAGTTGGAGGCCGAGCACGATCTCGTTCGTCGGACTGTATCTGGCGTCCACCAGTTCCGTATAGAACGGACATGGCAGTTGGTGCATCGCGATGGTGATATTGTCGATGCGCACGATCGCCGGGGTGAAACTGGTTATGATACTGTAGGAACAGACGCCACCCTGCATGAAGATCACGCAGAAGGTGGACACGAATCGTCCGAATTTGGCATTCCTCAGCATCACCTCCCGATCGTGTGTACCCTTCACGAGCCGCCAATCGGCCCGCATGTGGTCTACGCATTTGCGTATCTCGTAGCTACGCAGCAGCAGCGAGCAATAATTCATACCACCCATCAGCCAGTGTATCATCGGGCCGAAGGCCTTCAGCTTCAGGTGGACGTCTGGTTCGAACATGATGTAAAGCGCGCATGGCACCACCGTGAAGGCGATCAGAGAGTGGCAAATGAATTGGATGCAGCGGGACAGCAGTTTTTTCGCAAGGCTGACCGGTTGGTTGGCATCGTCGGGCCAAGCGCCGATCGGCTTGAGGAACCAGCGATTCAGCTGAATGCTGTACTCGCTATCTTGCTCGTAAAGGACGTTGTGCTTGGGGAACACGCGGAACGAGTGCGACATGGTCGTGACTCGAACGCTCGCCAGCTATTGAGCGGAAAGGTCACGACGGAGGACAACAGAAGGTTTCCTCGGCGCTTGCGCGCCTCTCTCACTTCTTTTTCCCCGAGAAGTATGGTTTTATCTTCGCGAAGTAGGAGTCGCGGTATTTCCGAACGATGAAGGGATAGTAACGATCGATAAGTGCGAGATGCGTGTATGAGAGTGTATTTCCGATTAAGCTCCGGTCATTGCGTGCATCCAGTGCTGTTATTTAGTTATGTGACGAGGAAACAACGCTGACCGCCATTTGGAAAACTAATGTTTCATTTTGCCAAGTGGAAAAGCAAGTTATCTGCATTCCGTGCGATTTAACACCGTATACTGCGGGATAAAGCGCATAGACCTTAAGAAGGGTATACAAAACATCTCAAATATGATTTCTTTGTATAAACATTAAATTTCTTCCGTTTATTCAATCTTTACTAGTTCCATCGTATTTCTCGTTCCTCTTCTTATCATATCGATATGAGGTCAGATAATTAATTGACATTTACTAGCAATTAATCCTTGTATCGATTTATCCTATAATTTACATGTTTCGCGAAAATTTTACGAAGTTAATGTGCGTAACATGTTTACGTAGGCAACACATGTTTTAATTACCTATTTGTTGGAGGAAAACAACTATAAGTCATTCGGCTGTTAATATTTAATATTTAATATTTAATATTTAATAGTGTCACTGTGTTACTCACGTTACCGAAGGTACTAAGTGATAGCTCGAAAACATTTCCAGCGGTAAGTTTGATGGACGAATTAGACATGACGATCATCAACACAAGGGCGAGACCTTTCTTTTTTGGTAACCGATGCCACTCGATCATGTACGACACCTCGCCGATCTTTTTACACTGTTCATAAGATTGGTCTTTGTATTTCTTTTTAGGTTTAACATGAAAACTACGATAATGAAAGCAGTTTTTTAAGGCAAAAGTATCCGAAGATGAAAGTAATTTTTTAATTACCTTAAGATGTGCAATTGTGAGTGAATTTATTACACAGCAAGTTTGCATAAAAGGTGCAAAGAAACAATTAGCTTGATAATGAACCTTGTACCTGTTCGGCAATAAGTTCGCCAATGTAGCAAAATATGAAAATATTGAAGATCAATGATATGAGAATAATAGTATACGTCACGTAATTCGTGAGTTCACCCGTTTCCCATTCCTATAATTAAGAAAAATTCTTCCACTCTCCGAGATATACACATATCTTCTGTACAAATCGATCATATATGCTCGCATTACTCCGGAAAGATCTACTTCGCGATATATATTCTTTGAACGATATGCATACCGTGATAACATAATAGCCAAGAAAACACATGTTTGACGTACATCCTACAATTTCCACAATAGATATTTCGCGCAGTATCCTGTCCGTTAGAGATACGAAACTGAAAGACACAAGTGCCACATTTTTGTTTCGCGTACAAGGTATTTGATTTAAAGTTGCACTTTTTTCCACTCAGTAATCGCAAATGTTATTAATATTTAATTACCATAACAACAACAATAATAATAATCACATGAAAGACAATAATCATCGGCACACAGAGATCCCTGTTAAAAAACGACTCACCGTAAGACTCGAACGTGATGCTGCACGATCATCGCTAGTCTCTCGTCCACGTCACTGCAGAAGTCTTCTCGACCGTCCACCAAATGTTCGATCCATTTAATGAGAATCTTCATGCGGCCACAAGCGTGCATCACGAAAACCGCTGCTAGGCTGCAAGCAACGGTCATGACGGAATGCGCGACGAATCCTGAAACGCACTGTAACCAGAAGAAGATCTCGCTGACAGGGCTGTATCGCGCGTCGACGATCAATCTGGCGACTGGATACACGAGTGGCCGATACGTCAAGTTGCTGCCAGGTTCCGTAATCTTGCTATGACTGAACGGCATGGCAACGTAATAGAACATGGCGCCGCCGTACATGAACAAAGCGCAAATCACGACGAGACGACGGCCAAACTTGGCGTTCCTGATCATGATGTTTCGATCACTGTAATACTGCGTGTTCATCCAATCGTTCTCGATGTGCTTGAAACCTCTGCGGATATCGTTCTCGCGGCCGATGAGTGAGAAGTACTTGAAGACGACCATAATGCAGAAGTTCACCGGTCCGGACAGTCTCAGCTTATCATAATTATCTTCAACCTCCAACACGAGATATATAACGCAAGGGATGAAAAGGAAACCGATTAAGCTCATGCAGATTACATTTACCAATATATAGGAGGATTTTTCTGCCCACGAACTCTCAATTGATCGTGGCCAAACGCCGATCGGCTTCATTATCCAGCGATTCAGCTGGATGCTCAGTTGCATATCCTTCTTGTAATCGTGGACAGTTGCAACCACGATGTCTGGGTCGCTCGATTTCATAGACCCTTCCTGCATCTTAGACGCGCGCAAAAGCTTATCGACTACTGACGTGGTTGCGTTCAAGTTCGAACATGGAAAGTCATACATCGCGGCTGCGCCGTAATTGCTATTTTCCTGTTACCACCCCGCGGTTACTTCTCTACGTGGAAAGAAGCGGTCAAACGATCGTTACAGGATATGAAGGGTAAACTTTGTAGCAGTAGTGACTTCCGTAAGAGGGTTCGTTGCTTCCTTTTATTTCTTGGTACGCTTTTTTTTACTCATGAATTATGAGCACGCAGACTATGGTTTTTGCGGAGATACTTTCGCGAAGCAAGTGATCAGGAAAGATCGTGCTCTCTTATTTTCATGGGATTATGCGATATTGTATAAGTGTATGCATGCATATACGTGGATGGACTTGTGATACTGTATGTGATAAAATGTGATCAAAACAATATATTTGTTGCCTTCAAAATTCATCATGCAAGATATTTTTGTACATCCGTAATATTGTACAAAAGATATATATCAATTTCTGTTATATTGTTTTACATTTTGCAATGTTAATCAGTCATTAAAGGATAAGTTCGTAAGGACAATAAAAATGAAAAATCTTATATATAATTTGACAAATAATCCAGTAGCGTTATAAAGAAAATAGATAGTGATAAAAAGAAACATCAAAACATTTCAAGCTTTTGAAAAATATTTTATTGATATCGTATATCGTGTCAAGATTTATTCAGTAACAATCTTAGTTTATCTTGATTGAACTAAACCTTTTCATAGTCATTGTGATTTAGAAGTGTATGTTAATTTCTGAAATTATAATAGAAAAAATATAAGAGCTTGTAAAAGTACAACGCCTCCCAAATATTCGATGTACGTTAGAAGTGATATTAAAAGAAGTGTGCTGAAATAGAGCCAACATCTACTTGCAAGAAGAACATATGAAATCGGTTTATCTTTATACTTTTCGTTTACCAGCAAAGAAAATTAAATTATTTCTATTCCTCTAACACCGCGTCGTTTATTCTTATATTGCGAATTAAAGCACATGGAGTTTAAGAAGGGTTTGCAAAAAACGATAGATGCGAATTAGATTTTTGAAGTGTATTTACTTTGTATATAAATACTCAAGTATTCTATTTATTAAATCTCCATTCTCTCTATTATATCTCATTCCTCTCCCTTTCATACCGGTATGAGATCAGATAATTAATTGACATTTACTCGTAATTAATCCTTGTATCGATCTATACTATAATTTACACGTTTTATGAAAATTTTAGGAAGTCAACGTGCGTAACATGTTCAAGTAGGCGACAGATGTCTTAACTACCTGTCGGTTGGAAAAACGACACATGAATCATTCGGCCGTTAATATATTTGTTAAATAGTGTTATTGTGTTACTCACGTCACCGAAGGTATTAAGAGATAGCTCGACATAATTTCCAGCGGTAAGTTTAACAGACGAATTGGACATGACGATCATCAAAACAAGGCAGAGACCATTCTTTCTTGGTAACCGATGCCACTCGATCATGTACGATATCTCGCCGATTTTTTTAAACTGTTTATAAGATTGCTCTTTGCATTTCTTTTTAGGTTTAACATGAAAACTACGATAATGAAAGCAATCTTTTAAGGCAAAAATGTATCTTAAAATGGAAACGATTTTTTAACTACTATAAGATGTGCAGTTGTGAGTGAATTTGTTACACAGCAAGTTTGTATAAAATGTGCAAAGAAGCAATGAGATTGACGATAAACATTGTACCTGTCCGGCAATAAGCTCGCCAATGTAACAAAATATAAAAATGTTGAAGGTCAATGATGTGAACAAAATAGTATATGTCACGTAACTCGCAAGTTCCACCGTTTCCCACTCCTATAATTATTAACTAATTATTTAAAAAATTCTTAATTAATAACTAAAAGATTATTAATTATTCATTACAAAAATTCTTGCACTCTATAATGCACACACGTATCTTCTTTACACATCGACCGCATATGCTCGCATTACTCTAGAATGATCTGCTTCGAGATACGTACTCTTTGGACGATATGCATACCATGATAACATAATATCCAAGAAAACACATGTTTAACGTACATCCTATAATTTCCACGATAGATATTTCGCGCAGTATCCTGTCCGTTAGAGATACGAAACTGAAAGACACAACTGCCACATTTTTGTTTCGCGTACAAAGTATTTGATTTAAAGTTGCAATTTTTCAATTAGTAATCGCAAATGCTATTGATACTTAATTACCATAACAACAGCGATAATAATAATCACATCAAAAACAAGAATCACCGGCACAAAGACCCCCATTAAGAAACGACTCACTGTAAGACTCGAACGTGCTGTTGCACAATCATAGCTAGCCTATCGTCCACATTACTACAGAAATCCTCTCGACCGTCAACCAAATGTTCGATCCATTTCATGAGAACCTCCATGCGGCCATAAGCATGCATCACGAACACCGCTGCTAGGCTGCAAGCAACGGTTGTAATGGAATGCGTGAGGAATCCTGAAACGCACTGTAACCAGAAGAAGATCTCGCTGACAGGGCTATATCGCGCGTCGACGATCAATCTGGCGACTGGATATACGAGTGGCCGATATGTCAAGTTGCTGCCGAGTTCCGTGATCTTGCCGTGGCTAAATGGCATGGCAAGGTAATAGAACACGGCACCGCCGTACATGAAGAAAGCGCAGATCGCGACGAGGCGACGGCCAAATTTGGCGTTTCTGATCATAATACTCCGGTCATCGTAATGCCGCGTGTTCATCCAGTCGTTCTCGATGTGCTCGATACCTCTGCGAATATCATTCTCGCGACAAATGAGTGAAGAGTACTTGACGACGGCCATAAGGCAGAAACTCATTGGCCCGAACAGTCTCAGCATATCGTAAATTTCTTCAACCTCCAACGCAATGTATATAGCGCAAGGGATAAAGAGGAACCCGATTAAACTGACGCAGATTACATTTACCAACATGTACACTAATCTTTCTGCCCACGAGATCTCGATTGATCGCGGCCAAACGCCGATAGGCTTCATTATCCAGCGATTCAGCTGGATGCTCAGTTGCATATCCTTCTTGTAATCGTGGACAGTTGCAACCACGATTTCCGAGTCGCTCGATTGCTGGGACATAAGGCCTTCCTGTATATTTGAAGCGCGCAAAGGTTCATCAGCTACTGACAGAGTTGCGTTCAAGTTCGAACATGGGAAATCATACATCGCGGCTGCGCCGTAACTATTTTCCAGTTACTACCCCGCGGTTACTTCTCTTCGTGGAAAGAAGCAATTAAACGACCGTTACAGGATATGAAGGGTAAAGTTTATAGAAGCAGTGGTTTCCGTAAGAGGGTCCGTTACTTCCTCTTACTTCTTGGTTAGTACGTTATTTTTTGCTTGTGAATTATGAACACACAGTCTATGATTTTTGCGGAAGTACCTTCGCAAGACGAGTGATCAGGAAAGATTGTACACCTTTATTTTCATGGATATGTGATATTGTACAAGCGTGCGTATGTATGCACGTATTGTGGATGGACTTATGATACTCTATGTGATACACATGTGATCAAAGCAACATACTTGTTGCCTTCAAAATTTAAGGGTTTGTAAAAGTACAAGGCTACCCAAATATTCAGTATATGTTGAAAGTGATATTAAAAGAAGTGTGCTGAAATAGTGCCAAAATCTGCTTGTAAAAGAAATATATGAAATCGGCTCATACCTTTCGTTTACTGGTAAGAAAAATAAAATTATTTCTATTCCTCTGAATCCGCGTCATTTAATCTTTTATCACGAATTAAATCACATGGAGATTAAGGAGGGTTTGCAAAAAACTATAGATTCGAGTTCGATTTTTTAAGTATATTTACTTTCTGTATACTCTTCTGTAATACTCAAGTTTTCTATTTATTAAATTTCCATTCCCTTTACTAATCTCATTTCTCTTACTTTCACCGGTATGATGTCAGATAATTAATTGACATTTACTCGCAATTAATTCTTGCATCAGTCTATACTATACTTCACGTTTCGCGAAAATTTTACATCGTTAGTGTGCGTAACATATTTAAGTAGGCAACAGACGTCTTAATTACCTGTCAATTGGAGGAATGACACATAAGTCATTTGGTTTTTAATATATTTAATAACGTCATTGTACTACTCACGTCACCGAATGTACTGAGCGACAACTCGAAAAGATTTCCAGCGGTAAGTTTGGCGGACGAATTGGATATGATGATCATCAAGACGATAGCGAGACCTTCCTTTCTTGGTAACCGATGCCACTCGATCATATACGATACTTCGCCGATCTTTTTACACTATTCATAAGAATGCATTTTGCATTTCTGTTAGGTCTAACATGAAAACTACGATCATAAGGGCAATTTTTTAAAGCAAAAATGCATCCGGAGATGGAAACAATTTTTTTACTACTCTACAATGTGCAGTTGTGAGTGAATTTATTACACACAAGTTTACATAGGATGTATAGAGAAACAATAAGCTTGACGATGAACACTGTACCTGCTTAGCTGCCAGCTCGCCAATGTAACAAAATATGAAAATATTGAAGGTCAATGATATGAGAATAATAGTATACGTCACATAATTCGTGAGTTCACCCGTTTCCCACTCCTATAATTAAGAAATATTCTTCCACTCTCTGAGATACACACGTATCTTCTGTACACATCGCTCGTATATGCTCGCATCACTCCGGAATGATCTGCTTCGCGATATGTACTTTTTGAACGATATGCATACCATGATAATACAATATCCAAGACAACACATCTGTAAAGAACATCCTACAACTTCCATGACAGATATTTCGCGTAGTATCCTGTCCGTTAGCGATATGAAACTGGAAGGCACAAGTGCTACATTGTATCGCATAAAAGATATTCGATTTAATGTTGCGATTCCTTTTAAACAATTGCATACAAATAATAATTAAATACAGTTAATATTTTACTACAACGATAACTGTAATAATGATGACAAAAGACAACACAATAAACACCAAAGACAAGAATCACCGGCACACAGAGATCCCCGTTAAGATATGACTCACCGTAACACTCGAACGTGCTGCTGCACGATCATCGCTAGTCTCTCGTCCACGTCACTGCCGAAATCCTCTCGACCGTCCACCAAATGTTCGATCCATTTCGTGAGAACCTTCATGCGGCCACAAGCGTGCATCACGAACACCGCTGCTAGGCTGCAAGCAATGGTCGTGATGGAATGTGTGAGGAATCCTGAAACGCACTGCAACCAGAAGAAAATCTCGCTGATGGGGCTGTACCGCGCGTCTATAAGCACTTTAGCAACTGGGTACACAAGCGGCCGGTATGTGAAATTGCTATCAAGTTCCGTGATCTTGCCGTGACTGAACGGCATAGCAAGATAATAAAATACGGCGCCGCCGTACATGAAGAACGCGCAGATTGCGACGAGGCAACGGCCAAACTTGGCGTTTCTAATCATGATATTCCGGTCACCGTAATGTCGCGTGTTCATCCAGTCTTTCTCGATGTGCTCGATACCCCTGCGGATATCATCCTCGTGGCAGATGAGTGAGGAGTACTTGATGATGGCCATAAAGCAAAAGCTCACCGGCCCGGACAATCTCAGCATATCGTAAGTGTCTTCAACCTCCAATGTAATGTACATGGCGCAGGGGATTAAGAGGAAACTAATTAAGCTGATGCAAATTACATTCACCAACATGTATACGGATCTTTCTGCCCACGAAATCTCAATTGATCGTGGCCAAACGCCGATCGGCTTCATTATCCAGCGATTCAGCTGAATGCTCAGTTGCATGTCCTTCTTATAATCGTGGACGGTCGAGACCATGATTTTCGAGTCGCTCGATTTCCGGGACATAGGGCCTTTCTGTACCTTCGAAGCGCGCAAAGGTTCATCAGCTACTGACGGGGTTGCGTTCAAGTTCGATCATGGAAAGCCATATGTCGCGACTGCGCCTTAACTGCTTTTTTCCTGTTACTACTTCGCGGTTACTTCTCTTCGTGGAAATAAGAGGTCAAACGATCGTTACAGAATGTGAAGGGTAAACTTTGTAGAAGCAGTGATTTCCATAAGAGGGTCCGCTGCTTCCTCTTACTGCTTGGTTCATCCGCTTTTTTTGTTCATGAATTATGAGCGCGTAGTCTATGGATTTTGTGGATGTACCTTCGCGAGGCGAATGATCAGGAAAGATCGGGCTGTTTATTTTCATGCGATATTATACGAGCGTGTGTATGCACGGATGCAATTGTGATACTTTATGTAATACACATGTGATCAAAGCGATATACCTGTCACTTTCAAAAATCATCTAAATGCAAGGTATTTTTGTAAATCCTTAATGTTGTACGAAAGGTATATTAATTTCTTTATGTTGCTATATATTTTGATATATTTATCCATTATTGAAGGATAAATTCGTAAGGACTTGTGTCAGGACTTATTCAGTAACAGTTTTGATTTATCTTAGTAAACCTCTTTATGGTCATTGAGAGTTAGAAGTGTAGGTTAATTTCCGAAATTATAATAAGAAAAATATAAGGAGTTGTAAAAATAAAGCGCCTCACAAATATTCAATATGCGTTAGAAGTGATACTAAAAGAAATGTGTTGAAGTAGAACCAGAATCTACTTGTAAGAAAAACGTATAAAATCGGTTCATCTTTATACTTTTTGCTTACCAGCAAGGAGAATCAAATTATTTCTATTCCTATGAATTCGCGTCGTTTAATTTTATATCACGAATTAAAGCACATGGAGTTTAAGAAGGGTTTGCAAAAAATGGTAAATGCGAATTAAATTTTTTAAACGTGTTTACTTTGTGTATAAATATTTAAATTTTCTATTTATTAAATTTTCATGCCTTCTACCGTATCTCATTTCTCTTCTTCTCATATCAATATGGAATTAGATAATTAATTCTTATGTATTCGCAATTAATTGTACCGATCTATCACATAATTGGCTCGTTACACGAAAATTTTACGAAGTTAATGTGCGTAACATGTTCAAATAGGCGACAGATGTCTTAACTACCTGTTTGTTGGAGGAGAACGACACATAAGTCATCCGGCTGTTAATATTTAGTATTTAATAGTGTCATTGTGCTACTCACGCTACCGAACGTACTGAGAGACAGCTCGAAAAGATTTCCAGCGGAAAGCTTGATGGATGCATTGGACATGACGATTATCAACACCAGGGCGAGACCTTTCTTTTTTGGTAACCGATGCCACTCAATCATGTACGACATCTCGCCGATTTTTTTACACTGTTCATAAGATTGGTCTTTGTATTTCTTTCTAGGTTTAACATGAAAACTACGATAATGAAAGCAGCTTTTTAAGGCAAAAGTATTCGGAGATGGAAGCGATTATTTAACTACCTTAAGATGTGCAATTGTGGGTGAATTTATTACACAGCAAGTTTGCATGAGAGGTGCAAAGAAACAATGAGATTAACGATGAACCTTGTACCTGTTCAGCAATAAGCTCGCCAATGTAACAAAATATGAAAATATTGAATGTCAATGATACGAGAATAATAGTATATGTCACATAATTCGCGAGTTCGCCTGTTTCCCACTCCTATAATTAAAAGAATTCTTTCACTCTATGAGAGGCACACACGTATCTTCTTTACACATCGGTCGTATATGCTCGCATTACTTCGGAATGATTTGCTTCGCGATACGCACTCTTTGGACGATATGCATACCATGATAACATAATATCCAAGAAAACACATGTTTAATGTACATCCTACAATTTCCACAATAGATATTTCGCGCAGTATCCTGTCCGTTAGAGATACGAAACTGAAAGATACAAGTGCCACATTTTTATATCGCGTACAAAGTATTTGATTTAAAGTTGCACTTCTTTCAACCAGTAATCACAAATGTTATTATTATTTAATTACCATAAAAACAGCGATAATAATAATCATATCAAAGACAAGAATCACTGGCACAAAGACACCTGTTAAAAAACGACTCACCGTAAGACTCGAACGTGCTGCTGCACGATCATCGCTAGTCTCTCGTCCACGTCATTGCAGAAATCCTCTCGACCGTCCACCAAATGCTCGATCCATTTCATCAGAACTTTCATGCGGCCACAAGCGTGCATCACGAACACCGCTGCTAGACTACAAGCAACGGTCGTGATGGAATGCGCGAGGAACCCTGAAACGCACTGCAACCAGAAGAAAATCTCGCTGACGGGACTATGTCGCGCGTCGACAATCAATCTGGCGACTGGATACACGAGTGGCCGATACGTCAAGTTGCTGCCGAGTTCCGTAATCTTGCCATGGCTGAACGGCATGGCAAGGTAATAGAACACGGCACCGCCATACATGAAGAAAGCGCAGATTATAACGAGGCGACGGCCAAATTTAGCGTTCCTGATCATAATACTCCGGTCATCGTAATGCCGCGTATTCATCCAGTCGTTCTCGATGTGCTCGATACCTCTGCGAATATCGTTCTCGCGACAGATGAGTGAAGAGTACTTGATGATGGCCATAAGGCAGAAGCTCAGCGGTCCGGACAATTTCAGCATATCGTAAGTGTCTTTAACCTCCAACACGATGTATATAGCGCAGGGAATGAAGAGGAAACCGATTAAGCTGATGCAGATTACATTCACCAACATGCACGCGGATTTTTCTGGCCACGAGATCTCAATTGATCGCGGCCAAACGCCGATCGGCTTCATTATCCAACGATTCAGCTGGATGCTCAGTTGCATGTCCTTCTTGTAATCGTGGACAGCTGCAACCACGATGTCTGGGTCGCTCGATTTTCGGTACATAAGGTCTTCTTGTATCTTTGAAACGTACAGAGGCTCATCAGCTACTGACGGGGTTGCGTTCAAGTTCGAGCATGGAAAGTCACGTCGCGGCTGCGCCGTGACGGCTATTTTCCAGTTATCACCCCACGGTTATTTCTTCTCGTGGTCAAGAAGTAGTCAAACGACCGTTACAGGATAGGAAGGGAAACTTTGTATAGGCAATGATTTCCGCTAGAGGGTTCGTCGCTTCCTCTTAGTTCTTGGTTGGTACGCTATTTTTTGCTCATAAATTATGAGCACACAGTCTTTGGTTTTTGCAGAGGTACCTTCGCGAGGCGAGTGATCGGGAAAGATCGGGCTGCCTTGTTTTCATGGGATATTATGCGATATTATACCAGCGTATGTATGCACATACGTGGATGCACTTGTGATACTCTATGTGATACTCTATGTGATACACATGTGATCAAAGCGACATATTTGTTACCTTCAAGAATCATGTGAATGCAATTGTGTGAATGTTTTTTAGTATATCCGTAATACGAAAGATATATTAATTTCTTATATGTTGGTTTGTATTTTGAAATATTAATCAGTTATTAAAAGATAAATTCGTAAGGACAATAAAAATGCAAAATCTTATATATAATTTAATAAACGTTCCGGTGGCGCTACAAAGTAGAAGAAAACATTTTAGTTTTTGAAAGTTATTTTAACGATATCATATCAAGACTTGTTCAGTCTTGTTTTATCTTGGTAGAATCAAATCTCTTTATGTTCATTTAGATTCAGAAGTATGAATTAATTTCTGAAATTATAATAGGAAAAATATAAGTGGTTGTAAAAGTACAGTGCCTCATAAATATTTAATATAAGTTGGAAGTGATATTAAAAGAAGTGTGTCGAAATAGAGCCAAAATCTGCTTATAAGATAAACGTATGAAATCGGTACATATTTATATTTTTTATTTACCACCAAGGAAAATCAAGATATTTTTATTCTTATGTATACGCGTTGTTTAATTTTATGTCACGAATTAAAACACATGGAGTTTTATGAAGGGTTTGCAAAAAACGATAAATGCGAATTGGATTTTTTAAACGTGTTTACATTGTGTATAAATATTCAATTTTTATTAAAATTTTCTATTTCCTATTTATTAAATATTCAAATTTTATTAATACTTTCTATTTTCTATTTTCTACTTATTAAATTTCGATTTCCTCTATCATATCTCATTCCTCTTTCATACCAAATGTATGATGTCAGATAATTAATTGATTCGTAATGAATCCTTGTATCGATCTACACTATACTTTATGTTTCGCGAAAATTTTACATAGTTAATGTGCGAAACATATTCAAGTAGGCAACAGATGTCTTAATTACCTGTTGATTGGAGGAATGATACGTAAGTCGTTCGGCCGTTAATATGTTTAATAATGTCATTGTTCTACTCACGTCACCGAAAGTACTGAGCGACAGCTCGAAAAGATTTCCAGCGGTAAGTTTGATGGACGAATTGGATATGATGATCATCAATACTAGGGCGAGACCTTTCCTTCTTGGTAACCGATACCATTCGATCATGTATGATACTTCGCCGATCTTTTTAAACTGTTCATAAGATTGCTCTTTGCATTTCTGTTAGGTCTAACATGAAAACTACGATCATAAGGGCAATTTTCTAAGGCAAAAGTATCTGAAGGTGGAAACGATTTTTTAACTCTTAGATGTGCAATTGTGGGTGAATTTATTAGACAGAAAGGTTGCATAAGATATGCAGAGAAACAATAAACTTAATGATGAACACTGTACCTGCTCAACTATTAGCTCTCCAATGTAACAAAATATGAAAATATTGAAGGTCAATGCTATGAGAATAATAATATATGTCACGTAATTTGCGAGTTCACCCGTTTGCCACTCCTGTAATTAAAAAAAAATTTTGCACTCTATCATATACACACGTATCTTTTGTACACATTGATCATCGCACTAGTTCGGAATGATCTGCTTCGCGATACGTACTGTCTTTAGACGATATGCATACCATGATAATACAATATCCAAGACAACACATCTGTAAAGTACATCCTATAATTTCCGTGACAGATATTTCGCGCAGTATCTTGTCCGTTAGCAATACGAAACTGGAAGATACATGTGCCACATTTTTGCATCGCATAGAAGGTACTCGATTTAAGGTTGCAATTTCTTTTAGATGGTAATCACATACCAAGTAATTAAATATGATTAATATTTATTTACAACAACAATAATAATAATAACTAAAGATAAGAATCACCGGCACACAGAGATCCCCGTTAAGAGACAACTTACCGTATGACTTGAACGTGCTGCTTCACAATCATCGCCAGTCTCTCGTCCACGTCAGTGCCGAAATCCTTTCGACCGTCCACCAAATGCTCGATCCATTTCATGAGAACTTTCATGCGGCCACAAGCATGCATCACGAACATCGCTGCTAGGCTGCAAGCAATGGCCGTGATGGAATGCGCAAGGAATCCTGAAATGCACTGCAACCAGAAGAAGATCTCGCTGATGGGGCTGTATCGCACGTCTATGAGCATTCTGGCAACTGGATATACCAGTGGCCGGTACGTCAAATTGCTACCGAGTTCCGTGATCTTGCCGTGACTGAACGGCATAGCAAGGTAATAGAACACAGCGCCGCTGTACATGAAGAACGCGCAGATCATGACGAGGCGACGGCCAAATTTGGCATTTTTGATCATGATGCTCCGGTCATCGTAATGCTGCGTGTTTATCCAGTCGTTCTCGATGTGCTCGATATTCCTGCGGATATCGTTCTCGCGGTAGATGAGTAAGAAATACTTGGCGACAGCCGTAACGCATAAGATCACCGGCCCTGACAGTCTCAGCATATCGTAAATGTTTTCAACCTCCAACGCGATGTATATGGCGCAAGGGATGAAGAGGAAACCGATTAAGCTAACGCAGATTACATTTAGTAGTATATATACGGATCTTTCTGCCCACGAAACGTCGATTGATCGCGGCCAAACACCGATGGGCTTCATCATCCAGCGATTCAGTTGGATGCTCAGCTGCATGTCCTTTTTGTAATCGTGGACGGTTACAACCACGTTTCCCGAGTCGCTCGATTTCCGAGACATAGGGCCTGTATCTTAGAAGTGCGCAAAAGCTCATCAGCTACTGACGGGGTTGCATTCAAGTTCGAGCATGGAAAGTCAGTCACACATCGCGGCTGCGCAGTAGCGTTATTTTCCAGTTACCACGATTACTTTTTCTTATGGAAAGAAGCGGTCGAAAGGCCGTTAGAGGATATGAAGGGTAAACTTTATAGAAACAGTGATTTCCGTAAGAGGGTTCGCTACTTTTTCCTCTTGCTAGAGTCTTTGATTTCTGTTCATAAATTATAAGCGCGCGGTCTACGGTCTTCGCGGAAGTACCTTCCGCGAGAGATCGGGAAGGATCGCGAGTACTTTCTTGTTTTTCCATAGGATATTATGTGATATTGTACAAGCGTGTGTGTGTATTTTATATATGTATTGTACAATACATGTACGGATACACTTGTGATATTTAACGTAAAGTACGTGATATATAATAAAAATAGTGTATTTGTTGCCTTAAAAAATCATATTGTTTGAATGTAAGATTATTTTGTACGTATATAATATTATATAAAATATATATTAACTTCTCTTATGTTGCTTTGTATTTGATCATTTGTTAATGTACAAGTTTGTAAGGATAATACAAATGAAAATAAGAATGATAAAAATGGAAAATCTTGCACAGGTGTCTCATTTAATAAACGATCCGGTGGCGCTACAAAGTAACAAATTCTATTCGGGAATAATTTCAAGTCACAAATTAAACAGTGCAAAATTATCGCATACTTCATCTGTTTAATTCGGAACGTAATCATCAACATTCGATGACTAGACATGCTCAGAATTTCTCATTATATTACTGCTGGTTTGTGAAAGATTAGTATTATTTGTCGAGTACTACTGGTTAAATAATATTTCTTCAAGTAGCAAACGTTCTTAGCATATTCAAATAGGCTACAGCTGATTTAATAACCTATTTGTGGAAATCATTGCATTACTATAATATATTGTTATTACTATAATATTGTTATTACTATAATATGTTTTACTCAATAATATTTATTTTTCATATTACGTAATTATTATATGTAATTATATTTTTTGAATATAATTATTTTCAAATATTAAAAATAGAATTTTTAAATAGTAAAAATTATATTCTTATGCAACAATTCTTATTAAAATTAACAATCAACATTAACTGTGAAATTATAATTATGATATAATTGCAATATATATGGGTTTGGTACTCACGTCTCCGAAACTACTAATAGACAATTCGACTATATTTCCAGCTGTGAGCCTGGTGGTCGCGTTGGACATACAAATAATTAAGATGATAGCGAGACTCTCTTTTGCCGGTAGTCGATACCAATCAATCATGTACGAGTTCTCGCGTACTTTCGTCGTCTGTTACAAGATTTATTTCACAATTGTGTCGCTATTTTTGGCCGCTAATTGTGAAAAATAATAATAGATATACCTGTTCGGCTAAAAGTTCACCTATGTAACAAAATATGAATATGTTGAATGTGATCGAGATAACCAAGATTAAATATGTAAGGCCACTAACAGGTTGCTTAAAATCCCATTCCTAGAATAATATAAAATAGACGATGAGAAAACTGATGGTATCAGTATTCGGACATTCGGGTATACAAGCTGTCCAAAACCACCCGTCCACCCCTTCTAAAACCTAGAAAATTAATTTTTTGGGGGATCTGAAAAATTTTATAGCTATGTCGGGTACGCTCTTTTGATTGGTGATATTATCAACTTCCGGCTCCGACCGAAAGATCGTTTTTTTAAATGGAACATGCATATTTTTATTGCCGATTCCAATTCTACGCATAAAAAAACGTAATTTTGGTTTTAAAAATTTTTTTCGAAAACGTCATTTTTGACCTTTAAAATGATCTTTACATTTGAGCTTGGGTCCGGTCCACACGAAACCCTTTTCAAACTTCAGGGACTGAATTGTCAAGAAAATAACAGTACTATCTAACAGAAAATCGAAAAACATGTAAGTTAACATTATTTTCTTGACAATTCAGTCCCTGAAATTTGAAAGGGGTTTCATGCGGACCGGACCCAAGCTCAAATGTAAAGGTAATTTAAAGATCAAAAATGACGTTTTCGAAAAAAATTTTTCAAACCAAAATTATATATTTTTATGCGTAGGATTGGAATCCGCAATAAAAATATGCTCCATAAAAATATGTTCCATTTAAAAAAGCAATCTTCCGGTTTGGATAACCCACTTCCGGCCGGAGCCGGAAGTTGATGATATCACCAATCCAAAGAGCGTACCCGACATAGCTATAACATTTTTTCAGATCCCCAAAAAAATTAATTTTCTAGATTTAAGAAGAGGTGGACGGGTGGTTTTGGACACTCTGTATATTATCCGAACATTGAAATTATAAATGCTCATAATACCTTGAAAAAAGAAAAGTGAAGTCAGATATTGTTCGTGCTACTACGAAAAGTCAATAATAGATGACGAATAGACATTCTGAACACCCAGGTGCTCGATTATTTCAGATAGTGCCCCAGTACTCGGTTATAAAAAATACCCGACAAAATAAATTACACTGGCGGCACATGCAAACATACGAGTTGTGTTTCTACATACGCGTCTGTTATGTATTATTCATAATAATACGCATGGTACGAATATATTATAAAATTGATATATACCATCATACAATAATATCCAACGAAACATATGTTCAACGTACATCCCACAACCTCCACTAGAGATATTTCATGCAATAACTCCTCGGTTAACGATATGAAGCTAAAACGCGAAGAACAAGTGGATAAATACATGTCCATTTCGTAAAACATTTCAAGGTATATCTTCCTCTCATTCAATTAAAACTCTGTTTGCACAGTTGTCCAAATCTCGCATCGTGCCAAATTTACTCTAATTCGCAAAAATCAAACTTACTTCAAAATGCGTACATGCAGTTGAATGATATTCGCCAGCCTCTCGTCCAAGGTGTCATTGACACCCTCTCGACCGTCGACCAGATGGTTCATCCAGGACATGAGCACCTGCAGTTGGCCGCAAGCATGCATCGCGAGGAGGGCTGCCAGACCGCAAGCCGCCACCGCGATGTTATGAGTGACAAAACCAGACAGTAGTTGGATGATGTAGACAATCTCATTAATGGGACTCCGACGGGTGTCGGCAATCATCTTGGGCACGGGGTACACCAGTCGCCGGTAAGTCATATTGCTGTCCTCGTCGACGATTTTTGCGCGAGTGAGCGGCAAGGCCACATAATAGAACAAGACACTGCCGTACATAAAGAAGCCGCAGATGACTACCAGCCGGCGACCAAAATTTGCATTCTCCAGCATGATTTTCCGGTCCTCCGCGCATCTCACGTTCTTCCAGTCGCCTTCGATGAACTCGATGCACCTGCGAATATCGTTTTCGCGTAAAATCAAGGCACAATACTTTATTACTGCCATCATGAAAAAGCTGAGCGCGCTGCCGAGTTTTAGTTGATTGTAAAAGTCCTTGATTTCCAGGACGATGTACATGCTGCAGGGAATCAAGATGAAGGCCAGTAATAAGTAACAGCTCAAGTTCAGCAGTCTGCACCACAGCATCTCGAGCCAGGAATAATTCACGGGTTTGGGCCACGTGCCGATCGGTTTCAGGGTCCACATATTCAGCTGCACGCTAACATGCAGGTCATCCTTGTAATGTTGATTGTAAGGCCCGGACCTATTGTCAGGATAACGGGGTGGACTCTCCATTGTGTCGCGGTACGGATGATCGATGTGCACTGATAGTCGCGAAGGCTCGCGCTATCTTCGCCGCGACATGCGCTTGCGCTGTTTCCCAGATTTTTCGCGAAGAAAAGAGTAGTCAACGGGAAACAGCTCGCGAGTAGTGACCGTCGAAGAAGTTTGCGTAATTGTCTAAGGGAAGTGTATGCGAAGCCACAGGAGTTGTTCTCTACAGGTTGTCTTATAATAGCTATCGCGTCGTCAAATATGAGATAAACGAAGCAAGGATATATTCGGATCGCATAGTGCTTTAGAAAATCGCAAAAAGAGAAGAAATTACGTGCAGGCAGGGGATTGCGTGGTCTTTACATTATGTCTAGTCAGAAGCGGAATATCTCTTGAAAGTAAACTATGGAAGTGAATTCGAGGTAACTCAAATGAAATAGGCTGCAGAAAATACGACTCAAGTACTGTCTTGAATATCTGGATTGAATACATGCAATTAAATTTTGAATTACGTTTTCTGATGTAGTGGAGAAATATCGACGTTTTGCGGCACTAGGTGAGAATCCGTGAGATATAACAACTAAATTGGATTTGTAGATGGATGATATTTACAATCTTAAGTAACGAATGACTATTATATAGAACATAATAAAAATTTTTTCTATATATTTAATGTAATTTGTGCGATTACATAGTGACCGTTCGGAGCAAATTGAAATATGCCATTGCAGTCCTGATAACCTGAAAGTTAAATATAAATTACATACTTAAAGAATATTAATGATCGTATCGTATATTATTTTGAATACTATTTTGTTATGAAACCTCTATTCGCAATAATTGTATTATAATACAGACGAGATGTATAGCTATTTACCGCGCCGAAACTGCTGAAGGAGAGATCTATAAATTTATTCGCTCTGATCTTCATAGGACAATTAGCCATGGCTATCACAAAGATGAAGTAACGAGCTTTCTTGTTAGGCAGACAATACCAGTTGACTGTACAGCAAGTAGTACTTAATTTGTTCCCCTGTTATGTAAAATGCAACAAGTTCGTGGATTAATAAAACTCGTTTGTTTCATTGTGATAATTTAAAGGGTCTGGAGAGTCACATTGCTGAAAAATCGTGCTTGTTTTTGACAATATTTTGCGATGAACTGAATAAATGTAATAAGTGCGAGAATGAAAATTTTAGGTATATTTATACAACATATGAAGAGTAGAAAAATTTTGTTTATTAACAAATACTCATATAAATATACGATATATATAGCTGAAATATACTCTCCTTTTTTTTCAAGTTGTCGTTTTTGCAGTAATATCTCAGCTCTCGGTAATCCGATTAGAGCGAATTTTAGCTAGAAATCTTAAGGAGGCTCATCCGGTGAAGCACTATAAAAAAAATCGAACAAAATTAACAAAATGGCAGCTATTATTAGGAAAATAATTCAAATTTTTCTGTTCTTTTACAATAAAAAAATTAATATCTCGAAATGAAATATTTTGACGAAGTTGTCCATGGTTCATCTGAGAGCTAGATGAACAAATATTATTGCTTTAAAATTTCAGATCGATACGAAGCTCAGTTTCAGAGAAATCATTGCAAAAAGTTAAACAATAAAATTTCGAGAGAAACGCGTTTAAAATTTAAGTGGACATATATTTATATGAATATTTGTTAATAAACAAAATTTTTATACTTTTCATATGTTATATAAATATATCAAAAATTTTCATTCTTGCACATTTATTCAGTTCGTCACAAAATATTATCAAAAAACAAGCACGATTTTTCAGTAATCTGGCCCTCCAGTCCCATTAAGAATTTTCTCTTAAACATATTATTTTTAATGTTCTCCAGTCGCTTATATTTCTCTAATTATATTTAATATATTCACAAACTTATATCGTCTATATATTCTACCTGACTGCTTAAAACTTCTCCAATGTAACATAATATAAAAATGTTGAAGGTAAAGGATATGAGCATTATAGTATACGTTAACATAGAAATTGCATCATTTCGTTCCCAGCCCTAAAATGCATTATTATTTCATTAAAAAGAAATGAAAACGTATGAATTGTGGATATGTTGGATATATAAAGTACTATATATACGCACCGTTATTATGTAATATCCTAGAAGACATAATATTAAAGTATATCCGACAATTTCGATAAAACACGTTTCTCCTACGATATCTTGTATTCGATGTAAAAATCTAGAACCAAATGATCATTACAATTTTGTAAATTTCAATATAATTGTTAACAGTTTTATTATAATAAAACTTATGTTTTATTCATAATTTTATTTATTTATAATTTATTAATAATTTTATTACAGTAAAATTTATTTTATAAATAAAATTTAATAAGCAGGTAATATATCTAATAAAAAAATATTATAGATTTTAGTAACAGAACCACCGTTTTCAAAATTAACGAACCATTTTCGATAACAAAAGAATCCATGATCATTTCAGCTACTCACTTACATATCCTTACGTGATGCATGATAATTGATGCCAATCTCCGAGAGGCGACGTGATTCTTCCATATTTCATCGTCGTCTGCCAAATTCTCCAGCCAACTGATCAGCATTTGGAGTTGTCCGCAAGCATGCATGGTGAACAACGCGGTAATCCCGCACACACTCGCTGTAATCATATAAATGACGATACCGGCCATACATTGGACAGAGAACACAATCTCGTAGGCAGGACTCTGCTGTGGATCAAAGAAAATGTAATAATTTCCCTGCACCAATTGCCTGATCGTGAGGTTCTCGTTGACGATAATGTTGCCCCTGGCTATCGGCTGAATTAGACGGTAAGTAAAGCCGCAAGTAAACAAGAACAGAGTAGTAGTAATGAGGATGAAACGTCCCGCTTTGGCTTTGTCCAACATGATCTTGCGGTCGTTCACGTCTCTGACATTTCGCCAATCCTCTTCAACGTGTCTCAGGCATTCTTTGATACGATCCTCTTGGTAGACGAGCGTGCAATACACAGCCGGCGCCATAGTATAGAGACAGAATGCACCGCACATCTTCAGCCTGGCCTTGAACGTGTCAATGATCAGAAACATACACAAAGCCCATGGTATCAGACTGAAAGACAGCAGGAAGTAGCACACGCAGTTGAGAAGTCTCTTTAGCAGTCTCTTCCGGTGCCAGGATTGCTCCAGAACCGGCCACACACCAATCAGTCCTAGAATGAACTTGTGAATCTGCACAGTGTACCTAAAGTCGTTTTTGTAGTTGGAATTGCGTAGACTCATGAAGTCAAACATCGTATTCGGAAGGTGACCGTGATAAATCGAATTTCGCGAATATAAACTTGCTCGCCAAACGACTGCACGATCACATCTGACAGATGAAACGGTTGTAAAACTTGCTAGCTGCATTATGCACGCTCTTGCGTCTGCGTGGGTGGTTCACCCGCCGTGGTTCGGTCACAGCGCAGCGGAAAGTTCGGTATATCAGGTTACATGTGCGGTTGCGTTTGTTTTTTGCGGTTTGCTTATAATTGCAGGATAGAATCGATTCGCACAGGACTGCCTTCGGCGCGGTTATAGTGGTGCAAGCAATGAGTCATGCGCTATATCATAGGGATATATCAGTTGTAACAGAGTAATAGCGAGCGAATTCTTAATGAGGTGAATGGCGAGCTTGGTAGTGTGCGAGGAGTACTTAATGTTAGAAAATTGATTGCCCCAAGTGAATTAGGAAAAATCGACTAGGAGAAAGTGTGTCACAGAAAAAAAGTTCAGCGCCGTCTAGCTTTTCACAAATTATTATTGTTAAAAATGAAAAACTGGAATTATAACGGGAAATATTTGTTGTATTATCCACTCGTGTTAAAGTATAAATATCAATTGCAGTTCAGTATTCCAGTATCATGTCATTATATTAGCTGAGTCAGGTTGACTAAGATATCGTCTCATCGAAGGCATAAATCAAATGAATTTCCGGAGCAAATTAAAGTACGCCATCGATGTCTTAACGATCTACGAAGAAACGAGACGGATTTTTAATTTGCTGCTGGGGACGTGGACGATAGACTTCTATACTCACGTTACTGAATGTGGGTAGAGACATCTCTATCAGTCTACCTGCTGAAATTTTGGTTGGAATATTGGAAATTGCCATTATCAGGATTAAAGCTCGAGCTCTCTTATGCGGAAGACGGTACCAATTTGTAGTGGATGTCATCAAACCAACTTTCACACTCTGTTACGATCAATTGACGTTGTGCATTTTGTATATACAATATATATATATAAATTTTTTTTTTCAGCTACATTTGTAATTGTCTCCTAATTTAATATTTAAAAATATCAGTGTCCGATACCTGATCCGTTAAAAGTTGACCGACGTAACAGACAGTAAAAATGGAAAAAGTAAAAGACGTAAGCATCACAAACATAGTTAATGTAGCCGTAAAGTCGCTACCTTCCCATTCCTATAAAGTTAATATATTAAATCATAATTATAAAGTGCAAAGTATACAAAAAGATTACAGTTGGTAATGATTATCTCTGTATTTTTCATTTCAGAATTTTTCAATTGTGAGGAAATAAAACAATCTGAAAGTGTATTTATAAATGTTACCATAATGACATAGTATTCCACGAGACACAGAAGTAAAGTGGATCCCATTATTTCGACTAACCATATGTATCGCAAAGCCTCCTCTACTTGTTTCAAAAAACTGTAAAGGAGCGATTTATCCAGTTGGCAAATATTATTGTTGTAATAGTCAAATAATTTTGTATTCACAGTGCTGTATTTGGCATTTATAATTGATTGACACCTTGATATAATATATTGTCAATTTTGCACAAATGTCTTAGCTTGGATATATTGAGAACTATTTTGACCGCGTAAAATGTTAAACATAATTAACGAAGTTGCTAAGAATAATTCACGGTTATTCATCAATATTTCAGATTTCATAATATCATTTCGAATATATTTCTATAGGGAATGTACAGATATAAATTTAATTAATCATATATAAACATGATGTACAAGACATTTAATATAAAATCTACTTCACACACACACACGCACACACACACACACACACACACATACATACACATGTAAACATATGATTGAAGACATAGTAAAAAGAAATATCATAACATTTATATCAAGGTTTTTTCATTTATCTCTTTCATGAACTCACCTTCTTATTTTTATCTGATGTTCTACGATATCGGCCAACAATGTTGCGACGGCTCGATCCTCCGGCTGTGGCATGTTGTTAAGACGCTGAAATTTGCCGATTAAAATAGCCAACTGTCCGCAAACGTGCATGATGAGGAACGCGGCTAATCCGGCCGCGCCGGACGTCACTGAATAGGTGATTAGTCCTGCGAAAAATTGCAGGGTGAAGACGATCTCGTATGTCGGCGAGGCCTGCTCGTCGAACTTGACGAAGTAGCTCGGACAAGCCAACGCTCTCACCGTACTGTTCATCGGCGTCAGCATTCGTCCTTTCGAGAGTGGCACGATCGTACGGTAAGACAATCCGCCGATGAACATGAAGGCGGCGGAGAAAAGCGCGAGTTTACGGCCCATCTTCGCTTTGGACAACATCACTTTGCGATCGTCCCAATTGTCGATGTGCTGCCAATCCTGTCGCACCTGTTCCAAGCAGGCCTGAATCTTCTTCTCATTACACACGAGCAGACTGTACTTCACACAACCTATCAAGCAATTTAAAAGTGGCCCTAATAGTCTCACCCTCCGTTTCAAGTCGCGTTCCTTCAGGAAAATCAGCAGCAAACCCGGCACTAGGATGAATGCGAACAGTAAGTAACAGGAGACGTTCAGCAGGCGAATTGCAATTCTCTCTGCGTTAGAAGCGATTTTGGAAATTGGCCACACGCCGATCATTCGCAGAATCACGCGGCTCACCTGCACCGCGTAATTCAAATCGTTTTCTTGCCTGTCCGTCCAAATTGTTTTCGCTGAGCGTTTCACGCTTTGGTCCATAATTAATGGATATTAACGTTCTCTAGTTCGAAACTTTATAAGCGACGAATGCGTCTGCAAATTTGGCGTTTGGCTCGCTTTTTGTCTTGCTGCTTCCGTTGGGGTCACCGTTATGTTCACCAACAGAGTTTTCACATTTCAGGTTTAAAAGTGGCAGATGGTCGAACAGTAATAAAAGCTCGAGCATGACTGAACAGATGCAGGTGATGATAGAGGTGGTGTCTTTGGTGTAACAGCGTCGTGTTGTGCGGTGCGCTTGCGTGCATAAACCGACTGCGCATAATAATAGAGCGCATGAAAGGGGTTGCGAATTTAGCGTACTGAATTGTCCGCCATGAATTCTCAGTATCGCTTGCATGTATGAAGAAGGATGGTGACACCAGACAGCAGTCTCTAAAATTTAAACCTGCGACCTATAAACACGACCACGTCTGGTATATTTTGTGCTTGTGTACGTCATCGTGTCATACAAACAAAATGTCATGTAAATAAAATGTTACTGTCATTGATGACCGAGAAACGTACTAAGTTAAACGTGTCTCATTTATTCACACATTTTGTAAGACATTTAACAATCATATAAATATACGAGGGCGGTCCGATAAGTACTTAGCCTTACCGCCCGATGGCGCCACTATCGCAAGAGAAATTTACTATCGTGTAATACATTCTCGTAGACGGCTACTGTCGAAATTTCAGCCGAATCGGACTCGTAGTTTTGTTTTGACCGCGTGTGGAAGCGGGCGTGTCCGCGGATTTTAGAAAAATGGAAAAAGAGCAATATCGGTCGGTGATTCGATTCTTGTTTTTGGAAGGGAAATCGCGCAGCGAAATCAAAGAGCGCTTGGATGCTGTGTACGGTGACTCTTCTCCTTCGACCGTCAAAAATTGGTTTAACGAGTTTCAACGTGGTCGCACGTCGGTTTTTGATGAGCCACGCCCAGGTGCCCCGAAAACGGCTACCACGGAGGATAACATGACAAAAATCCACGACCTCGTATTGGCAGACCGCCGATTGAAGGTGCGCGAGATAGCTGAGACAGTAGGCATCTCAAAAGACCGCGTAGGTCATATCCTGCATGAAATTTTGGGCATGAGAAAGCTGTCGGCGCGATGGGTGCCGCGTTTGCTCACTCCGGACAACAAGCGCAACCGTGAGACCACTTCAGAGCAGTGTTTGACGCTGTTTAAGCGCAATCCGAAGGAGCTTCTGCGTCGTTTCGTGACCGTCGAGGAAACATGGATCCACTGGTACACACCAGAGACCAAGGAACAGTCGAAACAGTGGACTTCACCCGGCGAACGTGCTCCGAAGAAGGCGAAGACTGTCCTATCGGCCGGAAAGGTGATGGCCACCGTTTTCTGGGATTCACAAGGTGTGATCTACATCGACTATCTGGAGAAGGGCAAAACGGTCACAGGGCTGTACTATGCCGAATTATTGGGCCGATTCGACGCCGAATTGCAGAAAAAACGGCCCCATTTGGCGAAGAAAAAAGTGCTCTTTCACCATGACAACGCACCGGCTCACACCTCCGCCCTCGCCACAGTCAAATTGGTCGAATTGGGCTACGAACTGCTGCCCCATCCACCGTATTCTCCAGATTTGGCCCCGTGCGACTTCTTTTTGTTTCCAAACTTGAAAAAGTCACTCGCCGGACAGAAATTTGAGTCGAATGAGGAGGTCATCGCCGCCACGGAGGCCTACTTTGCAGACCTCGAGAAAACGTATTTTTCAGACGGGTTAAAGAAGTTGGAGCATCGCTGGGTCAAGTGTATCGAGCTAAAAGGAGACTATGTTGAGAAATAAATCGCCACTTTTCCAAAATTTTCGTTTTTCTTTTGTAGGCTAAGTACTTATCGGACCACCCTCGTATATATGTACATATATGTACATATATGTACATATATATACCGTATGTATCGTATATATGTATCGTATATATGTACATATATGTACATATATACGAGGGTGGTCCGATAAGTACTTAGCCTACAAAAGAAAAACGAAAATTTTGGAAAAGTGGCGATTTATTTCTCAACATAGTCTCCTTTTAGCTCGATACACTTGACCCAGCGATGCTCCAACTTCTTTAACCCGTCTGAAAAATACGTTTTCTCGAGGTCTGCAAAGTAGGCCTCCGTGGCGGCGATGACCTCCTCATTCGACTCAAATTTCTGTCCGGCGAGTGACTTTTTCAAGTTTGGAAACAAAAAGAAGTCGCACGGGGCCAAATCTGGAGAATACGGTGGATGGGGTAGCAGTTCGTAGCCCAATTTGACCAATTTGACTGTGGCGAGGGCGGAGGTGTGAGCCGGTGCGTTGTCATGGTGAAAGAGCACTTTTTTCTTCGCCAAATGGGGCCGTTTTTTCTGCAATTCGGCGTCGAATCGGCCCAATAATTCGGCAGTACAGCCCTGTGACCGTTTTGCCCTTCTCCAGATAGTCGATGTAGATCACACCTTGTGAATCCCAGAAAACGGTGGCCATCACCTTTCCGGCCGATAGGACAGTCTTCGCCTTCTTCGGAGCACGTTCGCCGGGTGAAGTCCACTGTTTTGACTGTTCCTTGGTCTCTGGTGTGTACCAGTGGATCCATGTTTCCTCGACGGTCACGAAACGACGCAGAAGCTCCTTCGGATTGCGCTTAAACAGCGTCAAACACTGCTCTGAAGTGGTCTCACGGTTGCGCTTGTTGTCCGGAGTGAGCAAACGTGGCACCTATCGCGCCGACAGCTTTCTCATGCCCAAAATTTCATGCAGGATATGACCCATGCGGTCTTTTGAGATGCCTACTGTCTCAGCTATCTCGCGCACCTTCAATCGGCGGTCTGCCAATACGAGATCGTGGATTTTTGTCATGTTATCCTCCGTGGTAGCCGTTTTCGGGGCACCTGGGCGTGGCTCATCAAAAACCGACGTGCGACCACGTTGAAACTCGTTAAACCAATTTTTGACGGTCGAAGGAGAAGAGTCACCGTACACAGCATCCAAGCGCTCTTTGATTTCGCTGCGCGATTTCCCTTCCAAAAACAAGAATCGAATCACCGACCGATATTGCTCTTTTTCCATTTTTCTAAAATCCGCGGACACGCCCGTTTCCACACGCGGTCAAAACAAAACTACGAGTCCGATTCGGCTGAAATTTCGACAGTAGCCGTCTACGAGAATGTATTACACGATAGTAAATTTCTCTTGCGATAGTGGCGCCATCGGGCGGTGAGGCTAAGTACTTATCGGACCGCCCTCGTATATATAAAAAGATATACGAACACATGAAGATGAATTTATATTCAACTTCTAATATACAAACGGAATACTAATAACTAAAGAATCAAAAATTTTTGTGCTTACATAATTTAAATAACGTTTCTGTACATTTAACATAAATTCATGGATTTGAGATTCCCTACGAGTGGGGTCCATCTGTTTCATCTAATTAGCTACAATCTTAAATGCTGCTCGTCCGTAGTACATTCAAATACGTTATCGACATGCGCACGATCTAGAAGAAACAAATTCGTTCAAATCATTGCACATTCGATGATGTGATTCAATGTCTCAAAGGAAATATCAGAGTTGCCATAATGTGAAGAGAAAATGAGGCAGATAAAAGTGACGTCGAGATACTTACGGCGCCGAAGCTGTTGAGAGACAAATCCATAAATTTGCCTGCGTTGATTTTCACAGGCGTGCTGGACACCGCGATCACTAGAACGAGACTGCGAGCGGTTTTATAAGGGATGCGATACCAATCGAGGGTACAAGAAGTGATGTACATCTTCGTGGTCTACAATTGTAACGGTTCGATCAACATGATTTCCGTACATACTTATTGAGTGAGAATCGCAGATCGATCAGTGAGAAGCTCGCCGATGAAGCACAGTATGAAAATGTTAAAGATAAACGTTACGAGAAGTATAGAATACGTAAACACAGACACAGCGTCGCTATCTTCCCATTCCTACAAAACACGCGTCGGTGATATTTTTCTTTGCACTTTCCTCCGCGCAGTAAACTGTATATAAACGTGATTTACTTTGTCTTCGTTTGAAATATTATCATCTCATTATTATGTAGCATACCATTATTATGTAATATCCAAGGAGAGACAGTATGAACGTGCACCCGATTACTTCTACCAGGCACATGTACTGTAGAATATATTCAACTTTACCTAAGAAGCTAGATGACATTAATGAGAATATTTGAATTATAATTATTTTTGCCCCTTATTCTCTCGCGTTAAGCACCGTATCGCGAGCTCCTTCGTTCACAACCTTCGCTCACCACTCGGCCGATCGCGATAAGGCATTGTACTATCTTTTAATCCTAATGTGTTGTCTCACAATAGCTGCCAATTTGCCGTTGGCCTTTCCCTCGGAGAAATGCTTCGTCAGTGTGAGGTCCTCCATTCTGGTGATAAGGATTTTGAACTGGCCGCAGGCATGCAGCACCAGTAAAGCCGCCAGGCTGCAGGCTCCGCTGGTCACGGAATACTGCATGAAGCCGGAGAGAAATTGTATGGTAAAGATGATCTCGTAAGCCGGTGTCTTCTGCGGATCGATGAATACGTAGTACTCGCTGAATCCCAAGTCTGATTGTCACGTTCTGCAGTGTGACGACAATACCGTTCGACAATGGCACGATAGTGCGATACGAGAACCCGCTGACATACACGAAGGCTATGCAGATGATCATCAAGCTTCGGCCAAATCTTGAGTTGTCTGTCATGATCCTACGATCCTCCGACAGGCTCACCTGTTTCCAGTCTTCCTCGATGTGTCTGATACAATCTTTGATCCGGTTATTCCAGCAGATCAGTACAACGTGCATAGCCATCAGGTAGTTGCACATGGGGCCGATTGCCTTGAGTCGACGGCGCGCTTTCAACTCTTTGAGGAATATCTTCAGCAGCCCCGGCACGAAGATGAAATAAAGCAGACCCTGGCACAGCACCCTCAGCGACTTCATTCAGACGAGCCTGAAAGCGGATGAGTCGCCGAACGATGGCCACACGTCGATCAAGTTCAGGACAGCTCGTGTCACTTGCACGATGCGTCTGATATCATCGTGATGCGGTCTGTTTATATGCATAGCTGCTCGGTCTGTTTAATCCCGAAGTTGCTGAAGGACTGGCCGAGCAGTATCATGCAGCGAAAGAACTTGCGTGCGCTTGCGTCTTCGACGCAGCTGCGGAAGAGGTGAGGGGCTGACTGTGATTTTTATTCACGTACATGATCTTTCTTCCTCTTTCGCGGAAAATCGCGGAAAACTTTGCAAACGTCGCAACTCGTCGCGGAAAAGTTTGTAAATGTTATAAATGGATAAATTGCGTATTCGTCGAGGAAGGGAGCATCGTGACGGGAAGCCTAGACGGCAGGATAATAGCAAGCATAAGAGAAAATAGCTAGAAGAAACCAATTGTAAACGATATATCGATCGTTTGATAATGGGACATTTATCATTCTACATTTGACGATTACTTCCCTATAAGAAGTCGAAGAAGAAATATGTACAGATCAGCATGGAACAGGTAACATTGTAACTTTTAAAGGTAACACTGTAATTTTTATAAGGAAAATTCATCATCTGTTTAAAATAGGTGGATCAGAAATTGGATAATTGGTGATGGCATACAAATAGCAGCATCGGTTAGTAGTAAACTGAATAAAAATCGTCCGAAATTAAACATGTTGATAATGTTCGCATATTTGATGATTAAAATACACTTCAGAGGCTTGGAAATATTTTATATCGCATACACTTAAAGGACGTATATGTAGATCTTGAAGAACATCTTGCAATGTTTTCAGGAAAAAATTCGTCCTGGAACAAGTAATATGTGCGAGTATACCGAGATCTAAGTCGATATTTATAATTAAGTTTTATATTTATAAAATCGTCTTTATGTATAAGTTCATCTTTAAATGCTCCGTAATAATAAAACGACTTGTGCAGCATCTAAAGCTGAACTTATGGCCGTTTTAAATATAAAATTCGACTATGAATACCTGCTCTAGACACGGGTTGAACTTGATTGATCATCGAAGAGGAAAGTTGGCGACGAGAGGTAAACTCGCTCGTGCTTGCGTGTCTTCAAAGATTTAAAATGATACGCATGGAAAAGCGAGAAAAAAGTTGGAAGAAGTAAAAGAACGGTAAAGTGTGCAAATAAAAGGACTCACCGAGGTTCGAGAATGCTTTCTACGAGAAGTATTTTTATCCGTTCCTATACGTCAACTTTTTAAACAACCAGGGGAGAGTTTGCCTCGATCTTTTCCTGTAAGATGATCTCTGACATATTCCTGTTCGTTGAAGCGGCATGTTTATATGTCGAAATGAATCAATAAGACATTAGAGCGCCAAAACACTTTGATCAGTGAATTAATTAACAGGTTATACTTGCGACATGTAGTATCATCTTTCAGGAAAAGAATATAACAAACGCGAAAGCAATTTATATTATATAACATTTATTATTTCAATGTATTTATTTCAAGATTAATTAATTAATATTTCTACGAAATGATATTCTACGTCTATACGAAAATATTCAAACAGATATTTTGTTATAATATTAGGACATTAAATTATTTACTCCATAACCTTCCGAATAAGATTAAAATACGTCACGGCCGTCTTAACGACCTAGAACATGATGTATCTTTATTAATTATATATTTTATATTTAAAGATGAAAGGCAATTAACTTTATAATGATTGTGTTTTGCAGGACTTTACGCAGGACAATACATAACATTACAAATATAACCGACGAATTAAGACATTATCTGTAATTATAATCTAATTGTCGATCATCATTAAACATGTTACTTACGTCACCGAAGGTTCTGATAGAAAGATCAACGAACTTCCCAGCTCGAAGTTTTGTCGGAATATTCGACATGGCTATAATCAAAATCAGTGCTCGCGCTTTCTCATCAGGAAGACGATACCAGTCCAGTGTGCACACCGTCATTGATAATTTCTCACCCTGGTTTAACAAGTCGCACGTATAAGAGGAGAAATCGAGGAAACAGCATTTATTCTTGCACTGTCTGTTGAATTCGTCAGAAATACCCTCGGCTTTAAATGAATCGACGACATGACGACAGACTTACCTTTGTAGAGAGCTGTTCCCCGATGAAGCAGAAGATAAAAATATTGAACCCAATTGACGTGAGTAGAATGAGATACGAGCCGACGGCTACAACATTATGATCTTCCCATTCCTATAAGGTCAAGGAAATTACATGCATGCATTTTGCGCAGCACTGGCATGCAACGAAACTTATATGTATAACCCCAGATCGCGCGAATCCTTATCACCCTACAATCATTTAGGCGCACCGTGATAATATCGTGTCCTAGGAGACATACGATCATCGTACATCCCAACAATTCCAACAGACTCGTGTGCTCCAAAGTGTTCTGCACCAATTGCAAGAAACTACAAAGGGACGCGCGCAAAATAGGCTTTTATTAGAAGGTTTCTCTGATCTCACATATTAGACAAGGGCACACTTTCATAAAGTGAAACATGTAATATGTTAATGTGACGTATCAGTTTTATAACGGTTGGCCATAATTCATACATTCACACTCTGACGCAAGTCACACAAGAATAATATAGATAGATGTGTAAAAATGTTATCGATAGACAAAGTGAACTTATACAGACGTAACAAATCTCACCCCCGCGTCCTGATCTGATATTCCACGGTCATGGCCAACTTCCTGTTCAAGTTCTTCACCTCCTGCTCGTTCACCAAGTTGTTCATTAACATCATCAGTATCTCCAGCTGCGCGCACATGTGCATGACGAAGAGCGCGGCGAGGCTGCAGATCGACACCGTGATGGTGTACTTGACGAAGCCGGAGAAGAACTGTATGAGAAAGATAATCTCGTAAGCGGGGCTGATCCGCCCGTCGAAGAAAATGAAGTAGCTCGGACACGGCAGATATCTGATCGTGATATTCTGATCAGTGACGAACTTTCCCTTGCTCAGCGGCACCACTGTGCGGAAATACAAACCGGACATGTACATGAATGCACTGCACAGTATGAGCAAGTTTCTCGCGGTCCTGGACTTGTTCAACATAAGATCGCGGGCGTTCGCGCTCGCGACATTTCGCCAATCGTTCTGCACTCGCATCAAGCAACTTTTCATTCGATTCCTGTTGAACACTAAGCTACAATACTTGAGCACCGCTAACGTCGTGAACATCACAGATGATATAAGCTTCAATCGAATGCGAGTGCGCTTCTCGACGATGATTACGTACAGAATCGTCGGGATCAACTCGCTACATAGAAGGAAGTAGCAAATGAGGATCAGCAAGATATTTTTGATATTTTCGATGAACGGGGCCTCTGCATGCATGCGTGGCCAGATACCCAATAAGCGACAGATAAAGCGATTTAGCTCTATCGTATATTTTATGTCGCTCTCGTAGTTTTTATTCGCGAACATTTTCCGAGGATTAAGAGACATGTACTACGCGATGTACTACCACCTTATTGTGCAGGACGTGATGTGCGTGATAAGACGTTCGTGATAGCAAATCGCGTGCTTCTTCATTCCCGGTCGCCGGGAATCATTTTTTAGTAGGAGCATGGCTCGGTACGCAAGTGCGCTTGCGTATCGAACGTTCGACCAACCACGTCAATTCGTAATAATCGTGCGTATATCCTAGGAAAAATGCTAGCGGAAATCTATTTATGTTCAAGGGCTCCCTATTGAGAATAATGGAAGGGTCAATACTCAGCGAAGAGAAGTATTGGCAATATAAACGTGGCATCACGCGAGCTTTGTAACTTCGCACAAACGATGATGCGTGCTATTCTATGAGAAAGGTATGTACGAGAAGATTTTATGCCGCGTATATTTACCGCACTAAAGTTTTATATTTTATAAATGTGTAGTACTACTTGTTTTTTTTTTCTTTTCATTTATATATGCCTGAGATGATGCTTCTCCGAGACACACGTACAGCTTAATTGTCGCAATTTCGACAATTAGCGTTTAAAAATGTTCAATTTGTTACTTGTCGAAGAATATTAAAATACGCACCGGCTGTTTTTACAGTCTAAAACATACGGTAATGCGACTTATCAATTCAATTTGCTTTTCACAAGAAGCTACAGATTAAATATAAATATGAAGAAAATTATTCAGGATAAACCAATTTTCTGAAATATGAACGATTCAGAAACCGATCGAAAATATCAGAATTCTGTTTAAGTTAATCAAAAATTTTGATTAAAAGATTTAAGCTGAATTCTAATAACTTTAACCGGAATTTCTGAATCTTTCATATTTTATTAGGAAATTTAATTTTATTTAACTAAAATAATTCTCTCCGTGAATAATTAGTCGAACATATATAAATTATAAATAATATAATGCAAATCATATATACATATATGGAGAAAGAAATTCAATTAAATTTCTATATGTCTGTTAAAATAATTAAACTTACTTATGTATATAAAACACTAACATTTATCTTTCGATACGATAGCTGCAAAAAAAAAAAATATTAACGGAATAAAATAATTATATACATTAGAAGAAATCCACGTCGTTGAAGTTTGGAGCGTTCTTGGAGCGAGAATTGAAAATAGCTTTTATTTAACAAAAAACCATTTAATATAAATATAAATACATATGAAAGATAAATTTGTGTTAAATATGACATGACATTATAAGAAAGATGTAATTCCCGAAAATTACGCACATATAATCATTCATACAGATTATAATTACAATATTTCCGGCACTCACAGCGCTCTGTGCCAAAAACTGACAATGCTTTCTCACTCTCTGGCATGTGGGAAAAAAGAAAAAAGTTAGTTTAATAGCAATATCGTCCCGGAACACTTTCGTTCTCCCCGAGAATTGTGTGCATACCACCACACTCAGACAGATTATAATTATTTCCGGCAGTCACAGCGCTCTGTGCCAAAAACTGGCAACGCATTTTCACTCTCTGGCATGTGGGAAAATAGAAAAAAATTAGTTTAACAGCAATATCGTCCCGGAACACTTTCGTTCTCCCCGAGAATTGTGTGCATACCACTACACTCAGACAGATTATAGTTACTTTCAGCAGTCATAGCACTCTGTGCCAAAAACTGACAATGCATTTTCATTCTCTGGCATGTGGGAAAAGAGAACAAAAACTGTTTAACAGCAATCGCGTCGCGGAATTCTTTTGTTCCGGAATATGACGAGAATGAAAATGTTCCGGGACGAAATTGCTATTAAACTGACTTTTTTCTATTTTCCCACATGCCAGAGAGTGAAAATGCGTTGTCAGTTTTTGGCACAGAGCGTTGTGACTGCCGGAAATAATTATAATCTGCCTGAGTGTGGTGGTATGCACAACATTTTCGGGGGGAACGAAAGTGTTCCGGGACGATATTGCTATTAAACTAACTCTTTTCTTTTTTCCCACATGCCAGAGAGTGAGAAAGCATTGTCAGTTTTTGGCACAGAGCGCTGTGAGTGCCGGAAATAATTATAATCTGTATGAATGATTATATGTGCGTAATTTTCGGGAATTACAACTTTCTTATAATGTCATGTCATATTTAACACAAATTTATCTTTTATATGTATTTACATTTATGTTAAGTGGTTTTCTGTTAAATAAAAGTTATTTTCAATTTTCGCTCCAAGAACGCTCCAAACTTCAACGACGTAAAAATCCCCACATTCAAATGCAGAAAACAATTGATACTTTTGAGGGGATATATAAAAACTACGAATAAAATTGTTTGCAAAATTATAGTTAAATGAATGCACTAATTTGCATCCATTTTCTTACGTCACCAAATGTTTTAAGTGAAAGAGCGAAGAAATTTCCAGCGGATACCTTGATTGGAGCATTAGACACTATCATCAGTAGCACAACATAACGTGTTTTTGTATCCGGAAGACGACACCATTCAAGTTTGCAGGATACAATGGCTACTTCCTCTATGTGATTAACATTATAAAACGTACATAGATATACGCACGAAGTTTGAACGCATATCCATTGCCGATACTTGGAAAAAAAGCGTAACTCGTGTGTGTATATACGTATATTGTATATGTATGTGTATTGCAATTTTCCGAAATACTTAACCATCATGTTCAACACAATATATTCGCGCAATCATATATTACATATATATATCATATCTATATGACATAGAATTATGATGAATATAAAATTCACCGGACAAGCCAATGGTCTGATGGTGATATTCTCACCAATGATAATCTCACCTTGAGATAATGGCAAGATTATTCGAAACATAACTGTACCAGTGTACATGAAAACTGCACAAATTGTAACTACGATCCTTCCTGCTTTTGCGCTCTTGAGCATAATGTTTCGCGCGTCCACACTAAAGACATTCTCCCAATCTTCCTCGACGTGCTTCAAACACTGTCTGATGTGATCATTACGAGACAGAAAAATACTATATTGCATGACAGTCATGAAGACGTAGAGGAGAAGAGGAGTTATTCGAAGTCGGACGCGCGACGATCTCTCTAGAAGCCAAAAAATAGTACCGAGTATACTGTCGCAAGTAAGAAGAACGTAGGAGCTAAAGATTACAGAGAGATCGTAAACTTTTCGGAATATAGATCGCTTTCCACTGACCGATGGCCAAGCGCCGATTGCAAGCATGATATTGCGGGTTGGTTGCATAACGTACACGATATCGTCTTGGCTATGGACGTTTCGCGACATTTCTCTAAGGACGTTGATGAACGTTTTGCGATACTCACGGTCTTCATCCGTTATGCTACCTACTGTTAATGCGAAATTCAAACGCGAGCTGAACTGCGACTGATTATGGAAGCGCAAAGTTGGCCGTGAAGTTAACTCCATTGCTCGTGTACGCATGCGCGCTTTAAAAATGCAAGTGTTGCTTGAGCGGAGATTGAAAACAGCAAACTTTGTAGAAGAAATCGCAAGCCCTGAAGGACATGATCATTTTTTCAGGATAGTTATTCCTGTCCGCCGGTGTACGATGACCTTTGCGACAAACAAGAAAATCGTAGAGTTTAACTTTGTTCCTTTTTGCTTTATAACTCGCGACCACAACGTTGACTGGGAAATAACAGTTTTGATTGCACCAGATGGAGTACTATTTGCTCAATTGCTACAAATGTGCTCGTGGCAGTCAATCGGAATAGCAAGTTTTCCCTTTCTCATGGATACATGAAGTTTGAATAAAGTTTCGCATCATCAGCTGAATCATTCGAAGATAAATGGCATTTTTTGTTTGTTATTTCAACTTTATTTTTACTTTAAATGTTTATTATATATTTAGTCTGTTTGCAACTATTTTTCCATAAAAAATAGTTAAACATGCGTAGTACTGAATACAGTAATTGTTAGTCGCACGTGCAAGTAATAATATTGAAATATTAACGTATGTCATAATGTAGATTTAACGGTCAAAATTTAATGCATGCATTCATTGATACGTTTCTAACAACAATATTTAACAACACATATATTCACTGTCTTACCTTATTAATGAATCATTTTTTATTACCAAAGTCGGGCTCCGTATCTTCACGCATCCTTAAAAAGAGATTGACAAACATTTCAAAATTATGTTTGTCAGGGAACTCAACGTGATAATGGTTAAGCATTATCATATCCAGAAGATGGTATCAGTATAAATGCTGTCAACTAATTTCTCTTCTAAATTTTCGAGCAACTTTCATCCAGTCAGTCTGAGCATATCTTGATACACAGCTTGCACATCAAATGATTAAAATGTCAATCAATGTCGAATAAAACGATAAAAATGCATTCAATATTCTCAGCAAGATACGAAGTACATTCTACGTTCCAACATCTATTATTGTTCTAACAAATGGGAAATTTCTCTATTGAAAAAAATGAACGGGACAATGTTGGTAATGGGTAACTTTGCATAAATGGTAATGTAAATTCTATTTCTATGAGAGATATATATTCGAGAAGACTTCATGTCGCAAGTGTTTATATACCGTACTAAATCTTTGAACTTTATAAATATATACTACTGATTTCTTTCCTTCATATGTATATTAGACGATGCTTCTTCGCGATGTATATAAGGCTTACGTTGCAGTTTCGATAATTAGACTTAAACACATTCAGTCGGTTATATTTCGGAGCATATTAAAGTATGCTCCTGCCGTTTTTATAGCCTAAAACATACAGTAACACGGCTTATTATCTCAATTTATTCTCGATATAAAGCTACAAATTGGATACAACTGATTAGTCAGACACAAAAATTATAAATAGCACGGTGCAAGCCGTATATAGAAGAAAGAATTTAATTAAATTTATTTATGTCACATCTGTAAATAAATGAACATTAGTAATATATATATATATATATAAATATATAACATTGGTATGTAGAATTCAATACGTGATAGCTGCAAAGAAAATTAAATTAACATGATAGAATGGTCATATGTTCCAGCAGAAATCTCCACGTTCAGATGTAGAAAAAATATCAATACCCTTCAGAGTATATAAAAATATTGAATAAAATCTTTTGCAAAATTATGGATGAAAAAGTGCACTAGTTTTGGCCCATTTTCTTACGTCACCGAATGTTTTAAGTGAGAGTTCGAAAAGATTTCCAGCGGATATCTTGGTTGGAGCATTAGACATGATCATTAGCAACACGATATAACGTGCTTTTTTATCCGGAAGACGGTACCATTCAAGCTCGCATGATGCAGTTGCCACTTTCTCGGCCTACAATTATGCAACACAAGTACACAAGTACACAAAATCCGAGTGCATCATATATTCATTAAAATCATTTTAAAAAAAGCGAGCAACGTAACATATGTCACGATTATTTTTCAAGTATTTCGTATGTAATTATAATTCATCACATTTTTAAAAGTCATATCACTTCTACTATATAGAATAATAATTTAATATTATAATATAAAATATCTTTTATATATTACCGAACATGTTAAATCTTACTTGTTCGGTAAGTTGTTCACCGGTGTAACAATACATAAATAAATGAAGTATCAGATTTCCAACGCATAACAAATAAACGCATAATGCTGCTGTATTGTTACTTTGCCATTCCTATAAATATAACATTTCCACCAGATACTTCCAATTTCCCTCCGTAAATGCGTGCATATTAATGCTATTATATTATACTCTGTAATATCTCAAATTTCTAGACTTACAATTATTATAAAATACATTACAATACAAAGAGTTATCGTGTTGACCATTATTTCCATCAGGAATATCTGATGGAGCGTATGCTGTACCATTCGCAAGAAACTAAAACATAATTACTAATGACGTGAAATCATTACTCGACACGAGGGCGAATAAAGTATAAAAAAATAAACAACTGTAAACTTACCCGCGTACCCTCACTTGATGCTCAACTATATCGGCCAATTTTTTATTCACTTCGTATTCCTTTTGCCATCGTTCTTCGACTAGCCTCGTCATTAGATCTCTCAAAATCCTCAGTTGGCCAGAAGCATGGATTACAAAAATAGCTGTGAGGCCACACGCACCTGTCGCGATCGAGGCTGTGATCAATCCGCTAATGCATTGAATCGTAAAGAATATTTCGTAGATAGGTGTGATTTGCACGTCGATGAAGACGAGGTAACTGGGACAGGCCAAGGGCCTAATAGTAACGTTTTGTTCCGTGACGATGTCTCCTTGTGATAAAGGGAGAATCGTGCGAAAGAGAACGGCACCGCTAAACATGAAAGTCGCACACACTGTGACTAAACGCTTGGCAATCCTCGCAAATTTCAACATCATGTTCCGTACGTCCGCGCTGAGAATATTTTCCCAGTCTTCCTGAACGTGTTTCAAGCACTCTCTGATCTGATTATCACGAATGATAAAGATACCGTACTGACTGACAGTCATAGTATCGTAAATGAGGAAAGGAATCATTTGAAGGCGGGTGCGAGTGTCACCCTGCGTCAGCCAATATAGGAAGCCAGGAATTAGGTTGCACGTGAGGAGAGTGTAAGAAATGGTAATTAGCAGGAACTTGTAAACTTTTCCGCACAAAGTTTTCTTCCGACTAATAGACGGCCAAATACCAAATATGCTCATAATATTACGCGTTGGTCGTGTGATGTACATAATATCGCTCAGGGAATATTCGTTACGAGGCATCTCGTTAAGAACTTCTAAGAACGCTTAGCGACACTGTCGTGCTTCATTCAAAGTACCCTTCTATGAGCGATGTCATATCTAGACGCGAGCTACATTACGACTGAACGTTGAAAAGTGAAGCAGATCGTGAAGAAAACTCTGTGGTCGCATGCACTTGCGTTGAATTAAAGATTCAAATACTGCATACGGAAGACAAGTCGAAAGCAGAGAAGTTTGAAAGCGGAGTGGATAATCGAAGGTCGGGATTGCTTTCCATGAAGGGTTTGTCATCATTCTCAACATTTATTGATTTTTCATAGGAATAGGGACATGTTATGTTGTACTGAGCAAACACTTTTTTACCGGAAAAGCAAAACAATATTTTTCCGCAAAGAAGAAATATTAGCGATTAATTTGCCGTGATATGATGAAGCTTTTATATAGTATGAAAATAATATGTAACTACAATTGTAATATAATTAGATAGTATTAATTAGATATAATAATAAAAATAATAATATTAATTAAACTATAATATGATTATAATACTATAAACTATTTCCTATAAATATTAAGTTTCTTAGGAATATTTATCACAGCGTTGTCGTGTATTCCAAAGAGACAAGATAAGAAACAGATATTAATCTCAATTCAAAATTTTCCTTCTTATTTTCAAGCAGCTGACATTCAGTCTGAGCATAAAAATTGACATAATCATGTGATTAATAAGTAGCTTATCAAATGGATCGTTAAAAATATGCACGTGGCGACGTAAAATCTGTTTATAATTTAAAGATTATTTATGTTATAACGAACAGGGCATTTTTTTGTGGGAAACAATGAAAGTATCAATCCCACGAATTAGTTCGACGAAAAAGAAATATTCGCAATATCATATATGGAACGCGATATCATGCAAAGTCTTTACATGCTAAAACGCTGTTGGCAATGTGTATCTATGCACAAACGACGATGCAAATTGTTCTATAAGAGAGGTATATTCGAGAAGACATGTCGTATGTATTTATATCGCACTAAATTTTATATTTTATAAATGTATACTACTCCTTCTACCACTCTTTTTCCTTCTATTGCTATTTCTCCTACTACTATTGTTGTTACTATTGTTGTTTCTATTGTTCTCTCATTACATATGTATCCGGGACGTTGCTTCCCTGAGATACAAATACGTCTTATGTCTCAATTTCGACGATTAATATTTGGAAACATTCAGTCAGTAAACACTTCGAAGCATATTAAAATACGCTCCGGCTGTTTTTATAGTCTAAAACATACAGTAACGCGGCTTATTATTTTAATTTGTTCTCGACAAACGGCTGCAAGTAGGATATAATTGTTTAGTCAGACATAAAAATTATAAACAATATAATGCACCCATACATAGAAGAAAGAATTTAATTAAGTTTATTTATATCACATCTGTAAATAAATGAACGTTAATAATATATATATATATATATAATATATATAATATAATAATATATATATATATAATATATATAATATAATAATATATATATATATATAATATATATAATATAATAATATATATATATATATAATATATAATAGTGGTATATAGCATTTAACATGATAGCTGCAAAGAAAGACAAATTAACACGATAAAATAGTTACATGCTCTAGAAAAATTTTTCTACATTCAAATGTAGATTAAAAGATTAATATTCTTTTTGGTATATAAAAATATAAAATAAAATTGTTTGCAAAATTATGGGTAAATGAGTGCACTAGTTTGGATTCATTTTCTTACGTCACCAAATGTTCTAAGTGAGAGATCAAAAAGGTTTCCAGCTGACATCTTGGTTGGAGCATTAGACATAATCATCAACAATACGATATAACGTGCTTTTTTGTTCGGAAGACGAAACCACTCAAGCTCGCAAGATACAATGGCTACTTTCTCTGCCTATGATTAATATTATAAAACACACATAAATGTATTTATAAAATCTGAACATTTCAAATTCTCATTAACGCTTTCGAAAATTTATCTCGAAAAGAACACTAAACACAAAATGTACACATATCCTGCGCTTTTTTACAACTTTTTAGTCTTTAAGTTTGACATTTATCATTATATGTTTATACTTTTAAATATCATAAATCTCATTTATTAGATGGAATAATAATAAAATATATTCTCCTATTATACGGAATCATAATTAGTAGCTATACTAAAAAATAATGTTTTGCAACGTCGAGTGTAATTAATCTTGAAAAAGATCAAAATTAATTGCCATGTATTTTCGTCATTTCTTTTACTGTCAGCCATGTTATTAGATAAAACAATATATTTTTGTATTTTCGAATATTCTCTAACATCCCTATAGAACATAGAACGTAGAACATACCTCTACAATAAGTTGTTCACCGGTGTAACAAACCAGAAATAAATGAACTGTTATATCTCCAGCACTAAATAAATAAACAAATACTCCAGTTATATTGGTGTTCTGCCATTCCTATAATTACGATGTTATCACCAGTCGTTTTTAATTTTTATTTGTAAATGCTAATATATTAAAATTACTCTCTACTCTATATTTTCTCAAAATTCTAAACTTACAACTATTATATAATACATCATAATGCAAAGACTTAACGTGTCCACCATTATTTCTATCAGAAATATCTGCTGCAGAGTGTTCTGCACCATTTGCAAGAAACTAAAATATAATTACGTCAAATAACATAAAATCATTATTACAATGTAAGGGCGAATAGAGTTCGTCGGAAATGAATATCGTATAACATTTATAAGAAATGACACACAATTTCTAATCACTTATGTCATACATTAAATCAATTAACATACAAAATTTATAATCAACATTAGAAACATCTTTATACTGCAAACTTACCTTCGCATTCGTACTTGATGTTCGATTATATCAGCCAATTTATTATTAACCTCGTATTCCATTTGCCATTGTTCCTCGACCAGTCTCGTCATCAAATTCCTCAAGATCCTCAATTGGCCGGAAGCGTGGGCCACAAAAATTGCAGTGAGGCCACAAGCACTTGTCGCGATCGCGGCTGAAATTACACCGCTGAAGCATTGAATCGTGAAGATTATCTCATAGACAGGCGTGATTTGCACGTCAATAAAAATAAGGTTACTCGGACAGGACAAGGGTCTGATAGTAACGTTCTGCTCTGTGACGATATCTCCTTGTGACAACGGAAGGATTGTCTGAAATAGAATAGCACCGCTAAACATGAAGGCTCCGCATATAGTGGCTAGATGCTTGGCAATCCTCATGAATTTCAACACCATATTCCGTATATCCGCGCTGAGAATGTTCTTCCAATCTTCCTGAACATGTTTCAAACACTGTCTGATCTGGTCATCACGAATTATAAAGATGCCATATTGACTGATGGTCGTAGCGGCGTACATAAGAAAAGGGATCATTTGAATACGCGTACGCGCGTCACCCTGTATGATCCAATAGAGTAAGCCGGAAATGAGGTTGCACGTGAGAAAAGCACAAAAAATGGTAATTAGCAGGAACTTGTAAATTCTTTCGCACAAAGTTTTCTTTCGGCTAATGGACGGCCAAATACCAAGTACACGCATAATAATGCACGTTGGTTGCGTGATGTACATAATATCGCGCGATAAGTATTCGTTATGTGACATCTTGTTGGGAACTTCGAGAAACGCTTCGCAACACTGTCGTGCTTCATTCGAAGTATCCTTTTACTAGCGATACGATACCTAGAGGCGAACTACATCACGACTGAATGTTAAAGAGTGAAACTCATCGTGAAGTAAACTCGCTGGTCGCATGCGCTTGCGTCGAATTAAAGATTCAAATACTGCGTGCGGAAGACAAATCGAAAGCAGAGAAGTTTGAAAGCCGAGTGGATAGTCGAAAGTTGGGATAGCTTTCCATGAAGGATATTCTCATCTATCAACGTTCATTGATCTTTGTAAGAAATAGAGATATATTCTGAGTGAACGTTTTTCTTCTGATATACTGAGTGAACGTTTTTCTTATTTAACATAGTAATTATTAAGTATTGTGCTATTCGAAAGTGGTATCTGGACAAAGTTAGTGCTATCAGCATAATCCTCTCTATTCAATTTTCAAGCAGTTGACATGCAGTATCTCTTGATACAAAAATGGGCTTCAATCCATCATTCATCAAGTGATCAGCAAGTTTCTTATACCAAATAAATCGATAAAAATAATATACGTTTAATATTATAAGGGATATTTCGTTATCGGAAATAACAAATGTATGTCAATGTATCGCGAAGAAGTATTAGCGATTTCAATGCATTGTCATGCGAGCTGTTTACTTATTAAAATGAAGTTAGCAATGTAGCAATGTATATAACTTCGACTAAACGATGATGTAACTTGTCGTATAAATAGGTATTAGACAAAACTTTATGTCGTATCTATTTTATATAATGCAGCACTAAATTTTTATATTTTATAAATATGTACTACCGATATATACTACTGTATGTGTATGTTTTTATACATGGAGATGACAATATTCCTTCAAGAATCGTATATAGAGCTTCTTTAACAGTACTTTAATGGGCTGTATATTTAATGTATATTTAATGGGCTAAGACTTCCCTGGACGTTTGCACTTGTCCAGGGAAACGATATTAATGTTAATAAACATTTCTTTCACATTCTTTCCTCGCTATGTTATATTTAGTTCTGAGATACTTTATGTTTTTCGTATTAAATTATATTATATGTAACATTACATTCAGCTGCAAGGAGAACTATCAGACATCAGCAATAGTGTCAAATTTTGATATAGTAAGTGTTAAAACTTTGTTGAAGCTCAGTATACAATTTACTTCAGAGTTCCTCTGATTCCATCTTAACGCATTCATTCGATTACATTTCGGAGCATATTAAAGTACGCTCCAGATGTTTTAATAACCTAAAACATTCATTTAACTTATTAATCACTTCGATAATCCTCGCTTTGTTCTGGATAACGATCTAATATTTGAAAGTGTTCCCTTACATCACCAAACGTTTTCAATGACAGCTCCACGATCTTACAAGCAGAGATCTTTGGTGGATAATTGGACATTATCATCAGTAAAATGACGCTGCGCATTTTTTTCTCCGGAAGATGATACCACTCGAGCTCACGGGTTTCAATCGCTACTTTCTCCGCCTATTAATAATTTATCACAAATACGAATCAACAGTAATAAAATTTGCGACAAAGTTTTATACGCTATTTCAAAGATAGTGCTAGAAACAATTTCCCTTTTCTGCTATATAAGATCTATCAAAATATTAATAAGATACATCGATATTTTCCCAAAATATTTCATATTTATCAATATAAAATGCAAATTATTCTTCACTTATAATAATAATTTTAACGAAATATTCACATTAAAAAATAAAATATCTCTCAAGTAAAAATAAATTTTGTCAATTATCGTACGTTATATTTTCGTCGTTATATCTACGTTTTATCATCATCTCCTTTATTATAGATCAAATATCAAACACATGTAAAAAATACCTGATCATTCAGTTGTTCACCAGTATAGCAAAAGAGAAATATATGAATTATGATGTTTATAATACTGCACGCATAAGAGCATACAATCCCAGGATTGCTGGTATCCCAATCCTATAAATATATTCCTATAAATATAGTAATTTTCATGAAACATGTAATAATATCGACAAATGAGATAATACAAAATAACTGTTTACAAGTATATCGCCGTAAACAATTTTAAATTTACCAATCGTATAAACATTTGATAAATTGCCGATCTTCTAATTTATACCAAATTTGTATCATTTCTTTTAATATTATACTCCGAAACATTAAAATTTTTCATCAACTTGTAAACGTATACGAACCAATATTGCAAAATACAGCAAAAGGCAGATGGTTAAAGTATCCACCATTATTTCTGCCAAACATATTTCCTGCATGGTGTATTGCACCATCTGCAGAAAACTGGAATATGATTACTAATAACGTTATATCGTCCCTATCTTAATCAAGAAAGACGGGTATCCCAAAATCAAAGAAATACAACATATTACTGTCAAAAGTGATAGAAACACGCGCAGCGAGGCCTTTTTTTGAACAAATATGTATTAAGTCAGCCGACATACATTGGAAAAAAATGGAAACTAAAACATGTGTCAAATGCAGACTTACCTATGCACTCTTACTTGATGTTCAACCACTTCACTTAACTTCTTATCCACTTCTTCCTCCTTCTGCCACTGTTCTTGGACGAGATTCTTCATTAAGCAGATCAAGATCTTCATTTGACCACTGGCATGTTCCACAAAATATGCTAGAAGACCGTACGTGCTCGTCGTAATCGAAACTATAAGGAGTCCCGTTAGAGATTGAAACGTAAATACTATCTCGTAAAAAGGGCTAGTTTGCACGTCAATAAATAAGAAATTCACAGGACAGGCCAAGGGTCTGATCGTGACATTCTGATTCGTGACAATGTCTCCTCGCGACAATGGCAAGATTATTCGATACATAGCTACACCACTGTACATCACGACACCACAGATCAAGATTAGAAGCCTCGCAGCTTTCGCGCATCTGAACATGATATTTCGATCGTCCGTACCGAAAGCATTCCGCCAATCTTCCTCGACATGCTTCCAGCATTGTCGAATGTTATCATTGCGAGATAAAATAATATCATATTGAAAGGCACACAAAAATACGTAGAGGAGAAGAGGGATCAACTGAAGTCGTATACGTATTGATTCCTCCAGTAGTAAATAAATGATACCGGGTATAATTTCGCAGGCGAAAAGCAAATTGGAGCTAAAATTTAAAAAAAAGTTGTAAACTTTCTGGAACATGGATCTCTTTTCGCTTCTAAATGGCCAGACCCCGATTGCGAGCATGAGATTGCGAGTTGGTTGCTTGACATATACGATATCGTGTCGGCTATGTACATTACGCGGCATTTCTTTATTAGACTTTAACAATCGTTTAGCAATACTCGCTGCGCTTATCCGTTGTGCAAGCTACCGTTAGTAAGAAATCTGAACGCGAGCTGAATTGCGACTGGTCGTGGAAGCGCAAAGCTTGCCATAATGTCAACTTTATTGCTCTCCTACGCTTGCGCGCTTTAAAAATTCAAGCATTGCGTGCACGGGAACGTTTGCAATAAAGTTTTTGAATGAAATTGTGAACTCCGAGGAACGAGATTCTCTTCCGTAGAATCCGTAGAATCCGTAGAAAGTAATTTTTCACGGAAAGCAGTAAAATCATAATGTTTAACTTTGCACCCTTTCTCTTTCGTAACTCAGGATCGTAACAGTAGAATACTTTTATATGTTTAACTGCTACAAATGTACGTACTAATCGAAATGAAAGGATTTCCTTCATACGAAGAAAGTTAGTTGAATAATTGCGGAATAGTACGTTAAAGTTAATTTATGTTCTATTGATTTAACAATATATTCGACCAAACGATGGTTTAACTTGTGATATAGATAAGTATATTAAAAAAAAACTTTATGTCGTATCTATTTATATAATGCAGCACTAAATTTTTATATTTTATGAATATATACTACTGATATATGTGTTTTTTTATACATGGAGATGACAATGAATCCTCCAAGAATCGTATACACAAAGCTTCAATAGTACTTAATATTTAATAGGACTCGCTTGTACTGGTTCATGGAAACGTTATTAATGTTGCATTTCTTTCTGAGATAGTTTATGTTTTTCGTATTAAATTATATTATATGTAACATTACATCCAGATGCAACGAGAACTATCAGACATTAGCAATAGTGTCAAATCTTGACGTAATAGCTGTTAAGGCTTTGTTGAAATTTAATATACGATTTATATCATAGTTCCTCTAATTCCATCTAAAACGCATTCATTCGATTACATTTCGGAGCATATTAAAGTACGCTCCAGATGTTTTAATGACCTAAAACATTCATTTAACTTGTTAATCACTTCGATAATCTTTGCTTTGTTCTGGATAACAATCTGATATTTGAAAGTGTTTTCCTTACATCACCAAACGTCTTTAATGACAACTCCACGATCTTACAAGCAGAGATCTTTGGTGGATAATTGGACATTATCATCAGTAAAATGACACTGCGCATTTTTTTCTCCGGAAGATGATACCACTCGAGCTCACGGGTTTCAACCGCTACTTTCTCTGCCTATTAATAATTTATCAAAAACGGTAATAAAATTTGCGACTAGGTTTTATACGTTATTTCAAAAATACTACAGGACAGTTTCCCCTTTTTATACAAAGTCATGCAAAGTTATACAAGGTTTGTCAAAACATTAATTGAATGCAATATTTTGTCCAAATAATATAATAAATAAAACGTCAAAAGCATTGTAGACTCATTCAATGCAAGTCTTTCCACCCTTTGTAACAGAATTGCAAAGTAGTTTTAGCGAGTCTCTTCGTAGCGTAGGTCACTGTTCAAACATTGTATATAGTTTATCAGTCTACCCTGAATCCTTCAACTTTTACTTCCGAAAGAAAAAAAATATGCATGGCTGATCATATATGGATAGCAAGACTGCAATAGCATTAAATTAAATTCTTTTGCATGAAATTTACTAGCTGTTAACATCGATACATTGTCATAATGTCATGAGAGTAAAACAACAATAAACAGTTCCAAAACTTTTTAGTTGCTTGTGCATTATGTTAAAATAAGTGAGTTGTAACTTGTATCGAAGAAGTAATGAGAATACAACTCGCACATCTATGCAGCCGTAATTTCGCAATGCTTTAATCTAATGCGTTAATCTCTATTTCTTTCGCAAAAAATCGATATTTTTCTAAATTACTTCATATTTATCAATATAAAATACAAATTATTTTTCATATAAAATAATGATTTTAATGAAATGTGCACATTAAAAAATAAAATACTTCTCAAATAAAAATGAATTTTGTCAACTATAGTACGTTATATATCTTATTTTAATCTCTATTATTATTATAGATCAAACACGTAAAAAATACCTGATCATTAAGTTGCTCACCAGTATAGCAAAAGAGAAATATATGGATTATGATGTTTATAATACTGCATGCATAAGTGCAAATAATTCCAGGATTGCTGGTATCCCAATCCTATAAATATATTCCTATAAATGTAGTTTTTATGAAATGTAATGTAATTTTCATAAAACATGTGCTATTATCGACGAATGAGAAAATAACTTTTTGTATCATTAGCATCGTCGTAAAAAAATTTAAATTTACCAATCATATAAATATTTGACAAATTGTTGATCTATTTTATGTCAAATTTGAATCATTCCTTTTAATAATATACATCGAAACATTACAATCGCTTTTTTATCAAAATCAACTTATAAACGTATACGAACCAATATTGCAAAATACAGCAGAAGGCAGATGGTTACAGTATTCACCATTATTTCTCCCAAACATATTTCCTGCATGGTATATTGTACCATCTGCAGAAAACTGGAATATGATTACTAATAACGTTATATCATCACTATCTTAATTTAAAAAAGCAGGAATTCCAAAACCAAAAGAACACAACATATTACTATCAAAAATGATAAAAACACGTACGATGAGATCTTTTTCTGAACAAATATGCATGAACAAGTTTGCCAAAATACATCGGAAAAAAATAGAATGCAAAACATCTGTCAAATACAGACTCACCTGTGCACTCTTATTTGATGTTCAACTACTTGAGCTAACTTCTTATCCACTTCCTCCTCCTTCTGTTCTCGGACGAGATTCTTCATTAAGCAGATCAAGATCTTCATTTGACCACTGGCATGCTCCACAAAATATGCTAGAAGACCGTACGTGCTCGTCGTAATCGAAACTATAAGAAGTCCCGTTAGAGATTGAAACGTAAATATTATCTCGTAAAAAGGGCTGGCTTGCACGTCGATAAATAAAAAATTCACTGGACAGGCCAAGGGTCTGATCGTGACATTCTGATTCGTGACAATGTCTCCTCGCGACAATGGCAAGATTATTCGATACATAGCTACGCCACTGTACATGAGGACACCACAGATTAAAATTAGAAACTTCGCAGCCTTTGCGCATCTGAACATAATATTTCGATCGTCTGTACCGAAAGCATTCCGCCAATCCTCCTCGACATGCTTCCAGCATTGTCGAATGTTATCATTGCGAGATAAAATGATATCATATTGAAAGGCACACAAGAAAATGTAGGGAAGAAGAAGGATCAATTGAAGTCGTATACGCACTGATTCTTCCATTAACCAATAAATGATACCGGGTATAATTTCGCAGGCGAAAAGCAAATTGGAGCTAAAATTTAGAAAAAGGTTGTAAACTTTCTGGAACACGGGTCTCTTTTGGCTCCTAGATGGCCAGATCCCGATTGCGAGCATAAGATTGCGAATTGGTTGCTTGACATATACGATGCCGTCTTTGCTATTTACGTTACGCGGCATGTCTTTATTAGACTTTAACAAACGTTTGTCAATACTCGCTGCGCTTATCCGTTGTGCAAGCTACCGTTGGTAAGAAATCTGAACGCGAGTTGAATTGCGACTGGTCGTGGAAACGCAAAGTTAGCCATAATGTCAACTTCATTGTTCTCCTACGCTTGCGCGCTTTAAAAATTCAAGCATTGCGTGTGTAGTAACGTTTGTAGTGAAGTTTTTGAATGAAATTGTGAACTTCGAGGAACGAGATTCTCTTCCGTAAAAAGTAATTTTTCGCGGAAAGTAGTAAAATTATAATGTTTAACTTTGCACTCTTTCTCTTTCGTAACTCAGGATCGTAATAATAGATTACTTCTATTGTTTAACTTTCTTCTATTGTTAGCTTTCTTTGTTTAACTGCTACAAATACATGTGGCAATCAAAATGAAAAGATTCCCTTCATACGAAAAAAGTTAGTTGACTAATTGCAGAATGGCACGCTATAGTTAATTTATGTTCTATCAAACAGAATAGTCCTCTGTAAATAAGGATGATCTGATGTTTCGCAAAGTCGGAGGCAGATCAATATGGGAAAGAAATATTAGCTATGTAAACGCGAAGTCAAGTACGAACTTTTTATTTACTGAAGTATTGTTGACATATAACTTAACACAAACAATAATATAAATTGTTCTATAAAGGAGAATTAATTTGAATGGATATCATGTCGTATACATTTATAAACTTATATTAAATTTTCTTGCTTTGTAAATAAACTACGTATGCGTGTATATATGTATATATTTTTATGTACTCGTATGACAATATTTTTCCGAGATATAAAAACAGCAAGCTTCAATAAAGCTCGTATATTTACTTGGGCAAAATAGCTTGCAATAAATCTTAGATAAGCAACATTAATTTTTCAATTTTTCATTTTCTGTTTCGAATGTTACTTTTACTTGCGTAAGTAAGTTTACTCGTTTTTCTAAATTTCTTTTTTATCCTTATATATTATATGATCATTTTATTGATCCTTTGTTTAAGTTTGCTGTTCGTGTTATATTTTTGCGGTGATTTAAGATATCCCAACGATATAACAAATTCATTCGGTTACACTTCGAAGCACATTAAAGTACGCCCCAGACGTTTTAATGATCTAAAACATTCATTTAATTATCTGTTAAACGTTTCGGTAATACTCGCTTTGTCTCGGGTTAGAATTTATGTCTGTCTAAAAGTATATTCTTACATCACCAAACGTCTTCAACGATAGCACCATGATCTTGCCAGCGGAGATTTTAGGCGGATAATTAGACATAATCATCAATAAAACAATGCTGCGCATTTTTTTCTCCGGAAGATTATACCATTCAAGCTCGCGGGATTCAATTGCTACTTTTTCTGCCTATTATTAATTTATCACATACACATAACTACTGCCTATATATTATTAATGTGTCACAAACTTTAAATTTGCAATTTCAAAAGAAGTATAAGGCACAGTTTGTCCTTTTTTCTATGGTATGTCAAGAAAGTAATGAGACAATTTTTATTTTAAGAATACTACAGAATAACCGCTTAAAACAACATAAACTCATTCAATGGAACATTTCTCAGACACAAGATGCACTCACTTATGTCAGTGAATTTTCCATAATTCGTAGAAATTTTTTAAAGGATCTTTCGTTGTTTTATTTGTATTTTATCGGAGCTTTATTTTTTAATTTATCGCTCTCAAATCGTTTTCTCAGACACATTTTCCGATGTATTTATTGATTATCACTGAAGTTTTTCGGAATGATATTTATACGCGCATTCTTTATGTTAAATCGTCTGTAAAGATCCTATGCACATAATAACAATTCCAATATAATTAATAAGTCACCATTCACTAGTCCCTATTTTATGAAAGTTCTTATTATTCAATTTCTTATTTTATTTTATCAAGAAACTATAGCATTGCCAATTCAAGAGAAGAAAATTATTACTTTTCCGACACACCTCGCATTTCTGCTTATAAGACACACGATATTTATATTGTATTGATATATAATGATATATGACAATATAATGATAACTTTAACAGAATAATTGCATTTTATTAAATGCGAATTCTTTTGTAGAAAAAATGAATTATGTTAACTGTGAAATAGTACATCCTGTCTTTATCTCTGTTATTATATCTCGAGAGTTAAGCACGTACAAAACGTACCTGGTCGTTAAGTTGCTCACCGGTGTAGCAAAACAGAAATATATGGATTGTCACGTTAACAATGTTTAACGCATAAGAGCCTATAACTCCAAAATTATGAGAATCCCAATCCTATAAATATATTCCTATAAATTTAGTAATATTCAAATAACTAATATTGACAAATCACTTGGTTTCAACTAAGTTTCGTTAGTGCAATTTGCTTCATCATGAAATATTTAAATTTACTAATTCAACAAACGTTGGATAAATTGACTGAATTTTTTTTTCCGATTCTTTTTGTATCATCTTTTCCTTTTCTTTAATTATATTATTGTCGATACATTCGATTACTTCTATTTAAGTGAACTGATAAACAGATACGAACCAATATTATAAAATACAGAAGAACGCAGATGGTTAAGGTACTCTCCATGATTTCTATCAAACATATTTCTTGCATAGTATACTGTACCATCTGAAGGAAACTAAAATGTGATAAAATAATATCCTAATAATATAAAAATCATAAATAATATGTAATAAAGTAATATTGTCTCTATCTGGACTAAGAAAAATAGAAAAAATGCAGTAATGGAAAGTAAAAAATATTAATATATGAAAATGACAAAATATATAGTACGCACACATTTTTGTTAATAAATATATATTATAGTAATAAATTACTATTCAGTTGGAAGTGTGTATGTGCGTTCGATATATACATATATCGGAAAATGAGAAGCATCACCAACATTTATAACTCATATTCTTACCTGCGTACTCTTATTTGATGTTCGACTACTTCAGCTAATTTCTTATCAATTTCATGCTCCTTTTTCCGTTGTTCTTGGACAAGACACTTCATCAACCAAATCTGGATCTTCATTTGACCGCTGGCATGCTCCACAAAATATGCTAAAAGGCCGTATGCACTGGTTGCAACCGAAACTATAATAAATCCTGTTATTGCCTGGAATACAAAGAGTATCTCGTAGAAGGGACTAGCTTGTGCGTCGATGAACAAAAAATTCACCGGACAGGCCAAGGGTCTGATTGTGATATTCTGATCGGTTACAATCTTTCCCTGAGACAAGGGCAATATTATGCGAAACATAATCGATCCAGTGTACATAAGAGCTGCACAGATTAGAATCAGGAATTTAGCGGATTTTGCACCCTTGAACATAACATTACGCGCGTCCATGCTGAAAACATTTTCCCAGTCTTCCTCGACATGCTTCCAACATTGTCTGATTCTACCATTGCGAGACAGAAGGATATAATATTGAATGACAGACATGAAGACATAGAAGAGAAGAGGGCACATCTGAAGACGCATTCGCGCTGATTCTTCCAGGAGCCAATAAATGCTACCGGGTATAAACTCACAGGCCAATAGAAAATTGGTGCTAAAGTTCAGGAAAAGGTTATAAATTTTTTGGAATACGGACATCCTCCCGCTCCTGGGTGCCCAGACACCCACTGCGAGCATGAGATTGCGAGTTGGTTGCATAACATATACGATATCGTTCTGAGTATGTACGTTTCGCAGCATTTTTTTACGGATTTTAACGAACGTTTCACAATATTCACTAGCTTCATCCGTTGTCAGCTACTGTTGATGTAAAATCTGAACGCGACCTGAATCACGACTGATCGTGGAAGCGCAAAGTTGGCCGTGAAGTTAACTTCAGTTGACTTTCGTACGCTTGCGCGCTTTAAAGATTCAAGCGTTGCGTGCGGGGGATCGTCAGCAGTGAAGTTTCCAAACGAAATCGTAAATCCCAGGAGACGGGATTGTCTTCGATGAAAACTATTTTTGCCCGATCGTGTTCGTCGACCTTTGCAACAAACGGTAAAGTTGTAGTATTTAACTTTATTCCTTTCCATTTTGTTACATTCGCCTAGAAGTAACAGTTTTTTATTACCTCAAGTAGGGTTCTTCAATTTGCTCAACCGCTACAAATAGCACGTGGCAGTGAATCAGCATAAAAAGATTTCTTTTGTACAGGGAGTCACAGTTGAGTAACTTTCAAATCATATGTTTATCTGAATCATATGGTTCAGATATATGGACAGTAAGCTTCAATAAAACTTACATTTACTAGGAAAGCTAGCAATAATTCGAGATAAATAATATTAATCTTTTTATTTTCCGTCAATTTCCATCTTGAACTTGTATACGATGTTGCATTTTATCTGAATAATGTCGGTATCTTCTATATTCAATTTTATCATATAATATTATATCCAGATACAACGAAAACGATCGACAACTATCGATGAATTTTAATATAGTCATAGTTAAAAAATCGTTAAAGCTTACTACACTGTTCACTTCGTAGTTCTTTTGATTTGACCTAAATCCTTTCACTCGGTTACATTTCGAAGCATATTGAAGTATGCCCCAGATGTTTTAATAATCTAAAACATTTATTTAATACACTTGTTAATTTTTTAAAAATTTTTGTTTTGTTCTGGATAAAAGAAAAAGAAAGAGAATCTATATATTTTTAAATATCTGCTTACATTACCAAACGTCTTGAATGATAACTCCATGATCTTGCCAGCGCAAATCTTCGGTGGATAGTTAGACATTATCATCAATAAAATGACACTGCGCATTTTCTTTTCCGGAAGATGATACCATTCGAGCACGCGAGATTCAATTGCTACTTTTTCTGCCTGTTATTAATTTGTCACAAACATATTACAATAGCGATACAATTTCTAACAAATTTTCTTTCGCTATCTTAAGGGTAGCGCAACGAAGAGGAAGAAACGCAGTATTCCTCCTTTTCTATACAAGTTGTGTCAGAAAGTTAATGAGATATAACATTTTTACTTTTTTTTTTACTAAACGAGACAGTAGTAGCCATTTATTTCTAAAATATTAAGTAAATTTTTTTATTTTCCTCTGTTAACTATATAGGAGATACATATTTTCTATGAACAATACTACGAGAATAAAATAATGATAATCGTATTCTTTTTATTTGTTCATGTCTTATATTTAAATTAACGAGTTTTATCTGATACCGAAAACAGAGTAAGAGCGCAATTCTTTCGACGTAGTCACGGTTTGGTAGTATTTTCAATCGACAAGAAAAAAATCAATATATTTCCAACACATCTTCTACTTATTTGTATAAGATACAAATTATTCTCCGCATACAGTAATGACTTGAAGTATGTTTTAATGTCTTCATTTATAAATAAGACATCCCTTACATAAAGTAAATTTTTTGAACTATGAAACATTACGTTTTATTTGCATGCTCTTAATTATAGGTTGAATATTAAATGCCTATGGAACGTACCTGGTTGTTAAGTTGTTCACCAGTATAGCAAAAGAGAAATATGTGGATTGTAATATTAATAATGTTAAATGCATAAGAACCTACAACTCCAAGATTTTTAATATCCCAATCCTATAAATATATTCCTATAAATGTAGTAATATTCATGTAATTGATATTGGCAGCAAATGAGACAATCCAAAATAAATTTATGTTAGTATCACTCATATCATCGCGAAGAAATTTAAAGTTATCAAGTAAATAAATTTTGGAAAAACTAGAACCGACTTTCTTTTTACAATAAACATATCATTCGTTACATTTTTTTATTAAATATGGAGATACATTAAATTTGCATTTCATTCAAATCAACTGATGAATTTATACGAACCAAGAGTGTAAAATACAGCATAAAGCAAATGGATAAAGTATTCACCACTATTTCTACCAAACATATTTCCTGCATGGTGTATTGCACCACCTGCAGAAAACTGAAATATAATTACTAATAACGTTATGTCTTGATCAAGAGAAACAAAAATTTTAAAAATGGAGTAAAAATATTAATATCGAAAATGGCTGAAACTTGTATAGCAACATGAATTATTTTTATATTAATAAATTTAATTTAAATTAGTTAGTATATACATTACAGAAAGCAGGAAGACACAAAAGTTTATTAAGTTATAGACTCACTTGTGCACTCTTATTTGATGTTCAACCACTTTAGCTAACTTCTTATCTATTTCCTGCTCCTTTTGCCACTGTCCTTGGACAAGATCCTTCATCAAACAAATTAGGATCTTCATTTGACCGGTGGCATGCTCCACAAAATATGCTAGAAGACCGTATGCACTCGTCGTAGTCGAAACTACAAGGAATCCCGTTAAAGATTGGAATGTAAATATTATTTCGTAAAAAGGGCTAACTTGCACGTCAATGAATAAGAAATTAACTGGACAAGCCAACGGTCTGATTGTGATATTTTGATCGGTGATGAGGTTTCCTCGCGACAATGGCAAGATTATTCGATACGTAGTTACGCCAAAGTACATAAGGACACCACAGATTAAGATTAGGAGCCTTGCAGTCTTCGCACATCTGAACATAATGTTTCGATCGTTTGCGACGAAAACATTTTGCCAATCTTCCTCGACATGCTTCCAGCATTGTCCAATATTACTCTTGCGAGCCAGAATAATATCATATTGAATGGCACACATAATGGCATAAAGAATAATAGGTGTCACTTGAAGTCGTACACGCGCTGATTCCTCCATTAACCAATAAATGATACCGGGTATAATCTCGCAAGCGAAAAGAAAGTTCGAAACCAAGTTTAAAACGAAATTGTAAATTTTTCGGAACAAAGATCTTCTTTCGTTGCTGGATGGCCAGACCCCAATTATGACCATGAGATTGCGAGTGGGTTGCTTGATATATACGATATCTTCCTGACTGTATAGATTTCGCGGCATTTCTTTATGGACCCTGACAAACGTTTTGCGATACTCACTGGCTTCATCCGTTATGCAAGTTAACGTTAATGAGAAATCTGATCGCGAGTTCAATTGCGACTGGTCGTGGAAGCGCAATGCTAGCCATAATATCAACTTTATTATTCTCCTACGCTTGCGCGCTTTAAGAATTCAAACATTGCGTGCGTGAGAACGCTTGCAGTGAAGTTTTCGAATGAACTTGTGAACTTTGAGGAACAAGATTCTGTTCCGTAAAAAATATTTTCTCGCGGAAAGCAGTGAAATCATAATATTTACCTTTGCATTCTTTCTTTTTCGTAACTCAGGATCGTAAGATTGACTAACGTATAATAATGCTACAAATGTATGTGACGATCGAAATGAAAAGATACCCTTCATACGAAGAAAGTTAGTTGAATAATTGCGGAATGGCACGCTAAAGTTAATTTATGTTTTATCAAACAGAATAGTCCTCTGTAAATAAGGGTGATCTGATGTTTCGCAAAGTCGGAGGCAGATCAATATGAGAAAGAAATATTGGCGATGTAAACGCGAAGTAATACATGAACCTTTTACATACTGAAGTATCGTTGGTGATATGTAATTTGACACAAACAATAACATAAATTGTCCTATAAGGGAAATATATTCGGATGAATATCATGTTGCATTTACTTATACACATTACTAAATTTTCAATTCCGCAAGTAAATACTATTCATGCGTATATGTATATATGTATATATTTTTATATATTTATATGACAATATTTCTCTGAGATATAAACACAGCAAGCTTTAATAAAGCTTTTACATTTACTTGATCAAAATAGTTTGCAATAAATCTCAGATAAGCAACATTAATCTTTCTATTTTTCATCATTTTCTGTTTGGGATGTTACTTTTACTTGCGTAAGCAAGTTTACGCGTTTCTCTATAATTCTGTTTTATCCTTAGATACTATCTGGTTTTCTTGTTGAGCCTTTATTTAAGTTTGCTGTTCATGTCATATTTTTGCGGTGATTTGAGATATCCCACCAACATAACAAATTCATTCGGTCACATTTCGAAGCATATTAAAGTACGCCCCAGATGTTTTAATGATCTAAAACATTCATTTAATCATCTGTTAAACGTTTCGGTAATCCTCGCTTCGTCCTGGATCAGAATTTATGTCTATCTGAAAGTATCTTCTTACATCACCAAATGTCTTCAACGATAGCACCATAATCTTGCCAGCGGAGATTTTAGGCGGATAATTAGACATAATCATCAATAGAACTATGCTGCGCATTTTTTTCTCCGGAAGATTATACCATTCAAGCTCGCGGGATTCAATTGCTACTTTTTCCGCCTATTATTAATTTATCACGTAAACATAACTACCGCCTATATATTATTAATGTGTCACAAACTTTAAATTTGCAATTTCAAAAGAAGTATAAGGCACAGTTTATATTTCTTTCTAGGGTATGTCAGAAAAGTAATGAGACAATTTTTATTTTAATTAAATACTATAGAATATCCGCTTAAAGCAACATGGACTCTTTCTATGGAACATTCCTCAGACACAAGATGCACTCATTTGTGTTAGTGAATTTTCCATAACTCGTAGTAACTTTTTAGAGGATTTTCGTTGTTTTATTTGTATTTTATCGGAACTTTATTTCTTTATTTATCATTCTCAAGTCGTTTAAATGTTTTCTCAGACACTTTTCTTCGAAGTATTTATTTATTGATTATCACTGAAGCTTTTTAGAATGATATTTATACGCGCATTCTTTATGTTAAATCGTCTGTAAAAATCCTATGCACATAATAACGATTTCAATATAATTCTAATATAATTCATAAGTTATCATTCACTCGTTTAAATTTCATTTTATGGAAGTTCTTATTTCTCAAGTACTTATTTTATTTTATTGAAAAACTATAAGCTCCGCATTGTCAATTCACGAAAAAAATAATCATTACTTTTCTGATGCCTCGCATTTCTCCTTATAAGGCATACAATATTTATATTGTATAATAATAATTTTAACGTAAGAATTGCATGTTATTAAATGCGAATTCTTTTATACAAGAAATAAATTATGTTAACTATGGAATAGTACATCCTGTCTTTATCTCCGTAGCTCGAGAGCACGTGCTTAAGCACATGCAAAACGTACCTGGTCATTAAGTTGCTCACCAGTATAGCAAAACAGAAATATATGGATTGTCACGTTAACAATGTTTAACGCATAAGAGCCTATAACCCCGAAATTGTGAGTGTCCCAATCCTATAAATATATTCCTATAAATTTAGTAATATTCAAATATAATAGATATTGAAAAATCACTTAGTTTCGCTAAGTTTCGTTAGTGCAGTTTGCATCATCATGAAACATTTAAATTTACCAAATGAACAAACAAATTACTGAATTTTCTTTTTTCCGATTCTCTCTGTATTATTTCTTCCTCTTCTTTAATTACATTATTGCCGAAATATTCGATTTACTTCTATTCTATTTAAGTGAACTGATAAACAGATACAAACCAATATTACAAAATACAGAAGAAGGCAGATGGTTAAGGTATTCACCATGATTTCTACGAAACATATTTCTTGCATGGTGTGTTGTACCATCTGAAGGAAACTAAAATATGATTACTAATAAAGTAATGTCGTCTCTATTTAGACCAAGAAAAATGGGAAAAATGAAGCAATAGAAAGTAAAATATGTTAATATATGAAAATGACAAAATATATAGCACGCACACATTTTTGTTAATAAATATATATTGTATGAATATTAATAAATTATTATTCAGTTGAGAGTGTGTATGTGTGAGAAGAAAAATGAGAAGTATCACCAGCATTTATAACTCATATTCTTACCTATGTACTCTTATTTGATGTTCGACTACTTCAGCTAACTTCTTATCAATTTCATGCTCCTTCTTCCGTTGCTCTTGAACGAGGCACTTCATCAACCAAATCTGAATCTTCATTTGACCACTGGCATGCTCCACGAAATATGCTAAAAGGCCGTATGCACTGGTTGCAACCGAAACTATAATAAATCCTGTTATTGCTTGGGATACAAACAGTATTTCATAGAGGGGACTAACTTGTGCGTCGATGAACAAAAAATTCACCGGACAGGCCAAGGGTCTGATTGTGATATTCTGATCAGTTATAATCTTTCCCTGAGATAATGGCAAGATTATGCGAAACGTAATTGACCCAGTGTACATAAGAGCTGCACAGATTAGAATCAGGAATTTAGCGGATTTCGCACTCTTGAACATAACATTACGCGCGTCCATACTGAAAACATTTTCCCAGTCTTCCTCGACGTGCTTCCAACATTGTCTAATTTTACCATTGCGAGACAGAAGGACATAATATTGAACGACAGACATAAAGACGTAGAGAAGAAGAGGGCACATCTGAAGACGCATTCGCACTGATTCCTCCAGTAGCCAATAAATGCTACCAGGTATAAACTCACAGGCCAACAGAAAGTTGGTACTAAAATTCAGGAAAAGGTTGTATATTTTTTGGAATACGGACATCCTCCCGCTCCTGGGTGCCCAGACACCCACTGCGAGCATGAGATTGCGAGTTGGTTGCATAATGTATACGATATCGTCCTGAGTATGTTCGTTTCGCGGCATTTTTTACGGACTCTAACGAAAGTTTGAAAATATTGACTAGCTTCATCCGTCGTGTAAGCTACTGTTGATATGAAATCTGAATGCGACCTGAATCACGACTGATCGTGGAAGCGCAAAGCTGACCGTGAAGTTAACTTCAGTTAGCTCTCATACGCTTGCGTGCTTTAAAAATTCAAGCGTTGCGTGCGGGGGATCGGTAGCGGTGAAGTTTCCAAACGAAATCGTAAACCCCAGGAGAAGGGATTGTCTTCGATGAAAGCTATTCTTGCCCGATCATGTTCGTCGACCTTTGCGGCAATCGAAAAAGTTGTAGTGTGTGACTTTGTCCCTTTCCATTTTATATTTCACGATTGTTACATTCGCCTAGAAGTAATAGCTTTTTATTACCTCAGATAGGGTTTTCCAATTTGCTTAACTGCTACAAATAACATGTGGCAGTGAATCAGCATAATAGGGTTTCTTTTGTACAGGGAGTCACAGTTGAATAATTTTCGAACCATATGTTTAACGAACAGGAACATTCCCCTATTGGATACAATAAAAAGGTCGATATGTCGCGTAGAACACAAATATTAACGACATAAATGCGATGCTAGTAGTGAGGTATATTCGAAAAGACTTGATGTCACATATATTACCGGACTAAATTTTTATGTTTTAGAAGTATGTACTACTGATAGCTTTTTTTATACATACAGTTGATAATAATTCCCCCGAGATACAAATATGTCAAATTTCAATAAAGTTTTGACATTTACTAAGCCAAACTTCGCTTTCTTATTCTTGAATTCGTATTGCTCGCTTTGTTGCACTTTTATCCTGAGACGTTTGTTACACTTTGTATGTTACGTTCCATTATATATTATTCAAATATGATTATAATAATTGTAGAAACCAATTTAGAGTTTTTTTGCAGTAGTTCCATCGAATCCTTCAGACTTTCTTGTATCGTAACATTCATATTAAAATGTTATACGAATTTATCAATGATACTATGAGAAAAGAACTCACTATATAAAAAGTTACATAATGAAAATAAAACTTTCATTTTTAATGAATGAAAAAGACAAATTTATTTAGAAATAATCTGTGATCGTTACCGAAGGCTTTATATATATATTTATATACTTATGTATATATTTCACAGATAAATATATAGATAATATATACACACAAATTTCTGCAACTTGTTATCCTATATGACGTTATTATTTTCTACGCAATACATTAAGCGTCTAATTGAACTTACCAAGATTTCTAAATGTATTTAAACAAGATTAGCAAATTATATTTTTGTCTCGGTAGTTACTAATCACTCGGAAACCGTACAAAGAAGGTTGAAATACACGACGGCTGATTTAACCACCTAAAACATTTATTATAAATATTTTACACCAATTCATGCTCTTATTTATTGTCTGTGAACTACATGTCTGTTTAAAAATAAATTCGGACAATGTCGCCCTTAAAAAATTAATATATACTTCTCTTACATCACCAAAGGTCTTGAAGGACAAGACGATAAATTTGCCCGCTGTGATCTTTAACGGAATATGCGATATAATTATTATTAGTACCATGTCACGCGTTTTTCTTGATGGAAGACGATACCATCCTAACATATGCGTTTTCCAAGCAACCTCCTCTGACTGTTACAATAAAATAATGTAATGTTTATTGTTTATTTACCCGATGTTTTGCTCTTGTATCGTGTTTAAACATTATTTCAATATCCTCATGTACTTTCTAACACCGTGCCAATTAATACATTTTAGTGATACATATGATTATTCCAAAGTGATAATAAAATTGAATAGACATACAATATGTACGCGATCCACTTACTGCCTCTGTGACATGTTCACCGACGTAACAGAGAAGAAAAATATTAATCGCATCGGAAACCAGAACAATGAAAAAGGTACACGTATTTGCGGCATTCCCAACTCGCCACTCCTGTGAGTTTAATATATATTCAACAATCGTATTCCTGACAAATCGCTGGTGATAGAATTCTTAATTTTATACGAATGTCGTATGAAGTAATGTGTGCATAGTGCATAGCGTGCGCATGATGAAATGGAAAACTTTATTCACCATGACATGATCTGAACGTGCTGCCTACCATAAGAATACAATATCCTACAAGACACATCATTATAGTAGAACCCAATATCTCAAACAAACTACTGTGTCGCATCGTGTCTTCTACCAGATACAGAAAACTGAAAGCGACGTCAGTTATCGTTAATACGTAACTGTTAGGAAAAAAGAGGAAATTCAAAAAAGGAAAAAAAAGAAAAAGCAATACGAACTTGACAAAGCAAAAGTCTCACTTTCGTATTCTTATCTGATGCTCAACGACCATCGATAACTTCTCGTTCACGTTTTCCTCTGTACAGATCTGCTCACTGACAAGCTCCTCCATCAACATCATCAAGATCTTCATCTGTGCACACGCGTGCATGACAAGGAGCGCGATGAGGCCATATAACACAATCGTCACGGAGTACATGACAAATCCACTGAAAAGCTGCAACAGGAACATAATCTCGTAAGCCGGACTGCGCTGCTCGTCGAACACAATGTAATAACCCGCGTAAGCCAGCGGCCTGAACGTGACATTCCCATCGGTAAGCACCCTTCTACTTGTTAACGGCACGACTGTATGGAAGGACAGACCGGCACAGTATAGCATGATACAACAGACGGTAAATACATTTCTTCCTATCTTTGCCTTCTCGATCATAATTTCCCTCGCGCTCGGCAAAGCGACGAACTTCCAGTCGTCTTTTACGTGTCTCAGGCAAGTCTTGAACTTGTTTTCGTAAGTGATCAGAGTGCCGTATTTAATGAACGCGACGAACGAGTAAATCACAGGTTCGATCGTCATCAATTTGGCATGTGGCTCATCCTCGCTGAAGAATACAGAATAGAGGAACCCGGGAAGGACTATAATGCACACGAGGAGGCAGCACAGAGTGATCAGAAGTATTTTGCCCATCATTTCAAAGGTTGATAGATCTCTCTCGAGCAGAGGCCAAATGCCAAGTATCCGTAGAAGATATTGTACCGGTTTCATGACATACTTTATGTCTTGCTCGTAACTCATATTTATATGCGCCTGCGGAAGGTGTCTCTCCATAGTGAATGGAGAGGAAAATTTCCGAAAGAATTGGAAAGCGGCTTGTAATTTTCAATAACAAATAGAAATATATTCCGATGATGCTTCGGGTGCTTCAGGTGCTCACAAGCCGAGAGCTCGCTCACTACTGACTAAGAACTCGCGATAGAAAAAAACTGGGAATGACTACGGGGATGCAGCAGATCAAAGTAGACATTGAATCGATTGATGCGAACATGCGAAATCAAAAGCGCTTGCGCGTTTCAATCTCCAATGCCTCAAGTTTCCATGAGTAAAAACGAACTCACAACCATCTGTTACAATGTATACTATTCCTGTTTCAAACTTGAACTCTGATGCGAGAGTTAACTTTGTAACTGATGAGAAGTTTTCTCCCCTACGGAGAAGAGACTGGAACAAATACTCTATTCAAAGCAACTTTTCAGTGCTTTTATCGTTTACATGTACGTTGTGGGGTTTTAGTTACTAATAATTTACTCGATAACTCTGAAGTTAAACTTAACCCTTGCACATTCGTGGAATCAAAAGTCACCCCATGAAGAACATTTTTATAAATATCTCGCAACATTACAACCGTGTACTTGCGTTCTTTCATGTAATCTGTTTTCATTATCATTGCTAGCCGATGTTGAACGCACAGTCTGTTGCGGTGAACATATATTAGATAAATAACCGTTTGGCGTCATTATTGACCGCACGTTTGTAGTTACGTGGTTTTTCTTCAATTTTAGTGTATAATTATTATTTTCCTTTCATTTTCGGCATAATAAGCCACCTTCATATTCCTAACTACCGCGTTTACTACACAATATACCCAAGTAGCACTATCCATGGAGGTACATCTATTCTGGTCAAAAATAGAATAAAGCGTTACCAGGTAAACCTATTTCGTAAAGAAGAAATCCAAGCAACAAGCATTGTCTTTCAAGATCGATGCTCCCCTATCATTATAGCGGCCATTTATTGCCCATCTAAGCGCAATATAAAAGAAGAATATTTCATCAATTTCCTCAAAATTCTAGATCATCGTTTCATGTAGTCGTTGGCGGCGACTAAAAAATCAAGTATATATTTTGGAGATCGCGACTGATTCTACTTAGGGGTTGCGAACTTTTTAAAACAACTGAAATAGTCTTGGTATTGTATCTTCGAGACACCTTACACATTGGCCTTCGGATATAAGGAGCACCTCTGATCTAGTTGACTTCTGTGGTACCAAAAGCATTCCTAATAATTACGTCACATACAAATTTTGCTTCGAATTGTCTTATATGACCATACGCCTGTAATTATTGAATTAACTGAAAAAATTATGATGTAGCCCAAAAACTGTACCTTACAAGAGAAAACTAATTGGACTCTATTCAAGGACATTATTAGTCAATCCCTTGATTGTAATATAAATCTCAAAACTGGAAATAATATAATTAAAGCAGCAGGGCACTTTACCGTCACGATTCAAAATGCTACTTGGGAAGCCATTCTCATTTTCCCGAAATTAAAATAGCGGATGTAAAAATATTATATTCCAAGACCATAGTTGAGAAGGTATCTAAAAAAAGACGTTTGCATAAATTATAGCAATAGACCAGATGCCTCTCTCTAAAAACTAAATTAAATTATGCCATCAAAGAATTTAAATGTCTATTAAGCAACGAAAAAAATAATGGTATTCAAGCTTATTTACAGAAGATTTATGTCACGGCTGCAACAGATTACTCTGTGGAAAGCTACTAAGACACTAAAACAACTGGTAACAACCTCCCCGCTACTGCATAAACCAAATGGAACATGGGCTCGAAGTAACGAGGTAGAAGCAACATTTGCTAACCACCTAATCATAGTTTTCTCACCATATCCATATGAAGGCCCAACTGATCACAGGACTAAAGTCTTGAATACACTTGATAAGACTCCCATCTTAGAGACTGACAGTAGAAGTACAATGTTAGACATAAAGTTAACTTCGTTGCTTAATACGCTTGTGCGTTTTAAAAATTCAAGCGTTGCGTGCGAGAGATTAGTATTAAGAATTTGTAAACATCGAGGGACAAGATTGCTTTTTATGAAAACTATTTTCGCCTGATGACGTTCATAGACTTTTGTTATAAACAGGAAAATTGTAATGTTTAACTTTGTCCTGTTCCCTTTTGTATCCGACGATCGTAACTTTCGATCAACGTTCACCTAGAACTAATAGTTTTGGTTATATTATGTGTAGTCCTTCTACTTATTCCACTGCACACACATATGTGTGACAGTAAATCAATGTAGAAGTATTTCTTTCACACGCAGAGTCATAGCTGAATAAATTTTGAGTCATATGTTTTGTATAAAGTAAATTTCGCCCCATCGAGAACAATGAGGAGACAATAAAAAAATGTGTAATGAAATTTTAGTAATGCGAATGCGACATGCCCTTTACGCGTTGAAATTTTGTTAGCAAAATATAATTTGATATACGCTGCAATATAAATTCTTTCATGAGAGAAGTATATTTGAGAAATATTTTGCGAAATTTCACGTCGCATATTTCTATAGATTTACACATCATATTAAAATTTTATATTTTATAATTATGTTACTAATATTATACTGATATTTTTTTCTATATATGCAGCTAAGACAGTTTCTGCAAGATATGCATTTAATATACAAATTTCAAATCATTTCAATAAAGCCTTTACTTATGTTTATGAGATTACTACTTTTGCAGTAGTTCCGTCGAACTTTGCAGACTTTCTTCTATCATAACATTTCATGTTAAAACATTATACGAATTTATCGATAATACTATAATAAAAAAACTCACTATGTTAAAAGTTACATAATAAAAACCTTTGTTTTTAGCAAATGAAAAAGGCAGGCTTATTTATAAATAATCTATGACCATTACTGAAGGCTGTATATATATTTATATCCTTATGTATATATTTCATAATAATTCATAGATAAATATATAGATAACATATACACACAAATTTATGAAGCTTGTTATCCTGCATGACGTTATTTTTCTCTAAGCAATTTAAGCACAATCTAAACACATTAAGTTTTTAAATTGAACTTACCAAGATTTCTAAAAATATTTAAACAAGATTAACAAACTATATTTTTGTTTCGGTAGCTACTATTCACTCGGAAACCGTGCAAAGAATGTTGAAATACACAACGGCTGATTTAACTACCTAAAACATTTAATATAAATATTTTACACGAATTCAGGCTCTTACTTATTGTCTGTGAACGACACATCTGTTTGAAAGTAAATCATACTTTGGACAATGCCGTCATTAAAAAATCAATATATACTTCGCTTACATCGCCATAGGTCTTGAAGGACAAGACGATAAATTTGCCCGCTGTGATCTTTAATGGGATATGCGATATAATTATTATTAAGATTATGTCACGCGTTTTTCTTGGTGGAAGATGATACCATCCCAGCATATGTGTTTTCCAAGCAACCTCTTCTGACTGTTACAAATAAATGCGATATTAAAATAATGCGATGTTTATTGTTTATTTACTCGATATTTTGTTCTTGTGTCGTGTTTAAATATTATTTGAATTACCATATTCTCATGTACTTTCTAACACCGTGCCAATTAATACATTTTAATGACACACATGATTATTCCAAAGTGATAATAAGATTGAATAGACATACAATATGTATGTGATCCACTTACTGCCTCTGTGATATGTTCACCGACGTAACAGAGAAGAAAAATATTAATTGCGTCAGCAATTAGAACGATGAAAAAGGTACACGTATTTGCGGCATTCCCATCTCGCCATTCCTGTGAGTTTAATATATATTCAACAATCGTATTCCTGACAGATTGTTGGTAATAGAATTCTTAATTTTATGTGAATATCGTATGAGATAATGTGTGCATAGTGCATAGCGTACACATGATGAAATGGAAAACTTTATTCACCATGACATGATCTGAACGTGCTGCCTACTATGAGAATACAATACCCTACAAGACACAACATCAAAGTAGAACCCAATATCTCAAACAAACTACTGTATCGCATCGTGTCTTCTACCAGATACAGAAAACTGAAAGCGACGTCAGTTATCGTTAATATGTAACTGTTAGGAAAAAAGAGGAAATTCAAAAAAGGAAAAAAAAGAAAAAGCAATACGAACTTGACAAAGCAAAAGTCTCACTTTCGTATTCTTATCTGATGCTCAACGACCATCGATAACTTCTCGTTCACATTTTCCTCTGTGCAGATCTGCTCACTGACAAGCTCCTCCATCAACATCATCAAGATCTTCATTTGTGCACACGCGTGCATGACAAGAAGTCCGATGAGGCCATATAACACAGTCGTCACGGAGTACATGACGAATCCACTGAAAAGCTGCAACAGGAACATAATCTCATAAGCCGGAGTGCGCTGTTCGTCGAACACAATGTAATAACCCGCGTAAGCCAGCGGCCTGAACGTGACATTCCCAAGCATCCTTCTACTCGTTAACGGCAACGTATGGAAGAGCAGACTGGCACCGTATATCACGATACAACTGACGGCAAACACATTTCTTCCTATCTTTGCCTTCTCGATCATAATTTCCCTCGCGTTCGACCAAGTGACAAACTTCCAATCGTCTTTTACGTGTCTCAGGCAAGTCTTGAACTTGTCTTCGTAAATGAGTAGAGTGCAGTATTTAACGAATGTGACGAACGAGTAAATTACAGGTTCGATCGTCATCAGTTTCGCATGTGGCTCATCCGTGCTAAAGAATAAAGAATACAGGAAACCGGGAACGACTATGATGCACACGAGGAGGCAGCACAGAATGATCAGAAGTATCTTGCCCATCATTTCAAAGGTTGATAGATCTCTCTCGAGCAGAGGCCAAATGCCAAGTATCCGTAGAAGATATTGTACCGGTTTCGTGACATACTTTATGTCTTGCTCGTAACTCATATTTATATGCGCCTGCGGAAGGTGTCTCTCCATAGTTAATGGAGAGGAAAATTTCCGAAAGAATTGGAAGGTACTTCCACGGCTTGTAATTTTCAATAATAAATAGAGAGATATTCTGACGATACTCCGGGTGCTTCAGGTGCTCACAAACCGAGAGCTCGCTCACTACTGATTAAGAACTCGCGATAGAAAAAAACAGGGAATGACTACGGGGGTGCAGCAGATCAAAGTAGACATTGAATCGATTGATGCGAGCATGCGAAATCAAAAGCGCTTGCGCGTTTCAATCTCTAATGCCTCAAGTTTTCATGAGTAAAAACGAACTCACAACCATCTGTTACAATGTACACTATTCCTGTTTTAAACTTGAACTCTGATGCGAGAGTTAATTTTATAACAGATGAGAAGTTTTCTCCCCTACGGAGCAGGGGCTGGGACAAACCCTGTATTCAAAGCAACTTTTCAGTGTTTTTATCGCTTACATGTATGTTGTGGAGTTATAGTTACTAATAATTTACTCGATATTTCTGAAGTTAAATTTAACTTTTGAGCACATTCGATCAAGTCACCCCATGAAGAACATTTTTATAAATATCTCGTAACATTGCAACCGTGTTCTTGTGTTTTTCCATGTAATCTCTTTTTACTATCATTGCTAGAGGATGTTGAACGCGCACTCTCCTACGATGAATGCATACTAGATATATAATTGTTTGGTATCATTACTGATCCCACAATTGTATAATAGTTACGTGGTTTCCTTGGATTTTGTGTACAGTAATTATTTTCCTTCTATTTTCAGCGTAATATAATAAAAATGTCGCGATTATTCGACGGATAAAATAGAACATATTCTCTATTCAGATAACATATTTATTGAGGAGGAAATATTGAATGACAGACGTAATATTGTTTGTGCTGATGAAGATATATCGGACGATTGGTTAGTGAAAATTCTTCTATGAAATGAAATTCATCTTTCTGATGTTAGTGAGGATTCTTTATCTTTTCTTCTGAAAAAAAGGAAGATAATAGAGATTATTCGCGTAACTGCTATTGTGACAAGAACAAGTTTAAATAGGCCAAGATAGTTTGTAAAATTCACTCGTCTGAAAATATTATATGTACTAACTGCGAAATAGAATAGTTTGTGTATATAGACCAAAAAGGTTGCAGAACTAAATTTTTGCCAAAAACTTTTTATAATAAAAGTGTTTTTCTATTATTTTGTTTTGCGATTGCATTGGGATAAAAAATGACCCCACGTATGTATTTAAGGTAATTGGAATTAATTAATATAGTTGAAGGTTAATCAATTGGTTTTTCAAAAAAATGTCAGAATTTCATTCGCTTACCTGTTTAGTAAAGTGAGGTTATTTTGCACATTTTAGTAGAAAATTTTGAGGTATAACAGAGATACTGATTATGTGATTATTTAATATTATTACTTATAATATCATTATTATTATTTAATATCATTCAGTTTACACTTCGTAGAAAATTTAAATACGTCCCAGCTGTTTTAATAATCTGAAAGAATAAAACAGATATTTTACATATAAAATTGCATATTATTACAACAATTTAAAAAAAAAATTATGGCTGAATTTGGCAAAACTGAAAATTAAAATTTTCGTTTCTGGCAAATTATTATACAAAAGTAACTCCCCGTAACAATCTCAAATATGAGATAATATCATATTTGTCAAATTAGCTTAAAATTACGCGTACAAATAATTCTCATAAAAAGGTAAAATGATTAACAATATAAAATGTTTGTAAGGAATAAATAGGAACTCGTAAAAAATATAATTTTCTCTTCCCAAGTCTATGATAGCGATAATTGTTCGTTATTGCGTACGAATAATCTATTACATTCAAATTTAGTTTCTTACATAGCCAAATGTTTGCAACGACAGTTCGATGATTTTTCCAGCGGTGATTTTCAAAGACGTCTTAGACATAATCATCAATATGATAAATCCGCGTGCCTGCTTGAAAATGATACCACTTGAGCTCGTTACATGTAATCGCTAATTTCTCCGCCTGTTATTACAAATAAAGAGCTGAAATAGTAAGCTTTCGTGGTAAACCATCTTGGACGAATTGGCTTTAGATCATCAAGGGTGCACTTAGATGCATCAAGGTATGTATACAGCCTGCATTCTGACTGCATGTACAATTATAATTGCACTTGCATCATCAAAGAGTCACTGTACAACCTCGATTATAGGATATAAAATATACCTGTATGATAATCTGTTCGCCAGCGTAACAAAACAGAAACATATGCAATGCAATGAAAGTGAAAACACAACTTATTCTAATGATTACATTAGTCACACTCGTGTTCAATAGCAATAACTGGTTGAAATAGTACCCATTCCCACACATACGTACGCCTAGTCTATCTGTTACGTGTTTGTTTTCTGAAGAATGTATGGTATATCATAGTCTTACGATATTCTTAAGATCCTCCTCGTAATGTTTGTTACGTGGCACCTCGTACATTTTAAAGATTGCAATTACGCGTGAGGAAGCTTTAAAGATTAGTCGCACAGACTAACGTTATACAAATTATGCGGAACTCCGACGCAGGTCAAACTAAGACTGATCGTTGAGAATAAAGCTTGCGATCAAGTAAGCGCGCCATCAAAACGCGCTTGCGCGCGTAAAAACTTTCATGTTGCGTGAGTCAGAAAAATTGAGAGGCAAATTTAGCAAATTCAGCAAATTGCTCATCTAAAATTGATCTTGCTGGCATATAGAGAGTATTTTTATCCGCTAACTTTTACGACTTGTGAACACCACATACAACCACGTCTCATTGTGCTTTCTTCTTAGTTGAATCTGTTTAATAACTTAGTAAAGTCAGTATTCTACAGAAAGATTTGAACTTTCGAGAAGTTGTTATTCGAAAATTTATATTTATATTAAAAGTTTAAGAAGAGTATAGTGCAATTCTTCACACATATATATTAAGTGATTATATATTAAGTGATTAAAATCAAGAAAAGAATGAAAAATTTTTAACTATTGCTGTGTTGCTGTATCGTTTTTATTTTAAACTCGAATTTTGATTCAAGAGTTGAATTTATAACAGACAAGAAATTTTACGGCAGAGGCAGAGATTGAAACAGAACTTTGTACATCCAAAGCAACTTTCATATAACTTTATTTCCTCTGTACCGCTGAGTTTCACTTTGTATTATTATCTACTAATTATAGTAATATATACTACATATGAATCTGGTACTAAATTTAATGGTCAGCTACAAATATGTTTTCTAAGCAATGACAAACTTTCAATCGCTTATCTCGTGAGTTCATTTTAGCTGGTAGTTTTAAAATGTCACATGCATTTAGTTTGATAGCTAGATGTCGATTAATTAATATAGCATCCCCACTATCTGTTTTCTGTATATCTAACATTCCTGTTTGTTCATTATGCTCTTCATCGCAGAAGAGCATTCAGGTTACATGGTTACATTTCGAAGCACATTAAGATATGCTGCAGCTGTTTTAAGAATCTAAAATAAAAACAAAAAAATATTTCTTCTTCAAAATTCAACATTAAAATGATATCGTTTAAAAAATTATAATTAATCGTACATGATCCATCATATAAATTCCAAAAATAAATCAATGTCGCATAGGTCAAATTAGTTTGAGATCACATACATAAATAATCTCAACAAAAATAAATAATCAATATAAAAAAGCTGAAATTATTTAAATATATCATATAATAGTTTTAGAAGCGACGAAATAAAAAGATTTGAAAAGTATCTTTTTTTTTTTCAAATTTTACGCCATGTTGATGAATGTTCGAGATTGTGAATAAGTAGACGATTATAATTACATTAAAATTCGTTCTCTTACATCGCCAAAAGTCCTGAATGATAAATCAAACAGCTTGCCAGCGGTGATCTTGGTCGGCATATTCGATGCAATCATTACTAAAATGATTCCGCGTGCTTTGTTGTCCGGAAGACGATACCACTCGAGTTCACAAGATGTAACTGCTACCTTCTCCGCCTACCATTATAAGTAGAAAGCTGAAGCTTTTCTTTAGCTCTCGCAAAGAATGTGATAGACATTTTAAAATACGCAGTATCGAGTGAACACAATTAAGCTTCACGCAGGAGTATAATTGCACAAGTGCGTGGTCAAAAAGACTGTTACACTACCTAAACTATGTGAAAATATACCTGTGTGATAAGCTGCTCGCCCGTGTAACAAAACATGAGCATATTTATTATCATGCCTGAAAGTGCCATGAAGTAAGAACATAACGCTAATGCATTACTATTCTCCCATTCCTATAAGAAAATTGACATAACATCTGTAGATCACATGTATAAGGCTACAGTAATAAATTCGCAGGCAAATTTCGCTTGGCAATTTATTGTAATTTACTTTTCAATTCTTTCATATTTCAATATTATGAATTTGAAACGAATTTGAAGTGAACTACAAACCATCAATATGCAGTAACATAGAACGCAAATTATCACGGTGACTCCGGTTATTTCTATGAAACACATTTGCTGAAGAGTGGACTCTACCAATTGCAAAAAGCTGAAATGTATTTATCGATTGCATGATGAACGTTAACACGTGAAATTTAATAAGAGAAACAAGATCTAACAATCACAAACGTACCTGCGTATTCGTGTCTGATGATCGACAATAATAGCCAGCTTCTTGTTCACTTTGTACTCGTCTCTTTGTTTTTTCTCGACTAGATCCTTTATCAGGTCTATCAAAACTTTCAGTTGACCGCAGGTGTGCGTCACAAAGATGATGATGAGACCACATATGCTCACCGAGATCGACATAGTGACTAGCCCGGACAAACAATGCATCACAAACACCACTTCGTAGATCGGACTGGATTGCGCATCGAACAGAAGAGAATGAGTCGGATAAGGTAAAGGTCTGATCGTGATGTTTTCCGGAGTAACGATTTTCCCTTTGGACAATGGCAAGATTGTTCGAAGTGTGATCCCACTGCTGTACAAGAAAACCGCGGAAATTATAACCAAACGCTTCCCGGTTCTCGCGGATTCGAGCATCACTTTTCGCGCGTTCATGCCATTGACGTTCCTCCAATCCTCTTCGAGGTGCTTCAAACAGCGCCTGATCTGACTCTCGTATATAATTAAACTGTAATATTTGCCGAGAGACATAAAACCGTAGAGCATAATCGGAATTGTCCGAAGTCGAGCGCGAGCTCTCTTCTCGAATATCCAATAAAGTGCGCCGGGCACCAGGGAGAAATACAGAAGAAAGTATGAAATGGAGATTCGCAGAAATTTGTTAATTTTTTCGCAGATGGACTTATCTCCGTCGAACTTTGGCCAAACGCCAAGCGCTAATAAAACGCTGCGATTTAACTCCAGAATATTCTTAATGTCGCGCTGGTAGTGCTCGTTGCGTGGCACCTTGTGCATTTTGGAAATCGCAATCCTACGTAACGAATGTACTTTTTCCTCAGGTTAGATCGCACCGAGCAACGTTATACAAACTGTGCTAGCTACTGTGCTGCAAAATATACTGTGTAGAGCTGAGACGCAAGACAAATTACGACTGATCATTGGAGAAACAACTCACGATCAAGTAATCTCGTCAGTACAGTGCGCTTGCGCGTATAAACTATAATATTGCGTGAGTCGGAGAAATTGAAAGTCGCAAAGTTCGTGAAGCAATCTATTCATCCGTCGTCGACTTTGTTCGCTTATAGGTAATATTTTTAACTCTCACAATAGGAATATGCAATAGGAACTGCGTCTGATGCTTTTTGTACATTAGAACCGTACAACGTTTATTACGAAAATGTGAAGGATGGTATAAGGAATGATAAAATAGTGAACAGAAATGGTGAATATACATATGAAGAAATATAATCTCCTCATCATTTTCTATCATTATTTTTGATGTATTATACATTTATATATTTGCTGCTATAAAACTATATTTGCTGCTATAAAGCTCAGTCACGACATCTTTGAGAAACCCATCAAAACTTTCGCACTTGCCCAGTACATGTCCGATCGATACAGTGACTAGCCTAACTAAAAACTACATAATATTCAGGATCTTTTGGAAACAAAAAATTGTGAAGATTAATCAGATCAAACTGAAAAGAAAAGTCATGTACCATTTTGCAAAAATCGCAATAGTTATTAAGTTATTAATGATCAAAAGTGACCACATTTAGAGTCTCTTTTAATTGATAATTTGAAAATTTGCGTACTTATTTGAATATAAAATAAACAAAATAAAGTGCCGAAGGTACTAAAATGGAATAAAAGAGAAAACACAAAATGGAAAAATTTGCACACATAGGAACTTGCTCATTTTCTCGTAACTAAACCGTTTTTCGTTAAACTTTAGTTGGACATCAAGCGAATAAAAGATTGCGATTTAATTGCAATATATTTTTAATGTTAATAATATTTGTTACGAGATTACAGATTTTGAAAATTGCAATCCTGTATGTGTGTGTAAATTTATTGTTTTTTGACTGCATCGAGCAGCATTTTATGAATAAATAGAACTGAAACGCGAGCTCAATCATGATTGATAGTTGCAAAAAAAACTCGTTCGATCAGGTAAACTCGTGATTAGAATTCACTTGCGTGTCTATAAAGTCTAATGTTGCATGAGTCGGAGAAACTGAAAGTCAAAGTTCACAAAGCAATCTGTTCATTTGAAGTTCACTTGAAGTCGATATTTTGTTCACTTAGAGAAATTTATTTTACCCGTTAACTTCTCGATATGAGAACGTAAATGTATCTAATTCTATTTCTGTCTATGAAAAGTATTTAGTCAAAACATTAATTTGTAAATAATAGTTCTCATTGTGCGTTGTACAGAATTGCTCCGAATTGCTTTATTATATTACATCCGTATATAGAGAAGCATTGTTTCTTATAATAATCAATGAAATATTTATAATAAATAAACATAATGTTGTCTCATGTGCATATCATAATAAAAAATAACAGTGAATTGCAATCAAGAAGAAAAATTTCAGTGGATCGAGTTTCATTTTTACGTGAAACCAAATATTCAATAGATGATTATCTTTTATATTGAGTTATAAAATCGAACAATTTCGCGACAGAAACATAACTTATAGATGAAATCAGCTCGTAATTGAAGAATTTCATTTTAGAAATTTTTGAAAACAGATGCTGTAGATAAACTTACCGAGTATTAAAGTAACTGTGATCGGTTTTCTTGATTATTCAGAAAATATTTTTTTATTTTTATATATCTATTTTTCGCTTTCAACATTGAAAGAAAAAACTCTGCACACTTTTTGTTAGCTAATTGTTAGCTAACTGTTAGCTAATTACTTTTATTTTAACAATGCTAAAATAGCTAATTTAGCTATGATTGTATATATTATAATTCAGTCCATAATCGATCGAAGTAGATTTAAATACCCCACGGCCGTCCTAACAACCTAAATAATTTAATTATGTTAATGTCTCTCATTTTGGACGAAAGGCAACTTTGTTAAACTGCGTAAAAGAATTTTCAAACGTATGTGCATAAAGCAATTTACATACTGATGCATTGTACAAGAAAAATAAATAAATCGCATCTACTGAACAAATCTGTTACTTACGAGGCCGAAAGTCCTAAGGGACAAATCTACGAAGTTGCCAGCTTTAAGTGTCAATGGGACATTAGATATAAGCATGATCATAATTAGCGCTCGCGCTTTCGTATCCGGAAGAAGATACCAATCCAAAGTGCACGCTGTTACGGCTACCTGTTCTGCCTAGTTTTGTTAATGAATCACAGACATTAAAATGATCTTTGAAAGAGAAGCATCTCGCAATATATCCGCTGCCTTTAATGTTGTATTATTTTTACCGCTGCTGTATATACGAGGGCGGTCCGATAAGTACTTAGCCTCACCGCCCGATGGCGCCACTATCGCAAGAGAAATTTACTATCGTGTAGTACATTCTCGTAGACGGCTACTGTCGAAATTTCAGCCGAATCGGACTCGTAGTTTTGTTTTGACCGCGTGTGGAAGCGGGCGTGTCCGCGGATTTTAGAAAAATGGAAAAAGAGCAATATCGGTCGGTGATTCGATTCTTGTTTTTGAAAGGGAAATCGCGCAGCGAAATCAAAGAGCGCTTGGATGCTGTGTACGGTGACTCTTCTCCTTCGATGGCGACCGTCAAAAATTGGTTTAACGAGTTTCAACGTGGTCGCACGTCGGTTTTTGATGAGCCACGCCCAGGTGCCCCGAAAACGGCTACCACGGAGGATAACATGACAAAAATCCACGACCTCGTATTGGCAGACCGCCGATTGAAGGTGCGCGAGATAGCTGAGACAGTAGGCATCTCAAAAGACCGCGTGGGTCATATCCTGCATGAAATTTTGGGCATGAGAAAGCTGTCGGCGCGATGGGTGCCGCGTTTGCTCACTCCGGACAACAAGCGCAACCGTGAGACCACTTCAGAGCAGTGTTTGACGCTGTTTAAGCGCAATCCGAAGGAGTTTCTGCGTCGTTTCGTGACCGTCGAGGAAACATGGATCCACTGGTACACACCAGAGACCAAGGAACAGTCGAAACAGTGGACTTCACCCGGCGAACATGCTCCGAAGAAGGCGAAGACTGTCCTATCGGCCGGAAAGGTAATGGCCACCGTTTTCTGGGATTCACAAGGTGTGATCTACATCGACTACCTGGAGAAGGGCAAAACAGTCACAGGGCTGTACTATGCCGAATTGGACCGATTCGACGCCGAATTGCAGAAAAAACGGCCCCATTTGGCGAAGAAAAAAGTGCTCTTCCACCATGACAACGCACCGGCTCACACCTCCGCCCTCGCCACGGTCAAATTGGTCGAATTGGGCTACGAACTGCTGCCCCATCCACCGTATTCTCCAGATTTGGCCCCGTGCGACTTCTTTTTGTTTCCAAACTTGAAAAAGTCACTCGCCGGGCAGAAATTTGAGTCGAATGAGGAGGTCATCGCTGCCACGGAGGCCTACTTTGCAGACCTCGAGAAAACGTATTTTTCAGACGGGTTAAATAAGTTGGAGCATCGCTGGGTCAAGTGTATCGAGCTAAAAGGAGACTATGTTGAGAAATAAATCGCCACTTTTCCAAAATTTTCGCTTTTCTTTTGTAGGCTAAGTACTTATCGGACCACCCTCGTACATAGCGCAACAATGTAATGTACATGCCTTTTCAGACAGCTGTTCGCCAATAAAACAATATATAAATACGTTGAAACTAAACGACAAGATTGTGATGAAGTACGAACACATAGCTATGGCATTGCTGTCTTCCCATTCCTGAATTGCGAAGCAAAGCACATGGGCAAGTGTAATTAAATTATTGTTACATGTATACCTCCACAATCTGCACGATAAGTTTTACGTACCATGAGAAGATAATACGATAAAAAACATACCAGAAAACTACATGTTACGACTTCTACCAGACTTGAAAACTGAATAACTTCTTGCACCATGCGAATCAAACTGGAATATATTGCAAATTAAATGTCAAACAAGTACAATCGAACATTCTTCGCACAATATTTATCATATTAAAGCATCCTGTCATGTGTTTTTATGTGTTTTTAACTGACTCATAAAATTGCACTACACATAAAAATAACAATAAGCGTACGTGTCCATAGATGCATGCAGAAAGAAACGGATTAGTTACTCTCGCGTTTTCATTTGATGCTCCACGATAACCGCTAATTCTCTGTTCACATTCTCAAGTTTGGTCTCACTTGTCAAATTGTTCATTGCCGCCATTAGAATATCCAACTGTGCGACGATGTGCATCGTGAAGAGTGCGGCGATCCCGCAAGCCGCCACTGTGATCGTGTTCTTGATGAACGCCGTAAAACATTGTACGAAGAACACGATTTCGTAAGCCGGGCTGATCTGCGGATCGAACACTATGAAATGAGCGGCACACGGCAAGGGTCTGATTGTAATGTTCTCAGCGGTGACGATCTTCCCTTTCGAGACCGGTATAATCACTCGATACGCTATTCCGGCAGAGTACATGAATATACTGCACAGGATGAACAAACGTCTGCTGGTTTTCATGTGGAAGAGCATCGTGTTGCGCGCAGCCGGACTATGGACGCTCCGAAAATCCTCCTCGACGCGCACCAAGTAATTTCTCACTCGATTCTTGATGTACACCAGATTGCTATACTTGAAGATCGTCACGATCGAGTATATCATGGCGGCTATAACTTTGAGCCTCGCGTTAGTCTCCTTCTGCACCATGAATACATAAAGAAGCATAGAAATTAGATCGCTACAGAGAAGAAAATACCATCCCAGGAGCAGTGCGATTCTCTTTAGCTCCTGCGGAAGCCAGAAGTTCGTTCGCGCTCGCGCGTATGGCCAGATACCCAGCAGAGAAAAAACAAATTGATTCAACTTGTACGTGTACTTGATGTCGCGCTCATAATTCTTATTGATAAACATTGCGAAGCGTGCTCGACTGGAGATTCTACAATAATGTACTTTCGTGTACTATGTTTCTCTGCAAAATGTATTGCAACAAGACAATCATCGCTCCTTCTTCTTGTCTGTCGTAGCGGCCTCTGCCCACGTCGAGCAGAGCTTGGCAGTTGCGCACGCTTGCGTGTTAATATTATGCAATCGATAGGGTATATAATGTGGAAATTGTTCATAACGTATGTATAGTAACTTCGAGGTTTATCTTTTTTAATCTGCGCAAAAAGAAAGTTACTACAGCTTCATTTCAAATATTGAACAAGTTGACGTCCCACAAAGAAGGGTTATCATTGATACCGCACTAATACCGAAGAGCTATTGATTTTAGCGAGACATCGACTTTACAAGTACGATTTGTATATGCGTTAAGAAGAGAAGATGAATATCCATATATCTCTCTCTGCTGAAAATGATTACATAATTTCTTTGTAAATGTAAATATACGCGTATCAGTATTTCTGTGTATATTATGATAAATCCAGATAAATGTTTTTTTTCTGTGGAAAAAGATAACGTTGTTCGCAACTTCAATCTGATGTTTCTTGACTGCACAGAGGAAAAGTTTCTCTGCTGGGTAGAGAGGCCACGAATGAGAGAATTGACGTTCTGCAGAGAAAATTACCCATAATAACAGTGTGTGTGAGACTTTTGAAAAACAACGCCTTTAACTTTTCTAACTTTAGTCTCTCTACGCCGACACATCCAGAGACTTCTCCATACTTTTGATATTTTATTTTCTTTTTTATTTCAACATTACATACTTAACGCGCACTTCCGATGCTACGCTTATTTATCTATGAGTCAATATATGGTAATTCAATCAACAACTGATCGAAGAAGATTTAAGTAACCCAGGACCGTCTTAATAATCTGAAATATAGTATATTTTTGTTAATCGCCTTTCCATTCGACCAAGGAAAGAAAATCTCGGATATAAGAGCTTTCAATGCACTTGCATTGAGGAAGATAGGTACTGTAAAATAAAAATAGAAAAGCTGTAACTTCCGAGCGAAACTCATACTTACAGCACCAAATGTCTTAAAAGACAGCTCCACGAAATTGCCTGCTTTGAGTTTCAGTGGCGTATTTGACACGAGTATGATCAAAATTAACGCTCGTGCTTGCGTATTCGGAAGAAGATGCCAGTCTAACGTACATGCTGTCAGAGCTACCTGTTCTCCCTAAGTTAATTAAGTTTCGTTAATGAACAATAAACATCACAGAATGATATTTGAAGAAGGAATATCGCGATATCTGTCACTTCCACAAGATGTGTTATCATTACCGCAATGTGTAGATAAGAGTGTATTGCAACAATCTAATATACATACCTTTTCAGAGAGTTGTTCGCCAATAAAACAATATATAAATATGTTGAAAGTTAATGATATCAATACGATAAAATACGTACACGTGGCTACGACGTTGCTGGCTTCCCATTCCTGCATGGAAAATCAAAGTATATGTTAGAGAGAGAGAGAGAGAGAGAGAGAGAGAGAGAGAGAGGGGGGGGGAGGGGTAATTGTAGCAAAATATTTTCACGTGCACATGCATACACTCTTCCTCACAATTTTTACATACCATAATGACATAATACATTATGAGGCATAATATGGAGGTGCACGTCATGACTTCTACTAGACTCGAAAATTGTATAGCGCCTTGCACCATATGTAAGAAACTGTAATGTATCGCAAATGTAAGACAAATGTAAAACTCGTTTGTCGGAAACAATCGCGTACACTTCACGAAGTATTTGCCATGCTGAAGCACCGTACGATGTGTCTCCAGTCGACACGTAAAACTGATCATCATGTATAAATCAGTTACGATAAATATATGTTTGTTAAATTTGGGTATCGGACTCATAAAATATTATTTACGTAAGAACCCTCGAATATTTGAATATTAACACGATCGAAATCAAGCGTGCATGACGATGCATGCAACAACAAACGGATGTTACTCTCGTGTTCTTATTTGATGTTCCACGATGACAGATAACTTCCTGTTTATATTCTCAACTTCATGTTCATGCGTCAAATTGTTCATTAGCGTCACCAATATGTCCAATCGCGCGACGATATGCATCGTGAAGAGCGCCGCGATGCCGCAAGCCGCCACTGTGATCGTATATTTCAAGAACCCCGCGAAACATTGCATGAAGAACACGATCTCGTAAGCCGGGCTGATCTGCGGATCAAACACCACATAATAGGCAGGACTCGGCAAAGGTCTGATCGTGATGTTCTGAGCGGTGACGATTTTCCCCCTCGACAACGGTATGAGTGTTCGAAATGAAAACCCGGCGGAGTACATGAATATACTGCACAAGATGAACAAACGTCTGCCGGTTCTCGCATGGAAGAGCATCGTATTACGCGTGGCCGGACTGATGACACTTTGAAAATCTTCCTCGACACGCGTCACGCAACTCTTCAGTTGATTCTTCACGTACAGCAGATTGCTGTACTTGAGGATCGACACGATTGTGAACAACAGGGTGGCCGTAACTTTGATCCTCGCGCGAGTCTCCTTCAACACTATAAATATGTAGAGAAGCATAGATATTAGTTCGAAAATGAGAAGAACAAAAGAACCAAAGACCAGCACGATTTTCTCCATCTTCTGCAGAAGCCAAACATTCGTGGTCGCGTAGGGCCAGATTCCCAATAAACGAAAAACGAATCGATTCAACTCGTACGTGTAATTTATGTCACGTTCGTAATTTTTATTAGTATACATTGTGAAATAGCTTCGACGTGAGATTCTATGCTTTTGCTTTTATGAAGTATGACACGTGATACTCTGAGTTCTGTTCACGTGATGTGACGGAACAGCGACGACTACTGTTTTTTCTTCTCCTCCTCTATTCACTTCGAGCAGTCCTTGATACCTACGCGCGCTTGCGTGTTGCAACGGTTGGCATGAAGTTGAATGTGAAGTTAAATATTAACAATGTATGAGTGGCAATTTTGAAGGAAATCTCACAGGCTAGCCTTTTAGATTTGTACAAGAAGAAAGTTCCTCCAACTGTTACGATAACAGACGGTCATTGACTTTCACAGGATGTCGACCTTGCAATTTGTATATAAGTTGAAAAGGGAGACTAACTTTGCTAAAATTATTATGAAATATGCATACACACAATGTATTTCTCCATAAAATATAATAATTTTGAATAAATGCGTATATTCGACGAGACGCTAGTCGTAAACTTCGTCTGGTGCTTTTCGCTTGTTTTATAGAGAAAAAATTTTTCTGTCGAAGTAGAGGGAAAGAGAGGGAAAAAAAGTTGGAAAATCACGAAAAGTCCGTTTTGCCAGAAAAGATTATCGATGATAACATGTAAGTTATAACGCGTAAGTTATAATCTTTGACTTGAGAGAAAGTCCATATTAGGTTGTCAAATATTTTATATGATATTTTTCGTTGTTTATCGTAATGTTGTTTATCGTAACGTAATTACGATAATTCTTCATTTGAAATAGATAAGTGCATTTGAATTGCATTTTGTAACGATCGGTAGTGTCAGAGATCATGCTGTAGAGATTTGAATAATGTGAAACAAATCTTTTTGCATTACTTGAGACAAGAGGAATAAAAAAATTTAATATGTAATATCTTGATGAAACATGTCTCCAGCTCACTGTAAAACTGAATTCCTTATTCCTATCTCAACTATATTTTGTAAAAGAAATGTATTTAAATCAAGAACACAGATTTTTTATATTTTTATATTGCACCAATCTTTGCATCTTTGACATATCCATGGTAATAGTATATATGATATAATGTTGTATTGCACAGCTTACATTTCTATCTCGATTATTAGAGCTCAAATATTAATCAATCGGCTACGTTTCGAAGCATATTAAAATATGTTATAGATGTTTTAACCACCTAAAACACAATATGGCGCGATTACTGATTTAACACTTCGAAATTTCGCGTCTCTAAAATAAATATCAATTGCAAACGATAAATGTGAAACGTATGTACATAATATTGTACATGCCGGACTACTTAAATTACACTATTAAAATTTAATAATTATTAAAATTTAAAATGGTGCAATATTGTGCACACAGATATAATATACAGGCACATCTTGTTAAATTTTTTGCATTATATACTACAATTATATAGACATATAAATAAATTAGTTTAAAAACATCATCTTACGTCACCAAATGTTTTGAAGGATAAGTCTATAATTTTTCCAGCGGTGATCTTGGTCGGTGAATTAGACATGATCATCACTAGCACGATTTCGCGCGCTTTTTTATCCGGAAGACGATACCACTCGAGATCGCACGATGTATTGGCTACTTTTTCCGCCTGTTATTAATATTATCAAACACACACATGAGATGAAATTGTATAAGTTGATTAATCAATATTTCAGTAATGCCTTTTCCAGTCAATCAGTAAATATCATCAATGCTACTTTTACGAGGCAGGAATCACTGTTGTGTTATTTGCAATGGACCAAATTATTTATACACGCAACTGACTATATATATTAGGTTGGTTAGAAAGTTTGTTCGGACTTTTTTACAGCAATTAAAAATCTTTCCTTTAGTTTGCGTTGTGTTTTCTGCGTTGCAATAATAAAATGGCGATAATTTCGTATTTTCATATTCTCTATTTTTAAATCAATATCGCTTTACTGTCACTCAACGAATTTGCGCAACATGTTTTCTTAGTACGCTGCAAAGAGTCACGTCTTACAGACGCACAAAATTTAAAAATATGGAATAACAATACCACTTGCAACGTCAACTAATGGCAAAATCCAAACAGATTTTCCGACCAATCTGATAACATTTGTCATTGCACGATGATGTTTACTATTAACAACTGGCAGGTCCGTGCGAATAAACATACCTGTGTGGTGAGCTGTTCACCAGTGTAACAAAACATAAACACATTTATCATAATGGATGTAAGAGACATAAAGTAAGAGCACATAGCTATTTTATTGCTGTTCTCCCATTCCTATAAATGTGAAATCTTAATATAAACGCGATTTAATTATATATGCGAGAACACGAAATGCATTACTTTTATTTATTAATCAAACTGGATAGATGAAAAAAGTTACGGACCATTATTATACAATATCCTAGAATGCAGACAATCATCGTGCATCCCATTACTTCTATCAAACATATTTGTCGCATAGTGTGTTCCACTAATCGTAAAAAACTGAAATATATTTATGAACAATATGATATAGATATTTCGAGGAAGAACAAGAAAGTGGATCGAAAAGCTGCAATTCACGCGTGTTAAATAATAGCGAATAATCATCATCATGGTGAAAACATGTATCTAATAAATGAATTACAAACATTCACCTTCGTATTCTTATGTGGTATTCAACCATTTCGGCCAGCTTCCTATCCACATTGCGTCCCTCATCCCACTGTTCTTTGACGAGATGTCTCATCAGATTTATCAGTATTTGCAGCTGACCACAGGCGTGCATCACGAATACAGCCGTAAGACCACACACGCCTGTTGTGATTGAGAAAGTAACTAATCCGGAAAAAAACTGCATCGCGAAGATCATCTCATAAGTAGGGCTGACTTGTGCATCAAGCGAGAAAAAGTAACCCGGACAAGGCAAGGGCTTGAGCGTGACGTTCTGTGCGGTGACGATCTTCCCCTTGAACAACGGCAAGATCGATCGGAAGGAAAGCCCGCTGCCATACATGAAGGTCCCACAAAGTGCGACTAGGCGTCTTCCGGTTTTCGCGGACTGTATCATCGTGTTTCGCGCGTCCAAGCTTATCACGTTCTTCCAGTCCTCCTCAATGTGTTTGAGGCAACGTTTGATCTGTCCCTCCCGAAGGATCAAATTGCCGTATTTGCCGACGGCCATGAAGCCGAAAATGAGCAGAGGTATTGTCTGGATCTTGATTCTCATTCTCTTCTCGCGTATACAAAAGAGGACACCGGGAATCAGGACGCAGTAGAGGAGCATCCAAGAGATCGTAATTAGCAGGAGTCTGCAGATCCTGCGTCTGGAGGATTCTCCGGTCAAGGACGGCCAAACTCCAAGTACGTTCAATATATTACGCGTTGCATGTGTGATGTATATAATATCATCTTGATAACGTTCGTTATTAGGCATGTTTTCAATAAATTTAAGAGAAAAATTGTTCCACTATTTTTTCTGGAGAAGATTACTTTTTTTTTAATACAGAACGTGATAGAAATTACTATGAGCAAAGTTACACGAGATGCAGACGCGTGCTCGATTACAAATGACGGTCTCAAGGCGAGCCACGAATAGAATGAATTCACTATTCGCTTACGCTTGCGCAACTTTAATATTCAAATGTTGCGTGCAAGAGAACTTCAAGCAAAGTTTGCGAGCCAACTCGCTCGCCGAGAATCAGAAACATTTGAGACAGTAAGTATTTTTATTTGCCAACGTGCACCCCCTTTCCCAAAGAACTATGAATAGTCGGTAACTTTAGTCTCTCTTGTGTCAAAATTGCAGTTGCAGATGTCAATGCTCGAGAGCGACAGCTGTAATTTTGCTTGCATAATGCAGGGTATTTTATTTCGCTTGTATGCAAAAGTCAACGGGTATAGCAACATCTTTCGTAGCGCACTGTCAACGTATGTAGAATATATTCAATAAAATGGAAATGGTATCTGAATTTGAAGATTTTATACCAAAAAATAAAACAACAATTTGAAAGTTAAAGTTGTCACAATGATATTGACAGTTTCTGTGAGTATTCCGAATAACTCAAAATCGTACATCGTAACAATAAGGTAAAATATAAAATTATATTCCCCACCGGTATATATACATTTATCTTCTATAATACAAATATATTTAAATTGAGAGAATATACATATGATATATACATATATACATCACCCAATGTTTCGTAGTTGATACACTTATGTAGCGAATACACAAGATGCGACGTCTGCCAATGCGTAGTTTTGTCAGTCCAAATAAGAATATTCAGTGTGTGACATTCCGTATCATGTTAAAATATGTCACAGATGTTTTAACAACCTGAAATATAATATCGCGCGAATATTATAGTCCATTATTGTTTTTTAACAGAATTTTAAAATATGGATGCGCATTTGTTTTTAGAAGATGTCTGCAAAACATGTAGTTAATTCTATGAGCACGCTGCACAAGTTAACAGTCACTTATTGTATTACCAGGAACGCGATAATAAACGCCCGATTGTACATGTTTGTTGTGTTTGTTATGATTGTGTGTTATGATTGTGGCAGATCTACGAATGGATATTAAGATTCGTTTGATTAGATCTTACGTCACCAAACGTCTTGAACGACAGATCCATGATTTTTCCAGCGGTGATTTTCGTAGGTAAGTTGGACATAATCATCACTAGCACGATTTCACGCGCCTTTTTATCCGGGAGACGATACCATTCGAGATCGCACGAAGTGCTAGCTACTTTATCCGCCTGTTATTAATATTGTCAAATACGTGTTGTAAAGTTTTACGGACTTACGACAAAATGGTTTTTCAGTGATATACAAAAAGATATATAGAGCGATATTTCTTTACAAATGTAATATTGTTTGTGACGTACATGAATTAACAAATGTTTATTATATAATATCATCTGTCAAAAGAATCCGACTGATTAGCTCAGGCATACCTGTACACTAAGCTGTTCACCAGTGTAACAAAATAAAAACATGTTTATTACCATAGATGACAGTGAGATAAAGTAGAAGCATATAGCTAGCGGATTGCTATTTTCCCATTCCTATAAATAAAATATTTGTTTTAATTATGAAAAATTATGAAAAAAATTAATGTGTTATTTCTAGTTATGAGAAAGCTTAAATAAAGATTGCTGTTGATAAATTATAAATTATCATTCTTGTGTTAAGATTATTACTTGTAAGAGATGAAAATTTGTTTTCTTCAATTTTTATGGTATATTTTAGATCTTAATTTGTTATGCATATATTTTTATAAATAACTGTTGCTGCAATAGGATGTTTTTTAATATTTTGAGATATATGTAATTTAATTCTTACATACCGTTATTATACAATATCCCAAAAGACAGAGAATTATCGTGCACCCCAATAATTCGATCAAACATACTTGTTGTAGAGTACGTTCTACTAATTGTAAGAAACTGAAATTGTAATTATCGATGTCGGCATCGAATTCAACACTTTATGTGCGTGAGAAATTATACAATTAAATATAGTATGGAAATACGTGGAATGTCACATAGATTTTTCGTGAGCATGTAATTATCATTATTTAATATTTTTTAAGCACAGTACAATCATGACTAATAAGTCATTGCATCTTTATGCAATCTATAAGCTTTAACTTACTTTCGCACTCTTATTTGATGCTCAACCATCTCAGCTAGTTTTTTATCCACATCATCTTTTTCTTTCCATTTCTCCTCCACGAGATTCCTCATCAACTCCACTAGAATCTTCAACTGACTGCAAGCATGCATCACGAAGACGGCCGCGAGACCGCATACACCAACTGTTATGGAATAGGTGACTATCCCAGACAAAAATTGAATCAGAAAGACCATCTCGTAAGCAGGACTAATTTGTACATCGAAGAAAACGAAATAAGCCGGGCAAGGTAAGGGTCTGATTGTGATGTTTTGCGCCGTGACGATCTTCTGTTTGGTCAACTGCAGAAACGACCGGAAGGAGAGCCCGCTACCGTACATGAAGACTCCGCAAAGTGCGACCAGGCGCCTCCCAGTTTTCGCGGATTCGATCATTGTGTCTCGTGTGTCCACGCCCATCACATTTTTCCAATCCTCCTCGATATGTTTCAGGCAACGTTTGATCTGTTTCTCTCGGTATATTAAATTACCGTATTTACTGGTGGCCATGAAGCCGTAAAGAACCAAAGGAATTGTTTGAATTCTGATGTGTGCCCTATGCTCGATTAGCCAAAAGAGGACGCCAGGGATCAAAACACAGTAGAGAAGAGCGTAGGAAATTATGATCAATAAAAATTGGCGGATTTTCTCGCCGGTGGATCTTTCTCGGTTAAGGAGCGGCCAGACCCCGATTAAACTCAGAACGTTACGCGTTATCTGAGTGATGTACATTATATCATTCTGATAATGTTCGTTGAATGGCATATTCCGTTGTATTGCAAATTATCTTGCAGTTTCACGCGCTGAAAACTCACTTGCTGTCACGTACCGTCGTGAATGATCACAGCATTAAATCCTGACGAATGTCTAGATGACGACTGAACATTGCAAGAGAAAGCTACCGATAAAGTAAATTTGTTATCCGACTGCGCTTGCGCGCATTAAAAATTCAAATGTTGCATGAGAGAGTGAGGATTTGAAAGCAGTCAAGTTCACTAGCCAACTTATTCAACATTCCCGAGGGTCGAGAATGCTTTCCAGAGAAAATGTTTCTATTCGCGAATCCCCGCAACTCTTTTTCTGAGAATTGGAAATACAGATAGCTTCAACTTTGTTCCTTCCTGTAACGAAACTTACAATTGTACTCGTAGGACATTGAGAGACAGTAATAGTTTTGATTACATACTAGTATACAATGCTTCGATCTGCACGCATATGGGAGTCAACGAACGTTGGGCGACTTGTTTTTCGTGCAACATCGATAAGATGAAGGAATATTAAACTTTAAGTATGTCGAAAACGTCATTTGTGTGATATATATAACATCATCTCGATAATATTCGTTATTTGACATGTTCTTAGTAAAATTATAAAGAAAGTCTTCTTAATTTCTTCTGCAGTGGATTACTTTTGAATGCAGAGCATTATACAAATAGTTATGAGCAGATTGGAATTAAGAACTCAATTACAACTGACGATCATGAAGGAAACTACGAATAGGATGAATTTGTTGTTCGCTTGCGCTTTAGCAACTTTAATATTCAAATGTTGCGTGCAGGAGAATGCTGGAAACTTGGGACAAAATTTATAAGCTAACTCGCTCGCTGAGATACCATTTGCGAAGGTAAGTATTTCTGTTCGCCAACGTGTATCTACTTTTTTAGCGAATTATGAAACAATAACTTTAATCTTTCCTGTGTCAAAGTTACAATTGCGGAGATCGAAACTTGAAAACCACAGTTCCGACAGATAGTTTTGAATTCATGGCGCAGGATGTTTTGTTTCGCTTGCATGCAACTGGCAGAGCAACATCATTCGTGGCGCACTATCAATGTACGTAAAATATATTCAATGAATGTAAAATGATATTTATATTTGAGGATTTTATACGAAAAAAAATAAAATAATTATAAAAGTTAAAGTCGTCACGACAATAATGAGAGTTTCGATGAGAATTCGAAATAACTCGAAATCGTACATCGTAACGTTAAAATAAAATATAAAATTATATTCGCATGCGGACACATATTTATCTTGAATAATAGAAATATATTTAAATTGATATATATATATACATCACCCAATACTCTTTTTGACATGCATTTGACACGCTTATGTTGCGAATATATATGCAATGTTCATTATTGTAGTTTCGTCAATCGGAATAAGAATGTTCAATCGGTGACGTTTCGTAGCATATTAAAGTATGTCAGAGATGTTTTAACAACCTGAAACACAATAACGCGCAAATATTAGTCCATTATTGTAGAGAATTTAATAACACGAAGCACTAAGTTTCAATATGTTCTTACTCAATAGAAAATATTTATAAAATATCGCGGTTAACTCTATGAACTCGCTGTAACAAATTAATAGTCATCTATTGTATTGGTACCACACAAATTATGATTGTCGCGAACAATGATTAAATACTTGGATCTTACATCACCAAACGTCTTGAACGACAGGTCCATAACCTTTCCGGCGGTGATCTTCGTGGGTAAGTTGGATATGATCATCACTAGCACGATTCCGCGCGCTTTTTTATCCGGAAGACGATACCACTCGAGATCGCACGATGTACTGGCTACTTTCTCCGCCTGTTATTAATATTATCAAATATATGTTGCAAAACTTGACGGATTTACGACAAAATGATTCTCCAATGATATACAGAAGAATATGTACAGCAATACTCCTTTATAAGTGTAACATCATTTGCGACGTACATGGTTAGGAAAATGTTTATCATCTGTTAGAAAGAACTGACTGATTAGCTCAGATCTACCTGTACAGTAAGTTGTTCACCGGTGTAACAAAATAAGAACATGTTTATCATTAGAGATGTAATTGTGATAAAGTAGGAGCACATAGCTATCCCGTTACTATTCTCCCATTCCTATAAACGTGTTATATATTAAGTAATGTGTTTCTTTCAGTTACGTAAAATGTTAAATAAATTATCGTTGATAAGCCATAAATTATCACGCTTAAATTTTTCACTTGTACTAAAGGATAAAATATGGTCATTTTTTTATAAAACTTTTATCCAATTTTCGTTATATTCTTTAGCCATTAATTTTTAATTTGATTTTGTTTGCATTTGTTTTTATAAATAACTTTCGCTATAAAGTACTATTTTCCTGAAATAATTCGATATGTAATATTACAAACCATTATTATGCAATATCCTAATAGGCAAACGATCATTGTGCATCCCAATAATTCGATCAAACATGCTTGTTGTAGAGTATGTTCTACCAATTGTAAAAAACTGAAATGTAGTTATCGGTGGCATCAAGTCAACACTTTATGTACGATTATAAATAAAATAAAATTAAATATAATGTACACGTGAAATGTCACGTGGATTTTTTATGAGCATGTAATTATCGTTATTTAATATTTTTTTAAGCCAAGTGCATAAACACAATCATGGCTAATAAACGTTATACAATTTCTGTGCAACCCATAAACTTTAACTTACTTTCGCACTCTTATTTGATGCTCGACCATCTTAGCTAACTTTCTATCTACGTCATTTTTCTCATTCCACTTCTCTTCCACGAGATTCCTCATCAAGTCCACTAGAATCTTCAGCTGACCGCAAGCGTGCATCACGAAGACGGCCGCGAGACCGCACATACCCACCGTTATCGAATACGTAACTATCCCAGACAAAAACTGGATCAGAAAGACTGTCTCGTAAGCAGGGCTGACTTGCACATCGAAGAAAACGAAATAAGCCGGACAAGGTAAAGGTTTGATCGTGAGGTTTAGTGGCGTGACGATCTTCCCTTTGGACAACGGCAAGATCGATCGAAATGAAAGCCCGCTGCCATACATGAAGGCTCCGCAGAGTGCGACCAGGCGCCTCCCAGTTTTCGCGGCTTCGATCATCGTGTCTCGTGCATTCACGCTCATTATATTTTTCCAATCCTCCTCGATATGTTTCAGGCAACGTTTGATCTCTCTCTCGCGATATATCAAGTTACCGTATTTACTGGTGGCCATAAAGCCGTAAAAGATCAGAGGTATCGTTTGAATTCTGACACGCGTCCTTTGCTCGATTAGCCAGAAGAGGAGGCCAGGTATGAGGACACAGTAGAGGAGAATGTAGGAGATCGTGATCAACAGAAATTTGCAAATCTTCTCGCTGGTGGATCTTTGTCTGTTCATGGATGGCCAGACCCCGAGTAGACTCAGAACGTTACGCGTCAATTGAGTGATGTATATTATATCATCCTGATAATGTTCGTTGAACGGCATGTTTCTTTGTATTTCAGATTATCTTGCAGCTTTACGCGCTGAAAACTCACTTGCTGTTACGAGCCGTTGTGAATGATCACAAACAGCATTAAATCTTGACGGGTGTCTAGACAACGACTGAGCGTTGCAAGAAAAAGCTATCGATGAAATAAATTTGCTTGTCCGACCGCGCTTGCGCGCATTAAAAATTCAAACGTTGCGTGAGAGAGTGAGGATTCGAAAGTAACTAAGTTCGCTAGCCAACTTATTCAACATCCCTGAGGGTCGAGAATGCTTTTCAGAGAAAATGTTTCTATTCGCGAATCCCCGCAACTCTTTTTCTGAGAATTGGAAATACAGATAGCTTCAACTTTGTTCCTTCCTGTAACGAGACTTACAATTGTACTCGTAGGACATTGAGAGACAGTAATAGTTTTGATTACATATTAGTATACAATGCTTCGATCTGCACTCACATGGGAGTCAACGAACTTTCAGCGACTTTCAGTGTTTTTGTGAAAAGAATGAGATTATATGGTTGAATGAGATAATATTTATTTTTATAGAGCATTTCTCGTCATCCTTGCTATCATGCTAGAATAATGTGTTTCGCAGTTTCTATACCTTGATAACTTACTATTTTTATTTTAATATTGGACATTTCTACGAAGACTATACATCTGCTAGTATGCTAGTATCTGCTGAGTATTTGAATTCAGCCAATAATAGACCGAAGAAGATTTAAATACGTCACAGCTGTCTTAACGACCTAAAATATGACGAATCTTTGTAAATGTTTACTACACGGAGAAAAATATTAGAAATATCCGATTGTTAATTTTGTTATCCGATCAGATATCCGATTAAATACTGGATATTTGATCGGATAACGAAATTAACAATCGGATATTTCGGATATTTTTCTCAGTGTACTTTTTGCCGATATGTCATGTATCCAATCTCTTACGTTGCCGAATGTTCGAAAAGATAAATCGATGAACTTTCCACCTCTGAACTTCATCGGAATATTCGACATGGCAATGACCAGAATCAGCGATCGCGCTTGTGCATCGGGAAGACGGTACCATTCCAACGTACATGCTGTTAACGCCACTTTCTCTCCCTAGTTTAGTTGGTATAAAATGTAAACAAGTGATTTTACCAATTAAATTAGCATGAATTTGTCGGCCATAAATATTGCTCGTCCCCTCTCACTTCGTTGTGTGATAAAATTATTTATTTGAAAAATCAACAAAAACCGGTATGAGCCCGATATACTTACCTTTGTCGAAAGTTGCTCCCCAATAAAGCAAAAGATGAATATATTGAAACCAATGGATATGAGCCCAATGATATACGAGCATAAAGCTGCGGCATTGTTGTCCTCCCATTCCTGTAAATTCAACAATTTATTTATTATTTTACGTGATATTTGACAGCGTATTATATATTCTGTTAAATCTGATGCCTTAAAATCACTCGAAATAAATCTGCATAAACTTTTTGCGCACCATGATAACATAATATCCTATGAGGCACACGATTATAGTGCATCCCGTAATTTCCATCAGACTTGAATATTGCAGCGTGTTCTGTACCAATTGTAAAAAACTAAAATGCAACGCAGAATATGTCTCATTTTGCAACAGTCGTTAGTTGCGAAAGTTAATAAGAAAATTATTATTTAATGACCATTATTATTATTATGCGATACCTTTATCTCCATCATGACATTATAATTACCCACTTCAAATCGAATAAAAATCCATAATGATACCCATACAGATCGACTTACTTTCGCGTTTTAATCTGATGCTTTACTATAACGGCCAATTTGTCGTTCACGTTCTTAAGTTCGCGTTCCTTTACCAAGTCGTTCATCAGCGTTATTAGTATGTCCAGCTGGGCGCAGATATGCATCACACAGAGGCCCGCAAGGCCGCACACCGCCGTGGTGATCGTGCACTTGACAAAACCCGAAAAGAACTGCAAAAGGAACACTATTTCGTAGGCCGGGCTGAACTGCACGTCGAACAGAACGAAATGAGTCGGACACGGCAGGTGCCTGATCGTGATGTTCTCAGCGGTAACTATCTTCCCTTTGGACAACGGTATAATCGTGCGAAAGGACACCCCTGTCGAGTACATGAATATGCCGCATAATATCAGCAAACGTCTTCCAGTTCTGGCTTTCTCCATCATCACACTACGTTTGTCGGTGCTGACGACGTTCTGCCAGTCTTCCCTCACATGCAACAGACAGTTCTTCACTTGACTCTTGCGGGACAGCAACTGAACATATTTGGCCATAGCCAATACCGTGAATATTACAGTGCCCATGACTTTGAGCCTCGCGCGACTTTCTTTTTGCACTAAGACCATGTAGAGAATCGCCGGTACCAATTCGCAGGTGAGGAGGATATAGGAAATGAAGACCACGGAGGCTGTCTCGAGTGTCTCAGGAAACCAGGACTTCACACGTTCGAACGGCCAGACACCCAGCAGGCGAAAGACGATGCGACTCAGCTCGAAAGTATAGTTTATGTCTTGTTCGTGATTTTCATTGACAAACATCTCGCGACCTGGTGAATCAATCTATCTAGCTTTGTCGTTGCTACGTGTCTCGAGTTTGTCTTATAAAATTGTATAACGTTGTAAAATTCAATGCTCTTTCTGCAGCAGCCGATGGTGAGCCGACGCGTGTTTGTCCTCTACTGTAGTTGGTTCCATGTTCGATTGCAGAGAGTTCGTGATTCGTATGCGCTTGCGTACAGAAAACAGAAAATTGTAAAGCCACGTCGAAGAAAGAGTCAACATCGTACACGCGGAAACTTTCTAAGGGATCGCGTGCGAGACTATTTTTGTTTCGTCGCTAGATTATACAGAAGAAAAGTTTTTCTCAGAGTGAGAGCTACGAAAGGGTGAATATTCGCGGAAGGAGTCACATTGTGGAAAAAGGAATCACATTGATGAACGCTCGCAATCTTGACAATTTTGAGCGGGAAAGATACAAAACATAAAATCGGTGAGTTTGTTTATTATAATAACGAATGTTTGTTATATATATATATATATTAATATGTTTTTTATTATTATTATATATCGAACAATGATCCGCAAAAAATTTGAATTAGTATCTGTTGCATAGTTAAAGAAATGTCACATGATTTAAATTTTCTTTATAAAGACTTTAAAATCTCTTTTTAATTGCCGTTACACTTATTGTTATCGCACAATAGCAATAAAAAATTTGTCAACATACTAAAATATACATACTACCTTGTTATGTAGAAACTCAGCATATTCGTCTTCAGTTTCTTATCTTGTCATTTATTCGGCAAGTTGCCGAAGTATATTCAAATAGACTAGAGAAGATTTAATCACCTAAAATGATTCGTTGGGTCTTTAAGCATCCGTTCGTTACATTTAGTATCGGCAGATCTCAAAGTCGCTTGCCAATTAATTGTCTCTTTGTTGCGCACATATAATATCGTTGCTTACGTCGCCGAACGTTCTGAAAGATAGATCGATGATATTTCCGGCAGTAAATTTTGGCGGGATGTTCGACGCAACTGTCACTAATATCATGTCTCGCACTATGTTCGTCGGAAGACGATACCACTCGAGTGTACAAAAAGTCAAATTCACCTCTTCCGCCTGTTATAAGCAATCGAGTGTTTATTATATTTTGAAAGTGATTCTTGTCATCTTATCTCCTCTCTCGAAAAAGATGTTAATATTAAAAGAAAATATATTATACGTTTGGCGTAATGAAAATTGTAGAAATACATACTGCGACATGGAAGAGAGTGGAGCATTTTGTAATAGTTAACAATTTGCCGCGTTAGGTACGTTACTCTATCCGAAAGAGGCTATCGCTTATCTTACAGAGTGAGTACATCACAAGAAAGCAGCAACTTGCTATATTAAGAGATTACCTGCGTCGTCACGTATTCCCCGATATAACATAAAATAAAAATGTTAATAATAACGGACGTGAGACCAGTTACGTACGAACTCAGGGCCGCCAGATTATTATCTTCCCATTCCTGAGAATGAAACTGATCTGTAGTCGAGAGCAGCAATGTATTCGCTGACAGTACACTCGAACAGGACGCAGTTATTCATTTTTCCTACCGCTATTGCGCAATATCCCGCAAGACATATGATCGTGCTACATCCGATTATCTCGACTAAGTTGCTGTAGCGCAATGTAGTTTCCACCAGATGCAAAAAACTAAAATGCAATTGTCATTTATGTACCCGATTTAGTCGCGAAAAGTGATGGTGGAGAAGGACACGCGCAATATTTATAAAATATTATAAATATTCACAAAATATATTAAAAATATCTGTAACATGCTCTTGTCGACAATCCTACACATCATTTGTGCATAATCAAGATAACACGATATGATAAAAATACAGGATAATATAAAAATACAGAAATATGATAAAATACAGGACTCACTTTCGTATCCTTATCTGGTGTTCGATTATAGCAGCCAGTTTCGCAGCGACATCCCTCTGCCCAGAGTGACTCTCACCGACAAGATCTTCCGTCAATCGCATCAAGACCTCCATCTGAGCACACGCGTGTAAGACGAAGAGCGTGGCTAGGCCGCATATCGTCACCGTAATCGTGTACATGACGATGCCGCAAAGGCACTGCAGAAGGAACACGATCTCGTAATTCGGACTATTCTGCGGGTCAAAGAAAACGTAATAACCGGGATAGGATAGCGATCTGATCGTGACGTTCTGATCGGTAACGATCTTGCCCTTCGACAGTGGCATTATCGTATTGTAGGAGACTCCACTGCAATACATGAACGTGCAACATATGATGAACAGCCGTCTGCTGATATGGGCGTTGCCCATTATTATGTCTCGTGCACCGCTGATGAGCATCGTTTGCCAATCCTCCTTGATGTACCGCAAACAACGTCTGATCTCGCCTCCGAAAATCAATAAATTACTGTACTTAGCGATCGCTATGATCGAGTACAGAATAGGCAGCATCATTTTCCTCTTCTCGATCGGCTGGTCGTCGGCGAACACGTAATAGAGAATACCCGGTACTATGTCGCAATGGAGGAGAAAGTAGCAGATAACCACGAGGGAAATATTGCTTATTTTCTCGATCGCGTTCGGTAGTCTATTGGTCGACGGCCAGATACCAAGCATGCGAAGCACAACGTAGTTCTGTTGGAGAACATATTTCACGTCCTCCTGATAGTGACTATTGCGGAACATCATCTTGGCAATTGCGCGATTTTTCCACCCTTGACCCCCAGGCCAGGACAGTGGCCAGGTCCTTGTAGTTTAATAAAAAAAACGCTATGAAATTACTCCACGACAGCGACGGAAAGAACGCACGAACGACAACATCAAACCGAAATGCTCAGTCAAAGTGGAGAGTGTTCGGATTTGTCAGATTCGTACATGATTTGAGTTCGCTACTTGCAAGTTAAGTCCTGGTTGTTGACCGACGGCCCACACCAGACACGATGTCGCATGTCACATTACGCTTGCGCGTATTAAACATTGAAAAGCTCCGCAGGATGCATAGAAGATAATCATCAAGAAAAGTTTCGCGAATGATCTTGCACGCGACGTGACTTCGCCAGCTGCACGTGCAGTAATATACCATATGTAGAAACTTTGACTTTGTAACTCAAAATATCACTTTTCAAGTGAGTCGCTACCGAAGGGGGAAAGAAGAAAAGAACAAAGGATGAAAAAGAAACTTGGATGACTCTATCAAGCTACATTGTGTCAAGATTTATTGGTGTAGGTAAGATTCATATTTACTCTCAACAATAGAATCGTTATTTTCAATATACAAGATCAACTTTGGATGTCTCGATTCCTAATCCGTTGCTCTAAATTTCTTATTTACATTTCGCAGAAATTTTACCTTCGTGTTTCAAAAAAGAAAGACCGTTCACTTCACCAAGTGCTGTACTAACACGTGAATCGCCTACAGAGCTAATTGAAATAATTTCGACGCAGGTATTGTAAATACAGTAGAAATTTTCGAAATGTCGTCTCATCACGTCACAGTTACGTCATCGCAGCGTCTCGCGAGGAGAATTCGCGGAGCAAATTAAAATACGCCATTGACGTCTTCAAGATCTGCGACACAATATCCCGTTTTCAATAAAAACATTAAAGATCTTGGACGTTTCCTAAATAAGTCTCATTCGAAAATTTTACAAGGATTTGCACAACATCTCACTGCGATCGTAAGACGCAGTATCGGAAGACCAACGTCAATCGCTAGCAGATTAATGCAGTCAGTACGAAACTCGGAATTGCCATGTCCCGATATATTAATTGTCTTTTGCGTAAAACGCAAACCGACATTACTCACGTCAGAGAAAGTGCTCAAAGTCATCGTCATCATTTTCCCGGCAGTGATCACGGCTGGGTATCGGGATATCGCGATTGGTATAATCAATTCAACCGCTTTCTTCGGATGCATTCGATACCATTCGGTCGCGTAGCAAGTAGTACCCACCATTTGACAACGCTCTGTGAGCATATCACCGATATAACAGAATATAAACACGTTGAAAATGATCGACGCGAGCGCGAAGAGGTACATGGAAATTTGCATGAACGACTCATTGTTATTCAAGTCCTGAAATTCAAGACAAAATTCATAATCGCATCTCTCTAAGGAACAGCCCCGCCTAAAAGCCGCTCGAAGCGGTTCTCAAGTTTTTATAGGGATTATTCAACATACGGTTATGATGTAGTAGCCGAGAAGACATATGTTACACGAAGCGTTTATGAATTCCATAAGACATATCTCGGTGAATAAGCCGCTTACGTCAGAAACCAATCTAGAAAATCGCCATCGTCCATGAAAATTCACAATGTTGCTACGGACTGCGGACTAGTGCTCGCGATACCAAAGTATTGCAGTTGAGTATAATGGTTGCAATAAATCTTTGCCGATGGTTCTACTTACTTCAACAAATGCAAATGTCGACTCACTGCGGCAGCGATTCGATCGTCAATGGAACCGCCGTTACGCTGGCCGCCGTCGACAGTTTCCTTAAAAAAGGAACCCAACACGTCACACTGGCCGCATATGTGCGTGACAAAATGTGCCATCAAGCTGCAAATACCGCAGAACGCGCTGTAGACTGTGAAGCCCGACAAAAATTGCAAGCAGTACACGACCTCGTACGCAGGACTGGCCTGTACGATAACAAAACAATTGATATGCAGGTATGTATTCGATTGTGTGCAAATATAATAGAGAATTATTATTAATCGACTTATTATCTATGCATTTCAACACGTAATTTCATCAATTGGGGTTCAGCAATGAAACTACTTGAAAATACATTCTTTCGACTTGATAGTAATTCATGAATATTTCTACACATATGTAGTTTTACACACAATACTGATGTTTTTGTATAATTATAAAAAAAATATCATTAGTGAACACTGAATATTAAGGAATGCTGATGAAAATTTATTTCAATATATTCAATTAAATTTGGCTTATGATATACCAAAGATGTGATGTGATCGTGATGAACCTAACAATAAACTTACCTCGCGAAATGAATCAAAAGTTTACCTTGGAATCAAATACGAGAAATTCGCAGGGCGACGGGTGCAGTCTTATGGTGACGTTGTCCTCAGTGATAATGTTGGGTAAAACCAACGGCAGCATATAAAACAGTATGCCACAACTAAACATGAAGACCACGGAAACGATGCCAAATGTGCGACCCAGTCTAGCGTTCGTCAGCATGATCTCTCGGTCTTGGGCGAGGATTGTATACTGCCAGTCGTCAGCTACGCGATCGACGCAGAATTTCAGTCGATCCTGATGCCACAGCAATAGAACGTACCTCGCGAAAATCGTCACTGTGAAGATTAACGGGCACATCGTACGAAGTATCAGGATAATGCTCCATTTTTCTTTGACTATCAGCACAATCCACGGCACGATGGTGAAAATTTGAAGAAACGTGGCGATCACCATCGACAACCTGTGCAGAGCGATCTTAAAAGCCGAAATATCTTTCTCAATCAACGGCCAAGCACCGATCGGCTTCAACAAGCAAGCGCTAATCTGGACGGCATAACGAAAGTCCGAAATGTGCAATTTATTTTTCTTCGTCGTGTCACTAGCGAGCGTGCTCATGCGCGCGTTCCCTTGCCCGAAGTCAGCCTTTCCCATAATGTGATCTCACCGCCGACTCGATCCTGACTGTCAATCGTGAAATCGGAAATGTGGATTTCCAGCCCAAGAAGCATGCGCAAGATCCGTGCGATGAACTCAGTGGTTCCCCTGAGCACGGCCGTGCATCAAAGTCGCAACTTTGATGATTCGCAATTTGTATTTTGTAATTTTGTAATGTAATCGATTGAAAGTTTACGGGGAAACGGCAGCTGCGCTTGGAAGTAACTGAAGGGATGGAAGGATGAGCTATGTCATTGCGAGGAAGACGAAAGGGGAACTTCTGCCAGGAAAAAATCCTAAAGTTATTGGCAATACGTAATTTTCTGATATTTTTCTTCAAAAGCTCTACAATATGTCGAACATGAAGATCCATTATGTAACTTTGTGTGGCTTGCGTTGACTCTTACTCTGTCCCTCTTTGCATGTCACACACAATCTCATGTTATTTCTTACAAATTATATTATACAGTATATCTAATAAAATCAATAATCTCCTTGACACGTGGTTTACATTATTTTAATATTTAAATATTTCTCACTTGACGAAACGTATTTACATAACTTCTCATGAGGAAACTTCGCGGAGCAAGTTGAAGTACGCCATTGAAGTTTTTAGAATCTAGAAAGTAATTTATTATTACATCGTAATTGTTTCCGTTCTTCAAAATTCACACATTGAGTGTTATCTTGAAATTATTAGCTTCGGTGGTAATGTCCGATTAGTAATATGTTCTATCGCAAATGTCTTTATTTATATTGAGTACCTACATTAGAGAAACTGCTCATAGTCATCGTCAGCATTTTCCCGGCGGTAAGCTCGATAGGATAATTCGACATGATGATCGAGAAAATCAGACTGCGCGCTTTATTATGCGGCAGTCGGTACCATTCGATCATGTAACATCTGGTACCTATCATCTGGCATTGTTCTACAAGCATCTCGCCGATGTGGCAAAAAATATATATGTTAAAAGTGATGGAGACGAAGGCGAGGAAGTACGTGGAAATCTGCAATATCGATTCCTCATTCTTCCAGTCCTACATATGTAACAGTATCAGAAATACGCATTGTAAAATTCATAAAAATAAGCCCATGAGTTCTCATTATCTTTTCTTTCGAATCGATAAACGTACCATAATTACGTAATAACCGAGCAAGCATATGTTACACGAAGCGTTTAAGAATTCTGCTAAACATATTTCGTTCATTATTCTGTCCACGTCCGTGACGAATCTGCAATATTATGCAACGTTATGCGACACATTATGAATCGAAAAAAAATAGGATCTCAGGACGAAGGAATGACAAACTAGTAATGATAATTGGCGGAATATGCTCACTTGAGAATTCGTAGATGACGCATTACGGCGGTGCTGATCCTCTGATCGATGGTACCTTGATTTCGGCTACTGCCATCGACTATCTCGTCGAAAAAGTACTTAAGTATTTCACACTGACCGCATACGTGAGTAACAAATTTGGCAGTCAGACTGGAAATGCCGCAGAACACAGTGAACAGAGTGAAACAGGACAAAAATTCCATTACGTACACCGTTTCGTAAACTGGGCTGGCCTGCGCGTCAAAGCACTACATCACAAAATATATCAAGCAACACATTTTCACATACATATGATAACGTCTCCTGCTCAAATCTTATTTGCGTCGGACATAAACATTTAAAAACCTATAAACGTCTTTAATTCTATGATCAAATTGTAAGATGTGCGTTTTCCTTATGTTTCAGAAAAGCTATGAATAAAATTTAAAAAAAGGCACGATTTTCGAGATTACGAATGAAAAATTCCTACACCGTACATTGAATTGACCTGGGAGTCCAGGATGAGCAATTCGCAGGGATTTGGCAACGGTCTGAGCGTCACATTGCCCGTGGAAACAATTGGCGGTGCCACCATGGGCATAATGCAATAAAGTAGACCGCTGCCGAACATGAAGGACACCGAGACGATCCCGAACAAACGTCCGGATTTAGCGTTCACTAGCATGATCTCACGATCTTCGGCCAGCGTCGCGTTGCGCCAGTCTTCCGCGATGTGGTCGATACACGATTTGATCTCGTCCCGATGAAACAGCAACAGCATGTACCTCAGAAAGACCGTAATAGAGAAGATCAGCGGGCATGCGGTCCTGAGGATCTCGTAAAGGTCGCATTGCGCGGTGAATATGTAAATTATCCACGGAATGATCATGAAGAGCTGAAGAAACGTGGCGAGGAAGATCGTCGAGATATGCGCGATCTGTCCCAACGCGGTATTCTCAAACTTCAAGGGCCAGATACCAACCGGCTTCAATAAGTACAGGCTTACTTGGGTGGCGTAGTGGAAATCCGAAAACCACGGGTCGCCTTGTGTGAGTCTCGGCTCACCCATAATTGCGGCGATCCTTCGTGTCGTCTCTAAACTTAATGACGACGAGACAGGGACTAGTAGTCGGCCTGATGGTCGTGGTAAACTTGTTGGCAAGCATGCGCAAGATGCACTTGGCGTCTTTCGATAGTAATGATTAGAATACGTTCCGATCATTCGCGTCACGCACTTTGTAGAAAGTCTCAGAGAGAAATGCAAAAAAGAATTGTAGTCATGGACAAAGCGAGGGGATATTAAAGACACTTCGGGAAACTTTAAAACGCAAGGGGTATGTACTCTGCTGCGCGGTTACAAAGTTGGCTACTGATTAAGTCGAAATTGTAGTTGCAGTTTGATCGCACTTCTTTTTGCGAAAGGGGAGAACCGCGGCTGAGTGTTCATGTCGTGATACTGAATGTCGTTGTCCGAGTGGTGAATATTCCGTCGCTTTAGCGACAAATTGACAAACACGTGTGAGATGATGGGTGTTGTATTTGTGATTGAGTGAAAGTAAGAAATTAATATGTTATATGAGCAAAACAGTCGATATTTCAATTTTAATTCAAGTTCAATGTTTAATTCAAGTGACGCCTTACGCCGCTACCATTCGAATGAAATTGAAGTACGCCGCTGATGTTTTGCATACCTGTGAACATTCGTCAACATTCGTGGACATCAATTTATGGGACTGCCGATTATTTGAATTTTGAAATTAACAGTACAGCGCGATGGAAATTACTTACGTCGCAGAAACCTTGAAGTGAGATGTCAAACATCTTACCGGCAGTTAAGGCCGACGGACGACTCGACCTGATCATCACCATTATTAAATTGCTCACGTTTTTGGCGGGTAATGTATACCAATCGATGAAGTACGACGTTTCTCCGATCTTTTCGCTCTTTTTGGTTGCAAAAAGTTCAATGTAATTCTGGGATAATCCAGCGCCAATCACTGTATTTATTATTTGTTAAAATAACGGTTCGCACTGCTTACTTCTTCCTTAAGACGATCGCCGATTGATGACAAGGTGAAGATGTTCACCAGAATGGACACCATTAAAATTGTATATATGACCATACCGAACATTTGGTTATCTTCCCATTCCTGAAGTAAGAAAATAAGTAAGCAAATATAAATGGAACGCATACAATTTGACTGTGGGTGCAATAAATCGATCGATGAGGGGATCAAAGACTCCTTACCTTAAAGACTCCGTACTCGAGGAAACATATGATAATGGTGCATCCAACCACTTCCGACAGAAAGATGATGTTTAATGAATTTTCGATCATTTCGGCAAATCTGTTTTAAACATTGCCGACGCATTAGAAAAAAATTTAGTTACCATTAATCGAATCAACACAAATTACAAGCAATTGTACCGCAACATAAACATATTAATCGCTTCAAAAATTTCATATTTCCTAAACATAAAGGTCCGTTTTATCTACCTTCTCTTTGAAAAATATTTAACATTCGTTACTTTCCTTCGCGAAGCTAATATTTTTGTTACAGCGTTAAATGTACGATATAATTATGAATGAATTTCGCGCAAGGAAAGACCAGAAAAATCTCTTCTGACCTGAGAGCTTGCATGTGCTGCGTAATTATCCGGCCAAATCGTTCGTGCAAGTCGTCGGTCCCATTCATGACTATCGCTTCCAATTGCCTACGCGTAATCTCGAACAAGCAGCAGGCGTGCATCACGCAGGTGGCGATTAGGCTGTAAACACCGCAGTTTGTAGACAGGATGATGGTACTGAAGAGGATCTGTGTGACAAAGAGGATCTCGTAGAACGGCGAGTTCTCCACCACGAAGAAGATGTAGTCGCTGAGGTATGGCAATGGCAACTGCGTCGTGTTGTCCTCCTTGACGATTCTCTCCGCCACCAATGGCATAATTATGTGATAAGGCAACGCTCCGCCGTATAACAATCCTAAATACATCACTGTGAACTGCCTGCCAACCTTGGCGTTTCGGACCATCACCATTCGATCTTCCTCGCACTCCACGTCCCTGTATTGTATCTCCATCTGCTGCAAGCAGCGCTTGATCTTGTTCTTGTTGATGATCATCGTCCAGAATTTGATGATGCCGAGCAGACTGAACACCTGAGCGGCTATCACCTTCATGTATCTGGTCAGGTTCTCCGCGTCGAAGAAGGTGTAGATGATATGCGGAACGAGCAGAAAGCACATCAAGCTGAATATGAAGCTCGTCTGGAAAACAGTCCTGACTCTACTGAACGTGGAGCCATCTCCGTAGAGAGGCCAGATACCGACAGGTGTTAAGAGAAATTTTGCGACCTTCACCACGTACTCCGCGTCGGATCTGTAATTGATGTTTCGAACTAACGTGTGACGGTCGACCGACGACATCCGCGCGTTTCTTTTTATTCCTAATTTTTGCTCCTTAATTGCTCGATCGCACTGTGCTTTCGATTCCGACTGCAAGAGCTGCACGCGATCTCCGAGAGTTAACCGTGGGCGCCTGCGTGCAGAAAGTTTGCTCGCAACAGTAACATTGTGTAAGGGTTATCTTCTAGAATCGTCACTACTTTTTTCTCTACGGGAAGGAAAATATCTATAATTTCAGCGTTTACGCAAGCGCTGTGGGATAACAGTTGGACAGAGGGACGAAAGCTTACTTTGTTGCGCTGTCGATGGCAATCAAAAGTCGACTCAGACACGTCAGATATATCGTGTAATCTGCTTCGATATATCTGACGTGTTGAAAATATTATTAGAATCGTCCAATTCTAGATTAATAAATAATTCTTTATTCCCTTCATTTTAATAAAAGTGTTCAAATTTGTATTGTTACACAAGTGATCGAATAGGAGAGCAGAAATCCATACGAATGGGAAGGAGATCTGTGCAACTTATATATTTCGTATAAATTCCACGTTACAATTCCACGTTACGAGTCGCACGAGATGCATGCGGAGCGTACAAGATGAGACTCAGATAGCCGCTGCTTCCATTTTGAGCTACGTCCATGTAAATTCGACGATAAACTTCTCAAAGATTCAGCAATTATGCAAGTTCTCGTCCAGATGGATATATGTAGTCGCACTCCGTCGCGCTTCCCCAACAGAATATTTAAAACAAAGAATAAACGCATCTTGTCGACCAACACGCGCACATCTCGTTGCCTTGACGACTTCGTCAACAACGCCGCTGCTCGCGCCAGCGCCGTCATTGTGTTTCTGTTGCTCCTTCCCTTAAAGGCTCTGGACCGTTTCGAGTGGTGTCGTGTAGTTCGTCTTTTTGAATGTGGGTGAATCTTCTCATAAATTTAAGAAGCATAAGAGTTCTCCTTCCCGGGATCGTTTAGCGGGCCCTGAGGACAAACTAGTGTGCCTAATCGACGTACTAGAGCGCAAAGAGGACAAGACGTCTCGGCGTTCCCTTGTTCCGTCTCTGTCCTCATCGCCGAGTCGTCCGACGTCTCCAGAGTTTCCCGCTGAACCACGGTCGGATAATTTTTTGATGCCGAAGACTGAGTCCATCCCGGTAGACTCTGTCCCGGATGTCTCTTGCGTGGCAGCGCCTGCAAGTCAGGAAAGGCCAGTCCAGTGAGACACCCCAGGTGTATACGTGCTTTCTGGAGTTTCTGGACCTATATTTGGAGAATATAGGCGGAAAAATCGACACGACCTTTCGCAGCTGTCGAATAACTCCGTCGGTGTGCAGATTCGCCCAAGAGAGATAATGTCACCTTTGCCCATCTTCTTATCCCGGAGGTTATGCCTTCCGATGCCCCGCAGTCGCTTGTTTTTTCTGTCCGACGATGCTCTCACTAGAGAATTGTTTCGCTGTGGAGCTTGATAAAGTGGAGATGCCGCTATGGAATAATCATATTCTTGATTCATGGCGCGACCTTATACGCAAGGGCCTCCCCGCTGAGCAGCGTGACCTCCTGCTAAAAAAATATTCCCCCTCGGAACTCTTCAGTTTTCTCTCTGCTCCGAAGCTGAATCCGGAGCTTCGATCAGGATTGCGGAACAATTCTTTTATCAAGAGAGATAAATATTCCAGCAGAGACCAGAATCAGGTTGGTATGACCTTATATGCTCTTGGAGCAGCAATTTCGGATTTACTCCAACCTGAGTTGCAAGGTTCGCTGGTCCCTGCTGCACGCGCTGCAGTACTGAAGATCACGGAGGGAGCAAAGATCTTAGCCGATCCTTTTTATCATCTTTCGCTATCCCGGCGTGCCCAAATTGTACCTACTTTTAATCTGCTCGCCAAGAACACAGCGGACTCTCTTCCTCCAAACGATCTCCTTTTCGGTACGGCTTTTGGCGAGGAACCGAAGAAAGCTTCTTCCTTGGAGCTTTCGACCAAGGAATCCTTGGTCGATGTAACTGGTTTCCTTTATTTAACCAGCTTCTCGTCGGTCAGCCTCTTCATTTTAGTATTATCTAATATTACATGTTATCCTCTCCTTTCAGCGAGTATCATCCAGCATGGTCTCACCTTTCCCTGACGGTCGCGAGGTTATCCGCCAAGCATTCCTGAAGAAGGGAACACCGGTTTCAGCAGTTGACGCCATGCTCGCATCGCTCACACCTTCCACCTTTTCCCAGTACTCTAGACCAGAGCTGGACACGATCTGCACATTTCGGGCGAAATTCAGTAGGTGACACCTACCGTCCCCCTCGCACCGCTCCGCGCTCAGCGGCCGGGGTGATGATCGCGGTACACTCAGGCCCGTCGCTGTATAAGAAATCAGTTGGGGCGTTACATTATCATTAAAATTATTTCAATAAATTTCTGTCGATCAGTAGAGAGGAAATCTCTCGTGGGTGAAGACATTGCGTGACATATACGACTGTTAGCAGTACGATTTATTGTTCAATAGCAATGGTGTGATAGCTTTGCTGAAATAAAATTGAACAAAAACAGAGTGAGATGTGTCGTACGCGATGACGGTAACAATATGACCTATCATGTACATGTTAGTCGATGCTTTGTACGACGATATTCGTGAATCATGTTGTCATCGCTCGTATAAAATTGAAATATGCCGCTGACGTTTTGCAGACCTGTAAACGTTTGCAGTGCATACAGCGAATTTTGTTTGTCATTTTTTTTTTCAGATAAACGTAACGGCGAAGAATACCTACCTCGCAGAATCCTTGGAGAGAGAGATCAAATATTTTCGCGGCGCTTAATGTTGAAGGACGGCTCGATCTTATCATCACCAAAATTAAATCAGTCACAATTTTTGTTGGCAAATTATACCACTCGATGAAGTACGACGATTCTCCTACCTTCTCGCTCTGCGTAAAATATCAATATTGACTGACTAATTAATTCAACATGATATTTTAATGTTTTATAATATCGCTATATGTAAGATGATATTATAAGTTGTAAATTTTCTGTAATTTCTGTTAAAAACTTTCTACCTCTTCTTTAAGACGATCACCGATGAATGTTATAATATAGACATTTACGAACATCGACGTCATTAGGACAAAATACGTGCCCATAGCTAAGTTTTCTCCGTCCTCCCATTCCTAAAATAAACTTGAGCCAATGAATGAAACTGAAGTAGAGATTTTGCGCGGGTATAATATTTTGAAGAAAAGTATACCTTGAGTACTCCAAACTCCAAGAAACATATAATAATAGTGCACCCAACCATTTCGCATAAAAAAACGATGTTCAATGATTTCTCAATCATCTCAGCGAATCTATGATGCATTTTATCATGCGTAAATAAAATTAACACATGAAAGTGAAATCTGTCTTTTTACATTCTAATCGCTTGTATTTCATCTATCAAGAAGCAACACTCATGCTCTCCTCAATTGTTCAATCTGATATTGTTTGTCAAGTATAATATGTAGCAACTTATAAAGTACATATTTCACACGACCTGATAAGAAAAAAATAAGCAACTCTACACCAAATACTTGTAAATTCGTCTCACCTAATGGCTCGCATGTGATTTTCGATTATCCTCCCGAGTTGTTCGTGCAAATGATCGGTCCCATTGTTGAGAACCATTCCGATTTGCCTGCGAACGACTTCGAACAAGCAACAACCGTGCATCACACAGGTGGCGATCAAACTATAAACGCCGCAGTTAGTGGACAGGATGATACTGCTGATCAATATTTGCGAGACGAAGATGATCTCGTAGAACGGCGACTTCTCCACCACGAAGAAGACGTAATCGCTCAGATATGGCAAAGGTATTTGCGTCGTGTTGTCTTCCTTCACGATTCTCTCCGCCAACAACGGCATGATTATATGATAAGGCAAAGCGCCGCCGTATGACAATCCCAGATAGGTCACCGTGAAGAGCCTGCCGATCTTGGCGCTTTTCGCCATTACTAGTCGGTCTTCCTCGCACTCCACGTCTCTGTACTGAATCTCCATCTGTTGCAAGCAATACCTGATGCCGTCTCTGTTAACGATCATCGTCCAAAACTTAATGATAGCCAGCAGACTGAACACTTGGGCACCTATGACCTTCATGTATCTGGTCAAGTCTTCCGCGTCGAAGAAAGTGTATATAACATGGGGGATAAGCAGAAAGCACATCAAACAGAACATCACACCTGTCTGGAGGTAAGTCTTGATCTTGTCGGAAGCGGAATCACCGCGGTAAAGCGGCCAAATACCGATGGGAGTCAACAAGGTCTTAGCCACCTTCACCACGTACTCGGTGTCGGATCTGTAATTGATGTTCCGAAATAGCGTGCTGTCGTTGCTCGTCGACATCGCCGAGAATTTCTGTTTTTGTCTTTTTTGTCGACCACGTTCTAAAAATCCCGACGACTGGTGGATACGAACAGTCGCCTGTATACAAAGTTCGTCCGTCTACGGCGATTTTCTATAGGTATTCTACCACAATCGACGTAACTTTTAATAGAAAAAAATACATGCAATTTCAACGGCGAACGCATGCGCCGTGGTGGGGGCGGTTTAGTCTCTTCCAATCCAGGGTTCGCTTTTCCACGTCGACTGGAAATACAAGAAAACGATCTTCTAAAGGACGATTCTCGGCGCAATGAGAACTCTCGCAATTAGAAATTATGCCGTTTTTTGAATTTCGTCATATCTGCAATGTCATTTCTCAAGCTTCAGAAGATAATGGGTGATGTCACAGATACGAAATGCTAATATAAAAAGACACATCTGGGAAAATTACCGTGCTTCCGAGTAAATGCAGCACGCACAAGCAGTGACTCAAGTGAGCACTCGACATATCTATCGATAAGACGATATTCTCGCATTCTTTCGCATTACGAGGAGCAGTGAGACGCGATTTAAGGCGATTAGCGCGGATCATTAAATTCCAGAAGCGATCACAGCAGAGCTATCAACGTCGTGTTCGTCGCATCACTATGGAAGTCAATCGTGATAGTGTTCCGTCACAGAAACGTCAGCAAACATCGAAATACGCGGGTGCGTTGTTTGCAGGTACGATATGGGACTTGCAGGAAGGCACGATGACGATGTTCGCAGCGGAGATTGTTGGTACGGGTATCCTCATATTTATTGGGTGCATGGGGTGCATTGGTACGATGGGACCCGAACCACCCCCACCAATGCAGACGGCACTTACTTTTGGCCTGACGGTGAATCTCATAATTATGGTACGTTGGTGAGCACACACATACCCACACACACACACGCATAATTCATTTAAGCGCACCTTTCGCTCCAACAATAATTAATTACAATTTTAATACCGAGTAATAATGACTTCCTATACGCACATGAGACAACTTACGCGCATTACTAAGACTTCTGGTCTCTCACCGTAGAACTCTTGCTTGATGACGTCAGCAGTGTCGGAAATCCATGTTAAAAATTTCTACGGATTGCATCAAAATAAAAAGATACATCTATAAAATAAAACATACAATATAAAATTTCTCAGATGCTTGGCCACGTAAGCGGAGCTCACCTCAATCCAGCCGTCACCATCGGTGCTATTATCGTAGGACTGAAGACGATTCCGACCGCCATAATTTACATCCTAGGCCAGTTCGTCGGGGCCACCGTGGGATACGGACTTTTAAAAGTGCAAACTCGCTTCTTACATTATCGCTATTAATATCAGCATCTGTGACGTGCAAAATAAAACGCTATACATTTCGCAGACAATAACACCGGCAGAGCTGTTCAGTAACGGCGACCTAAACTCAACCGTCGGTCTTTGCGTCACAGTCGTTCATCCGGGAATTAACAGCATACAGGCTGTACTGATCGAGGTATTTTGCACAAGTTGCATTCTCTGCGCAGCTTGCGCTACGTGGGATCCACGGTGCGCTCATACGACAGACTCGACCGCTCTCAGATTTGGCCTCTCGGTCGCTGCCATTTCGTTCGCAGCGGTAAGATTATTCTTGACAATGCAGAGTTTTTACATTCGCTATATTCACATTCATTCTTAACTTCAATCGTTAACTTCAATCATTCTTAACTTTCTATTACTGTTTAAAACTGTTCTCTTTGCATATTTTAATGATGTTTTACAAAAATCGTTGGTTTTACATAAGCATGATTTTGTTTCAAGAAAATTGCTATTCTACATTAATTCGACATACGCCCGAAGATTAATGCAAAGAAATATATGATCGAGGAAACTAGTCTACTAAATTTTTTCTATCGTTCCAGAGCCCTTACACAGGATGCAGTATGAATCCTGCGCGAACATTCGGTCCTGCCTTTTGGAATAATGCTTGGAAAGATCAATGGGTAAATTTCGAAAATAAAATCTTTATTATCTTTATCTTTTAGAGAATTTATTTTACAATTTTTTTTTACTTTATTATACATTAATGTCATTCGTTATATAATTAATTATATTTTTTCTTTCAATTAAATATATAACATAACTTTCAATTAAATATATAACATATATAATACATAACAAGCATAACAAAGTTCATCCATTCAAGCAAGTTCCATTTATTTACACATATTTATAACATCAGCTAATTATAAATTGTTATTAAATTGAGATTTTTTATTTTCTCAGATTTATTGGCTCGGTCCCAGCTTGGGAGCTTTGCTTGGAACGTACGTCTATCAAGTGCTATTTGCAGAGAAAAAAATTAAACAAAGGGACTCACTTGCTCAACCGATGAAAAGTTCTTTAGCATATTATCACAACAGAATGTAACATAAATATCATTTATATTATTATTTATCATTCAATGCAATCATTTAATGCAATTTCTTTTATTCATGTTATTAGTTCATAATTTATTACACGCACAATAATATATAAGACACAGTCAATGATTCTTTTTTGAGACTAATGTTTATATATCAAAACGTAAACGTTCCTCATTAAAATAGAACGTCTGCGTTAATAAAGAGGTGATGTAATATAGTATTTAATTTTCGGGACTTATTTTATTCGAGTCTACTATAATAATAACCATATTGGTATCTAATCTTTGATTATATCTTGTTCTTATCTATGTTCTTATTATTTAAATTTTCAGTTGAATTCTATAAAGCTTGTATAATATTTTATAGTACATTTTGTAAAATCAGCACCATTATTTTTTATTTGAACGTATAAATTGCACAACTTTCGTATAAAGTAAATATTCTGATCAAAATAACATCAGTATATAGACATTTCTTTAAAGTCAGTTTTATTTTTAAGTAGATATGATATAACAGATGGATATAATTCAATGAATAACTAAATAACTAAATAACTAAATATGAATGAAAAATATGATATATATTAATTATATCTATTTTACCTATTTTCTCTAAGTTATCATCTATCGGTTACGTCTCCTTTAAAGTAACTTTAACTTGTAGATGGCGGGTGTAACTCAACAAGGTATGATATCGCCGACGTCATGTCTTTCAGTTCTAGTTTAGATATTTTCAAATTAAACGCATATCTCTAAATATTTGTATATCATAACTAATTAACAAAACAAAACAAAATATTTTTTTCTTGGGAAAATTGCTACACTGTACAATTTATTATGTTTAACTTTGTAAGGTTTATTTTTCATACACATACATGTAATATTTACAAATATCAAATGTAATTAAATTTTAATATGTATATATTTAAATGGGTTTGTGTGACAAAAAATTTTTTGAAAAAACTGCAAAACATTAACAAGATTATGTATAATAACGTAATTTTTTCTTTTTATTTTATATCGAAATTATTATTTATTCTTCTTTAATAATTACAATTATTATTTTTCTAATGATCACAAAATATCATTAAAATTATCATAGAAATTATTCACCGATACAATCAATTAAGATCAGTGAGTGATAAGAAGATTCTTGTGTGATCGAAAAAATAGTTAATGAATACCTGCTAAAGTTATATACATTTGCTCAATGGATAACAGTGAATGAATCGACTGTAAATAAAGGGTAAATAAAAATACTTGTGCTACGTAAATTACAATACGTCGTTCTATATTTACTATATGCATAAAAATTTATAATTTTTTAACATGTTCAGTTTATTCTTCCAAAGATATATCTATTGTATTTTAAGGCACCATTCATTTTCCTTCGCAGTACGAAAATAAATCGTTTTCGTGGGTAAGATCTAATATACTTGGTCGAAGGGCAATCTAGAGACTTCTAGAATATCAGAAGATCCCATGCTTTATTTGTTGCCATGTTGTGTCTTGTATTATTTTTATCCGCTTACTCTTGGACGAAGCGTGGGCTTGCTTCTTCTCGGAGCACACATACGACTTTATTCCTCGCTATGACACTTGACTTTTTCTTCAAAGGCAAACACAGAATAAAATAGGAAGATAAATAAACAAGTTGCACACGTTTGTTAAAATTTAAAATTTGCACGTGTCACAAACTGATAATAATAAATTATTATTCTTTACGAAATTCTCTTTCTGCTGTTAGTGTAGAGATGTTCAATTTTATTTGCATAGATATATGCAGGATAAAAAGATTAATGTAAAAGAAATGTAAATTATTACATCTTTTCAGAAATGCAAATTATACGATGCATACTGATGAGAGACGACACGTGCGCGATAATTAAATCTCTCTCTCTCTCTCTCTCTCTCTCTCTCTCTCTCTCTCTCTCTCTCAGCGGGAGCTCTCAAATGCGCATTGAATTTAGCTATGTACAAACTATTGCGCATTTAACTATCTAGAGCGATATAATTTTGATGAGATGATTTTTTACGAGCAACCATTCCTGCACGATAAAAACTCTAGTATATAATCTTTTACGGTTAATTACAGTTCATATAATTGCACGGCAATTTATTCGCTGGCGTCGGATGCACCGACCGGGCAAATATCGTGCTACGAGGTTCATCAACCTTCACCTAGCGACACACTCTTGCCAGCTGGGACTTGGTCACAGATACGATCAATAATAGGGCGTTTCACGGAGGTTTCGAGGATACGCCCGGCCATATTCACATCCGTGTCGCGGCCCTTCCGCACGGAGATACTTGCAGCATTGTCATGCCACAAGTGTCGCAAGATCGTTGCAAACCGGCTGCTGTCGTCGACCGGTTGATCCCGCGACCGGAATTTGAGATTTGCGCGAGACGGGCTGCGCCCATATAACCCTGTACGACTGCAACATCGTCCCGGCCGACGTGACTGTCGAGTTCAAGGTCGCGCGGTACTGGCGAAGCAACTAAAATTAGTACGAGCAGGTTATATCGTGTGCTCGGAGGAGCACGAAGCCGCAGCCGAGAGTTCGTTATTTATGTAGCGAGTTGATGAGGGTAACCGCGATACCTTGGCGAGGAGAGGCCTCATGTCTACTTAGTGATCGTAGGGGAGAGAATGTTGCGACGCAGTACTTTCTTTTTTTTCTTCTTCTTCTTCCTCCTCTTCTTTTTCGCCAAATGCACCTCACTGCGGTTCGATTAGGAAGAACAGCAATTTTAGTTCCTGTTGCATAATAACTGCTTGCTGTTACACGAGAATATTCTCCCGGCTCCGGCGAAGTATAAATAACTTTCCAAACTTAATACGGTCTGGGTATATGAAGGAGAGGCTATGACTATACGTGGGTATACTTTATCCCGCCGCCAGCATGTCGTGTATTAAGGGAAAAAACTTGCGTTCATATTTTTATTATGGCATAGGAAAGTTATTTGCGTGAAGATCTTAACATCGATCGCAAGGATTGCGACGTTGCATATATTTTCCTCTTATAACACTCATAGAGACGTTTTTTAATCAGTTAATGATCCTCGGTTATTCTCAGGCACGAACGTGGAGAAGAACAAAGCAATGAAACGAACGACGAGCGACGAGATGCGTTTATTTTGTTGCTTGGAAACAACAAACACTCGCGCACTTCCTATGCATTACATCTATAACTCGCTTCGCGCATCTATCGATTAGCTGCTGCTGTAGCTGTACCTCGAATGCTCTGAAACACGATGAAAGCGCTTAAACTGCGATGCCAACGTTTATAACGATTTGCTGAATTTGCTCGTTACAATTGTCGCAATTATTTCGCAGGGTATCAATTTATCTAAAGAAGAAGATTTATTATGATAAAGAAGAATGAGAAAGAAGAAAGATGATAAAGAAGAATTATTATGAACCGCAGAGATGTAAGATAAAATTAATACCATCAGCGTGATCACAATTCGAAATATAATATTTCGAAATATGCGGAGAACGTGTATATTAGATAAATATACACATTTATTAATCTCACTAAAGATAATATCCCTGAATCTCACGTAATTCTTTATCGCTATTTACACGACCGCACAATCAGGATGTGAAACCGCGCAAAGATACGTCGCACATTCATATCGCGTAACTGAAATTTATCCACAAAAGCGATATGTTCCATAAACAATGAGTTTAAATCATAATTTTCGCGGTGTATGTCGTCTGGAAACACGACGCTCATCAATCGTTCATTAATATGTTTACACAGGTTTACACAGGTGAGGATTGGAATAAAATATATCGATGAAGAGGGAGAGAGAAAGAAGGAGAGGAAATTTATTAATCGCAGTCTATCCTTGCAAGCTGGTCCAATGGCAAATCTTCGTTGCAACAAAATCGCCTAGTCGAGATGATTGAAGAGAGAGAGAGAGAGAGAGAGAGAGAGAGAGAGAGAGAGAGAGAGAGAGAGACATCGTTGAGAAAGTTCCCACAGATCATCATGCTGTTCCCATTTAATGCAACAAAGTTGGTAACCGTCTCTACCTTCGCATTTCATTACGCCGTTCTGAATGACACCTGAATGTAACGAGGTATCGCACGGCACATTGTGTATATATTTCTATGAAGTATACAAGTAGTTCCTTCACCCTTCTGTCGAGCTTAATCCGCCGTTCCGTTGTTAGCGGCCTACAAAAAGGCGATCTCGTAGGGAGAGATAAGTATCTGACGCGCGCGACCCTTATACCTCCTGAATAAAATTGCATTAATTGCGTCTGCTTAAGCAGAGCGGCCTTTGTAGCTGAGATACGCCGGGTTGAGCTAACGAGCAATATGAAAAGGAAATCGATAGAGCGGTATATGATACACCAAAGAGGAACGAACGTAATGTTATGCAACCTGGTTGTGTATCTCCGTTATATTATGCATCGGATACTTCGCTTGTTACAGCTTGATGGCTGTACATCGAGGCCGTTACGGTCTTCGATGTGCGAACGCGAAGATTAATTTTTCTCCTTTCCTTCTCCTACTATCTCTCGCTCTCTTGTTATTCGGTTCAGGTGCACGCATCTCTCCAATTAAAGCTTCGCGGTCAGTGTTCGCCACTTCGAAGTTTACATGGACGTACGGTAGCGTCGCAATATGCGTCTGCAATTGTTGACGACGAAGTCGCATTAGCATGGAAATTGCACATTCTCGTGCTATCGCCGGGTCCCACGTCTTGCCGCATAGCGAGTCAACTCGGCACTCGTGTGTGTTTGCAAACACATTGCGTCACACGTAGCTGCCCAACCTCGACCGCGCCTGAAAATTTCTTAAAAATAGCTGTCATTCGCCTCAAGAGCTGATAAAAAACTTCACCAGCCGGGCAGAAGGTCACTCGGGCTTGGCTGCGCAGTACGGATATCCCGCCGCAAACTCCCCGTCCGGAGAAACTGCGTTTCAACGTTTCGACGTGGCGCGCACACGCGCGATTTCGCAACGTTGGATCACGACATTAGCTCCCCCCTCGTCGATATCGTCTCTACAAAGTGTACTTCGTGTGTGTCTTGCCCACTAACAAATTCCGGCCTCCTTCGTAGCGATGGCGAAAAAACTCCCCATTATTGCGAGCGCAAATTCCGTTACGCATTTTTGTGCGGTGTCTCCCAGTGGAGAAATTTTATGAAATATATTAGTGAAGAAAATTTATCAAACACCTCGGACATGGCTAAATGTTCTCCATGGAAACGGTCATAAGAGCGGAACGGAATCAACGAAAGTCATTTCAGAGGTCACACCTACACGAGAGAGGAAGACTACTACGCGCGACTGCGGGATTAGCATGGCTCCAAGATGATCGCTTTCTGATCCGGTTCTCGCTGTTTCCTCCTACGAGAGGTGCAAAACAAACCCATACACAGCCGTATGAGATTGTTCAACAGGAAGGTTACGCTACGTTACACAGGTAGTATTATATCACACACCGGTTAACCGTGCTAACGCCAAGGTGGCAGGGAGGCGGCGGCGGCGGTAACGATGGCGGTAGCGGCGGTGGCGGCGGTGACGGCGGAAGCGGCGGCGGAGGACGGTACGTTTGCTGTGTAGGTCGATGGCGGCATGGTGGGGTCTGGCCAAGCGAACGTGCCAGAAATCTCGTCGCCCGGTGGCTGGGCCGATCAATACTCGGCATTTGTTGATTTCTTGGTTATGCGGTGCAAAAAATGTCTGAACGACGGTGCCAGCTGATGGATCTCGTCACAGAGATTTCGAATATCATGTCGGCCGAGCCGATCGGGCCCGGCAACGACCCAAAACAATCGGTCCCACGTAAATGCGCATTAATGTCGCCGCGCCACGAGCTCTGGAAGCTTCGGCGCTGCGACGTTGGGCGACCTCTATATAAGGCGGCCGGCCGGCCAGTCTCGGCGCATTCGTAAACAAACCCTCGTTCAGTTCGGACGCAGCGAACACCCGAAGACCCCCTCACCCCATCACCAGTGTAATACACTTTGACTTCTTGTTTTGTGGTCATCGAGACTGCCTGCACGACGGGAAAATGTAGGCGAGCGGGCACCGGTGCGGAGCGCGACAGTTTACCGTAGGTATACCCTAACCGGGTTTTCATTTACTTATTATTCCACTTGAAGAACTTACGACTTGGCTCCTGTGAATTGTTAACGATTAATATCGGTGTTATTGCGATATTTTGTGGACGAAGATGACGCTTGACCTCCGCTGTTGTTACTCACCATGAATGGGGTGCGGAAACTGATGGTGACCTTCACACCCTAGTCATGAGGATTTAGAGCAGGATGTTGGAAACCAATAGCTTGTTGTAATATAACGTTAGCTCGTAAGGGGTATCGAAGGGGATGTATAGACGCCATTTTGGTATTGCGCCAATCTCTCGATCTCTTGTTTTCCGAGTGATCGTGTTTTTGCTATTGTTTTGTTGCCACCGAGCTGATTATCTTTGCGCAATTATAGGATTTGTGATTATACTTCCACTTTTCGTGATTATATGAAGAGACAGCAGTATCATACATTTGTTTTATATATTCATTATTGAACACAGTATCAAATGATAAGATACAATTGTACAACGTATTAAAAAAAATTATTTTTTAAAACATTATACTTTTACGATAAATATTAGAGAAACGTTGCTTCTAAACATGACAAAATTACATCATCTTACAAAATTGCCTCGATATACGATCAACGGTAGAATGAGAAACAATAAAGGAATGAGAGTCTCTCTAACGATAACTTCTTTATTCGGAGGTAGTGGTGGTGGTAGTAGTCGCAGTAGTTGTTTCCACGGGAACCGGCTTAGCAGCTGGCACTCCTGTTTGAACAACACTGATGACTCTTTCCGTGCCAACCGACGTCACGTTCTGAAAACGAACGAACTATCATTAGAGATTATATGATAAGCAAATTATTAGTATATGTGTTTGTGTTTTTAGTGCACCCTACGGGGTCGGTGCTTGGACAATCCGTACGCGACGATAACAGGCGTGATTAGAACTTGAAATTCCTTCACACTTCGAACACACAAATATGAGAAGAGAACTTCGAGATATAGGTAAGTGTAATAAGCTCTAGACAAGATAGTATATTAAGTTCAAAGGACTACATTTACATGAATGACACTGTAGAAAGATTAAAAATACGACGGTTAAATCGATACGCGCGACAGCATGAATGACAAACGACGCGGCTACATAAATAATGCCGAAGGTGAAGAGCTTTTTTTTTAAATAAGATAAGATGAATCCAACTTTCATCTCGTCAATGTGAAAGCAAAAAGCGAATGAAATTTGCGATAAAAATTTAGATGTAATTAGACTTGATTTTCCATGTTCGAATTTACTCGCAATCAAATTTACCTTGTACACACATGTTAAACAGACGTCATTCAACGTCGTTTGAGTCACGAAACAAAAGCGACAGAAATAAGAGAAACAACGATAAGAATGTAATTTTTGATGAGGGACACTCGATTGTCAGCAGCAGTGTCATCGATTTTAATAATCTGATCTTTGAAACTCACTGAAAAAGTGCGATTGCTTCCAAATTTGAGGACCGGTAATTCTCGCCGGGAACGCTCGCCTTTTGACGTGCGTGTCCTCGCGTCGTTCATTCGCAGTCGCATACAATCTATCGCCGAGTTTCAAGAGCTTCAGATTTAAAATCGACGCACACTGATCGCAACACAAATCGCGAATGTGCCTCGTCCGCAGCAAACACGCTGCGTTCGCTGCTGAATTTCGAACGTTAACGATACATTCGTTCTGTTTTGTAGTCTAGTGCAGATTCGTAGTTTGATCTGTGAAACCGTCGGCACCGTCTCTGCCCTCTTCTAATACCGCACACTGAGGCTCTCACGGCATTGGGAACGTTGGAATTGAAAGGCAAAAAAATCAAACATGTAACGTAAGCCGTACCAGCTAACAAAGACGAGAGGGAGAGTGAGAGTGGAGGAGAGAGAGGGGAGAAGGAGGAGGAGGAGGAGGAGGAGGGGGAGGAGAAGGAGGAGGAGGGGAGGAGGAGGAGAGGAGAGGAGAGGGGAGGGAGAGGAAGAGATAGAGAAGCTCTCGTTCGTTCGCGGTCGCCGCGAATGAAAGAGCAGGACGGATGTTAATGTTAATGGTCTCGGCTCCGTCGAGCGTACCTTTTTGGGTGCCGTAATAGTTAGTATACCATCCGAGGAGAGGGTCGAGGTGACGTTGACGAGGTCGTGAGATGGGGGCAGGACGTATCTGCGTACGAAGTGTCTGCTGACGTAGCCGTGCTCGTCTTGCTTCTCCTCGTGTTTGGCCTCGATAATAACGTGGTTGTCGGCCGTCTTCACCGTGATCTCATCCGGTGAGAATTGTTGCACGTCTAGTATCACCTGCGGATCAGAGCGCGGCCCCGCGGAGGCCCCGGGAATACACGTATTAGTCTGTTCAGGATCCTCTTTCCACGAACGTCTTCGGAGGACCGAAATTTTGCGTTCTCTCTCTCTCTCTCACTCTTTCACTGTCAAGGGAGCATGGATTAGTACAGCGAAGCGCATGCACACACAGAGACACACCGACCATCGTCCGACCATGCGCCGCCCGTAGACCAAAAGTTAAGTATCGATCGCTTCAGAGCGAGCTTGCTTTCCGAGGATGATCGTCGAAATTGAGCGATAACGCCCTTCTCTTTATTTTCTCTCGCATTGCGCGTCAACGTTTCTCGCGTTTCTTTCCCTTGGTTCTCCCGTTTTACCGGCTAACCAAATTCTTCTGTGGAAGGGGATCACGAACGCGGTTTCGTAGCGCGTATACTGTACCGAAACGCAGAGAGCTACTTTACGCACAATCATTCCGGCTGACCATCTGGAGCGCCTCGCGCGCCTGGTTTACACTCGTTCTTCCAAGTTTCCGCGTTAGGGAACCGCCGGGACCGGTCCCGATCAGACCACGGTAGTTGGAGTTTCCACGACGAAGGAGGAAAATGACAATTCGGCCAACGCAGTAGATCCGTCGAGCGTCTGCTAGCGCATCCGGAACAGACGTTCTCTTTTCATTACGACTTCCGTCACTTTTTCTTTCATGTAATCTCCCGTCCGCGTCTCTTAGATCATCGCGTTATGGTACAAAAGCAAACCGGGAAGATGTAGTTGCCGGGCCCACCTACTTGTGTGAGACTGTTCCTTTTTTTTTGACGACCAAAAAAAACGAGCATACATACAAGTAGGTGATCTTTTTTATCGGTGATCGCGCACGGTCGTGACGGGAGCGATCGGTCGCGACTGCGGTGGCCGATCGCCTTTTCGCGGCCAGCGGCTCACTTTAACAAAAGTGCAAAAAAGAAACAGAAAACGATCAATAACAAAAAGTAATTTACCAAAAAACAATAAAAAAAGACCGAAACAGAAAATGGTTTAGACTTTCGTGTAGAACGAGGAAGCTTCAACGATCGACGGTAGGGTAGGCGAGCCGAGTCTTTCCGCGTGATTCTGGAGCTCGGTGAGCGCGAGCGCGAAGAGAATAGTGGAGGATGATTCGCTGTGCATTTGGAAAATAGCGTCAGACGGAGAGTAGAGGAGCAGAAGCCAAAACAGAGAAGGGGAGGAGAAAAATTGATGAAAGATCGGTCTGTAAACAGTCGACTCGAGTGCTGCGCGCAGAGCGACATAGTTTGTACATATAAAGAGACAAAAAGGAACTTCTGTGTAAGGGACAAAGGAGTCACATTTTGTACGATTCTATCGTTGATGGTTTCAAAAAGCATTTATTTTTGTATAGAGATTATAGCCGGCAGGACCGGGGCTTGAGGCCCGTTTGCGTGAGCGGCGCCCCCTTCGAGAGGGGGGCGCGCTGACGGCTGCTCGTCTCGGTTCTTTCATCGAACAAGACTGATTAAGCTCGACACGATAGCATATATACATATACATCCACTCTTTCGGTTGCATATTTTATTCCGTGGCTGCTGCGCGCGCGCTTTCTCGCGTGCGACTCTTAATGGAGATCGTAGACGGAGATACAGCGGAGCAGAGAGTTTCACATTAGACCCTGCGACAGGCGAACTGTGCGCACGATTGCGCGAGGAAAAAAATATCGCGGAAAGAGAGAGGAACGAAAATAACCAAAAAAGAGGTAAAGTACATAAAAACGAACATAAAAAATACAAAAAAAAGAAGAGAGAAACGGTTGGAGGAGGGGAGGTAAAACGAGAACTGTGGTAAAAACTGTGATTTCATAGAGATTCTGAGGAAAAATAGCGTGTGACCGACTCCCCGCAGATCGCACAGCGCGATCGTTCCCTTTTTGATACGCGAACCTTTCGTAGAGCATTTCGGCAAACGAGAAGGATAACGGCGTCACTCGGAGAAAAAAATATACATGTAAGAAAAAAACAGACACAAAAGAAACGAAAAACGAAAAAAGAATAAAAAATAGCACGCGTCCGGAAAAAGGAAAAGTCGTCTCTCCGTTCCAATTCATTCGCGCGCCCTCCCTCCCTCTGTCGCGGAGAGAGGGGGTGTACGAGATACCTCACTCGCGAGTCGAGCGAAAATAGTCCCGAGAACACACTCGTTTCACCACCATCCACCCACCCATGCGTCGAAACGAAAAAGGGCTGCCGTTTCCTTCGGGTCGTCTTGACGTCCGCGTGTGCGCGCTCGCGAATGATTTTAGAATCACGATTGAGGTGTGCGGTGTATGATGTGCGACGCGCATGTCAGCGGCAGAAGACAGCGGCAGCTGCAGCAATTGCAGCCATCGACTTCCGGGCCTTCAGGTGTTCCGAATTTTTCGTTCGTCCCTTTAGACACCCTTAACGAACATTGAGATTTTCCGATCATCCGCGTTCGATTCCCCCCAACTTCGTCCACTATTTGTTTCCTCTCTGTTTCTCCTTCGTCTTTTTCTTTTCGTTTTATTTCATTGTAATGGTCGTGCGACTGATTCGCTCCATCAGAGAGTAACGTTCGTTCCCACCCTCCCGTTCTCTCCCTTTAGACTAAGAGTCTTCGTTTGCGACGTATTCTTCTTTCCTCTTTCGAACTTTCCCTTGATCCTTCCTCTCCGCCCTTCCTCTTTCTCTTCTTTTTCCTCCCCTCCCCTCTCCTCCTCCTCCTCCTCCCCCTCCTCCTCCTCCCGTTCCCGTTTCCTCTACCCTCCTTCTTTATTATCCCTCTTACGAATGCGCCTTTTCGTCGTTTCCCTTCACTCCCCCGTCACTCCTCCGTCACTTATCTCCCACGACTTTTCTAGATTTCGAAATCTGACTACGATTCGCCGCTACTCGTTTTTCGGTAGAAAATAACGAAGAAAAGAAGTATCTATACACTTATTGTATATCATACATTTTTCGTAGGATATTACCCGAGGCTTTTTGTATTTGATACAAAATTCGTTTTGTGTCCGATATAAATCGCGCTCGAACTGTAAACACCAAAAAGAGCAAAAGACCACTAAAGAGATCGTCAGTTTAAGTCTCAGTCTAAGTTGTATCACGCGTAACCGATCACAATCCGCTCGCTGTTGCATCATTGAATCTTTCTGGCAGGAGGCAAAATATGGTAGTCATAACAAGACGACGATTTTAAAGTCATAAATTTTCAAGGTTGTCCGGCGAACCAACTTTAAAAAACCAGTTGACCGTACGAATTCATGAATTTAGGAACGTTCGGGCAAGTTCTTTGTATTTTGCCTAGGCCTAGGTAATTACATTCAAGGAGATTGTCGTTTTAGACCGTGATTGAGTTTTGCCACCTGTGACCACTTGTATCTCGATCGCTCTGTTATATCATCGAACTTCCATGTGAAAAAAGAGATAAATGTAACGCGATTAATAACCGTTTTAAAGTAACGCATTTTGGACCGTCAGGCGAACCAGGATATCGACTTTAAGAAATCAGTCGACCGTTCAAATTCATGAATTTAGGAGCGTTCAGGCGAATTCTTTATATTCCGCCTAGGCAAATCATATTCCAGAAGATCGTTGCTTTAAGCCGTAATTAAGTTGTGCCACACGTGACCACCTGTATCTCGATCGCTCCGTTGTATCATTGAACTTCCACGTGAGAAAAAGGATAAATGTAAAACGATTAATAACGGGCCGATGAAGTTCACACGAATTCATAATTTTAGGCGTGTCACGACACGCTCGCACGGCAGGTGAAAACGTGTAGTCATAGTGTGTGTACATTCGCGAGCCAAAACTGGTGTTTTAGGTGTTATTTGCGATACTTAATGTAAATTAACGATCGATATTACTGTCGAGTTACTAAGTTACTGTAGATTCGTAGTGGATAGCTGTGAACAATCTAAGGATTGAGAAGTGTACCCGGGGGCGTTTTATCCAGTTTAAACGAACGTAATATTCTGACGAAACGATAAGAAAATGTAGCCAAATCTTTCCCTCTCGTGAAATCCTTCGGAGAATCGAGGGAGTGCTTCTTACAAATTATTTCGATCGTTTCGAACGATTTAATTTCTTCGCGACACTCCCAATCACGTATATTTGATTGATTTCCGATTTTCGACTCAATCTGTACTGTTTTAGAGAATAACTGCTACGTAAGATAATTGATGTATGGGTGGATAATTGATCTATGATCACCACACACGAGCCGCTGATTTATAAAAGTAGTCTGCGTTCCTCAACGAACGGTCGCGTTAGAACCGCCGCGGCCATCGCGTAACTTTCGTTATTCGGGAAAGTTACGGGACGGCCGTAGGCGGTTTTACGGTAATGCCACGTTGAAGGAATAAAATTTCTGTACAGAACGTAAACATCGTACGTCCTACGTAAATAAAACTAACTTGATCGCATAATATCGTCCATAACATAAATTTAACACGCGTAACTTGATCGCGCTTATACTTTTCACATTCTTGAAATTGAACTAAGCGTACGTTTGATCAGGAAAATCTCTCGAATATTTTTCCCCTCATCCGGCACATTTCTCTTGGGATTCTACATGTAAGCATCGAAAAATTCTCAACATTTAACACATAGGCATTACACACGTTAAAGAATTCTTTCCGAATTTATCGTTGAAAACCTGTGAGAAGAAAGGCGAATTACGAAAACCGAATACAGGAATTTAGAATAGCGGCATTTTCGAGGCGAAATTAACGAGGTGAGATTCGAATTGCAAATCAATCAATCGGAAAGTGATTACATTTATATTTTTGGCTTTAATTATTGATTATTGAATTATTGTCGCGTATAAGGGAAAAACATTAAATTCTCGAGGTTTTATTAGTTGTAAATAATTTCCGGCCAATTCTCCTCTTCCGCAGGATTCTGCCAGCTCTCTTTCGCTGCAGAATCCTGCGGAAGATGGAATTGGACCGTTACAGCAGTACTTCCGCCCTGTACAATATATCTTCAAATATATTTTCAATACTTTCCTGAAAGAGCAACGTATCGTTAGCGACTTTACGAAGAAAGAACCGACCAAAGTCGAGCATAGTACCACTTGAATATACAGGACAAAATACACGAGGTATAGGCATTGCAAATTACGTTGATTTTCATCAAAGTATATTACTACGTGTTTAATAAGCTCTTCAAATCGACAAACCTAAGCACAAGTAGAGGAAAGGCACCAATATCGACATATTTTTTTTATTTTTGGACTCTATCTCTTAATTGAAAATGCAAAATATAAATTTATAATATACATGTATCGGGAACTTGTATTATTATTCATTATATCTATATTATTCACTATATTTCTATGATACATTATTATCTCTATGATATACTAACTCTAGCTTTTAAATTAACTTTAAGCTTTTAAATATGTGCTAGAAATGATAAGCGAAAAGTGATTGTGAGAGTTGGAGTCCAAAATTGATATATCTACTAAAAAGTACAGAATATGTGACAAAAGTGTGGAAATATAATCGATCGTTAATTTATCGAAAAAATTTATCAAAGTAAAATTGAGAACTCTTACTCGTCCTTTTCGGTTTGTTATTTATAAAGGACTCAAAATCCAATAATACGATACGTCATTTTGAAATGCATCCGAATGAAACCGAATCTGTCAAACCACACGGTGAAAGAAGTAACAAAAATGCATGATCAAAATGAAACCGCTTTAGAAATCTATGCAAGAGTGCGAGATGATTTGATATTATTTTCGAGTAATAGAAATGTCACTTTATGAGACCTATGTCAGTATATAGGCGCCTTTGCTCTAAAATAAAACAGAAAAAACATGGGTATTAAAACGACTGAACAGTGACAGTACACAAAGTATCGGAAGAATTAAAATCATCTTCCAATGCAAATCTTATAATTTGAGATCATCTTTCGTGTTTCACCACGAATATGAGAAGACGAAGCCGTTAATCGCTTAGTGACAAAGTTCTAGAAAATCATGTCAGTAACGTCACGTAATATGAATGGAGCATGATCGCGAGTGGAGTATGATGCGTTTTATGAGCTAAATATTGCAATATTTGCGCTATCGTATTTCGCAGCGCGCGCGGTGCACACAATAAACCGAGTAAAATTTCTAATAATACTTATGCGAATGGAACAAGCAACGAGCAAAATAAGAAACACTAAATTAAATATTGTAGGAGAAAAACAGTTTTCGCGACACTTTCCGGAATAAAACCACATATCGAAATAAAATACACGATTAAGATGTTGATTAGTAAAAAAACTTGGATGTTGATAAATAAAAAACTTGGACATAAATTACTGGCAATTTTGATAAAATAAATCACTCGCGAACAAAACCAAAATTATATTAAAAGCAAATAAAATATTAAAAGATTTTCTAGAGAATCTATTGAAAGATTTCGATCACAGATACCTATATTGAATAAACTGGATCAAAACTAGACATTCGGTATAAAACAATAGAGAACGTGGACTAAAAATTACATTCTACTTGCAAGATCCGCAGAGATGGGGTGATAGAAAAACTCAGATCAAAAATTGTTTTGCTGGCGAGACCATCGCTTTAGGTCCAAATTCAAACCCATAAAGATCAGCAGAAAGCAGCGCAAGATTGTATGCAAATATCGATTTTCGACCCATCAAACCGCTCCGTTTCGGTCGCCGAACGCGAAATTGCTACAGGTACCAACCTGGAAATTCTCTTTGTCCAACTGGACCGTGCTAGATCCACTCGAATTCTGACGTGTTATATGCCTCCACGGTCGGTAGTACGTGTTCCCCAAAATCGAGCGCAGAGAAGGTCGATTGAGACCAAGGCCGGTGAAACCTGATATCAGGTCGTCACGGTGGAGACCGGTGCCGAAGTGTTGATCCACCAGTCGTGAGACGGGACGATCAAAGTCCTCCCACCAATCGCGAAAAACAAGCGGCACGATCGACATCTGCAAATCAAAGCACGCGTTATCACCACGACACATCGTTCGACACACTTTTTCTCAATTAAAGAAGGTTCTAATTTTATTACTAATATCGCTTAAAATGGTCCAAAAATAATTTCGCAACAATATCAATGAAATGGGATTTATAAATATCGTTATACGTAATCGTCTTTTAGTTCATAAGTTATCAAATATTTTAAAAGTGACAAAATAAGAGCTTCAAAAATTTTATTACACGTAATTGTACAAACAGTAAGAAAAATGGTACTATTTACTATTGTATCTGCTAAATAATTAGATTAATTAGAAGTGGGAATAGAATTTGAAACGCACATATATTAGACATTTTTAATTGTTAGATTATCACGGTTTTGATTAATATGTGTGTTAGGAATATTTTACTCTACAATTTGTATTAAATTTGGCAACAACACGGAATATTTGCGTATTGGTAACACTATTTACATCGAAATAAAAAAACCTGAGTACAAAACTGACATAACAGTTTCCGACGGGCGCAAGTCAATGTACTTTGATTAAGGTAAATGTAAGTAATACGATAGATATGACTCTTACTTATATGTTAATCATTGTACATTAATCTGCGACTTCGACATACATTCACGATCTTGTCGATCGGAAACGGTTGCAGCAATCTTTGTGCTCAAATCTAGGCAGTCTAAACAAATACGAACCAAATTAACTTATATAATTGCACGTAAACCATACAGCACAGTGTTCTCTCTCTGCAAATGTGTATTATATATTTATCAAAAAATTGAATTATTAATAAATTTAATGTATCTCTTGAAATATAAAAACTTCTTAGAAAATTGTAAACGGTTCTTTCAAGTTTGACGCTAAATTGTCACATGTGCAATTTTGCTACATTGGTCATTCATATATTGCTAATTTGGCAAATATTCCGTTTTTCCGAAAGATCTATTTGAGATTTCTATTAAACTCTCTCTTGACGGTAAATTGATGTGAAATTACACATTGAAATTAATTGAAATATTCATTTTTTATAAGGAGGATTTTTCTTACATACAGATATGTGGAATTAGAAGAAATATTTCGTATCATGAGATTCTATATATGCTTGCGAATACAAAAGTATAATATCTAATTATAAAAGGTTATAATTAAGCTTAGAATTAAATAATACGGATAATATTTGGAAATAGTACGATAAAGAGATTAATGGAATATTTGTTACGCTTGGTTGGGTTGATTAACATTCGTACATACACACTGTGTACATATAATAGGTTTACCTATTATTTTGTTAAGCATTAGAACCTTCTTGATATAAAAAGAAAAGAAAATTGGAAACACTATCTCACAAAGAGTATGCGGAAGAAAGGATAAAGTATAGACGTCCTGGGCGTGAAATAGGGCGTGAATGAGCGACAATTTGGAAAATATCAGAAACACAGAACTAGGTTACAAATATTGATTATAAGTCCTATAAGCTGTAAGCAAGTCTTATAAGTTTGCACTAAGGCAATTAACTCGTTAGTTCGTGTGTACAGTTATTATACATTTGGTCGAAATCCCTGTATCGTATATAACGGATTAATTAATCTCTCAGAGAGATACTCTATTGATACTTGGAAACTGTTAACGCATACATGCATCATGCATGAAAACGATAACGCGAAAGACTCCATCTCCATTCCGGAATGGATGAGGATTTAGTAGGTCATTGGCTAGATAAATTACGCATTTATTAATTATAAAAGGGTACAATAAGAGACTCCTGTTTGACATGTTTGAAGCGTTTCCTCGAGCGTATGTGGCATTATCTAATTATTAGTTTCTTCGCCTGCACCATTCAGTGATAGTTTTTTAGGGCAACGTAAGAGCGCGTCTACCGACACGCGATTATGTGCTTGTTCCACACATCAGTAGTAACTCCACCCCTCATTAAACATGTCAAACATGCGAAACGTCGTGCGCTCAACGCAAGGTAATTCCTCTCGAACTTGGTTCCAATCCACAATGGGTGTAGCCGAAAATTTACCACTGCTGCCTGCAGTCGCAGCCTTTAAGCTTTAAGCGAGCTTACTAAATTCCAACTATTAAGGCAGCGTGGGAAATACTTTCTGTCAGAAATCAAGGGACTTAGGGCCAATTGCGCCATTTTCGATTAATTGGTCGATTAAGTGTCAACCGTGATCGATCAATCCTGTCCAATGGCAAATGCGATTGGTCAGTTACGATGAAACAATCGGCCGATTAAATTAATCGGAGATGGTGAAATTGGCCGATGGGGAGCAAAAGGCTAAAGGCTTACTATCGATTCGCGACCGAACAGTCCTCGCGTGTGAACGAATTTAAACGGACATCATCAGGATAAATAAACGTTGTTATTAGTAGACAAGAGCGATACTATTTTACTGAATCTACAGGTACAACGCCTGTTAGCACAAAAGAAAATATCGACCGAAAAGATCAGTAGAGATAGCGTCAAAGACCGTTCCCCTCATCCTCATGGTAAATACTCGGCGGAAACCAAACTCAATAATGCACAAGTTATAGTCGTAAGTTGTAAGACAGTGAGAGTTCGATTAACGTCTCAGCAGTCGCAAGACTAGTCCATACGCGTAACATATTTCCGTAGGTATAAAATTACCGTAGAGGGTTAAGCGAAAATTCAATCTTTTGGCTTGATCATCATCGGGGACAAGTATAGACCAATCGAGCGTTCCGGCACAACAATATAAAATAACTCAACGCCACTGGTTTAAAATCTTTACTACTAGTTTAAGTTACTAGTTAAGTTACTAGTTTAAAGTCACACGCGACTCCCGCCCCCCTTTTCGTGGTTATGTATTGTGCATCATACGCATCTGAAGAACGACGGTTCGCGACTTTACCGGAAACAGTAATATAGCGAAGTTACATCACACGTCTCACGCACGACTCACGATAAAATTCTCTCTCATGGCCACCCCGTCTTACCTTCGCGAATATAACAGACGACGACACGCGTGTATTCCTGACAAAAGTCACTCATAGAGGTAGCTGGGTGGGGGGGGAGACTTGAGGGCGAGAGGATACTATGACCGTTAGTTTAAGATTATTTCGCACAAAAACCGTATCGATAAGCTTACTCTGCTCTATAGCAATTACAAAAGATTACTAAACATGCTGTTAAAAACAAACACTACTATTAATGCTAGTTATAAAATTAATTACTAGTTACTAAGTACTAGTAACTAAACTAATTCTAAGTCAAGTCACGGTTGATTATACCTTTAATTAAGGTATAATTTAAAGGTATAATTTAAGAAGTACTTAATGGTTGTAGTGGACGCGGCGGGTTAACGAAAGAGAAATCTGGAGTACGGAAAAGTACACACACACACACACACATACACACACGCACATTCATATACACATACATTATTTGCACAAGTATATTCGTGAAAAAAAAAAATAGCGAACGATGCTACCGTACTTCGCGTGAAACGTAAGATCTCGTCGTCGCTCGAAGGTCACCGGATGATTCCAGAGTCGACTCGACTTCTGATTTGGTGCGAGTCGTCGGTCCATCTTAAATAGCCGACGTCGACGTCGTCATCGGCGGCTGCGGCGTGGTGTGGAGGCGTGCTCCTACAATGTCACGTGACGTTAACTGACTTGTTGCCCAAAAATATATCGACTTGCACACGAGCGCGATTTTGACTATCGAAATTGACTTCGCCGTATTCGCGGTAGAATATCTCGAACTGTACCACATTTTCGCGATCTGTACCATTCTTGCTTCAATTCGTCAACGTGTTATCCTGAAACGTTACGCTCATGATCGAACTTTAAAAAAGTACATGACCTTTATTGAACTAAACATAATAATGTAATAATTAGCTTATAGTAAGTAAGAGTATGATATTTTATGATAAGGACCTAGTCTAATCGATCGAGAACAATCCAATAAATGCAATGATAAATGCACATAATTGATCGAGGTAGGGCTAAATGATCACAACAGTCCAAGATGATTCACTCGACACGCACTCGATTTATCCACGAGTCGGTGAGAAACGCTCGACATTGTCTAATCGTATAGCGGATGAAGAAAATACTGATCCACGCATAGATGAAACTTCCGATCTCGCGAGGAAATATATGGGGTTGAGACTCGAGTTACCGAACATTTGAGAACGCGGAATGCTAAGAGCGCCTTTATGCGGATTTCGCCTACGCGCGTTATTTTAGGATATCGGATTATACACGCATTTCTCTCTTAACATGTTACCGACGGCTTGCGAATGAAATCGACATAAACTACCTACCGGCTCAATCTCAAATGCAGATATGTTGCTATGTCGCGTGGAAAGGTGCGCTTGTTCGTAAAACTCCGCAATTTTCAACTAAAAATTCAAAACACTACTCGTTGCATCATTTCGTTATGTTTTATTGCGGCATATCTAAATTTTGTTCACTCGACAGTGCTGCGTTACGCGACTTTCGATATGAAGAAAATTACATGCGGGAATTTGAAGTCACCGCGTATAAATCTGACGTATGAATAAATAGTTGGGTGCGATAAGGACAACAGAATTCACCTCCTTAACAACATTTACAAATGCTTAATATTTCGATCAAGAAAGTAACGAACAAACTATCAACAACGAAACGGCCATTAATTTGCCGTCAATCGACGAGTGCCGGAAGCAAAAAGCCGCCGATCAATAATTCTCTGAGCGATAAGGTATTAAAAGATGCGTTCTTTTTCTTTTGACACATCTTGTATAAGTACATGAATATATACACACATACACATACACATACACATACATACACAACACCTACACACATACACGAGGAAAGTTAACGTCGGTGTTATAGTTTGGCAAATAACGGCATTTCACGCATAAATCTATGAACTGTCACATGGCATATCTGAATTCCTCAGGTTCTATCCTTCCGAATGATAATCGCGCGTAAGCATACAGTTTGGCCGCGTTCTTCAGACTGTTCTGCGTTACAAAGATATTTGATCAGTTTCGCACTTTGTGTGATTTGAATCTGTCAAAACGGTGAACAACAATCAATAGAAACGACGGTTTTCTATGCGATATGGAATCCTACGTCGTCCGAGAGAATTGCGCATAATATCATAAATCTGCGCCTCTATAATATCATAAACTTATGATATAAGTAAGAAAAGGAGGGAGGCCTAAAAAAGGATATATAAAAAACAACTATTAATTAAATAAAAAATGACATGCATGTCACCAAAAAAAGGGAAGAAGACAAAGGAGAAACTTAGGATATACGTACTATCGAGACTCATTAAGGATACTACTTAGGGAAAGATATATAATAGGTTTACTTGCATCCTAACCTATTGTCGTTACTCCGCGAATTCTATCTGCTAGCGGCAAGTGCTAATAAAACAATCTGAAATACGAAATAGATTTTGATTCACGTTTCTTCTAAAAATACGTTACTTGTCACCGACAATGAGCAACACGAATGCGGAGAATCCGCGTCTGAGTAATACGAGTAAAATTTTTAGTCACGCATTTGGGTCGGTCAAAAAGTTTGATTCGGATGTTTTTTTTTTTTTCTTTTTCGATAAATGACGTCACATACACGTGATGCAGGTAACAACGTCAACAATGTCCGATGTGTATCTACATATTGTTAGAAAAATGGCACTTTCACGACGATTATTCGGTTGATGAGCAATCTGTTTTCATTCAATGCAAAAGTAACATAAAATTTCGCTCAAAAGTCGAATCAAATTTTTGGACTGACCTAAAAACTGAAAACATCTCGTGATGTTATTGTGATATCCCTATGATGAACTAAATTATTAATTAACAAAATACAATCGGCTAAATTGAAATGGAAAAATTCCAAATTTTACAAGGTGAATGTTTACCGATAACCAAATGTTGATTTTTACAACCGGGAGCAAAAGAAACTGATTTATTTGCGATTGACACGTGCGCTTAAAAGTAGAACGAATTCACAGATTCGGCGGAGCACTTGTGGCAGGTGTATCGAAAACGCGAGTAATTTAATTTTAAGCGTTAAGCATCAACATCTACATTTCGAGACGAATCATATTATGTGGCATTGTATTATTAGTAACGATAAGCTCATAATTAAGTTACCCTAGTCGCTATTACTTGATCGACCAATAACAATTCGACAAGCAGTGTCCCTATAACTTAACCCTCGCTGAACGGTACCTGGATCGAAGCTAACTCAGGCACTGTAGTATGTGAGGTTGCAGGAACCGTCAGTATGAAACAAGCATTAAGATTATAATCGAAAAATATTACGTGTAAAATGTTCTATGTGTTTACTGTGTGGCAAAATGGTCATATTTACGTGTTTCGGATACATATTGCGTGTCAAGCTTTGAATAAATTTTAAAAGTGACTCGATATTCTGATTGTCTCTTTGTCTAGGAATAAGAATCAAATATGTCTCGTTGATACTGGATAAAACGGCCATGATTAAATCGTGTGTTTAGAGAAATTACGATGTAAAGCTCGCACAATGTGCATGTTGACACACGTCAACCACGTCCTCAAGAATCTTTATGACGAATGTGTTTAGTGAACATCCGTTAACGCGATACTTGTAACTCGATGGACTATTGATGTTATACCGATCGTTCATTTGTAACAGTATAAACGTAATTATCGTCCTTAGATGCAACAACGTTATGTTAGGGCAGTCTTAGATTGAGAGCGAGTGCGTACTTCATGTATATCGACATAAAGAGAAAACAGCAGACAGAAATTTATATTTCGTATGATCGTATCTATATCGCTCCGTTTGATCGAAATTACGCAAAATTCCATCCGGATACGGCTTATACTTACTTATACTTGGTTCTATTTAATTTTGTATTCATGCAGCGCATAGAAATAGGCCCGACGCCATTTGCTGGCTAAGAGAAACAATAAAGTGGAATCCGACATAATATATTAGTGTGAGTCTTTTTTTCGATTTAGTGTTATACCAATCCTCCCACATATAATTATTAGCTCCCACTGTCGTGGTAGATCAGCATCAAAATTGGACAAGATGAGAAATTTAAGTTCTGGCTAAAGGAGGCCGAGGATATGAATGTATCAAGTCGATGTCACTTGGTAATTCTCATTTTATTTTCACTAGCTGCTCCCAGATGTACAAATTAAATTAACCAGCACGCACCGAAGCTGCAGCGAAGATTTTGTTCGCAATTACGCAGTCGCGGAAGCTGCAAAGGTATTTCTGACTTTATGTTATATGTGTCTTGCTGATGTGCGTCACGTACTTAAAATAGTAATACGATAAGTGTCATTCAGAGAAAATGGAGTTATACTTAAACAAGAGTAACATGTAATATATATACATACTAATGAGACGAAACGGCAAGTTACATATGCGTGTGTGTGTGTGTGTGTGTGTGTGTACGTACATTTATCCTTTATTCAGAAACTATTCGACGTGACGTCTTTCTCTCTCGTTGTTCTATATTTAAATACACAAATACTATACAATATGTCTCTTTACTATAAACGCAGCACTTTATGCATGAATAGCACAATAGGGCGTAAAACGGCGCGCTTCCATTTTACCGCGATAATCGCGGAATTTGTAGGTCAGGATGCTGTTGTATCTTCTCGACATCTTGCAAAGTAGATATACCCTGTTCCTGTGAGACATATAAATTGTGAAATTGTATATTAGTAAAGGAATATAGATGTTCAATTTTAATGGAAATTAACATTAAGAATATTTAAAGAAAAATTTTCCATTTCCGGGTGGAAAACGATATTATCACAGAATCATACGAGAGCAATAATAATTCATTATCCACTACGGAATTACAGAGAATATAGATATCGTATTAAAACTATTTTCAGATACTTATATTGTACGTTAAATTAAAGTTAATGTCTCTCACACACACATTATACTCTTTCCATTTCTCGTAGTTTTGTCGCATATAGCCCACCATTTCCGGCATGTCGATGAACGCTGCGGAATAGATAGAAAAATAATAATCGGAATGTATTCTCAACAAATTCTCACACAATAAATGACACTCGCAAAATGACGAAAAGAACGAACCATCCCAAGCTTCGACCATGTCGTTGATGATAAAGTCGACGAAGCCAATTTGCGATTTTGGTATCGAACACGTCTGTCTATCGAACATCGGCATTACGACGGGCATCTTCAACTTTTTCTCCTCGTCGGTCTGAAAATTACCAATGAACGCGTGTTCACATACCTATATATATATATATACATATATATATAAATACACGCAAGCGCAAGAGTATACAATCGATCGGTCTTTTCGGGATGAACAACGCTCTTCTTGGCTGCGAGCAGAATGTTTACCTGACAGAAATATTCCTCGGCAATCCGTCTCGCCCATTCGACGCAACTCTTCAGCGGTCGCGTTGGATTCGATACGTCTGCGCATTTGATCATCATTCTTTTGATCAATATTACGTTATCCGGTTGCAATATCACAGACATGTCCAGAGAGTTCGAGTAAGACTGCGAAAAATTCTGAACTTATTTTCCCGCCGATTTCACCGATTGTGTTTTTACGTCGCAGAGTTTTCGTGTATTATCGATGAAGGAGATAATAATGAATCTAGCGATATAAAGATATGTCTGATAGAAATTTACGATATACGTGAAACGTGAATATATCCATATTTCGACATAGAAACAGCAACATACACTACCTCAACTTGACCGTCACCGATTCTCGCGCTGCAGACATTCATGAACTTCGCCAGGTGCTCAAAGTGCTTCGTCATTTCGGTCGCCAGAATCATGTCAATGACATTTTGTCGCAACAGCTTGTACGTATCTCGGTCCAGATTCTAAAGCAGGAGGTTTAATCCCGTTTTACATAATTGAAATACTCTATAACGCTCGCGATTAATCTCGCGATATGGAGCGCCCAAGAAGAAACTTACTTTAAAAATATTCACATTATCATCGGATAACGATAATTTGAACGTTAAGGCTGCGTGATGTGACTCGAGCACCGACAGATCGTTATAGAGTATCGCTAAACGATTACTAGCGTTGCAAAGGAACTGGCTGCAAGAAAATGTCATTTTGATGTCTATTATATTAATTTCCAGTTCATTCCTAAGGGTTCACAAGGAATAATGGGGGAAGACCGATTAAACTTTTACCAAAGAGACGTCAATTTTCTAACTACGTCGGAAGCTACATAATTGAAAAAGAAAATTCGCGATGTTCGAAATGTTCTATGCGAACTCGTGTCATGTGAACGTAATGCAAAAACATTGATTGGGAAATTAAATGTTTGCCAATGCATTTTGCCTTATCTGTCGGTATAGAAAGTGACTTGTATCACCTGGATCGTCCGGGATGATCAATATCGTGCGCAGCCGCGGCGATTAAAGCGGCGACCTCGTCTAAGGGCTCTAAAATTTCCTTCAGTCTCTTCGATTGCATGAAAGTCGCGGTAGCTTGCAAGACATCGGCAGCATGCGTTGAATTATGATAGCTGTTCTCCGATATGTAATTGTATTCGATAATTGACAGCCAATTCTGCATGACTTTCTCGTCGCAATTTAATTTCGCGGGCACTTGATACAAATTCATGATCGTCGATCCCAGGAAAACAAGCGGCCTGTAACATTCACGGAAATCGAGCTAGAATCAATTTACCAATAGGTCGTGTTAAAATATCTTGTGCTAAACAATACACGCTAAAGGTAACAATGCCTGATCCAAAAAACGACGAGACTCTCATGATTTGGCGATAAAGTATAATATATATTGATAATTCGCGGCCCACCTTCCTTCCGTCAGCACTTCGAGCTTAAATATCTCAAACTCCCACTCGAGACTGTTGTCCAACACATCTGCGATTTCCTGCGGTCCACGGAAATTTTTCATGGACATACGCGCATTAGTCGGCCCGGTGATAGGTCTAATAGTGGACAATCTTGCGGAATCCGCTGACGATCTTCTCGAGTCCCACGTTGTTCGAGACGACTGCTAACCGAATAACACAACATAAAATATCGGAAAAGCGCGTGTCTCACGCAATTCATATCCGTTGCGTGAGCATAATTATTTTTTTTTTTTTTTTCATCAAGCGATGCAGAGTAGAACAGCAAGATTCTCTTACGGAAAGCAATGCGCCGACGAGATCTGTCGCAACCGGATCATTGTAGATTTTGTCCTCCTTGAGGTGTGGCACGTAAAGTTCCGTCGTCTTTAAGATATCGATTACCTGGAAAATGCGGATTATATCTAACTGAATAGGCGTGTCCACGATAGGAGAATGATACGAGGATTTCGGTTAATCGCGAAACGTACCTTATCGATTTGCGCCGCTGTCTCCGGATTAGTCGAGTCCGTCACCGCATTTGAAAGTAAAGTAATGACTTTGGTAATGGGAGCTTCCAGTTGCAAGGTGTGCAATTTCTGCAAACTGGACCGCCGGCGACCTGCGGTGAAAACATCTCTCTCATAACAGCGTACATAAAAAATCTTAACTGATACACTAAAGAACTGCGTAATAATTTATATTTTGCGCAGTAATGTTAGAACAGCTTAAAAAATAATTACCATCGTTACGATAATAAATATGGTGATAATTATAATCACACATTAAAGTTTTGTATCTCAGAGGCATCGATATTAACTTATTTAATATATACGTCAATGGGATTTTAGTCTATATTTTCAATGATCTTTTGTCCATAGGAACTTATCGACGTAGATTAAAAGCAGGACGAGCGATCGTAAAATATTTCGCGCGACCCAATATCTATAAAAAGTGTCCCAGTTCTGTGCTATTAAGTTTCTCGACATTTTTACGACGATAGTATGTAGCAATGATATCGGGCACACATATGATAATTATCTAACGTACAAGTACCGTTAGATGCCGTAAGGTGCATCATAAAATTCCCGATGACCTGATTGATACCTTCTAATAAGTACGTATTTGTATCGGTAAACTATAATATATCGACGTTCGCACCGGTTGAATGACGGTTCTTATAATTTTTTGGTGTTGCCGTCGGTTTGATGCGCTAATGTGTGACTTAATGGATTCATTGGAATACCTTACCCTCGCTCACAGCAGATCTCACATCCGAGGGTTTTCGCGTGTTCGACAATATGCTTGTCCTTAGAGGAGGATGCAACGGGCTAGCAATTGGGCTTATCGGCGCTATATTTTCTGACAGATACGTAGTGTCGTACACGTATATGTAATGAGTTGGTTTTCTACAGATAGATATAATAGTTGATGGAGTATATTAATAGTGAAGTAATTGATACAATGTGATTTAAAGCTCTCCATGGTAAGATAACGATTTTGCTCGTGACAATACGGAAAATATAGATCAAGACCAAATGTGATGAGATTTCACTAAGAAGAAAATTTGAATACAAGTATGTGATACAGATTGGATCTCGAATGTAACGAAATGTCTCTTCAATTTTTTATGACGAAGCACAGCGACGAGAGAACGTACTTCAGCGTGGTGCAGAACGGGATTATCCGGCAATTTATCGTGATCATTTGGTTGTTCTTCCTCTTGCAATTCATATTCCCTTCGAATTCCCGGCCTTTACTCAACTGCTGCTCCATTAAAGCGAAATTTTCGTAGAAGACTATCTCCGAGAGATTTCTCCCCATCATTTCCTCTGTCGCATATCCTAACAATTTTTCGCTGACTTTATTTAGAAACTAAAAATAACGTGACATTATAATCTACGTATATCGACTTTGGAAAGATATTCTCGTAAAGATTTTCTCGTATTCAATAGAAAATATCGAAAGGATTGCACGATGCGTGCAAACGAGTGTGTAAAATTCCTCTTCTTAATATATAGAGTATTACGAGCAAAGCTATACGAAACGTGATGAAATGAATTCCAAGTCGTTACTCACGATACCTGTACAATATTCTTATCGTTGGTTACATGCACCATATCGCGACATCTGTCAAGTGCCAAGTACAATGCATGTGCCGCTGCGAGTTGTGTTCTCGGCAACAACGAGCTAGTGTATATTCCAACTAATTCATTTATTAGTATACCTTCGTGGGAACATTCCATCATAGCCTAAAGTGCGAGAAGTAAAATAGTTCAGAAGACCGTTCGCTATTCGTTGTTTAATTTCTCGATGTTCGTTCGTAAGTGCTTACTCTGCTAAAGCCTGTTTCTAACAAGTTCAGCGCCGCAATATGGTCTTTATCAGCGAGCATAAAGTATCTGGAAGAGACGCGAAATTCAGGTTAAACAGAATTAAATTAAATAGTACATAAAAAAGGACGTTGCGAAACTTACGATTTCTTCACGAGCGCTATAATGACGGAATTGTGATGAACCGGACTTGACCTGAGCGCTCTGAAATGAATATTTTTACAAACTCAAATAAAAGGACAATAAAAAACTCAAATAAAAGAACAAAAAACAATAAGCAAAAAATAAAATATATAAGACATATATTTCAGAAATTTAACTACGCTACGAAAAATAATTAATATAAAATATATCGAAGAAACATAGCCGTTGATAAAAGTTTTTCAATCACTTAATATTCATTCGTATATTTAGAATAATTATCGGATGTATGTAATTTTAATCTTATCTCTTGACTTTACATTCTTACATAAAACGTTCTATGCATGCACTATATATAAAAGCTATTTAAAATTAAAAATCATAGATCTCTCTCTCTCTCTCTCTCTTTCTCTCTTTTTCTCTCTCTCTCTCTCTCTCTCTCTCTCTCTTTCTCTTATCGTTAGTTTTGTATTATTTTTTATATATATAATATTATATACACTATATATAAACATTCTGCCATACCTACAAATAGCATCGCCCTCGGTCGCACGATGTCCTCTATGATCAATGATCACCAATTCGTGAGTACGATTTTGAAAGAGTTCAATCGCTTTTTCCGCGTCTTTCGCCACTGATACACTCCAACCCAATTTGCTCGCAGTCGTAGCGAGTATCTCCATTTGCTGGTCATCTTTGCTAAAGACTAATAATATCTGCGTATTGAGAAAATTACATCGTTACAAGTAAAGGAGAGAAAACGTAATTAGCGCGTTTGCGAGGCACTATAAATTACGATCAATCATAAACAAGTTATCATCACACTTACTTTCACAATATTGGGGACAGAGGTCGTCAACAGATGAGTATTGACGTCTTGAGGTCCCTTCTGTGAACAAAAAAATATATGCAAGGGTGTACAATATTGCTTCTGAATAATCCGGTTAAGAGTGATTGAACATTTTGCTCTAAATTCAGGTTTGCCATCAGCAATGACTTGAATAGATGAAATCTAATCAGCGAGACCTAATACTAATGCATCGGTATCACTATCGAATACATACTGGCCTCTCTTTATCTAGTAATGTCTTCTCGAGTAGCTTGTAAATTTTCGCTCGACGACGCGCACGTGGACATTTTTCCGCCTCTATGGCGGTCTCGTAGTACGTAATACAATCTTCCATTTTCGCGATGTGTTAATGAGTTGATTTACAATACAATATAACCCATGCATGTCAGAGGTGCACGACGATAACCGAATAACGTATCTAACGGTTGTACACAACTTCAAAGTGAAGCAATAAAGACGACCGGTCAAGCACTCTTGTTTTCAATTTTTATTTCATTGGATATAAGGTGGAGTATTCGCAATTAGTGTGAAAGGAATTAACTCACTGTAATATTCACCAGTGATATCCTTTCTCTCTCTCTCTCTCTCTCTCTCTCTCTCTCTCTCTCTCTCTTTCTTTCTTTTTCTCTCAAATATATCACATTCGCAAACTAGAAGAACCGTGAATACACACATAAAAAATCCCGAAATGACGATTGACGTGAAATTCGTACCCTAATGATCTTCACTAATTGCAATTCTGTCGGAGTCGACTCGGTCACTTGCATTCTATTTGTAGCGCAGCATTCCTTCCGCATACACCCACACATAACATTGAAGATATTATTGTACCACGTCCGCGGTTCCTCTTTGTAAACATTATTGTCGTCGATCGCACTGGAGACATAGAGCACCGGTTGAGTCGATTGTCTCATCATCTCCAATGTCTTATTAAGGAAATAAAGCTGCTAGTGCATAGACGACGATGCATCACGCTGCGTATCGACAGCCCGAGTCCCATCGATCGTCGCACGCGACATTCATCCCCGGCATAATCAACGTCTCGATCTGATGATGCATCCCATCACGACTGTTCCGCTGTGATTTGCGATCGAAAGTCTCGCATGTTAACGGCGACTCTTAACTATGCTGAATCGCTGCTGCAAATCGTGGAATGTTACGTTACGTTTGGAGAGACGAATGATACTGATCATCGATCGAGACAGATAGCAAGATCGGTCGCTCGATCGAGAACAGAAGTCCTCTATGCGCGATAAGACGCCCGCGTGTTAGCGTACTAGAGTCTCCTACAATTACTGATAGTGCATTTTACGGAAAGGTCGGATAAAAACTTGCGAAAAAAAAGCATTCATAAACAAGAGTGATATCGCAATTTTTACGGCGCACTCTGCAATTAACGTAGTACGATGCAGCGTGACGAATAATACCCCGGCGCGAATAATACAATGGCGCACGTTTTATTAGTTTCTAAATGCTTTATACGCATCTCAGGTGATTCCAAATGTTAAATTCGTTACCCAAAGTCCTGACCACTAAATGTACCTTCACGTACCAATTGATATCCTCGATGGGACTCGTATTTGCCTCACATCATTGTTATAAATTATTATTATAAATTCGCCATTTTTATATATGTTAAATATAAAAAAGTGATCGCATAGCAAAATCATTTCTCGCGGCTTACAAACACAGACGTTCACATTTCGGTCGCGTTGTAGGTAATCTCTTCAGCATATCGCTTCGATCAAGCAACAGTGGTTCCGAAATCAGAGAGAAAGAGATATTTTGCAGTCAGTTCAAAGTTCGATCCCCCTATTGCTTCGCGACGACTACTTCCAATCAAAAAAGCGTACGCCAGAACGAAAGAGAGAGAGAGAGAGAGAGAGAGAGAGAGAGAGAGAGAGAGAGAAAGAGAGAGGGACATGTTAGTTTTTTCTTATTGCCGAGAGAAGATAGAACACAGGAAGGGTGAAAAAGTTCGTCTAGAACGTTTGGCGGAGAAAGTTCTCGGATCGGGAAAAAGCGTAGTGCAACAGAAGAACTGCGATCGTCGCGTTATCGATCGGTCGGCTTCGAGATACTAATTAACGAATAATCGCCTTCCTCGGAGGTGAACGTGCGACAGCGATACAGTTATAATAACATGCGCGATTATCTCGTCACGTTGACTGCCTGTTTACTTACACAACCTGAAAGAAGGAAAAAGGAAGCGATTATTGATCTGGATAACGCCAACGAGCGGGAAAGTCACGTCGCACACGAACACGAGGCGAAAATTCGGGGCTGTCGCTATCAACGAGCCGTCCTGCGAACTCACCGTTTAGCGTTTACCTCAGCCGAATATTTGCCTCTTCGTCATAAAAAAGAAGTACTATAGCATCGAACTTTGTTCAACTTTTCCAAAACGCCGGACTGGCTCGCTCGCCGATAACTCAATCGCAGTAATTGCTGTGCGTGACGGCTCCGTTTGCGTTTCGCTCCGTCTGGATTAGCTGCTCGACTATAGCGAGTACATAAGCGAACGCGTCCGAGAGAGAGAGAGAGAGAGAGAGAGAGAGAGAGAGCGATTAACGCGAGGGATCGACGGTAAAGCGAAGAAAATCAGAGACTAACGTCGTCGCGCACTCCACGCACACCGTTGCCTAACTAGGAATTTCTTTCGGGGGTTTAGGTAAGCTATAGCTCTCATCCTCACTCGCGATGTAAAGTGAATCCAGAAAATAAGAGAGACTCGGAGAGAGGCCGTGATTGCATGTCGGAAATAATGGAAAGTTCATCGCGTGGCGGTAGCTTTACACTCGAAGGGCTCTGACAGTTCCGAGCTGACCGCGCCACGATTGATCGTTCCCGCCTCGCATTTTCGCGACAAGCTCCGCACAAAATTTCCCCGCCCGTTCGGCAGCCCTTACCTCACATCGTTCGAATGATCCAAAACGACGAGAATCACCTGTTCGTACATCCGCATATCCGGCCGCAAACAGCTCGTTGCTTTCGACCGCCGTTCTCCATCCGGCTGCTCGGACTATCTAGAGACTGTCTATAGACAGTCTATAGACACCTGTCTATAGCCTACAGTCGGTCGGGCACGAGCAACATCTCGACTCGTCGAGGAAAGCCGGCCGAGTGAGAGAAATCAGCCTTACTGCGATTGCGCGTGGCCGATCAATTATTCAGCCAGCGTTTGAAGCGGCGTTTACGTTCGCGACGTTGAAGCGCACCCGGCGATTTTCATATTTAAGCGAGGGGGATGACTACCGAGCCGATCGAGCATTACCCTTTCGTCACCCCCCGCGGAACTTTGTAAACGCTGCGCGAATTATTGAAAGGGCCGTCGCGGTGGAAGATCGCGTCAGCGTTACGCAGAAAACGCGTGTATATTTAGAATCCGCAGCTCGGGCTTTCTGTCTTATTAATCGCGGGGGGTCGTGAGGTGGAGGGTTTTGATTGCGGGGTTCGCGATGAAGACCTGTGAGAACGGAGAGGGCTGACGGCCGAAGACTGCCCTTTACTTATTCCCCGGCTCTTTTTATCCCCCTTTTTTCTTTTCTCCTCTTTGTTTTTCGTCGCAAGCTACCTTAACATGATCGAAACATCCCTCGCGAGCGAGTTTCGCCTCGCTTCTTTTTTTTTCAAACTACTTATGCCCGCACTTCCGTGTCGCTTTTTTTCGAGAACTTCCTCTTGACTACAATAGTCGATGTAGCTTTTGCGATGATTTTCTCCCGTTGGGGATTATTCACACAATAGCGAAGAGCGATTGTAATTTTAATGGAATATTACAGGGTCGTCTGAAATTTGTTGTTTGACGACGACGATAACGCTTCGCTTTAATATTAAACTGCGCGACAAATTGGCACATGCTGCCATAATGAATTTCTCTCCTTGATGTTGATTAGAAACGATTTAGTAACTATTAACATAGTAGATACTCGATGGAGCTCTAATGACGAAGAAACGTACAGCCGCGAGGGAAGAGACATACGGCGCATCGTACGGGATTTTATTATTGCGTTATAACGCAGCGCACACGTAACTGCGTGAAATTTCAACGATATCACGAAAGGTTTAAAAAGAAACGGCGACGATCGATGCGTTACCACGGAGACCAGGCTGCCTCTTATCCGCATTCAAAAACATGAAGTGGAGCAATGCCTACACGATTCTTATCTTTGATTACGAATGTGGAAGAGTCTAGATAGCATGGCCGTGATTAATAGAAACATGATAACACCTGCCCACGTCACACACCGCGTCATTTTCCGTCAAGTGCATCGTCTTTAATGACTTTGAGCCGCATTTGTTTATAGATTTATAAAGATTTCTGCAAAAAGCCCGTCGAAATAACACCTCATCTTCCGTTATATTCCAAAGCCGACAGAATATTTAACAAACATTAAAAGCTTCACTGAAAGAACTTCTCAGCGATGCATGTTGAAGATGGATATTGTAAACATAGCAATAATCCCACGAAATAATCGATCGTAAAATTCTGCAAATAAATCCTACAAATATTATAAATTCGGTTTTCAACTTTCTTCGTGAAGCTTTCTATCCAGATAATCGCAATGGCCGATTTTTAACATACGAAAATTCTAAGGCATCTTTATGTCGGTACGCTAACGGGATCGTTCGAGAAGTGTACCTAGGCAGAGGTGTACAACTGTGTACAAAACGAGCCAATTTCCTGACTATAATAATCCTGACTATAATAAATGATAATGTGAGAGCAACTTACAATGGTCAGATAATCGCTGCCCTCATCGTTGCCCTCGAAAGGCGTTTTCTCACCCACGATGTCAAGCACATCCGTCTTGCCTGAAAAAATTGAATATCCATCAATTCAGTTATGTGATGACTCGAAGCTCGAGGCTCGGCCGGATTTTTGAAATAATCGAACTGAATTTCCCGGAGATACACAGTCGCCGATACTTGACTGCGATACATCAGCAGAGATCTGACGACAGTACGGCCGTTTAATCGCGTGTAGCGGAGAGACACTCTCCTTAGATATCGGATCTTTCCTCACGCTCCTAATCTATCAATTAACGCGTGATTCAGTTGTCGATGCGTCGATGCGGTAATTAACGACGAGTGCTCGTTGAGGATGCGTTCGCTCATTCAATACGCGTATCTTATGGGGTTTGTGGGTCACAGTAGCATTAATTGCAATTAAAACACAACTCGGCTTAATTGATGGGATAGATTGGTCGATGCTCCACTTTCTCCCCCCTTTTTTTAAAGAACATTTCAATCATAGGATGACGCGTGTCGCGTGTAGGAAAGAAATTGTTCAGCGAGCGCACGTGTATTTAATAGAAGCGAGTTTGAGTCAAGGCCTGAATATGAATTTATGCATCGGACAGATTATGCGGAGATGAAATTATATACCCACCGTTCCCGTATAATTCATCCTCCAAGCTGTCCTCGTCGTCGCTTGGAAAAAAATATCTATTCGGCGGCGATGCCATGTATTATATTTTCGGTCTTACGATCATTGAATTATGTGATTTCGCACTGCATGAGATTTGTTTGTGCGCCTTTTTTCATTACACCGGTAGCGCGTTAAATTATTATCTGCGTCACTGTCAGCAATAAATATCGGTAAAAGCATGCGTTTTTCTCATGAAAAGTTGGCGAAAACTCACACACGTCGAGACAAATGATATATTTTTCAAGTCGCCGCACGTTTAAATCAGCAGAGCAAAGTCCATCTAAAGTTTCTCTAATGTCCGATTTTTCTTTCGGCACTCTCGCACTTGAAAGTGTATTTCACAAATCTGTGAACAGCACAGGCACTCGAAGGAACGTGAATTTCATGAAATTTTACATTTAATGGTCACACGGAAGTGCGATCTGTATTTCCGATGAAAACACGTTCGAAATCGCGGGCGGATATCGAATTGGCGGATAAAAATCGGTGAACGCACTGAACGATGCGCCGTATGCGGCCCAAAGACAACGACTGACCGCGAGAGAACCGAATCGACCAAGTTAAAATTCTACTCGAGAGTGACTGGCCCCAGAAGAGCGATGCGATAGCGTCGTCGGGGAGATTCGAGATACTGTAGGTCCATTTAGAGCTCGATACACGGATAAAAACATATTGCATTTTGTCGGAAAGCGAGTTAAAAAAAGAAAGAATAAGGAATAATAGAACTTTCGAATTAAGTAAAGTTTGAGAACGACAGGAGTCGCGGCCGAAAGAAGTATTCTAAAATTTAACGTACATTATAAACTAAATTGAAATCGTTGATGTGAACTTGCTGTATCTTAAACGCTTAGACGCAATAAAATGTTCTCGAAACATTTGGAAATATTAACTCTGGATTATCTAAATGTATGTTCCATTTATAGATATGAGAAAAGAATATGTATAACGATAGACACATTAACACGCAAACTATTAAACTCGAAAGCAAAGGAGGCACCTAGTTTAAAAGAACGAACAATAATAGAGAAACATCCATTTGCATAATCTTCCCAAATACCTCAGGCAATAATGACACCGCGATCATTTTACGTACAAAGTCATTCAAGGTTCGTCTTGTTCGGCATAAAAATTGCACGTTACGGCATAATCTCACACCCGATAAGATAAAAATCCGAGCAACAGGTAACTTGCTTACGCATTAATACGGTAAGAGACAATGTAGATGTCGTCGATATTAGCTAAGTAATTCACATAGATATCGCACCACTAATGATTTCGCATATCAGCCAGACCCAACAAAATTAATCTCTAGGAGTAAGATATGCGTGTAGATATCAATACCGATGATACTTTCTAAATTATGTAAAACGTACATAGTAGGTAAAAAAAAAATATATATGCGCGCTTCATTATTCTTAGAGTTATTCTTAACAGAGTCGAAAACGCATCTTGCAAAATATCACCTCATCGGTGTGTATTTTGCTTTCATTTGTATTAATCAACCGCATTAATTGTATCAACATATCGAACGCGAGAAAATAATTGCGACATTTTTCTTTTAATTTAATATTATTTCAGAAAACGTTAGACAGCGCACATATATTTTCTTTCCACTGTAAACAGTACTCTGATTGTGTTTTATGTTAAATAATTTTACATAATGATTCATTGTAACTAACATTGTGGTACTTTGTAATTGTCTTCTTCGGTAACAAGACGACGCTCACCGAACACGAGGTACGGGCTGCTTTGTTCCTTGTCGGTTTCCGTTACGTCTGTAAATAACATTCACATGTAAATGCGTGTTACCGTGCGTGGTAGACTAGAACAAATCGTATCTTAAAGCGTCCGATAAGTTCTATAGAAAATCGATGGCCGATAAAGTACCTGATCTGCATTTACATACGTAGACCTGACGAGATGCTGCGCAACGTATCTGTATTCGATTCGAATGCGCAACATCCGATCGAATGTTCCGATTGGATGTTCCGATCGAATCGCATCTGAATTCGTGCGCATGCAACTGTAGAATATTTATTTATAAGCCACCGTGTGTTGTATGTAAAGAGAAACGAATAGACTCCGATGTTTACGTAATCTTCGCGTCGTAACGTGCACGATACATAGCTCCCCGGCATTGGCTGTAGTTACGCGTCTTAAATAATGCCCAATAAACCTCGATTCCTCGCACGCGAATTGCTGAACGTAAGAAAAAAAAAAGAAACGTTATTCTCCTCACGTGAAAGAAGTACATCGTTCAGCTAGGCATCTAAAGGATAGAATGAATTCTAAAATGTTGCAATCGCGTACAGGTAGTCCTCGCATTTTCAAAGTAGATTAGAATAAGGATTGGACAAGAATATATTATAAAGTAAAGTCTTCTTATAAATTAAAGAAGAAGCAATTTTATATTGAAAGCGAATTTTCGGAAAATTTAGTCTGCGGATCCATCGACGTGTCACCAATGCAGAGCCGCGTAGAGCTAAAGAGAGATACGAGCAGAAGTGATACTGGATGCGGTATCACTATGGAGATCCTTGAGAGAATGATGATTAACAGTGTCCCAGAATCGGTCCTCGAGAGCGAACTATTATGACCTTGGCGCGACACGGCGCGCAGACTCCCAAGTCGAGAAAGTAGGAACGTAACGCCGAAAGTACCTATCCGTGGATCCATATATCTGATTAATTCAAATCTCGAATGATGACTCCAACCAGCACACGGCATAAGGTGCGGTGGTCAGTCTAGACTAGGTCAAGGAGAATGACTGTTACCTGAAAAGTCCACCTCTTCGCTCTTCCCTCCTCCTTCACGAAAGGTACGCATCCGGCACGCGGACGCGCGCGGTAATACTCCGACCTGATCGTAATTCAACCTTTGCTGACGTCACAACCAACACCGCGGTTAGAAACAAAGTGTTATCTGGTCGAGAAAATCCCTATACGATTATCTGAGTGACCGTACTTCCAATTGCATTGAAACGTCTGGCCGTAGTTTGCTTAGTAGCTTTAAAAATCACATCAACGATCGGTAACACTGATCGATAGATGCACTCTCGAGTGAATATCCTTCATATAAACCAAGACACGTTGCACACACATCACTTATCGACGATGATAATGAATAAATATTAACGGAACTGAGAAACGGTTACATTTAAAAATCTATTAAATTGATGTGAGCGACACTGGATTTTCGAGGGTACAACTTTGCTCCGCGTTGAATCGATCAAAGTACCGCAGCCTTGCGCAAATATAAAATAAATGAACGAAATGGAGAAACAAAAATAAATCCTTTGAGCGAGCGTAGTGTTGCAGTTCTCGCAGTCGTAAGCGGATTATCGAGCAAACTCGGAGCAAGATCGTAACTGGCCAGAATTCGACCTTCGAGAGAAATTGCCATGCTTTGACGTTTGATGTTCCCCAGTCGCGTATCACGTGCGCCCAGGAGCCAAATATGTGCAAACTTGATAACATTGTGCCAGAAGGAGGCATTTAAACTTTACGCAAAAGATATTTACATAGAGACTGACGTACGTAGTTTATGGCCTTTACCGCTTTTGCAATCCCATTGATAAATACGCAACGCTTAATTTGCAATGCAGACATGACGTCGATGACGGATTATGCCATGTTACGTCCGTATTAGTTAAACGTTAAAATTATTTAAACACTGCGTAATAATAAAAAATAATGAAATTAAACGTGCGTAATAGCGAGATTCGATATTATTACAATTGTTTTCCTAAATAATATCGGAGGAAAAAAGGGGGCAGTATTCTTTCGAAGTTTCGGCAGCACAAAGTATGGAAAGTCTGTCAGGATTATTATATTTACTTCTATCTTTATTGTGAATGAAAATTTATCAAAATTGTATGCAGCTTTGCGCACCGTCACGTAAGCATTTCTCAAGCTGTCCAAATCTTCTGCTTAAGACTTTTCGATTTAAGCAGCGGGCACGTGGCGATACATTTTTTGAGAAAATTCAAGTAACGCGAATAGAAACGCGTCGGAAGAGAGAAGAATAGAAAGCTGTAACGTACCGCTTGTAACGAGAGAGCTTCTAGTTTCGGACGATGTGCTCTTCTCCAGTTCAACTTTGTCCCTCATGCACTCCAGTATGCTGGTTTTGCATCCCATCTTCAAGACGAGCTCTCACTTCGCCGAATACCTCCTTGCCGCTTTTCGCATCGTCGGGAACGTCGAAAAGCATCGAGTCAAATACCGAAGAGCGTCGATGACAGACGGTCGACGAGTATGTTAGGTTACTTTTCGTCGAGAACGATCGATGAAAGGAATATTTCGGTCGGACTCCTAAATGAAGATACGAAAATTATTATAAATTTCCTTGTCCCTCTCTACCTTTGATCTTTCGCGTGTAAACTATTCCGGGAAATAATATTATGGGCGAAATTTTTAGGACTCTCGTCTATGTCGTTAACATCTGCTCCTACTATTTATCGACTATATATAACAACGTAACTCTTACACGTACATTTAAAATGACGGATTTTCAACAATTCCTTCGGATAGCGTGACATAATTAACGTATACATATTTTATTCTACTATAATAATTGTCAGAATCCAAAGTCACGATGCATCTATTATGGATCTCCGTATCTTATCCGTGCACTCCATATAATTTTACGAAATTAGACTGAAGCGTATACAGCTCGAAATGTGTACTTACCCTGCAAAAATGCACGCTCATGCTCACACGATATCAATTTGCTTATCCTCAGACGAAAGAAAACGATCCTCCGCGTGTTGATTTTGCATGGGCCAAACACTGCTATCACCGCGAGCGCTATTTTGCATTAGTTAACGTGCTCGAGGAGAATTGCATTGATTATCTCAGCCGAATCACTTTGGAACGGTGCGCTGAACAGCTCGAGCCACTCGATTAAACGACACGCGCCGGCAAAATTACCATCGAGTTAACCGCGAGTTCTCCTCGATCATCAGAGTTCCACCAGCAAGTCGATTGACCGTAATTCATTGCGCTCGTATGAGGCACAAACGTCACTAATCGGCCGTTTAAGCAGCCATTACGCGCGTTCTTCTCGTCGCGAGCGGAGATGGTGAAAATCGCGAAAATCCCGCGAGCGTTGACGATTAATTCGGCATTGGACGCGCATCGGGACCGTAGGAGGTTTCGTACATACGCACGGGGTCATGCGTCAGTGCAATTTTCCCAGTTCGCTTTATCTTATCTTCCGCCGAAAGTGTCTACATGTAATTCAAAAGTCTCGCGACGCATCTCAAATATCGCTTGGCAGCCACGAACCTCGGTGTGCGCAATTAGAGATAGAGAGAGAGAGAGAGAGAGAGAGAGTTCTGCGCGAGATAGCCGTTCACGTAATTCGTCCGATTACGCGGTGTTTGGGCACGAAGCACGCAAATAGTGTTGTTTGCATAATCGTCGAAGGCATTGTTTTCATAGTGATGCAACTCCATAGTTCCTATGTCGAGAGATACGGACAATTTAATGTTAAGAGGAAAAGGAGACTCGTAGGTAACGATCTTCCGAGAGCGGCTACGCCGATTTCGTCGAACCGTTTAACAGACGCGTTGATCTCCCGAAAGTCTGTCGACACGTGACTTTGCTTCCACGTCGTCCTTAGGAAGAACGGTCGCACTTAAGAGGAACTTTCGCGCTTTGAAATATGGCCGACAGCGAAGAACAGCGAGATCGATTCGGGACATCGCAGTGACGAGAGTTTGAGGATCGCGCTTCGATGTGCAAATGAAAATACTCCTGGATATTTTTTCGATGTAAAAAAGAAATAATATAATACCGTTAACTGTTTTACAGATAGTAAGAGGTAACGAGTCAAAAAGATGTGACTTGGTGTGTGTATATATAGAGTATCTGATAACATACAAAACACTAGAACGTGTAAATTAGATGAGACTGAACAAAAAATTCCTCCACCATTTTGCGAACAACCAGGTAAATTTTTGAGTTATTAATTAGAGCAGACTGATGAATGAACTCGCGCGCGATTATATCTCCTTGAAATAGTGACTCAGGATTTTACGTGTTTTTTTTTTTTCTTCTTTTTCTTTTTCCCTTGCGAAATGATACAGAACGTTTTTATTTGGTTTGATCAAATTTACAAGCACGCGACGGCAGATGTCGCTGTCACAGATGAGTAACAGATCGCAGGAGTTTATCCGCAAGTTTTCCTCAATGAATAACCCAAAGTTTTACGTGGTCGTTCACGAAATGGCACTTTTAGCTGAATTTGACCTAATCTACACGAGACCTTCATACGTTTCGTCAAACACTCTGTATAAATTGATTACACTTCCATCGCGACGTTCCGATCCTACGTAACTATTCAGATACGACCCGCGCACACTGAAGAAATCACGATGGCCACGTCTTACCAACTCGTATCTCGTAACGTCGTGAAATCGTGTCGCGGCACGCAAAAGACAATTCTCTTACCGAGCGCTTGTTTTGCGTCGCCGTGTTTGCAAGTAGATACGGAACACTCGGCCGGACAAATTCCCGCGGAGAGAGAGAGAGAGAGAGAGAGAGAGAGAGAGAGAGAGAGAGAGAGAGAGAGAGAACTCTGGACGTCTAGCATTTTCGAAGCGGTCCGATAGCCGACGTGACGATAGCAGAATGAAAGTGAAAATTTTCGTCGAGGACTCTCGCGATGTCACGCAATGGTCAGGTTGACAGGAAGAAACGACAACGACGAGTCACGACGATTTCACTGGCAAATAACTCGAATTGCAAACGCGCCATTGTCAGGCGGCACAGCGCTCCAAGGTGTGCGCGACGTTTTAATGAAGATAGGATCGCACGTAGAGACGGCATGGTGGCCTCAAACTCACTAGCTGAACTCTGCGCTTTCTCGAGGACGATCGGAAACGCCACTTGCCAAGCGACGTCTCTTGTTCACTCGAAATCTTATTAAACATTTCTTATCGTCTATTTCAATGTTCTACCCAAGAAAGGACGCGCATGCATTCGCATCGGTTTAGTGTTTAAACATACAAACAGATTAGTACACGGAAGAGCCGCGGGTGTGTTTGAACGGCGAGAGAACGTGGATTTTAAGCCAATAACAATCCGAGACGACGGAGGGGGACGGGTAGAATTTGCTAGTAGCAAATACGAGAGGACGAGGCATTATCATTGTAAATTTAATCGCTTAACACCGCGCGCCGTCGAGCACGAGGCGACTATTTAGGGCCGTTTTAGAGTTTCCGTGACGTAAGTTATCTTTGCCGCGGGTGCTTATCGTATGCGTCTGTATCTGCGTTTCACTCCTTATCCGTTATTTTTTAACGTAAGCGGCGTCGTATATCCCAACGCGAGTGCCTTCAGCTTGAACGCGCGGCGAGTAGATGCACAAGCGCTCTCCAAGAGTCGAGCCTGCTTCAAGCTGCATTGTACATAGATTTGTATAATAACGATTCTACATTGTACACGAGTTACACGGTTTTCTAACATTCATTCTAAAAACTGTTCTCTCTCTTATATTCTTACATTTATACGTTTTATACCCCAGAAGAATTTTTCTCTCTCTTATTGCGAATACGTTAATAAACGAGAGTTTGCTGTATATTTTTAATAACACCATATTATCAGTGTATGTACTTTATTTTACAATTCAAGCTGACTTAACGCACGACTTACTGAAATTACCTATGTAGCTAATTGTTATCTTTATCATTCTCGATGTTCCAATCTTTCAAGATATTCCTCTTTTTAACTCTTCGTTCTAATCCCTTTCAAAGTATCCTGAATTTTTACATAGCTGCATGTGTGTCTGTAGATCGTCTCTCTTCTCTTTTACAAATAATCATTTTGGTCTAATTACCTCTTCTTGTCCTTTTATTATAAATAAATAGATATCAATAATTTCATTTTTCTTATGACTATCGTTGTAGTGTTTACGAGTATAGATAATAGATACTCTTAACTCATGTCTATTTTCATTGTCTTGATAATAGAAATTGCACGTTGCAAATAGCGATACACACACGATTGTTACTTTTTCCACTCGTTCACGTGACGCCATGAGCAAGTAAACATAGCATAAAGACGTATCGATATTCGCAGTAATTTGGCCAATGAGATCAATCAAACGATTCTTCTCTCAATAACCATCGTCTGATTAAATTGCCAACTATTCTATATTGATCGCGGAATGATCATCGCTGAATTAACATTATGATGAATAAAAATGGAATATTGAACCCTGCTGTATTCACGAGAGATCAGCGGTGACATCGGCGGTGAATTTACGAAAGATGACCTTAAATCATTTTCACGAAGATTTAGGCGCAAGTAGTATCCGAAGTCTCTCCGTCTCTCCGTGGCATTTCGCGTTGGAATTTATTCAGGAACGTAGTCGATTTATCGTGTCTTGACCAATTAGTGACCAAAACGATTACCGATGGACACGAACGAATCTAAACAAGATGATCGAAAAGGTAAAGAGATGAAGGTAGTTTCAATCTGTCTTCCATAATCTTATACTAACTCCAATATATCTCGCGAGACTAAATTCGTTTGGATCAACATGATGGTAAAAAATTATTATATTTCGATTTCACACAGGATTTGTAGGTAATTAATTTTAAACAAAAAGCGACCGAAAGCATTCCTTTAGGTGCACTTGGCACATTTTATTTGAAATCCCGTTGCATCTAATGACGTAAGTTAACTATGCGGATGTAAACGCTAATTCGTAAATAAAAGAAGAAATGCATTGGATAATTTCCATATTGCTGCGCGATATGGCAGATAAATTTATGAAATTTGATTTACGACATCCGTGTCGTTACGCTAGAATAGGGCATGGAAGTAAGTTTATGCATATGTATATCAATCTACAAAAATAATAACGAACAAATTAAGCGTAGGCATTCACACATGACATTCCTTCAAAGATTTAATCAAACGGTCTACCTCGCCACTTATCCCATTCCAGCTGATGATACCAAGCTTTCCGCGCAATTTCTTAGTATATCAGGAGCAAATAAATCTTGGAACTACTAGACCAATTAAACTGATACGATTCTAATGAAATGTGTGAGATGAAACGAAGCTTGAAGTATCTTCTTCACCGATAGTACACATTCAGATGTTTGATCGACCTTTTAGTGCGTTCAGTCCACAAGCGCGCGACCTGACATTTCCCGAATTTTTCCCAAAAACGTTCCTCGGTGAAAATTGTAGGATGTTAAAACGTGAATCCTTGATTCCAGGCAGTATCACGCTTGACGCTATGCAAGATTGCAAAGATAAAAATTCTAGTAGATCGTTCGAGTGGACGTACAAGGTTCGTCATCACCAAGTTCACTCGAAAATGTAACCTTAATTTACACGACAATATAAATATTTCGATTTTCTTCTATTTCCTTGTAAATTCCTCGAATGAGTAAAAAATTGATGATTGTTTCTGTTCAAGTACTTCTTACCTAACGTTGCGCAATCTTTCACTTAAAATATTTCTTACCTAACGTTGCAATCTCTCACTTTATCGACGAGACACATGTTATTTAATTAAGATTCTATGCCGCGAAGAGAACGTGAAACCATTACCGGCGGTGCAAACGTATCTGCAAAAAAACCACTTGCGATTCTGTGCCGATTACGTAAATCTGAAAGCTTGGTCGCCGATTTTAAACGGTGTAACGCAAGATCGAAGCCTCTCGCAAATTTCTGTGTATAGTCGGTATCGGCGCAAAAAGATTCAGGAGAAAGTAAACGCAGAAGAAAAGCTCGTGAAATTACGGTAATTAACGAAGACGTACCTAGCCTGTTCGGTAAAATAATTTCACATACTTAGGGACATGTAGCGTACAATTGCTGGACAAACTAACTGTAGTTGACGGAAAATGAAATTCACATTTTGCTATTAATGTTGCCCCCAAGTGACTCTGTCCCTCGAAATATCTAAATGTTAGAAAAATAAAACGAAACACTTTGATTGTTTTCCCTTTCCGGATACTACTCTCAGTAAGTTTAAGCTTGCAGGTGACGTCGTCGTGCGGCAAAGGCGATCGAAGCGAAACAAAATAAAAAAAATGTAACATCGCCGCCCAGCGACGATAAATCTGCATATTGCGAAATGGCAAAACGGACTGGCATTCTGCTCGCACGTTCAGGAAATACGCACGAAAGGATCAGCAGCAGCCAGCATTGTACACGAATTTTCTACTACGATGCTTCGTCCAGTCGCTTGCTGTCTGTCTGAGGAATTCGTTGATGATCACCAGTCTCGAACTGGACGGCATTCCTTTGGCGCCAAAATACATAAAGATCCTCAGTGATGGCTTGGCGAGTAATCGGAATCTGCGAAGCTTGTCATTAATCAGATGTCAAATTGGTGATGCAGGTTAGTCAATCTGCTGACAGTTTGAATGTTTCTTAAATATTGCCTGATATTTTTTTTATGCAGATGAAGTAAAACTCAAGGTTTTCTAGAAAATTCAATTGATTAGTAAAGGAAGAATATATAGAAAAGATAGTGACGTACTTTTCATGCTTACAGGATGCGATCTATTGTTAGAAAGTCTGCAGTGTAATCCAAGTCTCCATATTCTGAACCTGTCGTCATGTTGTCTCACTAATAGAAGCGCTACGTGTTTGTCATTATACTTGAAAAAACGGAGAGTGGACTTATTGCGAAGTGTTTGGAACGAATCAACGTTGTCTCGAGAGGACGTTGACGAAACAATGGTGTGTGTCCGAGAGGAACATAATGCATCAATAAATAATCTATAATTAGAACGATGTTTTTATCAGCGTAATACATTCAACAATTTGCGTTTGTATTACAGAAAGAAGGACTGCAAGTACTGATACTCGATAAAAATTACAAATTTACCGACATAGGCCTGCGGCAGCTGATACATGTTCTGAAGAGTGATTTCTGGTTGAAGAAATTATGCTTGCGATGTTGCGGGATCAGCGAACGCGGAGGACAGATTACGCTGGAACTTTTGCGAACGAACAGCGTCATCACTCAAATTGATCTCAGGGAGAACAAAGTGCCGGCTGATATATCGCAAATCATCCATAAGCTCTTAAAGACAAGGAAACATAAATGGGAAAGGGTATCAATGCAGAAAAGATTACTGAGCCATAAACATGTTCGTACCCGAGATATAATTGCAAAGAGAACGTCTCAGTGTGCATTGAAGAAGAACAAATGTATCACAAATCCGGACGTAAGTTTAAACTGAAAGTCGCACGCTTCGATCAATTGAATCAAACAAATTGTATATCACTGATCGCACATAGTATATTTATTACTTTTCTCTCTTTCAGTATCTTCAATTAAGGATGCAAGACAATTGCGTTTCACAAATATGGTGCCCTACGTATATGCGAAGGACAACAAGCGAAAATAGTAAAGTACACAAAGCGCACGATACAGTAAGGGGAAAACACATTCAATGGACCAACGTGCAGCAAATGCAGAAACGTTTGTCGCTTATGATCAAACGGAATCAAAATCTAATAGCGGCCTTAGAGAATAACGCAGATTTTTTGACGGAGGAGAGAAATCGCCGTTTGAGCGCTGAGGAAGCGTATCACAAACTTCAACCTCGGCTTAAGAGTCTCAGGAAAAAAATAGCTGTGCAAAATTCTACCTGTTCCGCTGCGCGTTATGAAAATCAAGCTTACACGAACTTGCTAAATATATTCGATAAATTAGCGATATTCACGAATGAGGAAAAGTTTAGGATAGATGGTAGAGGTGTCGAAGCAGAATCTGGCGGGAACAAAATTAAGTCTGCTGTTTATCGTTGTAAAAGCCAACCGTGCAAAAACGAACTCGCTTATCTCTGGCGCAAAAGACCAAATGGACGCGAGTGAAAGACGCACGGATACCTGTAACTTGAAGCCGCTAAATATTTATGCTGTGTACAACATAATTATGTGTTAACTCGTACAAATTACACGTTAATATTATTATAAATTGACACGCATGCATGACGTAGATGAGAAAGATAAAATGAAATAGAATAATAAAATCGTTTTATCTTTTCTTTACCTTCCTCTTTTGCCACATGGGACTCCCTCGTGATATCATTCATATATATATATATATATATATAAAATTACAATCAGCAGTATACATACACGACACACGCTGATATTCTGAAAATATACTTATCTTAGAGTCTAACATTATCTTCACCGTTAATCTTCTCCATCTGTAAAAACGAGTATATATCCGCTCTTAGAGAGGGATTACTCAACGATACGAAGCGTGAAAAGGCTAAAATATAACATCAGTAAACTTTGAATATAACGTTTGTAAAAGAGGTTCTAGCAATATTGTGGAAGAGTTTTATTTATATCGACTTCTGTCTTTTTGAACGAAAAGCTATTGAAAAAGTATTATATATTTCACACATGAGCAATGTAACACGAAATACATGTAGGTGACGGCATCTGTTCTCGTGCCTAGTAAATGCAAGCCGCCGCTATTCTAATCGATATATCTCGTCGTGAGACATAGATACGTTATCTACGGACTTCTTACTGTTAGCAATTGATTTTTAAATATTCGCAGTCGGCAAGGTATACGGTTGCGCTACTGCTGATACATAAGAACATCGATTTCTACCTTTGACACGACTGTTCTATCGTGACCACGCCATAGCAACCGACATTTGGTAATCCCAGAACACCAGTTATTGATTTTAAGCCATCGATGCAATGTGGCGAATCAAAAATAGGAAATGTGAATGTATTATGCATAATATTCAGCGCAGAGTACATCAATAATATAAATTTGTTCTGCAGAAATTAAATATAAATGATTAAATATAAACAGGAAGAAACGTATCGGGTTAAATTAAATCCTTCATTAATCTTTAAAATTGAAGATTGATTTAAAAACATAGTGCTTTCTTTAGTTTATTTCCCAACTTACTTAATTAAATAATGGAATAATCGAAACAGTGTCAATCAACATAAATAGAAATATCGCTTGCAATTTATCATTTATTTCGCAAAGCGAAATTTAGAAGATTCTTGGCTGTCCATCATACAATTAGAGTTCATCAATCGCTGGTAATACAGACATCAGATCGTAAACATGATACACCCGTCTTTAAGTACAATTCTCTCACGTTACAGCTATGTTGCAAATGATTGCAATATTATTAACAGATTGTTCCGTAACAGAAAACTTCAAAAACTTATTCAACAGATGGTTTATACATTTATTTGTTTATTCTAATATCTATCATGGATAACACATTGACGCGTGTTATTTTTCAAATATGATTATCATTGTCGAGAAAATTTTACCTTACCTGACTTTAGTTTTCAGCTTACGACTGTAATTACTACGATTAAACAAGGATCTCAATTTCTCCGTGATTTATCTTGCTAAGATAGCGAGGTTTCCTGACTTAACATTCCTCAACTACTTCGCCGCCTACTTTTCCTTCATAATCTCTCAGCGCGATCGCATAAAATTATTCCTTCCCTCCCGGTTATTTTGGCACTGGCAAACTCCGGAAACTTTTCAGAGCCGCACTGACGCGGGCTTATGCTAATGACAAGAATTCTAATCGCAGATTATAATTGTTAATTCGTTCAATGATCCACAACTTCTATATTTCCATTTTCAGGCGGCACTTAAAACTCGTTGACTCGTATCTGGTAATACTCTGTTTCCGCTCTCTGCGTTGGCCAATAGTAAATATCACTTTATTCGATGAATCAATATTAAAACTTCAAACTTGATGTACATGTGTGTTTATGATGATTAATAAATTAATCTTATGTCTATCTCATGCGAGATTATGTATTTTTAAAACGTTTTCTACTGTAGCCAGCAATTTCGTGTTTCACGAAATTGTCTCGTGTTTTGAAACTCGCGCAATTTCGTTAAAACGTCCAATTTGTAGAATTACTTTGAAGACCTTGAGATTATTTTTATCTTCGTCGAATCGTCCATCATTGAATGATATGTTTGCAAGCGAGCTTTGCTCTGACACGTCTCAACGGCGCGTTCTTAAGAAACAAGATAAAGGCCAAACTAAGAATCTTGAAGTCACGATCAAGATTCTCTGACCGTTTGTGAGCGATTCACTCGCGGATAAATTTCATCTATCGAGTGCTCCTCGGCTGTGTGTGCTGGCACTCGTCGCACAGCCAGCTGCAATTAATCCGTTTTATAGATGCTGCCGATGTAAATGAAGTTTCCAGTCGAGTATCCGGAACGGGAAGAGTGCGGACGAGAATCGGCAGTGGAAGCGGATGGCGAACTCCGGCCCGTTCGATGCTCGTAAAAAGGCCGAGGCTTTAACCGTCCGGTTGTAAAACCCTCTGGAAGCAATTAATAATAACCGCCCTTCGCAGCTCCGTCGGGTGATAAAACGAGTTTCCCCGCCTTTTCGGCGCAACCGTATCGCACGACGAACGCATAAACGTCGCGGAAGACGCTCGTTTCACTCCTTCACGCTTTTCATTGTGGTCGATTATGACTTTTCAAGAACTTAATTCATTTTTCAGTCAGTGTCAAGCAGTGTCAGATTTATTGGAAAATGAGACAGTTCGATTTCCATATGTTGTTAAATGATCGAGACGATATTTATCGTCGTTTTTCTAATCTCATAACTCGACAACTGGCGTTTCCTCGAGAAATACCCCCTTTTTCCCTTGATAATGTGTCGGGGTATTATCGAACGGCATTGCTGATGCGGCATCGCGAGGAAATATCGAAATTACTCGAGTAGCAAGTCGGAGCGACTTTTCTCGGGACGCTTCGGCCGAGGACGACAAGGGTTTTGTTCCAGGATGACGGAACAAGGTTTACGGACAAATCGTAACGTCGTGTCGAGATATCGGAGGAAGCTTCCGTCGACCTGCAAGCCTCTCCTCGTTCTCTTCTGGCTGCTGGCGGGCGACCTTAGACCGGTGATGGATGAGAGGACACAGACTTTGCCGACAGCGCAATACCGGACCGGAGTAAGGGAAGACGTGGACGCAACATGTGCAATCCGAAACATATATACGTTTCCACCTCGCGATATTGCCGTACCAGGAGGAATGAGATAGCGGCTGGTAATACGTACAGCCGGGAAGAAAGCAGTTTGTAAATACGCGAAAACGTAAGGTTTCTTTGAGACTTATTCCGAAAGAAAGGGTGTCCCGTCGCGATTGCCTTCACGCTGAAGGCTGAAGGCGAAATATTTGGCGTTGGAAATGCATCTGTCGCCATCCGGCGCCGTTTTCACGCGACACAAACTCAGTCTCAGTTGAAAATTAATATCGGGATAACGAAGAACTTTATTTAATACTTAGGGAGCTCTGTCTGATGTGATGAAATTGTTTTTATTGTGCGTAGTCCACCACTTACAGGATTATAATTTAATTTACCTGTCGGAGGGGGAGATTTAATGGCATCATTATCGGTGCGAGAGAGGTATCCACTCCTGCATCGATCATTTTCGCGCGCACGAACGAGAAGGAGTGTGAAGGAGTATAGAGAGAGAGAGAGAGAGAGAGAGAGAGTGAAACCAAACACTGCTTTTCGCCGGATTCCTTCGCGAATCTCGCAGACGCGAAATACTCCATCGGCCTCGTCTACGCCTGTTTATTCTCAATTTACCGCGCCGAGGTGGAAATCGTGGCACGAGTTTACCGTGCAATTTTCGATCCTTTTCTTCACCCTCACCGTCTCACCACCCGCTGCCCGCTGCCCCCGTCGCAACAGCCTGCAGCAACACTCCGGTCCGTCACCCTCCATTATTTACCACTTCGAAACGTCGAAGATGCTTCTTTCCGCTCCGGTGCTCGAAAAATTTCATCCGCAGTCTCTCCGGTCCCGGCAATGCTCGGTTCATGAAATTCGGCGACGATCTCAAATTGCAGCGACGCGTTCGGGAATTCTCAGGTATGTCCCGCTGATAATCTCGTGTCTCGCGTCGAGGCGTCGAGTAAATTGCGAATGCCGCGAATTAATCGATACGATTTACTGCGAAGGGTCGAATAAATACACGTACCATATATGACTTTCTGCATACGAGAAAATATAATTATTTATCGCACGATATGCTGAATATTACACTCGAGTAAGAAATGATTTGTCCAAAGAATACTCCGCGAATCGCTGATGAAAAGCTGTTGTGTTGGCAAACACACATGAGAGTATATTGAGAAACTTCTCATCTCACACTTGATGTTAACGTTGCTCCGTTTGCTATCTTTTCTAGATTCACAGAGATCCATTTTACAAGCACCCTTGAGAATCCCCAGGGATCTCCCTCCGGATGTAATCTGTGTAGTTCGATGGGATAAGGATCGCGAAAAGGCGAGGAAAATATGCCGTTCCACGTGCAGCGTCGATAGCGCGACGACGTTCGCCATCCACGCGCCGAAAGAGGAGGAAGCTCGAAGAGTTGAAAGAGTTTGAGAGGGAGGGAGAGAGAGAGAGAGAGAGAGAGAGAGAGAGAGAGAGAGAGAGAGAGAGAGAGAGGGGGGGCGAAGAAGGGACGAGCTTTGTCGCGCTGCCGCGCTCACATGTCGAAGTTATGAAAATTAATAAGAAAAATTGCCCATAAATTCGGCGTTTCCTTCGCGGGCGTATCCCGGCTCGGCAATAAAATTAGAATTATGTCGCGGTGGCTCGCGCGCCATCCCCGATCCTCCCCCGGGTCCCTACCTCCAGGTGCTCAACCAGCTCGGCTCGGCGAATCGAGGGGGGCGGGGCGAGCGCGCCGACAGCGGGGGTTGATAGCGTTTGTTAGCAACGCCGGAATGTGTCCTCCCCGGTTCTTAACGTATGACTTACCCGCCAAGATTACATCCATGCCTTACATCCACGCCGGGCCTCCCTGCCGAGCGGAGGAACCTATGGTTATTAAATTCTGGGAGCATCCCAGACCCGCCGCGAGATCCTCG